GTTTATAAAGTCGATAGCTATTATTTCTAAGTTAATATAACTATTATATTTATTAATAAGATCTAAGTTATAGAAGAGATAAAGTATAAACGATAGCGGTAATTCTTAAGGAATTTCGGTTACTATAAGAGTCTTTAATATAAAATATTCGCTTATTTTTAGTATCGTTATTCTATTAGATAAGAACGATTCTATCTAGTTAACTACTCTTATATTAATTTTTTACTTTTAGAGATTATAGAGTAGTCGAGAATAAGAGACTTTATTATATATATCTAAAACGTCTAATAGTAATATTATAGCTACTTTATTAGAGTTTCAAATCTAATATATTCTTTTTAGAAGATAATAAATATCGTATTTATATAATCGTAATCTATGGTCTTCTATATATATAATCGATAGAAGTCTATATATCTTTATAAGATACGCTATTCTTCTAGTAAGAATAAATTTTATTATCTTTTCTATAGTATTAAGTAAAGCTATTAATCGATATTCTTTAGAAATCGAGTAATTCTTACTTAACTTCGAAAGAATAATTATTATTAATATTCTAAAGTGCTCTAAATAATAGCTATTCGTTATATATATATTAAATATTCTATATAGATAAGAGAGTAACGACTTTAGAATTTCTTTAAGAATTAGATTAAGAATCGCGTCTTCTCTTAGTACTCTCTTCAACGATGTCTACATTATAATCTTTCTTATCTTATTTATAATAATTATATCTATTAGATAAACTTATAAATACGCTATATTAATGCTAATATTATCTAACTCCGCCTATATCGATAGTAAAAAGAATATTCTTATAAGAAGATCTGCCTTCGAGTCTAATTCGTTATATTTTTATTTATCTTTATTAAATAGCGGAGAAAGATATATCTATATTATAAGTTATTTTCTAACTTACTTAATCTTTTCTATATTATTTATAACGATTCATACGCCTCTACTATAAACTCTCTAAACGTCTTTCTAATAATTCTCTTAATTAGATTATTTTTGAAGTTTTTAACGACTTTATACTTATTCTATACTTTCTTTAAGAGCGTTATTCTTTAGCTTCTTTTTAGCAATTTATAATATCTTTATACTTTCTTATATTCTAATATAAATTTCGATCTAGACTATAGCGATAATCTAATAATCGAAGTAGATTTCTCTATAGCCGCTTAAATAGAGTTAATAATAATTACTACTTAATAATCGATATTATTATTAATAAGATTTTCATTATTTTCTTAGAGATTAATTAGATACTCTTTCGATATTATAACTTAAACGAGTATCTCTCTTAGAACCTCGATATCTAGTTTATTAAAGTTTCGACGTATTATTAATACTAACTTTATTACGACTAGCTTAAACTTTATAAAAATTAAGAGATAATTAAATTCGCTTTCGAAATTATTTTTAATATTATAGTTAATAATATTTGCTATTAGTACTAAAGTAGCGAATAGTAGATCTATTATTATTTAATAGTTTTCTTTATATATTATCATTTCTATTAATAATGCTTATTTTATAGCGAATTCTTTTACTATAAGTATTAGTTCTTCTACTCTCTTATCGATACGAGTATTTAATCCTCTCTATATCGTATAGTGAAGATTAAAGTTATCTAATATAATTTATTCGTTATCTTTAGACTTCGTAAGCGTCTTATATAATTCGTTAAGTTCGTTTATTTATTAATTATCGAGATTATAGATATTATATATATATATAATTCTATTATTTTCGAATTTAATATTAAGAGTATAGAGGTTTAGTAAATAATATAATAAATATTATTACTTTAATAATATTCTCTTATTAATATAAAAGTATATTTATATATTATTATAATAGAAGTAGATTAAGTTAAATCTATTCTTTAGAGAATAATATGATATATTTATATTAGTATTTCTCTAGAGCTTCTAAATTACTACTATATCGATATTATAGATCTTTTTATTATTAAAGAGTTCTACTATAATTATTTTAGATTTTCTTATATTATATTATAGTATTAATAGCTAATTAAAGTATACTATTATTTCTCGATATTATTATTAATATTGCTTACTCGCTCCGCCTAATCTATAGAGTTTATATTCTTTTTCTAAGTATTCTTCTTTTCTTAATTATCGATAAATCGAATATATCTCTTTTTATTCCTATTAACGAGAACCGCAATTCTCTTATTATTACTCTTTTAATTTAAAGGTTATCTATTATTCTCGAGATTATTAATTTTCTTTATCGCTATATTATTCTTATATTATTTAACTTTATCTATTACTTTAAAGAGCGATTTATTTCTAGACGAGGCTCTTATTAATAATATAAAAGTATATCTTCTTTTACTCGACTAAAGATTCGATATAGTAGTTCTTTTAAGGTTCGGTACTCTGATTCCTTCTCTACTAATTATTCTATCTCTATCTACTAGTCTATCACGCGTAGATATTAGCCTTAAAAAAAATTCCTCATTTCACCTATAATTAAATATATTCTAAAAGTAATTACTTAATTAATCGCTTATTTAATAGCTAGTTAATACCTTCTTTATTATTATAAATCGTAAAAAAGTTTATTATCTCGCTATTCTTATTCTCGCTATCTTTCTCTTCTTTACTATATATACCTTATTCTAAACCTTATATAGTCTCTTATAAATTAGATATTTATAAGTATCGACCGTATAATCTTTATAATAATACTTCTCTAAGTATTTCCTATATATTAAGTAATTCTTTTTAGAGTATATAGTCGATAGATAATTATATTTCTAGTATACGAAGTATTACTTCAATCTATACTACTTATTATAGACGTAATAATTACATAGTTTTAAATCGATAACTAGATCTTCTTCTAGTACTTTATTTTCTTTCTCTAGAGATATTAATTCGATAATTAATAAACTCTTATTATAACTCTCTTTATTTATATCGAATTAGTCTAGTTATACTATATCGAGACTTAGCGTATTAATATTTTTATTCTAAACCCTTTTAATTGCCGTAGCTATGTCTTTAATATTAAATATATTAATTCTTACTCTATAAAGTAGAAGATTATATATTTTAATAATTACTCTTATATTATTACTTATCTTTAAAGTTTAATTCTTACTTTTTCTTAGTTTATTCGCCTTCTTCTTATTTATAGTTATAATATATATATCGTTACTCGCTAGCCTTCTAGCTATTCTAATAGATTTTCTTATAATATTTATACTCTTTATATATTTATTAACTATCGTAATTATCTCGCTTAATATCTTTCTCTCTAATATTTTACTTACTATCTTATCTTATAGCTTTATAATAATCTTATTTAACTTATTATATAATACTTAATCTTATTTCGATATTACTAATAATATAATAAAGATTTCTTCGATAATAGAGAAGAATATTAAGAATCGATCTAGTACGCTAGCGTAGCTAATTATTAATATATTACTTTCTAGACTAATTATCTAATACTTAATATATATAATCTTTTTCTTTATATTACTATCTCGATTACTTAAGTTAATAACTAGTTTATATACTTCGTCTAAAACTATTTAGATTTTAAGTTTATTATTCATCTTTTCTATAAATACTACCGCCGCTCTAAGAATAATAACTATTTTATCTATTAATAATTTCTAATCTTCGTCTATTATTTTTAATATAATATTTATTAACAACTTTAATATAAATGCGTACTTCTTAAAATTATAGCTATTATAATTTCATTAAGATTAACTAGTCTTATTCGACATAATTATAGAGATATAGATATTCCCTAAAGCCAATTAAAGAGATACTAGCCTTACTGAGTGCTTTGAATATATATATCTACTTTCTATAGCTCAATAATATAGCATAAGCGTTGTGCGAAAGTCTCCTTTACGATCCTTGTTGTAGGAGAGCAACAGCGTTTCCGGGTTACAGCTCGGCAGGGGTGAAAAAAAGTTCGGCAGGGGTGAAGCTTCGGCATATACTTACTTCACCTCAAATAAACTCATAGCATATACTAAACGTATGCGTTTCACCCGAGATAAACTCGGGCCGAGTTTAAAATAATAACGGTACTTTAGAGGGGGGTAAAGGCATATACTAGATATATACCTCAACCGCCTATCCTGCACGTCCCCCGCCGCGAAGACCTCCGTGATCTACTAATTATATAATAAAACTGTACTGGAAGTAAAGCGCGTAATAGATTCCGAAACTATTAAGGCCGGGAGGTCGTAAATAAGGATTTAAGAAATCAGCATTATACGATAGAAGATAAAAGCGAAGCATATACTAAGTATATGCTTTCATTATATTACCTCGCGCGAGCCAATATTGCTAGACTAAATTTAATTTTCTTCACCCTCCGATGAAGGTGCTGGCATATGCTAAGTGTATCCCTTTCACCCCGGACCAGGTGCATATACTTAGCATCTACTCACCCCTGCCGAACTTTTTTCACCCCTGCACCCCTGCCGAGCTGTAAGCCCCAGCGTTTCAACTGTCATTTCCAAACAGAGGGCGGCCCGAAGGTTTAGCGTATTCAATACCGTGGCAAATGCTTGGCACCAGGAATTCAAAGATGTGAATTATCAACTGAACAACTACAATTTGCATTGTAAAAGTTCTCTATACATAAAATCCTTTCTGTTAAAACCAAAAAATTTATGAAAAAATAATTAACTTACAGATTTGTAAAATATATTAGAATCGTCCTGATGCCAAGCATTTGCATCCATTTTGAATACGCTAAGTTCGCCGACGGGCACTGCAGAACCTCCTATCATGTTCCCGTGAAGAAAACGGCGCCAGCAGATCGCAGAGAATGAGGCTCATTGTCTAATTACTAGATATGCTAACATCAAAATCATAATTGGTTAAGATACTGCTTGAGGAATATCACCAATGATACCCCAGCCATGTTGGCTTGAAGCCAGGGACTGCTAGGTGTGGCAGCACCTTTCTGTGCCCGGTGATGGACACCGCGACATGTCGTCGGATCTACAGAAAGAATTTGGATACCCTGAGGTGAATCCATGGCGCGGAGCTGCAAGTCAAAGCCCCGCAAATAAGGCCTCTGCGGATGAAGATGATTTTGGGGATTTTGAAGACCCAGAGAATGAGGAGAATGTCACACATACACCTCGAAATTCTTCACCGCCGTACCATACTGTCAGCTATCCCGTGGGTTCAGAATGGAGTGGAACGCAACGGTTATCAATGGACCAAGAATATTTGCAATCGTTTATTCATTCATCCACAACGGAGGTTCGAGAAGTCCCGAGCAACCACGATGACTGGGGAGACTTTTCTCAGCAGTCAGTCATGTTTGATGCCGATGTGGAAGCTACAAGGCAAAAGAAAGAGACAGACCGGACGTTTGTCGATCAACGTAGACGACTTGAGGCGCCTACGAATATCCAGCTTCATCCAAAGACTAGTACAAAAGCATTTACTCCTCCATCTCCGATCCCCGCTATAACCGGGGCGAATGTTAGCCAACGGTCACAGGGGTCTGGGAAAGCTCGACACCAGTCCTCGACAGATGATTCCAAGCGCCGAGTCGAAACAACAAAAGCAACAAATCTTGAACATCCGACCATTGATGACGAACCATGGGTTGACTTCGAAGCAGCGGAAGCAGCAAAGTCTGGGCCGAAACCCTCAAATGGTCCAATTTCGCGTAGTTTCGGAGCAACAGAAGCCTCGAACCTTGGGCCTCCACCCTCAAACATCCCACCACCGTCCATTCTTCTCTCCGTCATCGCAACAATTTTTGGGTCTCTGGCCACAGATCTGAAAAAATCCACATCATATCAGCCTTTAGATCAGCCTAGCACACTCTCACAGCTCCGCGCCTTGTTATCCACTATGCGAGCAGCAGCTCGCATCCTCGCCGGTCGCAAGCTCCGCTGGAAACGTGATAATCTGCTTTCCCAAAGCATGAAGATTGGACCGGCCCACTCTGGCAAAGCAGGCGGCATGAAGCTCGCCGGTGTGGACAAGGCTGAAAGCCGGCGCGAAGATCAAGAAGCTGCCGAAGCGCTGCAGGTTTGGAAGCAGCAGGCTGGGCCGTTGAGGTCTATGATTGCCACCGCGAACGGCCAAATGTCGGAGATTGAGCGCTTCAAGATCCCTGAGATCGCGGACAACATGCTTATCCGACAAGGGAAACCTAGCGAGGGGATAGTGACTGCGCCCAAATGTTGCTTCCTGTGTGGCATCAAGAGAGACGAGAGAGTAGTAAAGGTAGATTTTGATGTGGAGGATAGTTTCGGAGAGTGGTGGGTAGAGCATTGGGGCCATTTTGACTGTGTCGCCTTTTGGGAGAACCACAAGGCTTTTCTACAACAGCGTTGACTTGACCGTATCTTCGCTACCACCACTGTCATGCGGGCGAGCATCAGTCCTCCCAGTTGCTACAGCAATCTAATCCTCGGTAATCACCACCACAAGCGAAATATTGGACGAATTTCCATGCTCAGACATGGACGGGTTGCAAATGTGAGTGATTTCATCATTTGGGCGACCCTCGAATAAAAATTCCATCAAACACGGCAAATGGTGTATACCTTGTCTATCAGTTCGATTCACGTGCCGGCCTGCGGATGGATCAAAGAATTCGACTCTCAGTCTTCCAGCAAGGCATGTGAGAAATTGATCGCAAATGAGCTTGCATAAGCCCAAAGTCGGAGACCGGCCTCGCCGAGGAACTTAGGGGAACGTATAGTGAAAGGTATTTCGAATATTAGATCTATGCAAGGAGATGTGGATGATGGAAAGGAGAGAAAGGGGATTGCTAGTGCTGAATGAGCTCAAGTCTACCTTACTCACAAGGCCAGGTTAGCCTTTCTACTCTCAATTCCGGAAAGACTATAAATGCTCCATAAAAGAGGCTCCTGCGGAGAAGAAGTTATGTTGTACTCTCCGAATCAATCCTTTTCCCAGACCTGAAGCCCTGCAACTGTGCACACTGTCCTCATGTCTGCCTCAAGAAGTCATCGTCGATGTGGCAGATCTATCCCTCCGATCCCTGTGGTGTTCCAAGGGACGTCACGCCGGATCTGTGCAAAGCTGCAAGGTATTGAATGTGATATTCTAACTATAAACAGGCAACAAGCCTTGGTGCAGTGCGTGAATCCACACTTCAACTCGATCATCATTAAACAACGCCCAACCAAGGAGTAGGTAGGCTCTGCCGCAGTCTAGGTATACTCTCGTCATAGTAGATTGTATATACCTTTGAAACAAATGAATACCCAATCCGATGCCTTACACAAGGAGACCCTCACTGGACACCGACCTCGGGTGCTGAATCCTTCTCCCCTGCCACCGGCTTACCCTTCCTCTTGCTCTTCTTCTCTCCGCCGACAACATCCCTCTCCACATCCCCCAGAGTCTCGTTTTCCTTTACGGGTATACCTTCGAAATTCTTCACCCTCTTGCCCTCCTGAAAAGACATCAATCCTCCCAGTCCGGCAACGATACACGCTAATGCCACGAACGTTCCCGTGCTCCAACTCGGTCGCTTGTACCTGTTGAACCCCCACATAAAGCCGGAAAGCACGCCTTGGAGGAAAGTGTTGAGCACGAATGCCCAGATCACATAGTCGAGTTTCCACATGCGGGTGGCAGGTGCACGGATGCCGGTCAGAGGGACGTCGGGGATTTTGGAAGGTGGTAGTGGGACCGCGGGGTTGTTCGCTGGATCGTCGACGGGGGCGTCAGGATCAATGGGGAGGTTCTCGCTCCCTGCAAGACGGAACCAGCCTCTGTTGATGCCGGCCAGTCTACGCAGCGCAGATTGGTCGTGGCGGAGACGAAATTTCATTAGATAGTAGAAGTCGCGGAAGCGCCAGGGAATGAGACCGAAGCCTGTGACGCAGAAAAGAGCATTGAGGATTTGAGAGTCGATTTCGATCCAGATACGGCGGGGGCTGTTGATGTTGTTGCACTCTTTCTTGCCATGTGATCCAGGTGGGTAGCACATGAATTCTTGACCCCCGCCAATCAGCAGTAAGAATAGCATACCACCCCAGGCTACAACATTTAGGCCGTATAGGACGATGAGGAAACCGAGTGGTGTGATAGTGAATTTCCAGAAGGCTTTGAGGCCGATTTTTGTGGCTTCACCCCAGGTGTGTTTGGGGGGGAATTTGTAGCCATTAGGATAGACGCCGTCGGCGTTGGGCCCTGGCTCTTTGGAAGTTGATGAGGAGGATGAGGGACAAGCAGTGCCAGTGGTGATTGTGGTCAGCTTCTCGCCTTTCTCGCCGGTCACGGACACCGGTTCACCCGCGGGATCTTGAAACTTCTTCGGCAGGCGTTTGGTACTGTCTCGTTCATCAAGTGGGTCAACATCTTCATCGTCGTCGTCGGGAATAGCGTACGGATCAGCAGAACTCTTCGATTGAGCAGCCTTTCCGGAAATGGTCGTCTTTGATTTCGGGACGTAGGATTGGTTATCGATTTTGCCTCGCCCAATGAACTTCGAAAATGGATCATCATCATCATCATCGTCTGTGGCGGTGGGTCTCTGAGGACCCTTCATTTTTTGTGTAGTGGTACCGTGGCTAGATGCTGTCCCTTCATGGACAGTGGGAGAGATCGGACTACCCTCGTCTGCCGCCTCCGTATGTGCGTCCAATGGGTTTGTATTTGTCTGCTGTTTTTGCAAACTCCCAGGCGTCTGCGCTGAATTCGATCTGGACAACCGCCTTATACTTTCTTCACTGACTGTACTATTCCTCCGTTGCATTTCTCGATCCCATCCATCATGGGAAAAACTTCCACTTCGAATCTCTCCTGGCGTTGGTGCTTGTGCGAGAGCATTACCGGTGGCTTGCCACATACCAACCGGTGGGCTTGACTCTAGGAACCTGAGCGAAGCGCTTCTTACTCTGCCTGAGCTAGCAGTCGAGGATCTATTCCTTGTCGTTGAATCGTCCATGCCTTCGAGGGCGGACAAGGGAGTTTGAGGCGTAGGCGAATTTGCCCCATAATCTCTCGCCATCGTTGAAGTGAGATCAGAGCTCGCCATCACTGTAGTGCGATCGCAGCGGCCCTAGGGATACCCTTCTGGTATTGACTGCAGCTGGTGGTGTTCTGTAGATCTGGAGTTGTTAGACGAGGGACATTGTTGAGATGGGATCCGGGTCTCGGCGGTAGCAGAATTAAAAGCTTAATTTGCGACGCTCAGTCACTTTGTCTCACAGAGTCTCAACTCCAAACAGTGGTTTTGATGGAATAAATGCAGTATTGAAGAGCAATGGACAAAGACGTGTGAATTGTAGAACTTCTCAGAGTCAACAGAAGTGGATCCCTATAACATTTCGCAAATTAGCCTGGACCCTGCATTGAGGCTCAGCCCTGATTGGCTACAGGTCTTCACCAAGGTTTAGCCGTTGTACCATTAAATCTTTTAATAAACTTTAAATATGAATAATTTTATTATATTAAATATATATTTGAACCTTTTGTATAACTATTATATTTTCGACATAATTATATTCATATATACTCTTCTTACTTTATATATTATTTATCCCGTTTAATTCCTTTTCTTCCTTTGTTCTTTAATTTTACTGTACTATACCTTATGTATATTTATTTTATTTAGGTTTGCTTTTCCAAGCTCATTTTTCTATTTTAAATATTTCTAAAATATACTACCTTTATTTGAATTTTTTCAAAATACGGGTTATTTACGAGGACGGGTGCTATCTCAACAATGACCCCGCTGTTGTTGGGAGTAAGGTATTTAGTTCGTATTAGGTTCGATTTCTAATGGCGCTGGTACAATGGTGTTGCGGTGCTTTTTATCTTCTCCCGCTTGACTCGACAAATCAATTGGTCCCGTTTAATAATTCAGCTGCGAGCTTAACAAAGTATTTCTGCTCCACACAAACATGCTGGGGCTACATTGAATCTCCATGACGGCGGTCATGCCTCCACCTTCCGCCCTCACCTCCTTCATCTCCTCCCACTCCCCTCCATCCCCTCACTCCCCTCACCACTACAACCTCGCCCTCCAAATCCTCCACAACCTCCAATATCAGCATTCGTGGACGTCCCTCCGTATCCATACGCACTCGCATCTCACCAATGTGTCGCTCCCACGGCCGCTGATATCGGGAATGCCTCCGAAGAGGATATATGTACATCCCGATCAGCAGCTGGAAGAGCTGAAGGCTGGAGTGAAGGATGACGAGGTCGAGGTAGAGAGGGAGTGGGTGCTGCCGACGCACCTGCAGGAGAAGTGGTCACTGAGGAGGTTTGCGGAGGTTGTTGATGCGGTTGGGGAGGAACCGTCTGAGGATCATGGAGGGCAGATAACCGAAGAGGCGAAGGGAAAGAGGAGGGGTGGGAAGAGAGTACTGTTGGCTACGTTGGGTGATGACAGCACTGTTGTGTACTATATCGTGCATGATGGGATTGTGAAACCTAGACAGAATTGATACCTCATGAAGCAAGAACAGATGAAGAAAGCTCCTGACAGTACATGGTTTTGCTCCGCATGTAAGACATGTTGGGATTTGAAGAAGCTTCGGAAGGCTAAAACTGTGGAAGATATGGTACTGGTGGCGCCGAAAGTTTAGATCTGAAGGCCACACTTCAAAGAAGATACTGCTCTTGTGGTATATCCTGCCGAACGCCAGCTCCTCAAATCGGCTTCAAGTCAGACTTCTTCCACCCTCCACCACCGAATCTCTCCCCAAACCAGGCGCTTTTCCACTGAGAGTCTCGCAGCCTTACACACCATCAACGTCTCCCACCCATAGGAATGCTGCGCCGGTCAGGGTCGCTGCTAGACCCCAGACACTCGACCACCCTGCAGCACCCAAGAGTTCTGCACCTTCCAGAGACCCGTATGTTTGGAGCATGGTGTGCACTCCGCCGACGGTAACCAGTGTGGCAGTCCTCTTGATTAGCGTTCTCGCCCTATGTGAATACCCCCAGAGATTGTACACAATGGTATCTCCAAGTGTAGCAGTCTCTGGATTGAACGCCGCTGTTTCTTTGTCGTATTTGTCAGCTTTCGCAGCTGTAGCCGGCGTGAAGAGGAACACCTTTGCTGCAAAGCCAGTCGGCAGGAACGATAGGATGAGCCATGGAAAGTTCGGGCTGTACGCTGCAGAAATGTCGCGCATGCCGTCAAAATGGGTCACGAGATACACCGGCAGCCAGGTGCCATAGCTGCCAAAGACGACCACGGTGTAAATGCCTGCTGCGAGAAGGCTCGTGTATACCTGAACCCCGGTGTCGTTAATCACTGAACGGTTCGCGGCGACACCTTTGGGAGTCTTGATGCTGTGAATGCTGGAGGAGACTTTGAGACTGTAAAACGGGACGTAGGCTGCCAAGGTATCAATGGCGATGCAGTAAGCTGAGGTCGTCGGCCTGATCAGGTAGAAGGTCGAGAGGAAATAGTGATATGGCACGTGCGTGAGGAAAGTCAGAGCAGCGAAGTCAGTACCTATAGGGCCACAATTAAATTTGGGTCGCCATCATAGAATGCCGGATCCATACTATCGAAGCCTCCGTACCACCCAACAGCCAGCTCAGTAGCCTTCCAACCGAGTAATCCAGCTATTTCCCACCAGTTGTCGCGGCTCCTGCTGACAGTGGCGAGATCGCCGCTGGTGAAGGGCGAGACGAGAGAATAGAGTAGGGAGGAGATTGTCAGGCTGAGGACCAGGAGAAGAGGAAAGCGAACTCGAGGAGGGAGCTTGGAAGTTGCCGCAGGGGATGCAGCTGGTATGGTAGCTGGTGGTTTTGAAGGGCGTCTCCGGCGATCGCTTTGTACTGTCCTTGCCATGCTTCTAGATGCTGGTGAACTTGGGAGAAGGTGAAGGGGTGAAGATTGAAATGAAACAGAAATAACGATCATGCGAAAGGAGATTTCGCGTCTTTTGTTATGACGTGAAGCGAGAAGCTGATTGGCTCAAATGTGCCAAGAGAACGTTTCCGGCCAACTTTCTAAAAGTCACTACCACCCGAGCCACCATGACCAAGCTCACTAATGGCTTCGATGGGTAAATACATTCAATGACTCACTCGATTGACATTGTACGTAGTTGGAGGATTTGACCCCAGGTATGACTTGGCCGATGTGATCTTTACTTCTTGGCTGCATTCCTTTCACTTTGGCAGAATCTAGATCTCTGCGAGATGGCATATGCCATGTCTTCTTGCTTTCGTTCAGACATTCTTAATCGCTACAGCCAACAAAACACAATATTCTATTCATTCCTTGGGCTCAATGGGACACGTTCGCCCACAAAGATCTCCTTCTGTCTGCGTTCAAAGCGTTATGCTGGCGGGATTGGCGGACCCACGCCCGGGCAGATCCAGCTGCAGGGGGAAGATGCCAACGAAAGTACGCAGACTGAGCGAAGGAAGACCCGACTCACCTGGAGCCCAACGCTTTTCAAGATGTTTGAAAGCGCAGCCACAACATTAGCCTCAATCCTCGTACTGGGGCTGGCAGGGTATGGCTATCATCGGGTATGTAAATCCTTGAAGCTAAACGTTTCCATGTCGGACTACTTTTCGACCTGCAAACCATGATTCTCGAGCAAAAGCCTGTTGATGCCTATTCGAGCTGTCCCATCATTTGGGTCTTTGACTTCGAGAGGGGATGCTGACCCCGAAATGTTCGCAGTACTATAAATACCTGGTTCTAAAAAAGATGACGAAAGCATTTGAACCGGGCGATCCAGTTCTCGAACTAGCCGCTCTAGGAAGGGGAGTTCCTAGTACAGTGCTGGAAGAAGACGACCAGCCGTGGATACGAAAGGTCGAGCAACTCAAAATAGACCAGGTATGTATGTTCGGGAGTAACATCTTCGTAATGCGTACCATTGTCTGGCTCGTAAGCCATGTTCCGGGAGCATAAGTTTCCCTCTTGGTCTTGAGGCTCGTGCAACGGCTCGGACCTTTACCTTGAAGGTGTAATACTGACTCCTAAAATTTACTGTAGATTGTCAGTGGTACACACCGCGGACATTATCATCTCATCATTGGCGAGAAAGGCACAGGGAAGTCATCGATGCTACTAGATGCCATGCAGAAAGTGGGTGGGGAGGGCATCTCTATGTTTGAAGCGCATGCAGACCTTGAAATCTTTCGTATACGACTCGGTAAAGCCCTTGACTACGAATTTCACGAGGATTACATTGGCAGCCTTTTTAGCATCAAAGGCCCCCGAGAGGGAAATACAGCTTTGCTCGACATCGAACGAGCTTTCAATAAGCTGGAAAAAGTTGCTTTGAGGCGTCGTGAAATTGTTGGAAAACCTTTAGTGCTCATCATCAACAGTACTCACTTGTTACGGGATGACGAGGATGGTCGTGATCTTCTGGAGCTTATCCAGCAACGTGCCGAGCAGTGGGCCGCCAGCAACCTGGTCACCGTGGTCTTCAACAGCGATGACTACTGGGTTTACGAGCGCCTTAAGCAATACTCCACGCGAATGGATGTCCTTCCTGTGCTTGATTTGCCAAAAGACCAAGCTGTGTCCGCCTTGAGACAGTATCGTGTGAGAAATTTCAAGGAAGAACCCTCGACGCAGGTTCTTGAGGAGATCTTCAACCGAGTTGGTGGGCGGCTGACTTTCCTTAACCGTGTTGCGAAATCGGTGGACATGCTCGAGACTTGTGATCACATTTGTGGAACAGAGAAGACCTGGTTCCTGAACAAGTGTTGGATCTTAGGCGAAGACATGGATGACGATGTAATGGATCAACAAAAATACGCGGCAGCAGCTATGTTGTTGGCCAAAGCTCTTGTCGACCAGGAGAAAGAGATACTCGGCAAAGGGACCAACCATCCAGGTCAGGGCCAACTGCTACCGCAATTACCGCTGCACAAAGCCAGGGAGATCATGACAAGAGCAGATTTCATCCGGAGCTACGACCATATCAACATATTCACCATCGATGCGCAAGCCATGGTCCGAGCTGACTCTGTTCCTATGCAGAGGGCTTTTCGTCAGATCTGCAGCGAGCCTGGATTTGGGGAACATTTGCAAGCTACGCTCGACCGGATCTCTGCTATTGAGAGCTTAGGAAGGACACGAGAGCTTGTAGCCAAGGACTTGATCGCAGGGCAATACAAGATCAGTGGAAGATCAGATCGAGGAGAGGGTATTACTGTGGAGATTCCGCCAGCATGAGAGTCAAAGGAATGATCCCACTTACCGGAAATGACACCCCAAATAATCCCGAAAGAAATAGCCGGAGACTAAGGCACCAGGCAGGCTATTCAACGTAAATGACACTTGCAACGATTCAGACCCCGAAATTGCTGAAGGTTAACGGCAAGAGAAGGAACATCTGCAATCGAAGCTCTTCACAGGGCTCACCGTTCCAAAAAAGTGGCCAATTGTCCAGGTGCGGTTCTTTGCTCGTATACAAAGTAACTCATGCCAGCGACCCAAAATGCCGAGGCCTTCTGACGGTGACGACCATTTCTCACCACTCAGCAACAATGACAAGTTAGACAATCCATAATAAAGATCTTATTTTCGCGAAGGCTGGATTCGTTTCATGGCTGTTGCCAAACCGGTCGTCCCGCCTGGTCGTTTCCAGGAGAAATCTACCTACGACTTTCGAAAACTAAGATGCTTCATTTCCTAACCGAGGTCTCTCGCACAAGATGACACAAGATTGTGGGTCTTTCAAGGGTGTGCTAAGGTCTTCTGGAGGCCCTCCAATTTGTGCGCTTCTCACCATCCGCTACCTGAGCATTCCGATCAATTGATTCTTTCTTGTGAGCAGACATTGTCCGTGTCTCAGAATGGCTGTCTGCCATGGTGCATCCGACCAAAGAGATCATGGAAAGCTGGCCAGCACCCAACTTCGTCGATCCCGTGACAAGAGGCCCCGGGCTCACAGTCGTGAACATTATTTTCATAATACTTGTATTCGTCGTTGTGGGATTGAGATACTACACGCGCCTGCGGATCACAAGAAGCTTTGGTCTCGAAGACTGGGTAATTGGCATTTCTCTGGTAAACAGCCGAGATTTTGATGCCATTTCCCTTTTAACGTGCTCCACTAGGTGCCCACGTTCGCCTTAACATGCGTTGTCCTAGTCGCTGATAACAATTTCGGCTGGAATCGACACTTTGGGATTTACATTCATCAAAAGGCCCCCCTGGATATAAGCTCTGTTTGGCAGCGCAGATACTGTTCTTCTGGGCGGCAACGTTGAACAAAATGTCTCTTCTGGCCTTTTACAAGCGGCTCACAGGCCTGTCACCCCTTTGTGGTATAGATGGTGTATAGTACTGGGTTTGGCTTTCCATACAGCAATGCTTCTCGCTTACTTTATTGTGGCTGTCAGTGCATGCAAGTAAGTCAATCTCGGAAATGTGGCCAGCTGCAAAGCTACTTGTCGAGTTTATTGACACAAGTTTTAGGCCATTATCAGCCTTCTGGATTCCTTGAGCAACGTACTCCCACACTTGCATCAACGAAGGCGTTTATATGCTGTCCTTCAGCATCATTACCCTCTTTTCAGATTTCTTACTCCTTCTGATGCCTATCCCCATTGTCTGGACCCTTCAACTATCTCTGAAACAGCGCATAGCCGTCCTTACGCTTTTCGCGATAGGCTTCATCGTGTGTATAGCGGGCATTGTGCAGGCAGTATATGTGAATGAGGCGCTTGTAAAGAGCTATGATGAGACGTGGGTTGGGTGGCCACTTTGGATTACAAGTGCTATCGAGGTGGATTTGGGGATTGTGCGTACCATTATGTGTTATTCTTTGGGCAAGAGATCGCTAACAGATCTCAGTTGTGTGTCTCGATTTCGGCCACTCGTCCCCTGCTTGCCATCTATCTACCACAACTCCTTGAATCACAGCGTCCATTAACTAGGGCATTGAAAGAAGTCTATGATTCGAATGAGTTGTCAGACGCATCGCCTCATCCGGCGAACCTACACATCCCAGAGAAAGAGATACCAGGGTACTCCTCTAATGTGCACCAACCGACTGCCAGAGATCTTGAGCGTGGGGTAAATACTGGGCACGACGATGAGGATAAAGTCACGTTGGGAATTCATTGAACGAAAGAATGCAAGATTGTTGCTCCCACCTTGAAAGAACCAGCCAACCCAATAGACTATCTGACGGGTCGCTTTTTCATGAGTGATACTCAGCGTGGGTTGATTCGTTATCCTTGCCTAGTTACCATATTCTCAATTTCCATATACAAAAAAGAACAAAGCGACAAAGCTCCAGGAAAGTACGCTGCTCAAATTGCGCCTCCTCATTTGTTCATCGAATTCTAATCCCTTGTCACTTGCTCTTACTTTTCAAAGACCATTGTTTGGATACCGAATTTGTTCAAGACTCATTGTAAGTCCAATTCCATCACCAACATGCCGTCCTGCGAAGTTTAGATGGCAGTGAAGGTCGACGGCCTCAGACGCGAGCTGGCCTCGCGCGATCAACCCAGGGAGGGACTCAAAAAGGATGTTACTCTCCGACCAGACAGTTCCGACCATGTTTACGCTTTGCGTCCTTTGCGGTTGCCTCATCCCACTAGCGCTCTTACGTCCGTGACCAGCACTGATGAAGTCATGCTTGGGAAGATAACGGGTTACAACGTACCAGCCGTCGACGTCAGAAGTAGTGGTCCCAAGCGGTCATCACCATCTTGTATCAACTCGTCTTCCCCATCCAGTCATGATCAACCACGGCGAAAAGGACCGGCGGATTAGAAGCTTGGCCCGGATCTCAACTTAAACTACCCCAACCACTACAAAATGCTCATCGTACCGAAAGACGCCTCCGACAGTACTATCTCGATAGCGTACAAACTGAAAACCAGCAGATGGCAGAATGAGAACGTTGCAAACAACAGTGTAAGTGAAGAGATTCCGGTAGTGGCGGGTTATATCACGCTCAAAGCAATGGCTCGGAAGCAGAAAATTCGCATTCACGATTACAATACCATGTATGCTCAGCCAGGTCTCTATGAGTAAGTCAAGGTTGTCCAGGCACTTTCACTATGCCAGGCTAGAATCCTTCACAGGTACAACGTCCACGAACTGCTAGCATGCGAGTCTCCGCGAATCCTGGTGCAATTTCTGAACCAGCACCTCGCATCTTCTGCTGTTTCCGAGAACCTCGTCGGTCCTTCAGGCATTCTGGACGTAGCAGCCGGCAAGGGTATCGTCGGCGCGGAGCTCCGGAAGCAGCTCACAGGCAAGCCTGGAATCCGAAGTCTCATCGATACCAATCTTCTAGAAATGAGCCTCGTCAGCTGCATTAAGGGATCGACCAAACGTCTACGACGATTTTGTGGCCGCTGATTTGACTCAACCACGGGAATCGGGATGTAGTGGTCGTTTGTGCCGCTTTGGGTCCCGGAGATGGTGACTTGCCGCTCGAGGCCGTCGATAGAGCCATTGCTCTATTGCAGGAGGGTGAATCGCTTGCGTTTACTGTCAATGCGGGGAGTCACAGAGCTGGTAGCTCGCCTCGATGGGAAACCTTCATGGCAAGTGTCAATGAAAGCGGTGGAAGTCACTGGGGGAGGTTTGGAGGAGGTAGCACGGCAGAGGTATAAGCATCGGAAGAATGTGCAAGCATATTGGATTGAGTATACGGCGACCATTTACAAGAATCTGACGCCTGAGACTGCCGGTACTGGAGCACATTGGTAGAGGCTAATAGAGAGGGTGAAGGTTGACGTACCGAAGAGCTTAAGGTAAGGTCATTAACCTTAGCTACCCATACCCATTTCTCGCAGAGTGTCGATATCCACGCCGTAGTAACTAGAGTGTCTGAAGAATTCTAAGGACTCGTGTAGACGTTGACGACCCCAAGATGTGCACAAGTCCAAGGATTTCCAGCCGTAAATTCATGTATGCCGAGACTGCTCTAATTTCCAAATGTGGACCTCATTAAAGTACCCATAGTCAGTCAGCCCTACGCACAGACGCAAGCCGAGTCAACCCTTCCACTCTTCACGTCTCCTCCCCCTCCCTCCAATCATCTGCAACAACTCGAAACAATACATCAACTCTCGTCCCTAAGTCATGAAGATGGACTTCAACATCACACTACCGTCCTCTGCCCCAAATAACACGCTGAGCTCTAGGGTGCCAGTAATGCCACGTATCCCATGCCCTACCGATATTTAGTATTCACCTGCCACACGGCTGTCTCTCGCCACTAAACTTCTCCCAACGACATATCCCGAGAGCTTTCAAACGCCTGCTACGTCTTCGGCACGTGCGATAAGTGTTCCTGTTAGGCATTTGCGGCATCTCTTGAGTCGCTCGGTCTTGAGGCTTCATCAAGATTAGGTTGAGTGTAGATCTCGACAGCGACCACCATCCTTCCTACTAAAGATTCATGCGTACTAGTTGAGGATGTATAACTTGTACGCAATTCTTCATCTTCTTTTCGCGGTGCTATTTTGGACTTTGTTTGTTTTTTTGTTGTGCATTTCGGGTCATACTCTGCAGCGCTTGCGGTCAACTCTCCGTAGCAATCAATCTATTTCTACTTAATTCATATGCAAGAACGAGCAGATCTGCCTCATCACTGCGCAATCTGTGGTCGATGGAGTACAGCTCATTGCGCAAAGATTAATTTTTCATTAAGCGATAACGATCAAGATGGTTCAGAGTGCATACAGTTTGTGGCAAGTACTTGATAGTATTTTGTATGGATGTTATCTTGATTGGTTGTTCTTCCTAGTTATCTATGTACAAGGTCGCGAAGAGAATTAGAAGGGTAGGAGATTGGTCTTGTTGGCAATGGAGATCCATTGAACCCTAGTGCCACGTCATGGCCAAACCCATACTAGGGTACATCGAGACATATACAATGATATATTCAGATAGATGATCGACGATGGAAGAGACGTGGGCTGAGCTGGGCTGGTATGGTGGGAATGGGACTTGAAGGGATGGGGATGGAAGGGATGGGGATGCAAGGCATGGGATTCGATGGAAGGCATAGGATAGAGGCGAGAAAAAGAGAGGAAGGGTAGGCAGAAGATGAAGGAGGAAGATGGAGAGAAGTGAGAAGAGAGAAGAGAGACCAGCACCAAAGAGAGACAAAGGAGATGAATCTTGTTAGCAACCCGAAGGTTGAGCTGCGGGGCCGCGTCAAGGCCAAGATTCTTCCCGCAGTACATCGGAAGATATAACCATACATTCAGATAGATGTTCGCATGGAGAAGAGACACGGGCTTGAGGGATGGGATGGGCGGATGGGATGGGATGGGATGGGATGGGATGGGATGGGATGGGATGGGATGGGATGGGATGGGATGGGATGGGATGGGATGGGGATGGGGATGGGATGGGATGGGATGGGATGGGATGGGATGGGATGGGATGGGATGGGATGGGATGGGATGGGATGGGATGGGATGGGATGGGATGGGATGGGATGGGATGGGATGGGATGGGATGGGATGGGATGGGAGGGATGGAATGGATGGAGGCAGATAGGTAGGGAGGGAGGGGTAAGTAAGATGAGGGAAGGTTGGGATGGTGCTGGGATGGAAGAGGATAGCGTAGGAGAGGTTGGTATGAGAGGGTGGCGTGGGAGAAGGCGGCATGGGATAGGTTGGGATGGTATGGAGAAGAAGGTAGGTGAGGTGAGGTGAGGTGAGGTGAGGTGAGGTGAGGTGAGGTGGGTGAGGTGAGGTGAGGTGAGGTGAGGTGAGGTGAGGTGAGATCAGGCTGGAATAGTATAGGATAGAGCGAAGGGCAGCGTGGTAAGAGGCGGCGAGGGGATGGGCGACAAAGTTGAAAGCCGTGAGTTCGAGGCGACGAAGTCAGAGGCAGCGAGGTCAGAGGCAGCGAGGTCAGAGGCAGCGAGGTCAGAGGCAGCGAGGTCAGAGGCAGCGAGGTCAGTGGCAGGAGTAGAAGGGGAAGGAGAAGAAGAAAGATGAGAAGAGGAAGAAGACAGGAGAAGAGAGTAAGAAGATGGTCTTGGTTAGCAACCCCGCAAGGTTGAGCCCCAGCGCTGCGACAAAGCCCAAGACCGTGCTGAGGTACTAGATCGGAAAATATAGCAAGATAAATTCAGGTATATGGCCGATAAGGAAGAGAGGGAAGGAAGAGAAGAAGACATGGGACGGAAGGGAGGGAAGGGAAGGGAAGGGAGGGAAGGCAAGGGAAGGATGAGAAGGGAGTGAGAGAGAGAGAGAGGGAGAGAGAGAGAGAGAGAGAGAGAGAGAGAGAGAGAGAGAGAGAGAGAGAGAGAGAGAGGAGAGTGAGAAGGAAGAAGAGGTAAGATAAAGGAAAGAAAGGAGAAGAGCTGCGTCAGTTACCCCGAAGGGAATTAACAGGACTCGCCACGAGAAGGCCCAGCTCAGGAGTCCCCCTAAGTGGCAATTATATGGCTCCTAACATCATCCGGCACGCTGGGACTTTGCCCAGAGGGAAGGGGGTAGGGTCGGGGTGAAGGTAGTCTGCGACAGCGTCAGCGAGGTCACTGACCCAAGTGAGTGTGAGGAAGGAATAGGAAATGTTAGGAGGTAAAGGAAGGGAGACTTAGCGAAGTGAAGAGAGGGTGCTTGGGGGGCCTCAACCGGTGAGTCCCCAGTCCTGTGGAAGGTGATGTTGAAAGAAGAAGAAATATTGGGAGAAAACCCAGATACTTATACCTGAGGGGCCTCCGTTAGCGCAATCACCAGATCACCCAGATCAACTCTCTGGGCATTGCCAAGGACCAAAATCCCAAAAGCCTGCCGAAATGCTGTCTCGATTTATTGCATCACGACCACAGCATCGAAAAATTCCATCAGAACGGGGAAAGATGGAGCAAAAATCGTCTGATTTTTGGACCAAGTTTCAGAGGCTGAAAGGGTGGATTGCTTTCGCTGAAACAAATGCTTCAAACGTTCTAGGTGGCAACTCTAGGAAAAAAACAGGTAAGCGAACGCTTTTCGTCCTTTCTCTTCTTCAATTTATTGCACCATCGCCAGATTTTTGTTTGGACTCCAGAAAACGGGAGGAGAGAGAGCAAGAATAGTCCCAAGTTTTGGCCGAAGCATCCGATCAGAGAAGGTGCGGTGCTCTTGCTGTAAATTATATTGCAATATTCTCCCTATTCTTGGCCATGATTTAAAGGCTTAGCGAGCTTGTTAGGTGACTTATTCTTTTCCTGCGGGGCACACTAGTGATATCTCACCTACGAACTGGAGAGCAGCCGAATCAGGTAGGCAATGTGTGTGGATATTGAGGCCTGCACGCAGAGGGACGACGCGCAGGAGCGAAGGCAGCTTCTACGTATCTGCAGGTTTCCAGGGGAGGGAAACAGTCGGAGGGTGATACCGATGCCTCGATGATGATCTCGAAATAATCTCCCTAGACGCTGAAGTTGCAGGAACGTGTTCGTGGAAAGAGCTTAGGAAGTGGCGAGGCATACTGGCAGCGGACCTGCGACCGTGACACCGAACCCTGACCTCCCCTGCGCTCCTCAGACTCTTGCTTCCATTTACAAAGATGGGATACTGGTAAATGGAAGCACTACAATCATGGACGAACGGGGATGCAACCAATTTGGTGGAATTCTGTATCTCTGCTACAACGGGTTGGTGAAGAAGAACGAGCGAGCACTGTTCCCCTACATAGCTACACAAAAGTCAATAGAAGGTAGTCTACTCAAGCTTTCTGCTCCCATCGGCTCAACGTAAATGGCAAGATACGGCGACGCCGTTGACAATGTGCTCAGCGGCTTTGACAGAAAGCTTGTAGGATGGTGTGGCGAAAAAAGGGGCAGTGGTGTCTACTACATATGGTCTGTTTGCCAGATGTGTAGGTAGCACGAAGAGCAGTTCTTGTCTAAAGCATTGTTGATACACAGCTATCAGTGATCGTAATACACGGCACCATCTGCATCGATGCGGCAGGCGCGATGCGTGAAGGAATCCGCCAGGCTCTCCACCAAGATCCTTCGCTCACGATTCCTCAATGTCTTTGACCTTTCGAAGTTCGATCACTGACTGTGCTCTCCAAGACTACCTACCAATCAGCAACGCTCCCAGCAAGAACGCCTGAGCGCGCAGCGACTCATATGCAAGGGCTGGTCCTCTCGTTTTCACGGGCTCGACGGGGCACCAGAAGAGAGTTCCAAGAAGGAAGGGTATGTGTCACCTGTACGCTACGCCTTTCTTGAGCGCTAAAGATGTATAAGGGCTGCCTGCTTAGGGGCATGTTCCCGTCTCCTGCCCAAAATTTCGCTCAAGAGGTACAAAAACAATGGACGAAAAGCTGGGCAATTTTGAGCGTAACACATACCCGGAGGCCTTCTCCCATAAGCTCGACGCGGTTGACGGATGCCGAGTCTGCAAATATCAGTTTAAGCGGAGAAGGACCCCCTGTTGGCTCTGATGGTGGCCCTGGGTACAGAATGCGATAGTATGATGAGAGGCTTGGGGCCAGTGACAGAGGGGACACCAGGGGTATCTGGCCGTTTGAAATTGCGTTCGAAATTGCGACATTGCTGAACGCTGAAGCTGCTGAGCCAGTCCAAACTCGGGTACGAGGCCCTTCGTTTCATAAATCCGCTGCTCAATACATACATACATACATGCATGCATGCATGCATGGGTCAAAGAGACGGGATACAACGCCTTCAGAAGCCTGCATATCACGGCTGGTCACCAAAGACATACTTCCTGCAAGCGGCTCTCAGCACCCCAACCTGCTGCTGTGTCCTCACAAACACCTCCCTATACTGTTCCAATGTCTCCTGAACAAAGTCATGCCGACTCTTCGTCCCAGCGCAAATTTCTTTCATCTTGATCTCCATCTCCTTACGCAGGAACGGCTTGCCCAGACTCGTCTCCAATCCTATACCATCATACCCTTCGATCAGAGCAACACCAAGAGTAGTTGGGATGAACTGCTGCACAGAGCCTCCACCTCCTCCGTTGCCTGCGTTACTACCACCTTGAGCGCCCCCTCTACCACCTCGGCCACCGCGACCTCCTCTGCCGTTAGTGCTGTTGGCTTGGGCAGTGCCGCCTGCTCGGGCTTGGGTCATGACATACTCTCGATCCTTGATTTTCGCGATATGCTCGGCCATTGTTGCATCAGTGCCTATACCATTGGCGTCCATTAGGCTGATAAGCTCAGGCTCGGTCAAATACCCTGGTGCAGTGGTCTCGCCTTCTGTTATGTTTGCTTCTGTTGGCTCGAAGGTCTCGTGCATGTTGAACCTGGGTAAAGGCTGGCTGCTTGTCCACTTCTCATATGGATAGACGTCCAAGTAGTTGCGCTCCAACACGATCAACCCATTGGTGAAGAACGTCTCATCACCATACTCGATCTCGACAATTGTCGACTCCCCTTTCGCATCTTCCGAGCAGCAAGCGAGGAACCTTCGGACCACAAATTCGTACACTCGGCGATCGTCACCCGAGAGAGCAGCAAGGGAAACATAGTTAACTGGATGGATAGGCGGATGGGCCTGGTCATTGTTACGGCCGCTGCGTGGCCACTTGAAACCTCCAGCCAGGAGTCCTTGCGCGTAGGGGCCCCATGCATTGTCCTGGACTTGCTTCTCAATAAGAATCCTTAGATCAATGCCTTTGTCGAATGAATCGGTTTCGGTACGTGGGTAACTGATCCAGCCTTTGTTATACAGGTCCTCGGCGATCTATCGAAGATATCAGTGAAATCGTAGAGCGCGGAGGACGGAGAAGAGTACCTTCATCACCCTCTGACTGTCCATACGAAGGTACATGCTTCCAAGTTTCTGCAGCTCCACCGTCGTCAGTGGCAAAGGTCTCCATTTACTGGTTGGCTTCTTCTGTAATTTAGTGACCTTTGCCATTCGTGCTGTGAGACACCTTTCGAAAAGGATCACAACAGATACCCGGTCGAATAAACGATGTCGTCGCCATGAAAATGTCACTTCCATATCGTCACGAAGATGCATGACTTTGATGCTCCAGAATTTTTCGGGCACGAAATTTTTGACTCTGAAATACCTGTCTACGACGAAGCCCAGTGTAGGAAATTGGCAGGATCCTACCCGATGTTAGAGATGATTTTCCACGAAATAGGATCAGGCCTGAAGGCGCACCATAGCTGATGACTCTTTCACTGAGATCTCCACCCATCACCTGCAAAGTCAGCGTGTTAAACCGCGTAAAAGCGTACCCGATGCGTAGATCCAACTCTATTCGTGCTGCGACGGCATTGACTTGTCGCTCGTCCAGGTTGATCGCATTTTGAGCAGCTCTAACCACATGTCTACAACGTTGAGGATCAAATTAGCCAAAAGAGACCGACTCGATAGTGATTACGCATATTTTGACATACGCTCTCTCGGTGTTATTGAACTGCGCTCTTTTTACTTCAAGCGACCTGTTGCCCTGAAAAGCCGCTCGTCGCACCTCTGAACCGATGTGCTCGCCCTCTCGATCGCAGTCAGTCCAAACGAAAAGAGCTCTAGAGTATCGGGCTTGTTGCGCGATATTATCTGCAATAGCTTTCTTGTCCTAAACTCGTTTGAGATTGTGATGTCAGGCAGACCAGCGGAAACCATACCTGGTTTACCACATCCTCAACAGGAGCGTCGAACAAAGACCACGGGGGCGGCGAATGCCATTGATTGTACTGAGCTGGGAATTTGAGCTCAGTGAGATGCCCGAGGACGCTTGTCATTGTCACGGAGCAGTTGCCCCATGGTGGACCAAAGTTGAAATCGAAGTCGTAATTCTTTACGTATGGATTGCCGGTAATGCTTCGCTTCAAATTTGTGAGCTACAAACCACTACAAACAATAAAAAATCCACCTACCGTGGTCACTTGTCCTCCGCTCAGATGCTGAGCTACAGATTTGGCAATGGCTGGCTTCTCAGCAACGCAGAGGATCTTGCGTGCCATGCCGTCTTCTCATTCGAACTCTTGCATAACACATAGACTGAGTCACTCCCATGTTTCGAATTTTGTTCCTCGCTTCTTGAAGCAATACAGATTGGGGGATACGAGTACGTGGAAGGAACGATTGAGCTTTCCTTGAAGCGCACAGAATGACGCCTTCGGCTCGTGCCGAAAGAAATGGACCCTGCAGCAAGGATCGACAAAGAGTTTGTGACTTTTGATGACGGCAACATTTGACTTCCTGTCGTTGTTTACTCTATATACCTTTCGCATTCTGTCGTCAACGCAGCGCCATGGCTTTACCGGTGATCAGATCCATTGCTGAATGTACTGACTACAGCAAGACGGTCCTGCCTTATATTGCCCAGCTGTACGACCTACCGCAGCAAATATTCGAGAACATCACAAATCTTCAAGCTCTCAAAGTCCTCTATGTCTCCACCAACCCGTTAATATCCGCCTTCGCCTTCTCATTATTCCTCTTTCCCATATTCCTGGTCGTCTCGGAAATCAACAGGAACTACTCGCAAGTTGATCGGTGTTGGAGCGTCTTACCTACACTATATAATGCCCACTTCACAGCCTATGCACATGCTACAGGCTTGTCAACTCGACGGCTGGATATGCTGCTGCTTTTTAGTACCTTCTGGAGCGTGAGTCTCCACCTGCAATCGTAACAGGCTTTTACTGACTGGATTAGGCGCGATTGACATACAATTACTGGCGCAAAGGAGGCTACAGCATTGGCTCCGAAGATTATCGATGGGATGTCCTGAAGGAATATATCAGCCCGCCGTTGTTCTTCATCTTCAACGTCGTCTTCATCTCCTTGGCTCAAAGTGTGAGGAAAATTTGTACATTTCTTCAGGAACCTCGCTGAACGACAGCACAGATCCTCCTTTTCCTTGTGGCGACACCAACCTACGTCCTTTTACTCTCGACGAAAAGCACACCTGCTTGGACAACTGCAGATGTGGTGTTCTCGAGAGCATGGGGATTCCTCGTATTTTTGGCATTCTACGCCGATGGGCAGCAATGGAGTGAGTCATGCTACCTCTCAGTCGGTTTCTGGACCATCACATCACTAACGGCAAGGATTTTAGCCTACCATTCGGCGAAGAAGGAGTACCAAGAGACAGCCAAAGTCCCCAAATGCTTCGACCAAGAAACCCTTGACCGCGGCTTCAATACCACCGGATTGTGGGCATATAGCCGTCACCCCAACTTCGCAGCAGAGCAGTCTGTCTGGGTTCTGCTCTACGGATGGTCTTGCTGGGTCACGCAGACATACTACAACTGGTCAATTATTGGAGCAGTGGCATACCTAATTCTGTTTCAGGCATCGACGTGGTTCACGGAGCTCATATCGGCGAGGAAGTACCCAGAGTACAAGGAGTATCAAAAGAGGGTTGGGAAATTCCTACCGAAGCTGCCCGGAGGTCCGCCGGGAAATTTCAGCGATCAGCGGGTCTCGAAGCAAGTCGTGAAATGATGAAGAGAAAACGAATGGAGAATCCGAACAATGGACCAATTGACCTGGAGATTTTGCGACATAGGGATGACCAATTCATTGAAAGCATTGAACGAGGATAGCGAAGCATCACGAATACCACTCTATGGCAAAAATGGGACTAATTTGGCTTGAAATTTTGGTCCAAAGATTAGTCTGCAAGGCAGCATTGATTCGTTGTTGCGCCTGTCTATATACTACAAACTCATTATGTAGCATTACTCCCACATTCCCTGCCGTTGCAGATGAAAGAGGTATCTTGGCGTGAACGAATAACCGAGGTCACAGAACGCACTAACGCGATTGTATAAGCAGAACCCCGAACTAACTCGAAGGGGTTAAGCGATCTTGGCATGTCCGAGGATTGAGGCAAAAGGCTCGTCACTGAGTATGGAAAGCCCCATCACTGTGGACCCGCCACCTGATCTTCGAATCAGTCTTTACTTCATTCACATTGCTAGAAGGACCAGGAACAACCCTCAATTGCCGTAGTAGGCTCTACTCTGACGGTCTACAAGCATACAGCTCCTTCCCTGCTCTCTTCCATCCTATCATGACCACGCTCTTCCGGCGATCGAGCAGCCTCGCCAGATTAGCGACGACGCATATCGACACGAATGTCTGCCCACTGTCCCGCTCTCTCCGCAGATCCATCGCACGAACAGCGTACCACCCGGCGTCGACGATACGCACATACTCCACTGTCAAGCCTGGGGATCCGAAAGACGGCAAAAATCTGAACGCCAATACAGGTGGAAAGCAGGTGACGAGAGATGGGAGCAGGCCAGGAAAGCCCGCACGGGGCTTCGAGAGCCTCTACAGCGATGCAGGTCCTTTGTCTCATCGAGGCGCCTCAGATGCCAAACAACAGACAGACTCTCCTCAAATGTCTATGCTCACCAAGGAGGAACAAGAGGCGTTGGACAGCCTGCTGAGTACAATCAGGAAGGGGCTGCCTGCTTCAGACGCGAACGCGGTTGAAAAGTCTTTTGAGGAGTTCAAACGCAAAGGCATACCCTCTGAGGTTCGAGAGGTCATGGAAAATCTGAAAAATCGGCCTCTGGACATTGCAAGTGCTGCGAAGCTAGTTTCTTGGACTGGAAGATTGGCACGTGAACAAGCTTCAAAACGCATTGCAGAGGAGAGTAAAGGCTTCGTCGGCCCAAAGTCAGGAGAGGAAAAGCAGGGAAAGAAGGAAAAGTCCAAGGGAGATGATAAGAAGAAGCCTGGGGAGATGAATTTCAAAGAATTCACAGCGAAACTGGACACAGGAACATTCTTGGCCACTGCTTTCGTAGCCTACCTGCTATACCGTACCGTCATGCCAAGCGAGAACTCGAAGGATATAACGTTCCAAGAATTCAAGACCACATTCTTCGACAAGGGCCTGGTGGACAAGCTTACAGTGATCAATCGCCACAGAGTCCGCGTTGACCTCCACCGGGAGGCTACTGGTAGAATGTACCCCGAAAGCCCAGCACAGCACGGCAATTTCCGTTATTACTTCAGCATTGGATCTGTGGAGGCATTCGAGAGACAATTGGAGGATGTGCAGAACTCGCTAGGCATCCCCAGCTCGGAGCGCATACCAGTATCCTATGTGAATGAGACAGGTTGGATCAACGTCTTGATGCCTCTTGCCCCAACGATCTTGTTTGTCCTCTCAATCTACTGGTTTTCGAGGCGTGCTGGTGGGGGCGGGGCTAGTGGTTCAAGTGGGATATTTGGGATCGGTAAAAGCAAAGCTAAGAAGTTCAACCATGAAACGGAGGTCCAGGTCCGCTTCAAGGACGTAGCTGGTATGGACGAGGCCAAACAAGAGATCATGGAATTTGTCAGCTTCTTGAAAACGCCGGACCAATACCAAAGGTTAGGAGCTAAGATCCCTCGAGGTGCGCTTCTGTCTGGTCCGCCAGGTACCGGTAAGACACTATTGGCGAAGGCTACGGCGGGAGAATCACAAGTACCTTTCTTCAGCATAAGCGGTTCCGAATTCGTGGAGATCTTCGTTGGTGTTGGAGCCTCGCGTGTCAGGGATCTCTTCCAGAACGCTCGCAAAAACGCGCCTTGCATTATCTTCATTGACGAGATTGACGCCGTGGGTAAAGCGAGAGGCAAGGGTGGATTTTCAGGAGGCAACGACGAAAGAGAGGGGACATTGAACCAAATTCTGACGGAAATGGACGGCTTCAACACTACCGAACAGGTCGTCGTGCTGGCAGGTACCAACAGACCAGACGTTTTGGACCAGGCTCTTCTACGTCCTGGTCGCTTTGACAGACATATCGCCATCGACCGCCCAACTACGGAAGGTCGAAAGCAAGTATTCCTGGTGCATCTTGGAAAGATAGTGACGAGCGAGGACATGGATCACTTGACTGGCAGGCTAGCAGCACTCACTCCAGGCTTTTCTGGCGCCGACATTGCCAATTGCGTCAACGAAGCCGCTCTCATCGGTAAGCCTTTTGCCTTTTTCCTTTCACAGGAGATTCCGGGCTAATCCTGGCTTCTTTAGCTGCCCGCACAAGCGCCGACAAGGTAACAATGACCCACTTCGAGCAAGCCATCGAGCGCGTCATTGGTGGTCTTGAAAAGAAATCCCTAGTTCTGAATCCTGAGGAGAAACGCACAGTCGCCTACCACGAGGCCGGCCACGCTATCTGCGGCTGGTTCTTCAAATACGCCGATCCTCTCCTCAAAGTCTCCATCATTCCCCGCGGCCGAGGTACTCTCGGCTACGCGCAGTATCTCCCCCAGGGAGACGCCTACTTGATGAATGTCAACCAGCTCATGGACCGTATGGCTATGACACTCGCTGGCCGTGTCAGTGAAGAGTTGCATTTCGACACCGTAACCTCGGGAGCAAGTGACGATTTTAACAAAGTCACACGAATGGCAACGGCTATGGTGACGAAATGGGGTATGTCCTCTAAGATTGGCTACCTCTTCTACGAGGACGATCAGCAGCAGCAGTTGCATAAGCCTTTCTCCGAAGCCACTGCCCAAAACATCGACAGCGAAGTCCGGCGTATTATCGACGATGCGTACAAGCAGTGCCGAGATCTGCTCACCGAGAAAAAGAAGGAAATTGGTCTGGTTGCAGAGGAGTTGCTTAGCAAGGAGGTGATTGGGCGGGATGATCTGGTAAGAATACTGGGGAAGAGACCGTTTGATGAGAACAAGGAGTTCTCCAAATACTTTGATGGGACTGGAGGCAAGAGCGCGCCGCCGCCGCCACCGCAAGAGCTGATTGATCCTCCGCCTGTGGGGGGCGGGCCGAATGTACCTACCCCCGGGGTGGCCATTCAGAGGATATGGGACAGGAGGGGAGATTTGTCTTCTTGAATCATTTCTGCTTTAACTTCCTGATCACAGCTAGGAGTTTGATGGTGTGTTTTGTTCATAGCTGGGAGCACATAGGTAGATCTGGGAAAATCATCACTCGTCTACTCTACAGTGCTTGTTTTCTAAGGGCTTGGATCTTTGCTCTGTCGTCTATACACCAACCTGATCATGTAGTTCACATTCCAGTATTAGCACTGGTAAGAACAGGCCAGAATTCTCTCCCGGCCCAGAAGACTTCCGCAAGCGTGGCCAGATCCTTGACCCAACGAAGCACCACCACGTCCAATCGGGTACACATTCACATGCTCAACCACCAGCACAACGCTCCCGCACTCATTGCGTCCAGAAACCCCGGTCTTTCACCAGCGGGCCACAGGATGTCCTTCCAATCCCATCGTTCCGAGCTCGGTGCTGCTTGCGGTTTGGATCCGATTGCCGGATTTTTGAGCCAGTTGATGGAAGGAAGGCATTGTTGCCACCGATTCCCGACGTTTCGGTATCAACCGCAGTTGCAAGGGAGACGTCTCGTTCACCGACCAGAAAGAGCAAGGGAGTTTTGGTCCTTTTGCCGAAAGCTTTCCTCAGAGAACCACTTCTTTACGGCAGTCGGGAGCACAGCGTACCCAGGTCTGAAGCGGGCCTTCCCTACCTTTCTAAAACCTTTCGGTGCATCACTCGTTGAATCGCTGACGATGAGACAGATTGACCGTCGTGAATGAAATCTTTCGTCGCTCCGGTTCGATCACATCCAACAGCCTCCGGGTCTTCCCCGACCGTTCCGAACCCCTTTTTGACAAAGAGGTATATATCCCCAAAGAATATATATATATGGATGGTATCAATACCGACCGGTTTAACGATGTGCATGAGTACTCCCTGCATTCTCCGTCTTTCGCGACGCCGACGCGACGCCATTTCCCGAGTACTTTCCGGCTCCCACGCTGCTGCACAGAAACAGGTCGAGTGGCCTTTTCGATAGACCTCGCCTTTTATGCTGCGTTGCTGCTCGGTTCTTGATAGCATCCTTTTCACCCGCGCGCGGCCAGACCCGTTATATATCATGAGGTGGTCAGTAGATTCATCGACTGTATCTTTGGGAAACGTACGACGGAAATTCTTCCCAGAATGCAGCTCCTGCGGGAACATTCAACACTCGCATGGACGCCATCATATCGCTTGAAAAGACGTCCAGTGGCTGTAATATCCTCTTGGCTGCCTCTGCTCTTTCGGATTGGCCAAGTGCCAGCAATTCCCGGAACACCGGATCCGTGACCTCGAAGACCGGTTCAATGATCTCCGAGATACCCTCTTCACCGATATACAAGCTTATGAATTCGTCCACCATCACACCGTGATTGCCACATAGTAATTTGACGCATGGAACAAGGTAGGGTGTTTTTCGCGCCGCGTGGCCAGCTTCGGGCTCCGCATTAGGCGATCCTGCAGCCATTTTGCGCTTTCTGACGGCTTTCTTGCCTGGGAAAGGAACGTGCTCATTCGCTCGTTCTTCTAACGCTGAATCTTTCATCTCCCGCTTTTCCGCTGTATTCGGCCAAGCCATCCGTCCAATGTTTTCTCTCTCTTCTTTCAAGCAGAGCCGAAAGGCTTCGTCAGGTGTGGTATTGTGGCCTTTCTCCAAGATGTAAGGTTCCTGATTCGCACCCTCTATGTTTATAATGCACGCCCATACTGATGTGGATTATGTCGATTCTGCGAATGTCTCGGCTTTCTCGGCCCGTGCACTTCTTTCTTCCCAGACATCTTGCCATCGTCTGAGCTACCCTGAGAGCCAGCGCCGTCTCTGCGCTCCGGGCGGAGCCAATGGCGCTCTCAATATCGCTGCGATCGGAGTCACGCCCACGTCAGCTGCCTTTTCGAGCGACGCGAACACGGTCATCGTTTCATTCACGGCCATCTGAATCAGCAAGTCTAAGACGGATGATAACGAATCCGAGCCTCAAATCTTCGCGCAGCAGTTGTCATCTCAAAATATCTCTCACATCGCTCCAGTAGGATCACGGGTCTTCGTGACATGGCTGCTTGATCGTAGGAGGACTCATTTCCTGCTCGGCAACATATCCGTTCAGATGATCCTCTAGAGCGGTAGACGATCTCATCTTAATCTAGCTATCCTATTCAAACGTGATGCCCTTCTCAGATAGATGGGGGTGGGCCCGTTGGCTTCAGCGATGTATCCTCCGACAGTACCTTGGCGACTTCCATCCACAGCGGCATGGAGGACTCACGGATAAGTTGTCAGGCCAAAAGGATCCACAGCGGCCATTGTCCACGAGACCCCGATCTGGGTACGAGTGCCCGTGGAGTAAGTAAGGAAGGCGACCGGCCAAGCAAATGTTCTCTCGGCGGGTATGGTTCAGCGCTTGCATAAGCCGGAATTTGTTCCCTCAAGTGACCTCCATGTCGTGTTCGTTGCTGGTCTGGTCGTGGTACCTCGATGTCCAACTTAATCGTCCATTTCCGATCCTCTCAATCTAAACCTATTATCAGCTTGAGCTCCAACCTCCACCGCTCTGTCGAATACAGGAATGTGCTCGATCGTCTCGAAAACAATTTTCCTCCTTACAAAAGAGACCGTCGTTATAGTGTCACCCTTGAATGACAATGGCAAGCGGCTTCCACACTCACACTCGTAATAAACCTGAAACTCCGCCTCCGTGCGAGTGAGATCGACGCGCCCGGGGCGCATACCCCCGTGCACTTTTTCCATCTCGGTCGACCATTTTTGAAGACAGCGGGAGTGGATGCGTCGGAAGCAGCAAGGCATTATCCACACATAGTCGCTACCAGAAATACGCAGGTAGACACCACAAACGCACACCCCCTCGTCCATGTACCTGCTGCCCATACCGGCCATTCCCAGCTGCAATCAATGAGTCAGTCGACTATCAGGAGAACCACATGGATAGCAGGAAAGATTTCCTCGCTCTTTAGCAAGATAGGCTGCGTCTAGCTCCATGGGCCCGATGTCCAATTCGGTCTGAAATATGGGTGAGCGGAGCCCTCGGCCTGTGCCCCGATACCGCCAGCTAGCTGGAACTTGTCCTGCCATCGGCTCCCCGACAGTTTATGACTGACAGCTCGGCGCATGTTGCAGCAGCCATCGTACTGCTCCAGACGGTCTTCGCCCATATGGGTACGAGGGCCGAGCTTTGGAAGCTACACAGTACTCAGTCAGGATTCCCAGAAACACCATCCCCGTGGAGATTGTACCAACGCCCCATGTCATAGTGGGTGAGTCAACCACTCCTTGCTGTATATCTGTGGTGCGCCGAACGTCTCAGCACCAACGAACGAACGAGAAGGCAGTGTCTGCGCTTTCCCAGGCTGTATGAAGAGTCTCTCATCGTTCAGGTCGAGGGGATATATAGTGCGAGCGTTCAATACCTCAGTCTCGACGGCCGCCGCTGGCGTCCGATGCGATGTTAGATACCTCGGGTGTATGAGCGTTAAGGGTCAGGACCTCATCGGCTCTCTCACAAGCACAGGTGAAGAACCGGTAAATCCCTTGGACAGTTGCGTCCGGCAGATTCACCCCACAGAAGCTACATATCCGCGTACATAATCTCCAGCTTGTGGAGCGACGCCTCGATGCGGATATGGATGAGATCGAGCATAGCATTTCCACCTGGCACATAACCCAAAAAGCGGAACCCTATGGCGGGGAGCATGAACCCTCGCATGGCGATCAGATTCATGTCATAGCCGACAAATGGACCGTAAGATTTCTATCTGCTCTTGTCAAGATGCAGCAGCCGAGGGTGAAATACTGAAAAGACGCCTTTTCATTTCTGACGGGAGGTTGTACTGTACGGAGTGGGGTGCTGCACTCGACCGTCACAGCCACAGACCCCATAGTCAAGTTCTGGGCAGCGGTGTCGTACGCGCCAGCCTGCTCGTTGAACGCCACACCCTGGCCCGAAAAGGTATTGCCTCGCCGGTGAGTTTCTCCCTCGTCAAGATGCTCTCCGATTCCTCCTGGTAGCTTCGACACCCCCCCTTTTTCCCATCTGCAGCTCTCGCCGTTGACAGGAAGGTCGTTTGTCTTTGCCCGAGCTGGCCGTGAGCGTGAACGGGGACCGGAAAATTTTCGGCGCGGTGGCTCCAGGGAAGGCGCTGCGGCTCCTCTCCGGCCCAAGGAGGGTCGAAGGCCTGATGGGCAACAGCCTCGGGGAGGTCGGCTTTCACTTCGCCGAGGGACTCCTGGTGGAGGTCCGCCGCCTTCTTCGCATCCACGTTCCCAGGCTCGTAGTCCAAACGAAACAGCGTCCTCCCACTACGATCAATCAACACGAGCCTTTCTCTTGAAGTCGACCTTGTCACTCTAGCCAATTCGTCCAGAGCGTCGGTGGCCTTGGATGGTTTAGCCTCAGGCATCCTTCCACTTTTGACAGTGTGAGGGGCCTTAGGCGTCCGCCGCTTCCTTTTTCGCTTTGGGTTTTCGGCGTCTCCTCCGGTTGGGCCTCGACTCGAGGTAACGATGGGGAGATATCTTCAGCGAGGACCCCGCGCCCCTCGTTCAGACCCGCAACATTCAACTCCCGGTATCGCAACCTCTTTCCTTCCCATTACCCCCCCGAAGCGACCCTCACGCCATCGAGCCAACGTCGCCTCGCAGGTCCGTCTTGCCCTCGCTTGAGACATCAATGAGCTCGATGGGGGTATCTACGGTGGGCGGTGTGTCCGTCGCCCGTAACCAGGACCGAATCCCTGCTTCCGGCCGTCGAGCGCCGCCTTGCAAGATCCATCGGTGGCGGGGATGGATGGAGCTGTGGAGGCTGAAGCGAAAGGGACCGGGGGATGTGGACTTTGCTGTCTTTTTTCATATAGGGACCATGGGCGGGGAGGGGCTGGTACTGGTGACCGAATCCCTGCTTCCGGCCGTCGACCGCCGCCTTGCACTGAGGAAAAACTACTGGCTTGCGGGCCCTTCTCTCAACGACGCGTTCTCGAAGATGTATCAGGTAGACAAGTCTGCTGCCGAAGGTATCGTATCTGAAATACACATATTGAATTAGGGTATAGGAAATCGATGCCACTGATCGGAGACAAGGAGAGTAGAGGGTACATGGTGTTGGTGGCTTTGGGTTGTACATGAGTCGGAAAGGGAAAGAAGTTTTGGAGATTTGGGGGGTTTAAATGGTAGAGGATGCGGTATGGTGAATGTTTCTGAAGGATGTGAATTGGTGGAAATGAGTGAGAAATAGAGAATCATAAATTTGTGAAAGGCAGAACGGAAGGAATGGAAAAAATCAACGTGAGTGGTGAATACTTCTGAGGGGTGTAGACTTCAGTAGCGAGTGGGGAAAAGCAAAGAATAAGTGCAAGACTCGAAAGTAACCAAATTGTGAGTAAGAACTAGTCTACCAGAAAGTCTTCACATGAGTGAGGCAAGAACTTATGTAAATTTGACATGTATTGCTATCATTTGGACAGAATGTATACCCAACACAAGCCCTGAAAACGAAGATACGAGGGGGTGTCTGCTCGACGCTGAAAACCAATCTCCACTTTAACCTCGTGGACTTTACAAGAAGGTCCACTCTTCGGTGCTGGAGGTTGGTCTGCGGAGACAGGATGCACCATGCTTGGGGCGTATAATGCATTGTTTCATGGTAATATCCAAAGACAAAGAGGACAAACGGGAGTGTCGTGAAAACTCTTGTCTTGAGTTATTTTGTAGTCACGGATTTTCTGGGAAGGTCAAGACTTTCTTGGTTTGCGTGGCCGTTTTGGGTCAGGCACGGGGAAGGCGTTCGTGAGTTACACCCTCCATTGCCCCGAAAATCCCATCGTCCTCTTCATCACTTCGCCCGTGAGAGATGGAGTGGTCATCGTAATCGTAGTCCTCGTGAACGTGGACAATGTGGCTGTTCCCCTTCTTCATATCTTGTTCATTGGAGAGCGATTGATAGGATGGGGCTGACAAGGCTAATTCGGGGAGTTGTCCCAAATTGCCCGATAGCCTGTTGACGTTATATTCGCGGTACTTAGCGGGCACAGGGGGCACCGGCGGGACATCATCAGGAAATGGGACAAAGCCATTCCTTGAGGTACCAAAGCTGCACAAGGATTCAACAGCAGCCACCAAGCCCGCCTCTTCCTCATCTACCTCTGCAGATGCAACGCCAGATGAAGATGGTCTTCGTTGCTGGTGGTATTGGCTTAAATTGCTACCAGCGGGCAGCGAGAATGACGGAGCAGATTGGTAAGACCTCGAGAATGATGAGCTGTTGCCGCTATGTCGTTTGCTTCGACTGCTGTCTGCATCCTCTACCATGGCGTAATGCTCGTTCATGGGAGGAGGCGTGGTCTCAGCTGAGCTAATATAGTATTCTTCTTCTCTTACGTCCGAGGATCCCGATGCGGCAGGAGAAGCAGATGAGTGGTCGCTCTCTGATGGCTTCGTCGTGTCTTCGGCTGCTGTTGTCTCTTGGTTCATTCCAACCAGTACCGAGGCAGCTTGAAGCAATTGGACTTGCTGATGCTTGGATATAAGAAGCTTTGATGTTAATATCCACTCAGGAGTGTGCTCCCACCTGCAAACAGCAAATGTCAACAAAAGAGCTCTTGGACGTCGGAGCGGACCGGATACCAAAGAGTATTCACACTCGGAGAGACCTGGACACAAAGGGAAGAACGGTAAAAGCAAACAGCTGGATGACGGGAAGACCAGGAAATACTGACAGGTGCTTCGTCAAACAGCTGCTATGCTTGTAACCCTTTCCACATTTCTCGCATCTAAGTTCACCACTTGATCTTTTACCCTCGCCCTTTGTGAGGTATGAGCCTTCGCTTGCACGCCTGGCTCTTGCTTTCGATCCGGTGCTCACATTCTCACTTGGTAGAAAGTCATCCTCGATAACGGATCCTTCGTCGTCCATTGCTTCTTCATTGGCATTCTCGTTGTTGCTTGCGAGCCCACCCAGAGGATATCTGTCACCGCTAGAACCACCATATCTGCTAGACTCGACGCCTCGGCTACTTGCAGCGGTCTTCAAGTTCAAGCTTCCGCGTTTCGAGGGAGCGGAACCCTTGTCGTCCATATCATTGAGTGCAGCTGCAATGACCGCGACGTTGTTGAATGTACTTGCATTCATGCTCTTGCGTCTGGTAATTCGGTGGGACGGATTGACAGCCCCGAGAGAGACCGAGTGAGAGTGGTATCTCGATGTAGCATGACGAATTGGCGTATTGGAGGAGGGCGTAGAGGTCACCGAGAGTCTGTGGGAGCTCTGAGGGCGGTTGACCTGCGGTTCCTGCTCGAATAATCATTAGTCGGAGGGCTGTTTGTCTTTGAGGTGAAGGGGGGAATACCTTGTAGCTGGCCATTGTGGAGTATATTGGCTCTCTTGGTCGATGGCTCTGATCAACAAGCCAGACCTAGAGAGCCACAGATGTAGAAGTTGACCGGATTTAGGTAATAGGCAACATTCGTGATCTCGGGGCTGTTTTCGAGATTGCAGGTGACACACGTCTGAGGATTGCTCGTGTTTCGAAGCAAACAGAGTCGGAGCAGGTGTGGAGTATTGTGCTCTATGATGCAGTAGATTGTATTGTTAGTGGCAATGAGTGAGCACGGTTTCTCATCAGAGAAGGGTAGCTGTCAAAAACCCGCTGGTGGTAGCCCTGTTGATTCCTGATGGAGACCGAGGCGCAGCCTGAGACCAGGGAATCTGCTCTCGGCAATGCAATTCTGCTCAGAGTGATGAAGGGAAGGAATGAGAGGCTGATGAATGAGATGGTAGCACAGGGACAATTAAAGAGAGAAGAAGGATTATTCTGGGAAAGAAATAAAATAATCATAATCATAATAATGAAAGGCTTTCACAGGTGCACTACCTTAGTGGCAGCCAGCTGCGGGGGTGGTGCACGTAAGGTAAGGTAGGAACTGGGAAGAGAGGGCAGGCTAAAGAGGGGGGGGACCTGCCTAGACTTTGGGGGCGATCCTTACGCTACCTGAGCCGCTAACTGGTGGTTACTTAGGTAGGGTCAGCAGATGCTCCGAGCCCAATCACGCGCTGCTACTCCTATCAATTGCGCAAGAACCATGGCAATCTTCAATTCCTCCAATGCGGGACATCCCTCCTTCCCAACGCTTTGAATGGTCACGATACTTGCTCACGATTCGAATCATACCTAATCATAATCATCATTTATCATTATACTTGTACGTACGTTGTTCCAGTCCTTGTGTCATGTTACTTCTCTTCCACCACCATGTCATGTTCGTCCGAAGCACAAACCATTTCACCTCGGGTCCTGATGCCAAATCCCCATACCTAAATACGGTACCTGAGGCTAGAACATGATCTGCCTAGCCCGACTTAGCCAGAGCGCCCCACGCTGATCACTCCTCCGTCCTCACAAGTGTCCTGTCTAATGCGGGCAACCCGAAGCTCAAACGGGGAACTCCAATGAAATCCATCTCATCGTAGTCGTGCCATCCTCCTGCTTGTTGCACGTTTCGCTTCATCAGCATTATTTTTCTCCGTAAAATCTCCCAATATATGTCTCGATTCAACGCTCTCCACGAAGAATGCTAGGGAGCACGGCCCACAAGTCAAAACGTGTTGACCAACAAAATCGATTTTAAGGGTGGGTGCTCTCCGCGATTCCTCGGTCACGATGCACGCCATCGCAAGCCATCGCGCTATCGAGTGGAGATCCAATCGCAGCCTCCGAAGCGTCTCGCCGTTTTAGCCCTAGATCACGTTCCCTCCTTCCCGTAGATTCCACACTGGGAATCATGATACCACCCTTCAGCAAAGCTCAAGGCTGTGTGGAAATTATGGTGCGCGCTGTGTGGTGGTGAGTGTGGCAGTCGAACATATATGCAGTAGTATCCGTTAGACAGCAAGATCGAAGCAAATGAACGACGACCCGAGAGACCCATTAGACGTTGCTCAAATAGATAGCGGACGCAATCTCGGCCGAGTTGCTTCGTGATTTATAGTATATTGGAGGACGTATTGAGTCCGCGGCCTTCATCGGTCATTTCCGGCTTTGGCCTCTTCATTCGGAATATTCAGTGACGAATCTATCGCTGTATTGAAGTTGTTGCTGACACGATTTCCGGAAATCGGATTCTGCAAAGTCCCGTTCGTGAGGACCTTCTGGTCGACGGAGATGACATTGGTGGGCCATTGGACGAAGTAGAGCCAATTCTCGTCGAGTTCGCGGTGGATGTTATCGATGATATGCATTGCCCATCCTCTCATCCACCAGTAGTCATCAAGATGGTGGAGAATGACACAGTAGTGAGCCAGTATGACGAGTGCCTCTGGCCTCTTCTCGTTTAACATCATTATATACTCCTGCGGTATCATGACCGGCCATAAGAACGCTATAGAAACTTCACATTCGTAAGGGGGCCTGTTGTTCATCCTTACAAACGAGACTCTGAGCGTTTCAAGAGCGGCTTTGTAGGCGTTGACCGCCTCGGGTCCACCGGAAGCGCGATCGCACATGTCCGCAAGGTGTGTGAGTTGCTCACTCAGAACACTCGGTAGCTCGGTCTGAGGCGGCTCCTGGATGTGGTCATGAAGAAGGCCACTTAGCCGACCGTTCTTGATCCAGGGCCAAACGGACATGATAATCGAGTTGACGCCACGGATAAGTGGAAGCCATTCATCAGAATCTTGACCCTTATAGCTGAACATGCCGAGGCTGTGAGAAGCCTTGGGAGACTCGAAGCCGTAAACCACTATCAGTGAAGAGAGTGCAAGGAAAGCATCGCAGTTCGATTCGTCCATGTTTGTCATGATCTTCCGGAAAGAACTTAGCGCAGCGTCTTGCTGCTTGGCGGCTACATGACCCCAATCAGTCTGTCTGTCCGGTCTCAGACAGCCAAGGTGAAGTGCAGATATGGCCAGTATACCTCGCATCAGGAAGTCGTGTTGAAAAGCTACCTGGGGAACAGTGACCCTCCATAGTTCGTGGGATTCAGGCCGGTCCGAAAGGGTGTAGCAGGTTTCGGTGGTAAAGTGATGTAAAAGCTCGAGTTCCGCCATCTGTAGGGGCGGCAAATGGGATCTTGGACCATCGAATAGAGACTGCTGAGCCTGAAGCAGTGCAGGAGATTGGTCGGTCGAGCTGCCTTGCACCGACGGTACTGATTTGGCATCCGAATTACGGTGTCGAAGTTCTTGCGGCGAAGATGTTGAAGAGCTCTTAGGCGCGTGTGAGGAGAAGTCGCAGGTTATCGAGTGTTTCTCGCAGTTGGAGCATCGAGGTCTTATTTCGTCACACTGACAGCAGCAAAGATTATAAAGTGTTAGTAACGACAATCGTAGACACTTTTGCAAGGTACGATCAAACATAAGAGAGCCGGGAAGATTGGGGCAATGGGATTGCTTTTACCTTAATTCGCCTCTTCTTGCAATTAGCACAACCATTGCGGCTTTTAGGATGGCTCTTTCGTGAAACCATGCTTGAGAATGTGAAACTCTTTCGCTGAGACTTGATGGGGAATAACAAAGGTAGTCAAACCAGATATTCTAAAAGGATGGGGAGATTTCAGGAGGTGAGGGAGTAAGGTCCTGAGTCTGCTACGTCTTTGACCAGTGAATGAGATCAGATATTAGAGTCATCGAATCTTGCATGAACTCGGAAAAGTAATATACCAATGAAGAAGGTGGTTGGCAAAACGAGCAAGCGGAGAACAGTGGTAACGGCTCTCTTTGGTTCTCGGAGTCTTCCGCCCTTTGGCAATCCAGAGATCTGGGTCAGTTGACTGGGTTAATATGTACAAATATGGAGATTCTCGGGAAACACTCTACCAATGCGAAAGAGAGATGCGAGGATGTAGTGGCGACCAACGACGGATATTTTCTGCCGCGACTGTCCTATCGGTAAACGGCCTTGGCAACGTTCCCCACGCGCTGCAGCGCAAGGTGACGTTTATACCATATCCGGACCCTAGAAATTCTTCCAATGCATGATGGAATATCAAAAGGTCGGAAGAGGAGGAGCTGGCAACTTTTACACTCCACAAGACGTGGAGAAGGCTTCCAAAGAGACTAGTAAGGTGAGAAAACTCGTCGCCGTTTCACCACGCCGCGTTGACGACTTTCCAGGACGTCGAAGCCCAGCGCAATGCTGCCAGTGGAGGAATCGAAGATCTAGAGAGTCAGGGTCGCAGATTCTCAACATCTGGTCGTGGTGGTGCTGGAAATTTTACGACGAGAGATATGCTAGCAGCAGGCACTACTGCGAATATTGATGTCACTCCATCGATGCAGGAAAACAAGCCTCCAGAGCTAGGACACTATGGTCGAGGAGGGGCTGGTAATTACAGAACTCCAGAACCTGAGAAAAGAAGAGGAGAAAAAGATACATCGGAGGCTCGGGAGAAGGATGTAGAGATTGGATTGACGGAGCCTGAAAAAGCACATCTAGGGAAAGGAGGGTTCGATTGTGATGCCCACAATTAGCATCCTAGACAGAACATTTCTATCGTTCTCCGAACGCCACGCTTTGAAATTAGTATCGTAGAGGATCAAGCACCAGCACTTCAGTCTACATCCATATTGTCCTCCATGCCACCCCCAACCTTCATCCTCTGCTTCACCTTCTTCTTCTCTTTCACCTTTTGCACCGGAACCTCCATCGCCTCGACTTCCAACGGCTCTTCCATCTCTGCAGCCATTGTCTCGCTTGCTCTTTGCCGTGGCAATAGATGTTCGTTCTCAGCCACCAACTTCCTGTTCCTAGCCCTCACCCTCTCTTTATTACCAGCCATGCGGTTCTTGAAGAAGACTCTCTCCCTCCTTGCCCGGATCTCCGAGACTCGTTGCATAGCCTTGAGCGTTGCAGACACAAGGTTGCGATCGTAGCGAACAGGGATGTTGCGGCGAGCAGCAAATTGAAGGGTGGTGTCGACGGTCATTTCCTTGCCAACAGATTTCTGGCGGTAAGGTCAGCTGCTTTTCATGTAAATGAATTGGGACAGGAATCAAGGTTACACGAAACGCCTTGGTCCACTTCAGCTTCCTTGGGTTGCGCTTCATCTTGAACTGTGGGGGTACTTAGCAGGTAAGCAGATTCGTGCTGATGGGCTAATATACGTTCTTGTGGCATTTTGCTATCAAGTGTGTCAGCTGGGCTCGACTTCGTCATGCTTCACACAAGGAGAGGATCAATGAGACTGTACATCTGCAGAATTTGAATTGCTTGGCGTCATTGCGCACGAAGGTTATACCTGCCCCTGTCAGCTCCGAAGGAATCCAGAGAAGAAGACGGCAGATGTACCCTTCTACGCAGATACAGGAGTTAGCATTGATTCCTTGAGGCTAGGAGTGAAGTTGCAAGACAGATTTCGCGAGTAAGAAGGTCCTCGAAGCATATATTATGACTCCAAACAGGGACGTTCATGTCAGAACTTTGCGTACCGAGGGATAGATAGGCTGCGAACAGAAGTAACCTAACGTACGTATTAGTACCATCTCTATAACTCTCATATAGGAGGAGCACTGACAGATTTCGACCCTCATCTTTGCGTCGCTGTGGATTTATGAGAAATATGGAGGCAGATACTGGAAAGTTCGTGCGAATATCTTCAAGACCGGGAGCGGAAGATATTGAAGCCCGACGCTAGCTTCTTTGAAGCTAGTCTATCATTTGCGGGCAAATCCGACATCGCCGCTCTCTTGAACCAGGTCCTTTCCACTACTGTTCTGGATGTCGAGCTTGGTGATGCAGTGACCTCTCCGATCTTAAAACCACATTAAAACTAGTGGCTTCCGAAGAAAAGCCCCGCTCAAGCATGGCGACGGTGATAGGAGTGGGAGTAGGAGTTGCTGCTGCTGCGTTCTTAGTAAGCCTCATCCACCTCTTGCGGTAGCGAGCTATCTAGTGACAAGAATGCGCAGGGGCGAGCGGGCCTAGTAGCGTTCAGAAAATATCGCGGTGGAGCAGCAGGCGCGCGCGCTTTGGGCAAGGCTTACTACAAAGGCGGCTTTGAGCCTAGGATGAATAGAAGGGAGGCGTCGTTGATATTACAGCTCAAGTACGATGCTTTGCATAGCAAGACATACACTGATGGATAGCTGACTTTTTGGTGAACAGTGAGCGCATGCTTACAAAAGAGAAAATACGGAAAAATCATCGACAACTTATGCTGCTGAACCATCCAGATAGAGGGGGAAGTCCGTATTTGGCTACGAAAGTGAATGAGGCGAAAGAGTTGCTGGAGAAGAGTTCGGGACATTTATGAGATACGCGATTTGGGTCGTAACATATGAGTTGCTGCATAGCGTGGAGTTGATTTTGCCAGTGACACTTTGTTGGCGGCTTTGAGCACGACGACAAGGCGGCTTCGACCGATTATATCTGATCAGGGATCTCATTAATGGAGTTGCTGGGGCTTACGGGAGGCGACTTGGAGAGCATCTATGGATATATCCCGGGGATTAGAGTTCAAAATGTCTCCCCTCCTAAAACCAAAATCACGTTTCGCGTTCGCTTCCTTCTCACCATTTCCCTGTGTTCCACCAAATTGCTTGAAACCGCAATAGCAGTGGCAGTGGAGCTGGTGAAGGAATGGCGCGGGAAACGATGACTCTAGCCGACCTTGACGGCTCAACAAGGATGCGAGGTGTCAACAGTCCACAATCGACCTTTGTGGCTACTTCTCTTGACCCCTTTTGGTGATCAGTCGAAATCACTGGAGCATCGGGGCTTCTCTGTCCTGTGCAGACTCACACGTCATTACAATTTCCCCGTCTTCTCCACAAATATCGCAATCACTTTTGTAAGTTCCCTTCTCCATTCCATTGGTAATCCATGGCCCCTTCCCTCCGCCACACACCGCGTCACACCGTTCTCCTCTCCACCAAGCTCCTTCACCAACAAATCGCCGTGCGGCTGCGTGATCATTCGATCTTCTGTCCCATGGATTACCAGAATTCTGTTTCTCCCCACTTGATCCCCTAATTGTTTCAGCTGCGCTGCGCTCTTGTGATGCCAATTGACGGCTATTGCTTGAAGAATGAAGCCCCTTTTCGTGAAACCCTCGACATTTTGTCGTTTTGCCAGTTCTTGGGCAGCCCAGCGGTCGCCGTTCGTGGGAAAATGGCCTTCTGCGTCTGTTTCGTTGAGCCAGGGCTGACTGAATGTGCGTGCTTTTATGGAGTCGAGTTGAACGTCTATGGCTTTTGGTAAACTAAATGGCAAGTTTGAGTGATTAGGCATCTGCTACAACGGACTAAAAGGAAAGGGTGGCGAACAACATAGTTACTCTATCTCTGAGGTTTTGTAACCAGCCCTAGAAGTTTCAGCGTTGTTGAGGCCTGGGAGAGGGGTTACTGACCACTGTACTAAATAGTCTTGGTGCAGTCGATATCAGAATTAACGATGCTATCCTCTCAGGCACCATCAAAGCCTACATCTGGGCTCAGCAAGGAGCTTTCCTTATTAAACTGGAATGAAAACATTACAAGCTCCTGACCAATCATACCACCCAAGCTAGTTCCAATAACATGCAATTGACGTTGAGATGTCCATCCAACATGATCGATGAGCTCCAAAGTATCTTTTGCCATTTCAGAAGTAGAGTAACGCACTAGCGGTTTGCCAGATTCTCCAACGCCTCTGTTGTCAAAGATCAAACAGGAATACTTCGTGCTCTGATCTCGATTCGTGTTTTGACCATGGCCAAAGTCTTTGGTTTGCCGTTGCCATGTCGTCTTGAAGTTTGCTAGACCCATAATCCACTAGCAATTGTATCAATCTCCGAGGAAAAAATTCTATTCAAATCGTCTGCCACTCGACAATGCAATCTCTACGTTGGTACCAACACCCTTCGACGCAGAAGAGCGCAGGGCTCTTTCTGCTTTGATGGAGAAGTGATGAGAAGACGTAGTACCCACCACAAGCTTCGTCGGACCATTGCCATGAATCTGATAGGATATCTGTATAGGCCCACCGCGACCCTCTGCAACGGCAATTTTCCCCTTTTTCGCTGGCTCTAGAGCCCATGTCACATGTTGGAATTCAGGATGCTTCACGAGCTCGGCTGCGCTGAGAGGTGGCCTTCCGAATGTCAATTCCTCCCCGTCCAATTACCGGCGTCCTCCTTTGCATAATGCATTTATGACTTACATTGTCTTATCAGGTGGTGGTCTAGAGGATCTGACACTGTGTACTAGTACTACTCATTCTGTTTCCTATGTCGGCAGCACTCGTCAGAATTTTGAACCCCGAGATGCGACCTTCTTGTGACCGACTTATCGCCGCCCAGATAGAGTATGGCTTATGGAAAGATAGAAGAAGAGACTCTAAGCTACTCAACTATACCTATTCATTATGGAAGCTTCAGCGCAGGTTCCGTGGTGATAGTTAAATGCGAAGAGAGGAATTTAAGCGAGGCTCAGGGTTCAAAGCGAGCCGCGATTGTCGATCATCCTTTGGGCGCGCTTACTGATCATACTCTATTGTGCACGACGCATCATTGCAGCCTACTTTACATGAGTGACATCCTCGCATGTTGTACTTATTTTCTGTCCCATATCAACAACGCTCCAACCAATCATGATAGAGTGACGAACCCTTCAGTCTCACCGTTCTCGCTTTGTAATCTATCACCCACGACAGCTCCGCACTGACCTGCTTGGCAGTCAGCAGAGAGAAAATGTCCTCGCCTTAACCGCAACTCCTATTCTCCACTCCTATCCTATCTCGACTCTTCATAGCCTCACAATACCATTATGGATCAGTACCAACAGCCCCACCATCAGCGCGACTCCTTTGATCTCCCTCCTCTCACAAACCCCCCCCCTCAATACTTCGGTGGGAACGAGAGCAACGACTCGCCAACGGTGCCCAGTTTCGACTTCGCAGACGGTGATGGGCAGGATCACGATGGAGGTCATGACGAGAGTAACGACGCGAAGAGAAGGAGGATAGCTCGAGTGTGTACTTGGCCCCTACTACCAATCTGTCGACCGAGGGCATTGACAATGGTGTCAGGCGTGTGATATGTGCCGAAAGAAGAAAATAAAGTGTGATGGGAAGATGCCGGCATGCTCACACTGTCTCAACTACAAAACAGAGTGTATCTTCACTCAGGTGGAGAAGAAGCGCAATCCCCCCAAAGGGTACGTGGTCCACTTTAATTGCTGGCTTCCTGGACGCTGATCAAAGTGCAGCGCAAAGTACATCGAAGGATTAGAGAACCGTCTTGGTCGGATGGAGTCTCTACTGAAGCTCTCCGGGATACTCAACGAAGAGAGTGAAGATGTGCCTGATCTAGAGAAAATGAAGGAAAGGTTCTTAGCAAATAAGGCAATGGATGATGGGCCTGATCCAGGTACGCTAGAGAAAAGGTTGGCACACAAGACTTTCAGCCAAAGCAGTGGTGATACACCGACAAGGACCCCGGATGTATCCTCCAAATCTGGGAGTCAGCCGCGAACCTTCGATTCCCCACGCCACACCCCCCAAACGGACAGATTGCCAACATCACGAGAATCTGTAGCCTCTTCTGCAGAACCACCAAAAGAAAATGGGGAGCCGGTTGAGGAGTTATCAGATATGATGTGCTCGCTAGTCACAAATAACTGTGGTGAAACAAGATATATCGGTAGGACCTTGGTTTCGCCAGCCATAGATTGCCACTTACATGTCACAGGATCTTCCTCTGGCTTCTCCATTTTCTCCCCTAAAGGCATACAATGGGTCAACGAAAAGACTGGGGATAGCTCCTTTCAAGACATGATAGCCTCGGCGGATGTGAACGAGGTCAAATGGAATTTTTGGAAGCCTGAGGTCTTCAATGATTTATTCGAGAAAAGGGCGTTCGTTCCACTGCCGCCAGAACACGAGGCACTGTCCTTGCTCAAAGATTTTTTCGGGAACTTCAATTGCATGTTTCCGCTTTTCCACGAACCAACATTCATGCACTTGGTAAGAAAACACTATTCACGAAATCCTTACGAAGGATCAGGGTGGTGGGCTAGTCTTAACGTTGCTCTGGCTATCGGGCATCGACTACGAATAATGAGCAACATGGTGCCACAAGAGGACGATCAGAAGGCGTGGGGCTATCTGAAGAACGCAATGGGACAACTCACCGAGCTTACAATGCGGAATACAGATCTTCTCAGTGTGCAAGCTCTCCTTGGCATGGTACAATTCATCGTAGACATTACAAATTTACGTCGCTGACCCGAAGTACGCAGGCTCTCTTCCTAATGGGCACTCCGAATCCTCAACCTTCTTTTTTCCTGGTCGCCGCCGCAATTCGGCTAGCGAATAGCATAGGCCTGCACAAGCGCGGCTCAGGCTTCAATCTGAATTCAGTCGAGATCGAGCAACGGAAACGGGTATTCTGGATTGCCTACCTCCTCGATAAGGAGTAAGCTTAGCAGAGTGTAATTGATCTCTCATGACTAACGTGAACCAGTATCTGCTTGAGATCGGGTCGACCGCCAGCGCAAGATGACGATGACATGAATGTTGATTTGCCGACAGTCGACCCCGCTGACAATATTGGAAACATACCTTTGGCGGACGGCAAGGGAAAAGCTAATCTTTTCAGGTTCATGTGCACCTTTGCCGTCATTGAGAGCAAGGTTTACAAGCAATTGTACTCTACGAAAGCTTCAAAACAGTCTGACGGTGCTCTACTGAACACTATTGGCGAACTCGACAAAGAACTCGAAGAGTGGAAAGACAGCATACCCCTTGATTTCCGACCAGAGCACGAGATCAAAGCATCTCACACTCCGTTGATCCTCCACGTTGTTGTCCTCCACTTCGCCTACTACAATTGCTTGACGACCATCCATCGCATGTCCGTCCACCACGGATATTGGACGAGCCGGCTATCGAATTACGCAATTCAAGGCTTGAATGCTAGGCCACTAAATCCGAGAGTATTTTCGTCAGCAGCCTTGTGCGTACAAGCTGCAAGGGCTTCCATCCACCTCATACGATACATTCCCAAGGGTGACTACTCTTGCGTCTGGTGAGTCTCGAACACCAAGTCAAAGTTCGTCCAGCTTGCTGATATTCTTCCAGGTTAATACTTTACTTTCCCGTCTCAGCACTGGTCACTCTCTTCGCAAATATTCTCCAAAATCCTCAAGACGCCCGCACCCGCTCTGATGTCAAATTAATGAACCAAGTCGTGAACTTTCTCTCCCTCCTTGCCGTTACCGAAGAACAAGGCGGAGTCAAACGTATGCTAGGCGTATGTGCCGAGTTTGAGCGTATTGCCCGTGTTGTCCTTGAGAGAAGCGACAAGGAATCTCACTCTCGCCGAAAACGAAGAAGCAGCAAGATCAATGACGATGACCCAGCACAAAACACTCAACAAATTCCACAGAAACGCAACGCGCCACAAACACCGCAATCAAATAACGCGCCTACACCCCAGAGCGTCTTCACCCCTGGCTTCAACGGCGATCTAAATAGCCAATCCTTGAACCCTAATCCGCAGGGCTTCTCCCCTAGCTTCTCAGACATGAATCTTCCCGTCGATTTCTCAGGCGCTGACTTCCCTAATATAACGTCGCCCTCGAACGGCATGAATGGGTACCAAGACATCAATATGGATGGGCAGCAGTATACTGGTGATCCATTCAATATGGGCTCGTTTCAGCAGCCCTTCGTGCCGCAGGATTTGTGGCAGATGCCGATGACGCTCGAGTGGGACATGGCGCAGCTGGGCGAGATGAACGGATTTGCGACTTTTGACCCTGACCAGGGGCAGCACCCGGACGAAATGCATGGCATGAGTGGCCAGTGACCCATGTAAAGGACTGCGGAGGTTAATGCATCTCATAATAGTAATGGAGGACACCAGCTTCAGGCACTATAGGGTGCCAAAGCTTCATTCCTCCGACTTACATAATTCGTGTTCATATGGCTCAACTGTACCTAAGTCTGAGGATATAGAGCGCCTTGCATTGTATGTATGATTCGACCGTTGAACATACTTTAATACAGCGACGGATCACCCCTACCTCTCATACTCCGAAAGCCATTCACTCCCTTGATCACCTCTTCCCTCGTATCCAACCCAGAACCCTCCCTCTTCCGTCAAATTCGGCTTCCAAGAACCCGTGCCCCGGGGCCACTTCCATCGCCCCACATGATTTCCCCATTGATGTACATAGGTCACTGACTCAAGATTCTCGCCCGGGCTCTCAGATCATCCAGCCGACGGAATGTTATCAAGGCACCTCACCTCACCGAGCCGGTTCGAGCCGGGTTCGAGATGCGTCATCGTGCGTGCCTTTTTACGTATCGTGCGCACGGATCCACCGTTTGGATTTCTGTCCCAGGTACGGCATCCCCGTCCCGTAGCCGGGAGAGGAGACGACGGGCATTGCAGCGTCGTATGACCGAGAAAGAAGAGAGGAGAGGGGGGAAGCTAGCTGTATTTTGGTTGGTTGCTTGGTTGGTTGATTGGGTGATGGAGCTACGGCTTCGAGCGTGACGCCGCCGCTATTGAGTGGGATACGTATGGTCTCGACGCAGATGATGGGATGAATACCTGGCCGGGATCCGTCACTACAATGGATGAATGAATGAATGAATGCTCGCACTCAGCCCGTGCCGACGTCGGCGATGCTGAATCGTTCCGTGCGACCGGTCCTCTTCGAATCCCAAAGCCGGATGCGTTCTCGGCGCCCGTCATCTGGGGACCTTGTTCTCGAGGCTGGGATTGAACGACTTGGGCACCGGGGTAGAGTACCTTTCCGTGCGTTGAGGTCGCGGGACCGAGGTGTGGGTCGCAGGTCCTTGCTTGGTTGATGGCAGCGGGCTGCAAGGGCGCAGTGGTAGTGTGGGCGGCGATCGTTGATTGTCGTTGCGATTGCGGGGGGAAGAGATGGCGGACGATGTTTTTTTTTTTAGGGGGGGGGGTTGGGGGGGCAACCTGATGGTTGTGGGGTTGAACTCTGTCGAGGCGGTTGGAATCTTGGAAGAGAGAGAGTTTCGACAAGGGATGGTCGGGGTCGACAGGGCTGTTTCTGGCTTTGGTGGACTGTAGCTTCTTGACGATGGTTTTTTTTTTTTGCTGAGCGAACCTTTACTGTAATCATAGCCTTCGGCTTCCGGGAAGCCGACGACAGAGGAGGAGATGTTGATGTCTTTGATGAGGTCAAATGTCTCTGGCGTGATGGTCCATTCCCTGGGATCTTTGACTTCTTTGATCAGGTTAAGAGCTTCCTGTGGGGTTGAATTTTTGGTTTCTTCGAAGTTCCTGTCTCTGGTGAGGTCCAGTGCCTTTCCGGAGAGCGGCGTGAATTTCCATTCCTTCATTCTTTGGTCGAAATTAATAAAGTGGGAGGGAGCTGAGAAAAGGAGAATACTTGGTTTGATCGACTGTGATGAGCTCGGAGGGACCTGTAGATTGAAGGTATTCGCAGAGTAAAAAACTTCCCTGACCTCCGTATTCACGACTTTTGTCGTATGCAGGGTGGCAATATCCAGGGGAGGGAGATATCTGCAGCTTGCGACCGCAAGCTCTGGATGATGTCAAGTAAAGGAGACTTCCCAGTCTTTGCGAAGCCAGGAGGGCCCAGCAAGGAGTAGGCAATAGAGGTGGAGCCGGATCTCTGGCGGAATTATGAAAGGGGAAAGGAAAGTAGAGATAGTTCTGGGGCATAGAATGGGGAAGAGAGGGAAGCTTTGTCAAGAAGCTTCAATGAAAGAGTGTGTTCGAGGATCTGTTGACGAGGTGCGATGCGAAGAGGGATCCCGCGTAGAGTGAGTAGAAGAGGGAGGAGGTTTGTCAAGAGTCTTCATCGTAATGAGGGTTTCTGAAGGATTAGCGGGGAATTTTCAAGCTAATGGGTGAACAGGCCACAGCGAGAGAAACAATAAGAGCAAGAACATTTGCTTGGAGTATGGGTTCGGAGAGTGGTGCGAGAGAGTGTTGCTCCACCAGCTCGACAGTGGGAGATGGATGAAGTGTTAAGAATGGCTCCGTTGTACAAGGCGGCGACTCACCTGGCATGATCTATGCCGGAAAGTCGACACATTCAATAGGCTTGCCCCGTGGCAGTTGTAGGGATTGGATGTCACGGACCAGTTTTTTTTTACAAGATGCTGACCGCAGGTAACCTTGACAAAGCTGCTGGCACTCTCTTTAACACAGCTGGTTATTGTGATGCAGTTTCGTAGCATGGTACTCTACAAAGCGTGATAAAAGGCTGTTCGAGGAATGTAGAAATGAAATCCATGTCACGTTGACATGACCGGAGCCATTTCCATGGTGCCTTGCTCATCATTGTACGTTTAATACCAGTCTTCTCCTACCGGGCCTAGACCTGACAAGACCATCTCGTGAGCCTTGAACACCGCGAGGACAATGCACGCGACGCGACGTTGTCGACGGACAATACCTTTTATTATCAATGGCTTTCGAGGCTCAAATTGCAAAGCTGTTGTACCATACTCTTTGTAGTCGAAAAGAATAGTTGGAATGGCGTTCTGATAGGCTGTTTGATTCCTGCGCTATTGTTTGAGCGCTTGCATTAGTTCAGGGGTAATCGTCATGTTGGCCTTAGCTAATTCAGGCTAGTCAAGGCTAGGACTTCGACTTCACGCTGCACTTTTCTCCGACAAATTTGGCATCCGTTCCAACAAAGACAGGGGACCCAGGGGACCCTGCTTCTTATTGTACATATGCAGATGCAGACATGCAGCTGCTGCAATCCGTCATGTTTCACCGCTCTTACACGGCGAAGCAGTATGATTGTGACAGTAACAATAAATATCGTAAGCTGTTGTTGCAAGGCCAAGAGTCAACATGTTTCTTACTCGACCAGACGCGAGATGGTTGAAACTTTTTCCCTCTCAAATGAGTCCGATTCAGCCAATCAGCCAATCAGCCAATGACCGCGTACCTGCAGGAAATGACGGTACTAAGCATGGATCTTCGTTCCCTGCTAATCAAATCTCGCAATGGTGGAGCCGACGTGCATGCAATTTGCGCCGTGCCTAACTTTGTTCCTGGATCCCCTATTACCGATCATCACCTGCAATTTCACTCTTCCTATAAGGATCACTCTTACCGCCGCACAGCCTTGAATTTTCTTTCTTTCTTCTTTTATCCAACTTCTGTCTCTTCAAACAAATTATCTGCTCTTTGCCAGCTTTCAGACTTCGGTCATCCACTCTCTTTAACCAAAGACTAAAATACTACACGCTCTCTAATAACTTACCACTTTCTCACTCTCTCAATTACCCCTTCTTTCCCCCCAAAAAACCTCAACACATTTAAATATCACTCAAAATGCGTTACTCATTCGCTCTCGCTGCCTTGAGCGCTGCCTCCGCCGTCATGGCTGGTATGGCCAACGAACTCTCGGACGGCCAGGTCCAAGAGCAGGTCTCCGCATCATCAGCACCGACTCCGGCTGCTGAGGCCACCGCCTTCAGCACCATCGGTGAGATCCTCACCAGCTGTGCACCCACCGTCAAGAACTGCCCGGCTCACAAGACCCCGTCTGTTGTCCCAGTGCCCTTCGTCTCAAGCCCAACCCCAAGTCCCATCGAGGCTGGTGCATCTTCTACCTCCTTGGTCAGCCCTCCCGTTATTGCGACCCCGTCGCCATCCAGCCCAGTTGTCCCTGTCCCAGGACAGGCTGGCGCGACCGGCTCTCCTAAGGCCCCTGCTCCAGTCGTCCCAGTCCCAGCTGTTTCAAGCTCTCCAGCTGTCGCAGCCGAGGTTGGCGCATCCGCATGCCCAACCTGCCCATCTTGCACCCCAGTCACCATCTACTCCACCGTCACCGCTACCCCAACCCCCGCAGCAACTGGCTCAACTGGCTCTTCAAGCTCTGGCTCCGGCTCTCCATCCAGCGGCGAGTCAGGTTCCTCCGGCTCTGCAAGCTCTGGCTCTGGCTCTCCATCCAGCGGCGAGTCAGGTTCCTCCGGCTCTGCAAGCTCCGGCTCTGGCTCCCCATCCAACGGCGAGTCTGGTGCATCTGGATCCGCCTCGCCATCCGGCAAGCTTCCCCCGAGCCCAGGCTCCCCTGTCAGCGTTCCCGCTGGTGGAGCTGCTGGTGCCGCTGCCCCCTCTGGAACCGCTGCTGCCTCGACCGGAGCGTAAGTCATCTCCAAACTCCCTACCCACAAGACTTCTCCATCTAACAAGCACTCTAGTGTCAAGCCACCATCCGCGACCGGCTCCCCCATCGCCTTCAAGGGCGCCGCCAGCACCGTCGGCAGCTCAATCGCCGTCGCCGGTCTCGCCGCCTTCGCTGCCATCTTCCTCGCATAAATCCGTCATACATAAAAAGCATGTTCGTGATGCCTTTCGACCTATCGATACCCATGATGGAGAGAGAAGTGGACATGCGCGCATCGCAGATGACGAGGTCGTTGCTTTCTACAGACGGAGGAGTCTAGTTTCGGGTGCGGGAGAGACCACCGGCTGGCTCGAAAGCATGCTTGTCGCATTTAGCTAGTGGTGTAATCATTAATGGTGGTGCTTTTGACAATGGAAAATGAGAGACTTGGGGAAAGAAACAGAAAATTCTACCGTGTGTCACCCTGACTGATGCGTGCGAGCTCTGTATATACATACGAACTCAGTCGTGACCGCCCGAATTCCGCGCATCCCCCTTCTGTCCTTTGTCTCATCACATACGTCCCATCCCCTCCTCTTCCCCCAATCCCAGCTCCTGAACCCACATCGCACGTACATACATACCGGCGCAAATCGCGCGCTGGCAGTTACCCAATCAGGAACGGAAGAAGACGCGAGAATCCCACCACGTCTTGCTTGATTCCTTCCGATGCCCGCCCGATTTCCCTCGCACCTTCGCCGCGACCTACCTGCCTGCCTGCCTCTTGTTCGTTCATTCAACAATAGGTAGATAGGTGGTTAAATCCTCGGCGGTCAGGGTCACGGTCAAGAAGGCACGGAAGCGAACGACGATGATGATGAGGATGTTCTCAGGTACGTGCTCGGCTCATCGCTTTGGCCCCGGCTGCGACGTTTGTCTCCGACTTCGGAGATCTTGTTGTCATGTTTGATCGGGAAGAGGACGAGAGGAAGAGAGGAAGAGAGGAAGAGGAAGGAAGGAAGGAAGAGAGGAAGAGAGGAAGAGAGGAAGAGAGGAAGAGAGGAAGAGAGGAAGAGAGAGAGAGGAAGAGAGGAAGAGAGAGAGGAAGAGGAAGAGAGGAAGAGAGGAAGAGAGGAAGAGAGGAAGAGAGGAAGAGAAAGAGAGGAAGAGAGGAAGAGAGGAAGAGAGGAAGAGAGGAAGAGAGGAAGAGAGGAAGAGAGGAAGAGAGGAAGAGAGGAAGAGAGGAAGAGAGGAAGAGAGGAAGAGAGGAAGAGAGGAAGAGAGGGAGAGAGGAAGAGAAAGAACGAACGAACGAACGAACGAACAACGAGAAGAATAATCCATTGGCATCGCCGGCACGGGGTTCGCTCTTGGTCGATGGACGGGTGGATGGATGGGTGGGTGGGTGAGTGGATGGGTGCATTGGCTTTGGTATATACACTCTACATCCCCCCACGCAGGTAGCGGTGCGCAGGTGTGCAATGAAACATCAGAATATTGCGCCAGTGCGACAGAAAACCAAACGGAAGAAGGCGTGTCGGCTGCGACGGATATCTAATCTACCACCTACCTAGTCTCAGTAATTCAGACTCGCTTAGCGGGGTACCCTATGGCCAGCCCTACACTCGTTCCTCGCTTCGGGGGCCAATCATATCGCAAGCTCATTACGGCATACCCCCTTAGAGTCTGAGTAGGAAACCATGGAATCGCTTACATTGACCGTTATTTTGTATGAGACACCCGCAATAATTGACCGAAATGCGAAATTCGCGACTTTCAACGATTTTTCCACGACTACCACATACTCCTTTGAAGTCAATCGCGGGGCGAATAGGCCTATCGAGGTCGCTGATTAAGTATTTAAGCCTTTTATTAGGATCGGATGGCTTATTGTTGTCGCACAAGCTGATCCGGGACCGCGATCTCCGCTGACGCTCACAGCACCCACCTTCAACCGATCAACCTTTACCAGGAAAACCTCAGACGATAGCGCATCGTATTCAGCACCATTGAAAGATCATATAACGAACCGGGTTAAGGAATTGCCAGGGCAGATTTATTATATTACCCTTAATCAGAAAGTCGAGTACTCGAGATACGCCCCCTATAGAAATATACATCAACTCGAATACGCTTCGCTTAGGAGTTGGAGGGATCATAGCACACATACCTTAAATGATATTGACGCGGTTGGCACGCCCAGAACGAGCTCGTGTGGGTGTGGAATACATTGGGGACACTCAGGTACCCAACTTTCTCCATGGCGGCGACGGCGAGGTATCTTCGAACTTCAGATACTAACCTCTCTATGCCTTATAGTAACATCCTTCCTCTACATGATGGCGAAGTCTGAAAACTTTTGATGGTTCGGATCGAAAGAAATTCAAAAAGTCATATATTTGGTTCCCGGGCAGTAGGGAGGAGAACACCACCAAGCGACATTCGATCAGCTCGTTCATGACGACGACGCAGACCTTCCTACATTCAAAGACGTCTTTTTCTACGTTCCATATACCCATAAGAGACTCCGACGTCGTGCGAGATATTCTCATTCATCGATGTCGCCGCCACCAATATCTGACTTCACACCAAAAGGATGAATTATCTCCGCTTCGCTCTCCGCTCTGCTCTCCGCAAGTTCGGTAGCTATACAATTGCTTGCATGCATGCTTGCTTGTTTACACGCATCGCCGCGGCGACTCTCGTAAGCTGGGCCGTCCAAAAAATAGGGGGAGACTGCGGCGTCTGACCGAAGTAATGAACTGACTGGCGAGGCCACGCATTTTCCCCAACACGCCGCGCCGTCGGTCCGGCGAGTACCATGGCGGTTACCCCGAGGATTTGTAGGGAATTCCTGCATGGTGTCTGCGCGTCTGTTGAGACGTACGGCGTTCTTGAGTACTGGTGCCGCTGCTATGGCTGAGTTAACTGAGTTTTTTGGTGGAATGGAATTGGAAGCCTACTTTTTAACCACTGCACCACAGCTCCTAATTTGACGAGGGCCTATTTGACTATTTATTCGACTTTTTTCAAGAATTCCAAAAAGGCCATATCGTAGTTGCGCATTTTTGTTAAGGATCATATGTACGCAGGGTGTGAATATTACATATCGGGCAATACACCAAAAAATAAGTCTTGGCAGGGTTTCCTGCTCGGACCACTGCGTGGGGCCACTGAGACTACCACCTACCAACCTACCTACCTACCTACCTACCAACCTCCCTACCTACCTCGCTCCTACAGGGGGAAAATTTTCCCATTCCGGCGAGACGGGTGGTTTCGTGAGTATGTATGTAGGTACATATGCTCCGTCTACGGATGAGGGGTCTTCTACTCGTGGATTCCAGAGACGAGTTACCTTTGATAGAGCGAGGACACCAATAGATCAAGCGACATGCCGCTGAGTGGAAATAATCTTATCTATTGGTGTCCTCGCTCTATCAAGTAACTCACTTCTGGAATCCACGAGTAGGTTTCCCTAGGCCCCGCGAGCGTGAAATCTGCCTCACTCGAAGCTTTTTGGAAAAGGGTCGCTAAGGGACGGATCGGGTCGTTTGAGGATAGGTGGGTTAATCTTAGGGCGAGGTTGATTCGGAGGTTTCACGACGACGGCGGATTTGTTTCTTCGATTCGTTCGTCGATTGATTCGATGCGCGGCGGGTTGTGTTTGTCGGGGTGGTTTTTGGAGATGGATTAGTGCTAGGTGTATATATATATATATATATACATACATACATACATACGCGCTCCCTCTAACCCTCGCACGCCCCTCACGCCTTCCACTGCCCGACCGCCACGACCTGACTCTCCCACAACATCCGCCACGCATTCGGCTTCGCCCGGCTCCCACCCGTCGGGTCGTAATCGAACAGCATGTGCCCCGCGCCCGTGTTCTCCAGGGTGGTCTGCCCGCTGGGCGTCTTGGCGTCCTGCGCGTCGTACGTCCGGACCGTGGGTGCGACGCCGACGAGGCCGTTGATCGCGCTGACCATTTTCGCAATCTTGTCCGGGTACTCTTGGGTGCCGGGCTTCGCTTCGGATTCCGGCGTGTAGATGTAGGCTTGCAGGCCCGGATCGCCTTTGAAGTCGGCGGCGACGGAGGCGAGGGATGGTTGGCCTGGGGGGGGGAAGGGGTTTAGGATGATTGTTCGAGGTGGGTGGTTTGGAGGGAAGGGGTGGGGGAAGATGGGTTGAATGTACCTTTGTAGCCTGAGGTGAGGAAGTTGGTCACCTGGGTTGCGAATTGCAGTCGGTAGGTTGCTCCTTCCGGTTTCCCAAATGATAAGCTTTCCCAGTAGTGTCCTGAGAGGTTCCCGGCAAAGGTCAGCGCTGTGGATGGAACTGACGCGGACACGGTGATACAGATCTTACCGAGATAGACCCGTTTCTGACTTATGACAGCGAGCCAGGTGCATCCGCAAATCCCCCGCATGCCAAACGTGACAGTTGTGGTGCCGAGTGCACCCGTGACAGCTGTTGCGTAGTCGTCCGCGTTATCCACGTATGGAACAATCTCTTGACCCGTTTGGAGTGCGTCAACGTGGGTGATCATGTACTGGTCACGAGCCTTCTGGGTGTTTGGTGTAGGGGGAAACGGCTCGAATACCCGCTTTTGCAGCCAGGAACGATCCTCCAGTTGTCGCTTGCTTGAAGTGCTCGGCGTAGCTATGCCACACATCGAGCGGCAACCGAAGCCCGGAGGTGTGTCATCAGCCATAGGACCGTCCGTGTCGCGGGCGAAGAGTAGCGACGCATTTCTTTTGTTGCATTAGTCATGAGACTTTGGACGAAAGGCTGGTGTAGGGGGTATACCTTGCCTCGATATCCGCATATTCGTCGTCAGAGTTGGCTGATAGCTCCCTGTCGTTGTTTTCAGCTTAGATCCTTTCACATCAACGAGGAGGCTTCAGATCGATACCTCTCTTCAGGTGTAAATCTCTTGGAGTCGAGGACAGAACGAGCAACTGCAACCCATACACAGACCCCGAGCAGGGCTCCGAAGACTTGATGAGTGTGGAACCGCATATTGTGTTGAGGACAGACAATGCTGGCTTTCTCTTGACAACTTCTTTTCCAAGGATATGCGACACTCAATGAGGGCAGGTACTAGTTTTTGAGCCGAACGAAAGTCAGGGAGGGCACCAAGAGCCTCTAAAGGCCGCATCCTCTCGATATATTTGATTCGCCTCTAGTGTACTTGGTCCTTTCATTTCCACAAGCTGTACCAACACAAGAGACTCGGAGTACGTTGTTGGATAGAAATCCAATGACACGACTGCGGCCAGAGCTTGGCACACGGCTGTTTGAAGCTGTTGGGACAACGGACAAGGCCAAGGCGTGCGGGCCAACAGACTGCTATCCAGTAGTGAGAAACAGTTATAGAGCAAACCAAAGTCTAAAGCGTGTGTTCGGCAGATCAATGCATGAAACGACGACCCCAGCCGCAGGTTTGAGATGATCATACTTCCTCGCAAGCCTCACGATGTCGTATGTGGCACGAAAAGACAGCGAGATTAGAGGCATTCTGATCAAGTGTTGGTTATGAGCCACCTTCAGAGCAACACAATGGGACTAGCAGGTACGGGGCCAACATGGAGTGAGGCCGTTGTGATGGAAGAGGCCGTCGATACTGAGCCTCTTCACGCACGTACTCGCAGGCTGAAGAAAATCACAAATTAAGGAAGGAGAGCACCAACAAGATGTTGGGGTTCTGAAATCCGCAATCGAGGAGCAAGTAAGGCGGCGTAGCTGCATCCCGTAAGAGAAACAAAAGGTCCAGAGGTTGACTCTGTCCAAATAGTGAGATTTAAAGGAGTATAGTATTGGGCTCTCGAAAGACTCATCAAACCCTGTGCTGGCTAGCGAATTTGCCTAGGTCAAACAATTATACAGGTGTGGATAGGCATTGGGGGCATGAAGCTGCGTCAATGGCACAGGTCCTGTCGACATAGCCTCATGGCACTAGCTCCAGGTGAACGCCACACTAGCAGATCCTTTGATGGCATTGTGGAGCTAAAGAGCTGATACGTGTTTCTACTATACATAGTGATTAATTCGTACCTCGGACATGCACGCCACACACGGTTGCAAAAGGGCCGATGGAGGGTGTCAGAATGATTGTCTCAACTTGAGCGTTGGTGGAATTACTGGACGCCTGATTTCAATGCGCGTATTGGTATCACAGTGCTGATCTGACTAACAGCGGAGGTCGCAGCTGAATGTTAGCCTTACAGGTTCGCAAACCCTGCGATCGTCCGCGGAATTCCGTCGCTGAGCAGTGAGTAAGATGCAAAGTCAAAGACTTCACTTCTTTGTGCTCTCTTGAACCAAAGTCGTTTATGATTTGCAACAAAGCCACAAAAGAAGGGTTGACATTATGAGTTACATATGAGAAACACATATTACAGTATCTGACGCGTCATCGACTTGGACCCACACCCTCGATTTGACAATTAATATCCGGCCCTTACGCCTTAGCCAGACGCTGAAGAGTCAGGTAGAGTAAGTACCTATGATGGACTTGGAATCGGTTGTCTACTTTATTGTTTTGACATCGTATTCAACTCCCGTGGCTGCATCATCTGGCACTGCGACTGGGACGGTCGGCGGAGATGGTGGTGTGAAAGGAGGAATGATAGGTGCTGAGGTGAGGCTGAGGTGAGACTAGGTCTACCTAGAGGTTACAGCAGAAAGCAAGCTAGCAGGCGGCCCGGGCGGCGAAGCATATTCTAAGGTCCCCCCACGCTTGCCAACCTTCACCCTTAACCTTCATTTCCCATAGGCCGATGAAAGCATGAGAGTACCTTAGCTATGCTGCTTTAATAATAGTATTGTCATACTGTAATCCCTCAGGCACATTAGCTGCGACACGATTCAGATCCACTGGTCAATTTATCTTACCCAATCGGCGAGCTTTGCCCGAGACTAAAACTACTTTATCCTTCTTCTTACCCAACATCCACTTCTGTCTCAACAACCGACCGCTGCGTGTTGGCACATGCATTTTCTAAGCCTCCCGTCTGTGCTCCACATCAACCTCATGCTATCTGAGCTACAACACTCACGAGCAGAGTCATTTTCTCGTGATGGAATCTAAATTTGCTAAGGAATTCAACTTCTCCTTTGTCCATGTTGTCTAGACCCCAACCCGGCTCAGGTAACGCCGCCGCACATAGCAACCTCGAAAATAGACCCACGTTGGTGAGATGAAGCGTGCTCATTTCCATCCTTGTTTCAAGAGTTGATCTCTTGTTGGAAGAGTAAAGTAGAGCTTATCCATTGCCATGATGCTCCTGTCTGTAAGAATGAAGTTTTTCTTATCTCTACCTGCATTTGAGCCTCTCCTGGGTACATCTTTTGGACCGGCGCAGCTTCTTTCCTTTGTGCATCCAGTATGTATTACTTTAGGACACTCTCTTGCCCATTGCTACTTCTACTATTGCTGGAGTCTAGCCAAAGCAGCGCTCAGAGTACAGCGTCTGCTGCAACGACAGCTGCATCCTCGTCAGCAATTCCGCCATCCTGTATCCAGTCAAGAGCTCCCACAGCCTCGTCTGCAGCGGCAATACAGTCCTCACTTGCCAGCGACGCTACAATCAGCAAGGCCTGCGATCCTTCGATTCAACAATGGGTCAGTGGTAGCGGCACCACACAAACATACTATGCCCTTGACAGCGCCTATTTCTTCAATATCTCCCTTGCAGCGGGTGTCACTAACCGTCCACCTTCCCAAGAATGTGCAACTAACTTCAATGCTATCCTCTCATCATGCGTGGTGAGTCAAGACTATTGGGGAGGATGGATCGTTTCCAATGGAATGAATTACTCAAGTACGTGAGAGAGGATTATACTCGAAGTTTCATGAATACTGATATGCCCTAAAAAGTTAACTATACACCGCCAAGCCCAATGTCTAGTGCAGCGAGCAGTATATCAGGCAGTACCATGGGCTCAAGCGCCACTCCGAACTCTGCGTCTTCAGCATCTTCAGTCAGCTCTGCCTCCCCAACAAATGGCGCAGGTATCCCGGGCTCAGCGAGTAGTGTTCGTGCTTCTGGTATGGCAAGTGGACTGTCGAGCTCGAGCTCGAACTTAGGGCTTTTCCCCTCAAAGTCATCTTGGGGTACCGGTGTGACAGCGAGCACCGCTTCTCTTGCAACTACTGCCCATTTCGGTTCTTCAGAAAATCCGGCCAGCTCCGCTCCTTCAGCAGGTAGTTTGAGTTCTGTGCCAGGCTCAAGTGTCTATGTCTTCGATGGAGTTACTTTCACAAGTGGACCCTCTGGCCTTGTCGCTGGGACAGCCACGGTCCAGCCTGGAGGAAATGCCGTGACAATATCTAGTCATACATTTTCCCTCGGCCCCTCAGGAAGCTCGATGGCGGTCGACGGAACGATCAGCCCTCTGACTCTGGGAATCACGACAATGCTAAATGGTCACCCAAGTACATTAGCAAGCACATCAGTATCGTCTCCTACGTCATCAGCGGCAACGCAACCTGATCCCAGTGTCTATACTTTCGATGGAGTCGTCTTTACCAGTGGGGCGTCGGGACTAATTGCTGGGACTGCCACTGTGAAGCCAGGTGGACCCGCCGTCACGGTATCTAGCCACACTTTCTCACTCGGGTCTTTAGGGAGCACAATCGCTGTTGACGGAACATTATCAGCTCTAACACCACCTCAAGTGCCTAGTACCGCAGGCTCTGTCTCTATGTCAAGTCACAGTGCTAAACTGAGTGTCTATACCTTCGATGGGATAGTCTTCACCAGTGGTACGTCTGGCCTTATCGCTGGAACTGCCACCGTACAGCCTGGTGGACCAGCCGTCACTATTTCGAGCCATACTTTCTCTCTAGGTCCAGCGGGAAGCACAATCGCTGTTGACGGAACATTATCAGCTCTAACACCACCTCAAGTGCCTAGTACCGCAGGCTCTGTCTCTATGTCAAGTCACAGTGCTAAACTGAGTGTCTATACCTTCGATGGGATAGTCTTCACCAGTGGTACATCTGGCCTTGTCGCTGGAACTGCCACCGTACAGCCTGGTGGACCAGCTGTCACTATTTCGAGCCATACTTTCTCTCTAGGACCAGCGGGAAGCACAATCGCTGTCGATGGTACACTGTCGCCTTTAACGCCATCTCAGGCCTTTGCCACCAGCTCCATCTCAAAGTCTAGCGCCAGTCTTGGACCGACTTTCACGCCTCCCCCTTCCCCAGTCTATACTATCGACGGGATTGCGCTTACGGGAAATCCGAGCTCCGCTCTCACCATTGCAGGCAGCACAATCACACCAGGCGGCCCACCAGCTATTGTTTCAAGTCATACATTCTCAATCCCCGCTGCAGCCACCGGCAATGCAATCAACGTTGACGGAACCGTGACTCATCTTTCGACCCCAACGGCAACCAGTAGAGCCTCTCCAGGATCTACTAAGAGTGCCAGTTCTGCTCCCATGACAACCGGACCGTCTTCTATCTACACCATTGATGGTGTTACACTCACAGGCAATCCAACGAGTCTTGCTACTGCGAATTGGACTCTGACCGTTGGAGGCTCTGCCATGACAATCTCGAGCCATACTTTCCAAATTCCTGCTTTGGCTACGGGAGGTGCGATCAGCGTAGACGGAACTCTGACTACTCTACCCTCCCTAGGTGCGACTGGGACCAGGAGCTCAGGGGCCTTGATGGCAAGTTCGAGATCTTCAGCGGGAGACTCAGTACCCTCCACGATGAGCCAAGGATCTTCAGCCAGCTCACAGCCTGCCATTAACCAGTATACTTTCGCGGTCACTGCCACCAATACCGCCATACCCGCCGGTTTCTACGCGCAAGCCAGCAGTAATGCTGATTGGCATTCCAATACGTGGCTCACAACTACCGATAAAAGTGGGCATACAACAATCGTGCCCGTCCTCGTTGGATGCAAAGTATGTGGGCCCATAGGCGCAGGTATCATATTATGGGATCTGCCCCCGATTCCGGATATTTCTTTCTCATTCCCAAAGTTCAACCTGCCATCGTTCTCACTCCCGTGTATTCCGATTCCCTTCATAAAGAGCTGCAGTTCGCCAGGAAACACGCCGGAAACTGGTAGGTAGTGCCCTACTTTTGCAGTACGATGCTAATCTGGACTAGATATTGATGACTCAACTCCGGGCAGCGATCCGAACAAGCCAAATCCCAATGATCCAGATGGAAACCCCGACGAGGAAGAGCCGGATGAGGAGAAGAAAACGCAAGAGCAGCAAAGCGAGGAAAAGCAAACCCAGACAAAGCCAAGCAAGAGTACTACTCCATTAAGTACAACGCCTCTGAGTACTATGCCGTCGAGTACTACGCCTTCAAGTTCTATTACAAGTGGATCCTCATGTGTATTAAGTATCTATTCACTTACCCCCTTTACGGACCTCGCCACTCTAGACACGGGCGGAATCACCACATTCGGGAGCATGACTTCGTCAGGAAACGCCACCAGCGCATCCTCATGTGTATTAAGTATCTATTCACTCACTCCATTTACGGACCTCGCCACTCTAGACACGGGCGGAATCACCACATTCGGGAGCATGACTTCGTCAGGAAACGCCACCAGCGCATCCTCATGTGTATTAAGTATCTATTCACTCACTCCATTTACGGACCTCGCCACTCTAGACACAGGCGGAATCACCACATTCGGCAGCATGACCTCCTCCGGAACAACAACAAATGCATCCTCATGTGTATTAACTGTTTACTCCCTGACATCCTTCACGGATCTCGCGACGCTTGTGACGGATGATTCAACAGATACCGCAACAGCCTCTGCAAATGCGACAGCACCAATAACCCAAACCACCACTGACGCATCCTCATGTTTATTAACCGTATACACCCTGACACCCTTCACCGACATTGCAACCCTCGATACCGACGACGCCCCTACCCTAACTGCCACCCCGACCCTAGTTGCCACCCCGACCCTAGTAACCAACCCAACCCTGACCGCCACCCCGACCAAAACTGCCACCCCGACTACCACACCCCGCTCTATCACCTCCGCTCCGACCAGTACCCCCCAACCCGACTGCAGTGCACTAACCGTCTCCTGGTTCTCACCAACCGTATGGTGCCAATGCGGCGAAGACCAAGCCACTTACGCAGCCCTCCCCTCCTCAAGCGGCGCCTCCGCCAACTGCGACCTCACTGCCCTCCCATCCAAAACCATCAACCCCATCTCCGTCAAACCTGGCCCCACAAACATCCCCGGCGTCAATGGCCTCGACGGCTGTAACGCCGTCGACGCAGGCGACGAACAAGGTTGCCCCGGGGTCGACTACTGCAACTGCAATGAAGTCTACGTCGGTTTCCTGTCCGCCACTGTCTCCGGCACGGTGTCCCGAAACTGCGATTACACGCTCCAACCCACCGTAAATGACTGCCCCATAAACACACTCGCCCTACTCTCCGCCTCAGTCTCCGCATCAAAAGCCGCCGTTGCCCCAAAGCCTACCCCAACCCCCACAACCAGCTCATTCGACATGGCCAGCACGACCCTATCCTGCGGCGCCAAATTCTCCACCGACTCCGGCGCAATCTACACCTCGATCCCGCGCGCGCAAACGAACCAGATCCTCTCCAACATCGGCGATTTCTGCACCCCATCCGACAACGGCGTCGGCGACACCCTCACTCTCGTCAAAGGAAAACCAGCCTTCCACACCATGCGTTTCGACGCCCCGGGACTCATGCTGTATCAGTTCGAAATGCAGTGGGATCCCCGGCCCGAGTGCGCGAACATCCCGGCGCCGGAGATACGCGATGCGGTGCCCACGGGCCCGGATTATTGGTGTCAGGTGTATTTCGACGCGATTACGAACAGCTGCGATGCGGGGTCGGGCGAGGATAAGCATGGGGGGATCATGTACGCTGATTGTGTGATTTGGGGGTGGGAGGCGTATGACGGGTGTAGTGGGGAATTTGCGAAGGTTAACGATTGTTAGTAGTTGATGGTACTTGGTAGGGGGGGGCGAGGGTGGTGGATGTATATAGTGTGATTGGAAATACCCTTGAGTAGCGCCATTGATTTTCACCTCGATTATCATATATGATGCTCCTGCGCTCACGGCGTCAGAGCAAAGTATCACATTCCGTCCATCGTTGAGATCTCCCTTCATACTAAATAGAGTCTATGTTTGTATCCCATGCCCGCCTACACCAATCAAACCAACCACTCACCCAGCCTACGACTGCTCCCCCCTCCCCCCCCCAAAACACGCCCCTCCGTCTCCTCCTCCCATCCCATCCCATCCCATCACCCCTCCTCCACCCCCAACCACCAACTCCCCACTCTTCGCACCACTCCCGCCCACCCTCCTCCACACCCCCTCACCCAGCCTACCACTGCTCCCTCCCACCCACCCAAATACCCCCGTCCGTCTCCTCCTCCCATCCCTCCTCCACCCCCAACCACCAACTCCCCACTCCCGCACCCTCCTCCCACACCCCCCCACCCGTCCAAAACCCCACCACCCCTCCCTCACCATCGCCCCCACACCCACACCCACACCCACCCCTTATCACACCCACCCCTCATCAAACCCATCCCCCGATCATCAATCGCCAAAAAGCCACCTCTCTCTCCACCGTCTCCCGCCTTTCCACTCCTGGCACACATACCACCCAGCCCCCCCCCCCCCGCCCATCCCACCGCAAGTAGAAAAAAATCCGGTGTCGCAATCATGAAAGTCATCGCTTATGAACTGAGCGCACGTGGGTGCATACTATCCCGATCTATCCCGTCGTTCGTCTGACGACGTCCAGGTGCCGGAATCCAATCAGAGCGCGACCGGACGGGCATGTTTGGCGGGCGGAAGACGACGGAGGTTGTGTCTCTCTCTACTATTCATTGGGGGTTCTCTTGCGCTGAGGGTTTAGATCGTGTGGCATGGGATCGTCTATTCCTGTCGCACCCGTTCGTTCGCGATGAGGTTGTTGTTCGCTGTGACCGTGGTCTTGGTCTCTGTGCTGTTTTCGGATCGAGGCGCTAGGGTTTGTGGACGGTGGGTGGTTGGGTATATTCGGCTGATTGTGTCAGTCTGGGGCTTTGGGAGACGGTGGCGGGTTTGATGCGGATTGGTTGTGTTGTGTTTGTTGGGGTTCTGGGGGTCTGCTGACGAGGGTTGGAAGGGGAGAGGGAGGTTTTGGTCTGTTGGGTTGGGAAAGTTTAGGGGGGTCGATCGCGTCTGGGATGGAGAGATTGGTGCGGTGGGTGGTGGGTTTTTGGCTGGGGGTTAGCCGAGGTGAGCTCTTCGGGGGGATCCTTTGGAGCTCGGCGCGTTGAGTGTTGGATTTTTGGCTAGGAGTTGGCCAAGGTGCGCTCTTCGGGGGGATCCTTAGAATCTTCGAGACCGCATCTCGAAAGGGAAGAACGTCCTCAAGAGGTGTGATGGTGCTTCGGTGCTGATATCTAACTGCGTACGTATGCCTTCAAATCCGTTACGTCGTCCACCGTCATGAACCTCATCCTCCGCCCGCGTTCTTTGGATATCTCACCACGCCTCTCTAGCCCCATTTCTATCAAATCCCCGATCGCTATCATTTTGAACAGCATGAGCGAATCAAGCTGTCAGTCTTCCTCTCGTTCCATGTTTCAAATATCGATGCAATGCCACGCTCTGTCACCCATTCCTATAGCCTTTCCCGGTCCCCGAGCTTTTGTGATTCGGCTCATCCCTTCATTTCAACATTCCGATACCTGTTCCTTGCGATCTGTAACAAATCAGACGAAGGGCAAGTCGCTCACAGCCCGACAATAGTTGCAAATCTCCTGGAGTCTATTTTCTGTACGGCTCGCGATCGTGGTCGGTGAGTCAGGTCAGTCTCCAACATCTTGGTCTGCGCTACTCAAGTTCCACCCTTTTTGACGATGACGCCATGTTTGCTCTTCCTTCTATTTTCTTATGAGTTATAGTGACCGGAGTACGTAGGTCTATTATGTAAGTGGTGTACCAAATATCCTGAGCAAAGTCGACCGTGTTGAGGTGTCCCATATTTTCTGTGAATTATTTCATCGCGTCGTCCTTGACCACGGTGGTCTAGCGCTTATTGACTGTGAGTTGGGTTTGAACATTTGATGTCATGGTACTCTCGAAAGATGGCATGAGATTGTTGTCTTAGATCATTTGGCTTGAAGCTGAAGAGTCTTTCATGTTGGCGATAGTTGAATTCTGAATGTCTAACAGCCTGTTTGTCGGTTAGAGTGATGAAATCGATTGCCGCACTGTGTCCAGTGAGTTCAAGATATGCGAAATAGGCGAATGGAAGAGCCTTGAAAAATGCAAAAGTGTGGGGGAACAAAGACTCGAATATGGTTCTGACTCGGGAATTTGGTTAAGACCAGACAGAAAAGAGCTTGGCAGTGAGAAGCTTTAGACCACCTTCTTTCATGAGATTCTACCCCTGAAAGTGCCTCCAATGATTTCCCAGAACACATCTGCCCCTCAAATGGTTTCCGCTCCTGCCAACTAAGCAAATGTTTACACCGTCCCATTTAACTTCCCGAGAACTCGATCTTTCTTCTTTGTGTCAAATTTCAGACACAGCGGGCTGCTCCTCCTCCAGTGAGCCAAAGCACGGGATCCGGTCGTTGATCCCAGCAATCTTTGGCTTCTTCTCAGCCAGCCTTACAACAGCACCGGGTTACAGCCCGACCACCAGTGTCACAGCAAAGAGTTCAAGCCGATTGGTTTTCTCCACAACTTGGTTCCTCTAATCCAAATGTGCCAACACTTCAGGGCACAATGCCCTCAACGTCGGGATCATACTTCTCATTCATCCCTATTTTCCCCCATCACTCCTTGTGGTCGGCAACGCGCACACCTGTAGCCCCATCCCTATTAGCTCTCCACACACCGCCCTCATCTCCATCAAATTCTTCCAACTTCCACACCTCAACCTTCTCTTTACATTCTTCCAACGCCTCTTCACCTCCCCTCCACGCATCTTGTCGATGAGGAGCAGACACAGCAATCAGTATACTTTCCTCACCGATTGGAACAACTCCTAGCCGATGAATCATGCTGATGGCCGTCAAGGAGTGCTTTTCTTTCACGCTGCGCGCAATCGAAAGCATAGTTTGGAGAGCTCGTGGCGGGTAGGAAGTATACTCTAGGTGCGTGACGGGCTTGCCGTCGAAGTTGTCCCGTGTAGTACCTGGTAGCTTTTAGATGGATGTGGGGCTGAGGATGGTTTGAAAGCCTACCAGCGAAGAGCACAATTGCGCCAGCTTTGGGGCTCTTGACCTCAGCCATGATAGAGAGGGGATTGAGGATGTCGTGAGTCAGGGCCACAGATGTGCATTCCTCTTCCTGACGGTGGCCTGCGTTCGGACTGTCCGACATCTTCGGAGCAAAGCTGGCGTTCTGAAAGGTCGCAGTCTTCGGAGCCTCTCACTTGCGAAACCAACTTCCCACCTCGCCTACCAATCCCAACTGCCCATCGGTGTAGCCTGGAGCTCGCAGCTCCAACTTGTGTCTGGCTGCATTGTTGGTGTGATATGAGCAGCCTGTAGCAAAAAGTCACCCGAGATAAGTGAAATTCGTCACTGCAAGATGCTGGAAAGCGCGCTAGTGTAGATTAGATTAGGGCATTCGACCTGAGACTCCTCTCAAGACTAGAGAGTGCAAAGTGAGTGCAGTCATGATAAGATGGATTCACCACGCTACGAAGCAGGCAGCACCTCCTTGGTGAGACGAATTGTCAGTTTCCCAAATGAAGTCTCTCTTCCACCGTCCAAAGCCCCATCGACCAAGCTCGACAGCAGTATCTACAACAATGTCTCAAAAGGCTGGATTGTACCAAGAGCATACTAATATCCCCAAAGCAGATCTACCTATCGTCGGCAACTGGGATAGTGCTAACACCACCATTGGCGCGGGCGTGGCTATCTTCCACCTTGCCTCTTCTCGTGTGGTTCTCTGCTACCACAGCACGAACAATTACTACTTTTTGCCCAAAGGCCGCCGAGATGCTAGCGAGGATACGGGTTCCGGTGCCGAAAGAGAAGGATTTGAAGAAGTGGGTGCCTTGCTCAACTGGGACCTGCGCTACGACTGTGTGTTGACTTGTGCAAAAGTCAGGCTACCGCAACCGTCTTCTCCCTCTTCCAATACCCACTCGCCAACCCAAAGCCCACAATCCCTCTCCATCCAGCGCAGCAACTACGCCCTTTGTGACTGAGCCTGTCTGGACTCAATTGGTTCCCGTCACAAGGACAGCGCAGTATATCCTCTTCTGGTACATAGCCGAGACGGTGCCCCCAGATCTTGAAGTCTCACTGTCAGCGCAGGAGAAGGAGCAAGGCATGGCTTACCAGTATCCGCCCAAATTCAATCCCGAAATGACTCTCAGGGAAAGGATGGAAGTGGAACGAGAGGGCTATGAGCCAGTCAGACACGAAAACACAGGGGTGGATGCCGAGGAGGCGTTGTACGAGAGTTACCTGATGCCTGTAGAAGAAGCTATTGAGAAGTTGGGGAGGGGCATCTCTGCGGACGTGGTGAGAAAGGGATGGGAAGCCATTCAACTGAAACATAAGATGGAAGACGGTCGGTGATAACTCAAGAGCACAGCGCTTGGTACCTGGGGATCGCAGTGTTGGAGTCGTATTCATACCTGACTCAACAGGCAATGGTCTGAGTGAGATAAGGGACCTTCTGTCTGAAACTCCTTACACACAGCAGTAGAGGACAAAAATGGGCGGAAAGTACCCTTAAGTCTTTGCACACCCTGTGAACAACCTCTAGATTTAGCAGTGCATAGTTCAGTCCCTTCCTAAAGTCCCTGTTGATAGACTTGCTGCCTTTTATATGCGGCTATAGTGAGTCGTTCTACGCTTATAGCCGATGAAACTTTAGAAGCAGGCTCGATGATTCGCACATTTGAGACGGGGATGGTTCCGCTTGTCAACAAGGTTGTAATCCTCGACTCGAAGAGATAGGTTCAGCAGGAAGTGAGAATGGGTTGAAACTAAAAGCAGGGCAATCACGGTAGCTCGCTTAGAAAAGATACAATTTTTGTTTTCTCACCTACGTCCGTAGACTCTGCATTCATCAGAACACTTATGGTAAACGTGATTTGCCCTTCGCGCCCCTCCAACCCTCTTCTCCCATTTGCTTACAAGCACCGGTGTCAAACACCTCAGAAACCCCCTATGGCGGATGAGTAGACCAGAGTTCGAAAGGCCCACCCAATATGTAATAATGCTATTCACAGCCGTCAAAGTATGATTGGGACTGTCTGAGCGCGACACGTAAAACACAGATCGGCAGGGGAATGACGGAGTGAACGCAGCACACGAGATGTTCACGAAGTATTGAACGCCCTTAGTACTCTGTTATCAGAGCTGCAGATAGTTTGAGCCGCACACAGATGATGCTCGGGGTGCACTATCCTAGTCGGCATTCTGTGCCGAACAGCCTCGGGTCAGATCTGAATCTCGAAAGATTAACAGAACATTGCGGCTCAAAGTGTTGCCCAATATGTGATTTGGTTCGCATTTGGCACGGATTTGGCCCGCAGCGTTCTCGAATGCAGCAAGATGATTGCCTACTACACACGTGACAACTTAGATTGAAGTGCTATTTTTTCTTTTTCAAAAAAGTGGAAAGGCGCAGAAACGCGAAAACCTATGCTTTTTTTGCAGCTGTATCCTACCCCACTCTCCAAATCAGCTCATCTCGCTCTTGACCGATCTATCATTCGACAAGAAAAATGCCACTTACCAAATACACCTGATAGAACTTCATCCTCCAGCCTCCCAAGCCGCCCACTCCGCCCTCTGAGCCACTATTCACCAGGAGCGCTCTAGCAGCCCAGTCTTTGCCATCACTACCGCCTTCTTTAAACCCGTACTCTACAGTACCGTAGAGCATGACCTCCGCTTCAGACTCTGACACCGGAGCAAAGGGAAAAATCTTTGTCGGGTGGTGGGAACGGGACGAGACTGCTGACCACATGTTCTGGCGGAGGGAGAGGATTCCTGCTGTTTTGCACGCGTCAAAAGCAAGCAGAGTATACAACACAATACAAAAGCGGGTTTCAAGCCCTTGGAGCAGGCCCTTTTTCTATATTGAATGCAAGTAGAGCAATTCGGAATAAGCGAAGAGACCTCCTTACCATCAGACCCTTCCACCTTGGTACTTGCCATTACTAACACGGCATCTTTCGTAAAGCAATCTACGTACTTCTCATGTGCCTCAGGCGTGTCGGATATCTTGTAAAAGGTTTTAAAGAATTGGTGGAGCGAAGAAGGGACTTCGGGAGTGGAGGGATAGGAGGATTTATATTGGTCCATTGTGCTTTGCTCTGCTTGGGTAGCTGCTTAAGACTGGGGGTGATAAAGGGAGGATAAATGTTAGGAGGGTCGAAAATTTAAGACCAGAAGCCATTCTAATGAGATACTTGAGGAGAATCGCGGAGGGAGAAGCCGAAGGTCCGGGAGTGACGTTTGAGGTGCCAAGCCATCGGAAATGTACCCGGCCTTACCTGATTTAGGGTCTGCGCGCTTTTGATTCGCGTACAATGGTATAAACCAATACCATAGAGCGTAGGATCCGCGCCACTTTTGATTCGCGTACAATAATTTTCCGCCTCGAACTGGGGGAGCGGGTTTTGGATTTGCTGACTCGGGAAGTACCGACCCTTATGTAGCTGTTCCAGGACAGAGCAAGAGCTCGAAGCTACAATTCAGCGCTTGGAGGAGAAGATGTCCGACAAACGCCTGGCGACCATGATCTGTGAGACCTGCCTAAAGATGTTCCAAGGAGATCTTTGGCTGCAGATAGATGTAGATCTTCCAGAGAACGAATACCCACGTCAGAGAATCCGTCACACAACAGAGCACGGTTTGCGCCAAGCAGCTAGGGAGCATTGTCAGATCTGCACGTTGATCTGGCGCGCACTGTTAGATAGTGAGGCGAGAGCTCCGCAGAGAGGCTCGAGCTTCACGCAATATAGATTTCGGGATATCGTTCAATTTTGCAGTTTTTTCTGGGCACGGAAAAATCGTGTCGACGACGGAGACCCATTGCTACATATATGTGTGTGGTACCTCTTTATTCATTAAAGTGTCCTGCTCCGTTTTTGAATGACACTGAAACTGGGCTGATAAACGTGTAGTTCTCCTAGGTCCTTCGTCGTCAGGCTTACATCCAATTCCGCAAGAACGAGAGGTAGCTGTATCGGACAATACTGCATCTACTGATTGTTTCATTCAAGTTAGAAGCTGGATGTCAAATTGTCTTAGATATCATCAACAATGTGGACGATCTGATCACCGAGCACTATACAACTTTTATCCGACACGACTACTTGACCTGCAGCCACAACATACTGACGTCGAACTTTGCCTGTGCATAACCCATCAAAATCCACCAGAGACACCTTACATGACCCTTAGTCATTGCTGGGGCACTGCCAGGTTCTTCAAGCTGACTAGTACGACATCGAATACCTTAAGGCGGGCTTCAAACTCAGAGAGCTTCCTAGAAGTTTTCGGAAGGCTATCCAAGTTACAAGGGAGCTTAACATTCGCTATTGATGGATGGATGCTCTATGCATTCTTCGACTCGACGGAGGACTGTCGTTACGAATCCGCTACGATGATGGACGTTTATCAAAATACGCACTGTAATATTGCAGCAGCGGATGCTTCTTACAGCGAGCAAGGTTGCTTCTTCTATCGTGATCTTTCACTCATACCTCCAATAACGGTTGAAACGCGGTGGAACAACTTCGCACATAACGGATCCTACCATGTGCACCCTAGTACTTTTTGGAAACTTCATCTTGAAAAGTCCCCGTTGAATTGAAGAGCATGGGTTGTCCCAAGAGCGTATTTTAGCTTCTCGTATTATACATTACAATCAAGAGCAGTTATTTTGGGAGTGTCTCCATCTCGATGCGTGCGAAACCTACCCAGATTGCTTTCCGCGACCCACGTCAATCCTACGACTGAAGAGCTTCGATTTAGACACAGAAGTCTCAAGTGATAAAAAGCGCGCTCTGGGATCCCGGCGCAATGTTGTGGCAGCTTGTAGTGGCCGCAATTTGACCAGAGCCGAGGAGGACAAGTTGGAAGTCTCAAGTAATAAAAAGTACGCTCTGAGATACTGGCACAAGATTGTGGATGCTTACAGTGGCTGCAAGTTGACCAGAGCCAAGGACAAGTTGGTGGCGATATCGGGCCTTGCAAAGCGAGTGCAATCGTTCTCAGGCGATGAGTACTTAGCCGGTCTATGGAAGAAGGCTCTGCTATATGGACTTTTGTGGAGAGCTCAGTGGGAGGATCTCATAGAAGAACACGCTTCCTCTCAAGCGCCCACCTGGAGCTGGGCAAGTATAGAAGGGTTCATATTCTATGACGACCTCATGATTCCCTGGGACGATGAAGAACACCTCTCCATTAAAATTGTCACCATCTTGGCTTCGGGTGTTATATCTGTTGCACTGATGTCACTGGACAAGTCAAAGTCGGTTTCACCCGCTTGAGCAGCACTTTGATTGCAGTCCGTATCAGAGAAAAACAATCTAGCCTTTCCCCAAATTTTGATTGTATCCTCGATTTGCCGGTTTTCAGGCACGGTGGCTACTGGTACCCAGCTTTCCATTTTGAGATAATTAAATGCCGAGCAGGGACTTTCGTTTTGCCAATTTGGATAGTATTAATTGATGGGGAGGGAAGTCGAAGTCTAGTACTCAAAACTGTGGATTCCGTCAACATCATCTACAAGCGAGTTGGCTGCTTATTTCCCGGGGAAAGGAAAACCAGATACGATGACATTGGCTGGCCCGATGTGGTGGCAAGGTTCGATAAGCAGACTTTGACTCTATTCTGAATGAGTCCAAGCCTCCAGTTCATGCTATTCGACCTCGATATTGTGGTAAGGCGCAAATCGCACAATCTCTTATGTAATGCAGAAACTCTACCTAGCACACAAGCACAAGTCTACTGTTCCTCGTCAAGGCCCCGAGAACGAAATTCTCAAGCACTTTGGCACTGGTTTTCGAAAGACCGCAGAAGTCAACATTTCAGTTTGAGATTACACCGAACGTTCGGTCGCGAATGATTGATATTTCACAATGGCATCACACTCGGCAAGGCCCATCTCTTTGCATCTTCATGCTAGCTCTGGGTGTTTCAAAACTGCCTGCCTGTATGTACCTGTATGCAATCCGAGACAGCCATTCACCTCGCCCGCTTACTTGTAGACCTTCCCTGGCGCAGCTGTTGACGAAGTATCATAGGTGGGAAAAGCCGTTGGATCGCCAAGACAGAGAAGTCCGGTTCGATTGCTCTTGACGCATCCTATCGAAGTTTTACCATACGGCATTTGCAGGTTTAGTACCATGATTGAAAGATTGGCATCAAAAATTCCTGCGCACGATGAACATGATTAATTTCACAACTATAATTTGGATCGTAAAATTTTTATGTATAGAGTAAAACACTTATCGCTGCGACTTCAGCGCTGTTACAATAAATCAAATCTACAAGAAAATAATTAACCTGTAGAATTATAAATATATTAGAATTGCGAGCGAGGTCAATCGAGAATTCTTTTTTCTTTTAGTCTCTAGATACTACTATACCAGTAATCTGAACCTAAATGTTTTCTATTGAGAATTCTAGTTAATACTCTTACGACTCCAACTCCGCTAGAAATACCAAATTCGAATTATGGTAATAGATTTCATAATCGGATCCGCATAGGAATCTCTGATGCAACCGGGTTGAATACGCTAAATACAGTGCGTGGCCGCCCCGGGAGAGCTCCGCTTAGCGATCGCGGGGCTAATTATGTGGCCCGATCGGCGGTCAGTTCGGGGCAGATTTCCGGCTTCTAGGCAACGAGCAAGAGAAGCGCCCGGGTGAGATTAGTACGCCATTCAGAATCGCCCTCTTCCACGCTATATTGTCGTTGTCGAAACTCACGCGGCGACAAGGCAGTGCTAGACGGTCGACTGCATCCTTACAGCTGCCGAGGTAGGTATGAGCGGGGCAAGGTAGCTCTGAGGGGAGCGCACGTTGCGCCAGGCTGTTGTTCTTCTTCTGCACGCTTCTGAAGCGTGGACAATGAATCCGAGGGATCGGTGACCGTGGAAGTCGGCTCCCATTGATTGGTAGCATATCTCAATGGAAGACGTATGCCAAGTATGGTTTCTGAGAGCAGAAGCCTATCAAATTCTGTTGCCCTACACCCTAAATGCAACGCCTATCGTGGCTGGAAGAAAAAGGGCTGGCTGCATTTGCCCCAGCTGAGCTTGTTTGTTAAAAAGCACAGACGTTTCTAGCGTCCATTTCATTCTTCACATCTAGGGATCAAGCAGAATCACAAGCAAATGGCTGATCGTTATCACATCCACGAAGGTCAAGAACCTTCTCACAGCAATGCGCATCTCCAGGAGCTGGACAGAGCGAGTCCGAGAAGATTCGTACGCCCCTCACCCGGCAAGGGTTTTGGTGGCTCGTGACAGCGATTTCCTGCGCTTTCATCCTTGTAACGATCAGGATCTTTGAACAGAAGGGCAATATCACGATTCTCAGAAGCATAATTTCAACACAATCATTACAGAATTGATTCTAGGGCTGGGACTGAACTTCTTTGTCGGTCATCAGTCTCATATCCTCGACGAGATGCACAGAAGCTCATCAAGTCATGGTCTTCCAGGAGGTGTTCAAGTCCTTCGCTATAGCCTCTCTCGAGAGAATTCTAGCGCAGCCGTACCTCAGCGATCAAGAAAAGGATTTGATTAGAGATATTGATAGCCTGACCATTGTTTGCGTACTTGCGTGGACATCCCGTAAAAAAAGATTATGCTGTTCTGCGTCGCTTGGGTAAGTCACTCGTCAGCCTCCTGAATCGAAACTTTATACGTTCAACATGGCATAAGCTTTTGCTTAGACTCACTTTCTACAAGCGAATAGAGTTTTCTAAATTTGCATCTTGCTTGCTTTGCGTGCACGCGTGTTGGCTTCGAGCATGCCAGATCAAGACCCCAAATCGTGCAGTAGACATCCGATGTCGAAGGAAATTGCTAACAAGGGTCCTAGATCTTTATGAACATGTACCCCTCCATTAGACATATTCGAACTACCTTTGCATCGCCACAGCTGAACCCCCAGCGATGCCGGAACCATCAAATTAAAAAACAGCGCGAAATGAGTCCGTAGAGACGTTGTGATTGACCACCGCCTTTTCCGTGCATGATCAAAAACTGCTTTCGTCGCAAGTAGCGGAAATATCAAAGCCGTGAATAGTACCCGAGACTGTATTGACATCTTTGAGGCTTTAGAATTTGTTCTCACTAACGTTAACGAGAACAAGAAGCTCACGCAATCTAAACGTGTCTGGCTAACATCAGTTTTCAGCAAATTCCCTTCTACTTTTCTACTAAATCGCGCGAATTTATCAAAGGTAAGTACCCATCGGTCCCTTCCTACAGCTTGAACGTAGTATTCACTCCAGTACCGAGCGACGTGAGAGAGACCTCGAAGATAATGGGTAGATGGGACGTTACTGTGAAGCTTCCTCAATTAGCAATCGTCCATCGAAGATAGGCTACCAGGAGAAAATCTTCACAACAAATACCAACACCATGTTCGCAAGTCAAACACTCATGCAAATTCCATCAACGTCCGCTTAAAACGTCGGTCAGAAACTTAGACCCCGATATCACTTCCATCTCCTTTTTTTAGCAATTCTTTCCTGGCCGATAAAGTAAGTTGAAAGAGATGCCCCTTTCTAAGCACAATCAACAACTCGCCCCAAAATCTTCGCTCCATTAACGTTGACACAAAGTCTGCACTCAGAAGTTGATTAGGAGAAGCGCGGAGGGAGAAGCCGAAGGATTGGCAGTGACGTTGGAAATGCCAAGAAGACGGAAATCTGCCCCAACAGGAAACGGTGCAAAGGCTACACAGCGGCTGCCGCACTGCCTCGAAAAGGAAGGTAAGATACGTACGCTGTGAGCCTCACAACCGAGATCGTACAGAACCCGTGTAAGGCAACCTGTGAAACTGTTCTATTTCACAATTTAACCGTTATATACTCTCAAAAGTAAGACGCTTTGTTTCGTTGGAATACCTGAGACTAAGAACACGTTTGTCCGAGGTCAGCTTGCGTCTGTTATCCTCATTGTAATTTGACAGCCTCTGACCGTCTTAAGATTCTCACTATGGTTGGAGAGTACGCCTGAGCTTACTGCGTTCCAGCGAGACTGGAAGGGGAAAGGTGGGGTGGAGAACCTCTCTATTAGCTGGTACTTATGCAGGGTCTCAGCGGGCTCTCAGCCTTTCACACACAGTGCCTCAGCCTTACTTTGAAGTGGTCCCGCCAAAGTCGTGGACACCCACTACCATCGTTGGCCCAGCTATCAAAGGTTGCCATAGATCACAATCTTCGAAGTATGATTGCGCCACGGCGATGATTTTATCAAGGGTCTACAATACATCTCAGTATCTTCACGGTATGGCTGACCCGCCCTCCGCCAATGCTAGTGCTGCATCCATTGCTGGCCTTGCGGACGTCAGCTGTCGTCTCGCAGGCTTGGTCTATAACTCTTCTCAGGCGTTCAAGGAGGCACCCCGGAGCATCAAGAGTCTTTCGGAGGAACTCGAACAGCTTCACAGTCTACTCCAGGAAGTTCATAGCCTTGTGAAGCGTTGAAACAATTCCCTACTCGTTGGGGAGAATGGACTGTTTATCGCAACAGTGCTGAAGTCGAGAAAATTACCGCTCCATTCCAGAAAGAATCAAGTACACTGAAAGATGCTGCAAAACGTATTAAGCGCGTTATGGAACTGCAAGAAATCGATACACACTGTCAGGCTGTCGATGGAATGGGGCAGCGCATTGTTGTCGCAATCTCAGTAGTCGGACGGTACGGACATCCATGAGGATGATACGGTCTATACTGACTCCTTACAGCCAACACCATATAATAGCAGGGAGGAACAGAGGGTCTTACAAACCCAAGTAACAGGCGCACGGGACGTTCTCCAAGCCTCCCTCACGGAGATCAGGGGCCTGGTCTCTACCGAGCTGAGTATCGTTCGAAATGGCATCGAGCAATTTGCTTCCAAGGTGACTCTGGGCCAAGATGAGATACAAACGAGCTCGCGGTTGGGTCATGACCATCTCCGTTGGGAAGTTCAATAGACTGAAAGCAGAAGCTCCGGCGGACTGAGAACAATACGAAACGAGGTCCAGGTCGTCAGTCTCCTCACACGCAGAGCTCAGCGGCAGAGCAGTCAGCACCAACGTAGATTTAATCAGGGCATCAATCAGTTGGAATCGACGCTGTCACAACTTTCATCATTACCGATGGAGCCCCATATTAACCATTCGGAGTCCGCCTTGGCACAGCATCCCCGCCTTGACTCGCTAACGCTCTCGTTGGTGCTAATGAGGTCAAGCCTTTGTTCTGCGGTTTCCCAGCTCCATTCAGCGGTTCCTGCGAAAGGTTCCGAAGAAGCAGTGAAGTTCTTGCTAGACGAGTTTGGACGATGGGTCGCTTTTGGCCATGACGCTTTGGCATTTCGCAATCGTCAAAGCCTCGAAAATTCCGACGGCGACAATGGACGACTGCCAGGGTTGAAAACTCGTACCTCGGCATTGCGCAATTACTCTCTCGACGATGATATCTTCTTGACCGACAATGTGACTCCAAAGAAGCATTGGCGGACATTATCTCACTTCAGTACCTCCTTGACTATAAAAACCTAGAACACGATCAGGACTAACAAGACACAAAGCCAGATTGCTCAATAATCGATAGCGATAGCGATAGTGAGTCTTGTTGCCTTGGAATCTTTGAAGAAGAGGAGACAGACGACGAAGAAGTGGTCATGATTGAAGACGGCGAGACGGTCTCCAAGGAAGAAAATCATTACATGAAGACTGCTCTCCAATCCAAGACCTCAGGGGCTACTGAGTCACAACCTATTCTCGAAACGGATGTTCCACCAGCAAGCCTTGGGCTTCACGATAACGACGTCATTGCCCTAGGTCAGCACCATATTTGGATGTGAGTTGAAGAGTGACAAGGTAAGGATGGCTCATGATATGCCCGAGCAAAACAGGGTTTGGCAAGTTTTGGATTGAGTAGGACAGGTGGCGAAGCAAACATACGGGCCCATGCGATACTATCGTGGATGTTGGCCATGGTGTCTTTAGCAAGGGTGATCTCGGGCCATGAATGATGGTCTAAGGCTGACGGGAACTTGTACGAGTAGCGGGATCTGCCATGTTCAAATGGATTTTTTTTGGGTTGTAGAAGGTCATAAAACTATCGCCATGAATCATCAATGCTAGAGATGAAGGTATCAGCATACATTGCCGGCACTAAGTACAAACGTTAAGTCCGCCTTACCTATAATCACTGGCTTGGAAGGAGGTCCCTCTTTCCGGTCGTAGGCGTCCGCCTGGATTTCTAGATTAGCGACTGTCTTATAGATGTAGGTATCCCGTGTCGTGACTTTCAGCTAGCTTTATTTGTGCAACACCATTAAGAAATAGCAGGCCGCTGGTCCTGAACAGTGGTGCCAATGATTCGGCTCCGTGTGTTTGACATCTACCCAGAGCTTCCAATAACGTCTGCGCCCCCTTTCACTGGACACATCGATATCCGGCTCTTCTGATAATCCTACCTTGTCGAATCTACACCTTACGCCTCCGCCTCATGTCAAGCCATCCGTATACCGGAATTTTCCTCGTACCAGAGAAGCACATAGGCCAGTCGGGCCCGTTCTCCGAGCGAGCAAGACCGCAGCTGCTTTTTCCTTAACGGCCACATCCAGAAGCACTACGCGTGCGGCCGAGAAGTCTATCTTCTTGGCAAGTCGGGCGCGAGGATACTATGTCCTGGCAGGTAGTAGGATCCAAGGGGGCTGCCGACCGAATATATGAAACCCATTGCTTTCAACATGGACCAGTCGACAATGAAGCGATCTATAGTAAACAAATTTCCTAATATTAGAATGTCTCTTTCTTAGACAGGTCTGTGGATTCGTAGTATTATAAACCTGGTCAGTAAAAGTTGATTGCGACGCTTCAAAAAAGAAAACAAGAAAAAACAAGAGTCAATATTCTAAATCCCTGGGCGCTGCTTACGAGAATTCCAAGGATATCCCTGCACCATGGATGGCTGTGGAATATTTAGCGAAATAGTAAAATTTTGGTTGAGTTGCGACTCCCGTGGCGCAGTGGTAGCGCGTCGTTCTTATATGTGGTCGTTGCACCAATATGGCATCATTTGCAATGCGAATGTCGTGGGTTCGACCCCCACCGGGAGTATGTGTTTTTTTTGGTTTTGCTAACTACTAACTAACTAACTAACTAACTGATTTATTTGTTTGTTTGGTTTTTGGGGGTTTGGATTTTTTTTTTGGGTTTGCGGTGTGGAACCATGAAAAGGTATCGTTTGGGGTGGGTACTTCCGTGCCAAGAAGACAAATTTTCGGCTGCACAAGTAGGTATCATGAGTCTCAATGATAGTCAATCAATACAGCATCTTCGCGCACGTCCTTTCAAATTCGTTGGTGCAGGCCCAAAGCCGAAAGAGACTGCATACAGCAACAAGCTGCTCTAATCCTCTATGCAGGGACAGACAGAACCGGCTCATCAACGCATGCATCATTGTATGCATGAGCATCTGCAACACCAGCGCACCCTGAAGGTCTGCCGATCCTGATTTTCCCAATCACTTAAGGGTTCTAGCCGGGCCCGATTATTCATCACCAATGATCGAAATTGAGCTCCGCGCAATCTCTTCAGGTGCGTTACTGGCTCAGAGGTCAGCAGTCAGAGCTGCCCTATCACAGCACCCCGCAGCCATCTGTTTCGTCGGCCGAGCAAATACAGTGTTATATATAGCAACACTGGCTTTGGTAACAATAAACCCACCAATGAATATCTCTCAGCATGATCTGGACGAACCCTGAACCCGTTGCAGACATCTCCCTGGATTTACATATCCGGGTCCCGCAGAAGTTCGCTGCGCGTTTTGAAACCCAGTGTGTACCGTACTGCTTCGCGATCTCATATCTGAGACGACGAGTGCGGTGAAAGACGATGCTTTAATTCATGTCCGAACCAAAGCGATGGAGGAAGTGAAACTCCTTGACTTGACTTGGTTTTCTCAACCCTTCTTTCAGAGACTGGTGGCCATGAAGCCATAGCATACAGCATACAATCTATCTCCATGACATCTTTTGCGCCATCAGGGGAATCCTGAGTATTTGGCAAATGGTTGGGTCTTGCAGGTGCTATTGCTGGATTTTGGGAAATTAAAGTTGCATTCACATTCGTCTCGAATAGCATGTTTTGTTTAAGCTGTTGTTTAGTCTCGGCCCAGAACGTTCGACTTTGGTGTGTCTACTCATTGTAATGGAGTATTGTGGAACACGGTTCCTGTTTTGGTTTCCATTTACATTCCACTCTTCGCTTCTAAAGCTTTTCCGCACCCCAAACGAGCCGGAAAAGTAAACCCCTCTCATTGCCGATATGGATGTCTTCTTGGTGGTTGTCTTAGCCGCCATTACACTTGTCGCAGGCGAAGTCCCAGGCTATTCAATTGGTGTTGCGAATCGTAATGCAACCTTTGACTACATTGTAATCGGTGGTGGCACAGTAGGCCCACGGTCGCTGCGCGTCTCGCTGAGGGCACATCGGATAAGGTTGCGATCATTGAAGCAGGCGGCTTCTACGAGGTTGATAGTGGTGAAGCAAGTGTGATTCCAGGCGAGGCCTTTGCGGGAATTAACACAGCCTCCGCTTTTTTGGGGTTTTGTGACAACCCCTCCGGCCTTGGGGGAAAATCAAGAAACTACCTTGGTTATCAAAGGGATGCTATATCTCATCAATACCTATCTTTACGCAGCTGACCGGAATAAGTGCAGGGGTACCAGGGAATCTTTTCAGAAGTGAGCTGATACTGTTGGGAATGATACCTACACATTTGATAGTGTTTTGCCATACTATAAGAAAAGTGCGACATTAACATCTCCAAACTACTCAAAGCGCTACACCAACACCACCCTCAATTACAACCCCTTATATTTTGATGATGCTTCGCAAGGGCCGCTCCAGGCAGGTCTCGTATTCTAATTGGGCTTCTCCATTTGCCTCTTGGTGTCAAAAAGGCCTGTTAGCCATCGGTGTCATGCCCAATGACGGTTCCATTGATGGTAGTCTTTTCGGATCCATGTGGTACACAGCAACTATCAATCCGGCAGGCGGAATTCGTTCGTCATCACAAAGCGCCTTTTTAAGCCAGGAGATACAGGGTTCCTCATTACAGGTATATACATGAACGTTGGCGAAAAGGATTTTGTTCAACAGAAACGAAACAACAACTGGTGTCGTAGTCACAAGCAACAGCTTTGCGTATACACCCAGTGCGCGGAAAGAGGTTATCCTATCTGCAGGCGCCTTCCAGTCTCCCCAGCTACTGATGGTGTCTGGCATCGGGCCCTCGGATACTTTGAAGCAATACAACATCTCTCTCATCGGAAATCTACCAGGTATCGGCCAAAACATGTGGGATAGTCTCATCTTTGGGCCATCATACCGAGTCAATGTAGTCACAGACTCACAAATTTCGCAAATTCCCCAGTATGCCGCTCAAATAGCAGCCCAGTATATCAACAACCAAAGCGGACCGCTCACTTATGCAGCCGGCTATGCAGCGTAGGGAAAGCTCCCCTATCGATCCACCTTCCGAGCCTCAACCAACGCTTCCCTTGCCTTTTTTCCCTCGGACTGGCCCGAATTAGGCTACCTCCCGGTAGAAACCTACACAGGCTACCCCTCCAAGCCATCGACCTCCATGCTCAACGACAGCTTCAACTACGGAACCATATTCACCGCCCTCGTCGCCCCTTTATCCCGCGGCAACGTCACCATCAAATCCAGCGACACATCCGACCTGCCCATCATCAATCCCAACTGGCTCTCGCACCCCGCAGACGCGGAAGTCGCAGTCGCAGGCTTCAAGCGCGCTCGTTAAATTTTTCAAAGTATGGGCGACATCGCCATCGGCCCCGAGAAGCTCCCTGGGCCCGCCGTGCAGACGGACGAGGATGTTCTCGCTTTCACCCAGCAGAGAGAGCAGTTCCCAGCTGTATCATGCGTCAGCGACCTGTGCCATGGGCAAAGCGGGGGATGCGAACGCGGTGGTGGATTCGCGGGCTAGCGAATTTGGCGTCCGCGGATTGAGAGTCGTGGATGCGAGTGCTTTTCCCTGTCTGCCCCCGGGTCTGCCGCAAAGTACGGTTTATGTGCTGGCGGAAAAGATCCCGGACGATATTAAACGTCGGCGATGAGAGGATCCTGATTGCAGAGGGAAAAAGACAGATACTTCGCTATCGTAAAAGCAGATGCAGACTTTGGGATTAGTCTGTACTATAATCCGCAATGCTGGAAACTCCATTTGAAATGTCCCCATCTCCAAGACCTGTTCTCAATTCTGCCGCAGGCTATGTATGACACCGGCCCCTATCATCCTCTCATCCTTTGCCCAATAGCAGGACAAGGACGAGGACTAGAACGAGGTAATCGATCTCTCTCATGGTGCTCCGATCGGCGGTAGTATGCAAGTTCGCTTTAGTAAGCCTAACCCTACTTTACCAACTACATAACTACTTCCGCGATAGCAAGCCGATTCCAAAAATAGCATCCTTCCAACCGTTCCCCAATGAACTATTCCTTTTCCCATCTACACCCAGGCCCAAGTCCAGCGGCCCGGGATTCAAAAACCATGCAGCTTCTTGCACCCAGACCGACGAAACCCTGACGGCCCGTCGATCATCAAACAACGAATTCCAAACGCTCATTTATGCGCCCGAGCACCGAAGGCCATTTCTCTGCTGTCGCGAAGACAAGACGGGGGCTCTTCAAACGTCACATATATCGAGAGGCGGAAAGATACAGAGCCAATGAAAGAAAGAAAGAAAGAAAGAAAGAAAGAAAGAAAGAAAGAAAGAAAGAGAAAGGGCAAGCTTCACGGCAAATCTACTATAGTAAAGCTCTCGGAGAAGGCTTGTACGAAATGTACAGAGAGGGTATCAAGCACATCTCCATGTCTATCGGAAGAATCGCCCAAGCGAGCATCGACAGAGATCATAGAGAGTATGCGCAAGCAATCACATCAACATAGCCAACACTCATTCAACTGTGGCCGGCTCCAACGGTCGACCGAAAGGGTGCGTATACCGGAAAGCACAGACAGCCGCAACAGCGTCATCTCAACCTTTTCAGCTGGAGTATCTCGCTCCTTGGATACCCACTCATGCCGCGTCAAAGACCTGCTTCCCTTTCTTATCTTATCTCACAACCAGGCCTTCTTCAGCCAAAATGATCCCTCGTTCACTTTTGACGTTTCTTGATTCAGCTCTGACGATGTCCTAACGGAATTCGAAAAACCCACTTCCATCGTAAGATACGTATACAGCACACTCGTCTTCCTGGTCGCTAACAAGGCTGTCAACGGTTCGAGCAGTTCCGGCAAAGCAACAGCTGCGCAGAAGTGTTCATCGGACCGACGGTGATTCAATGCTTCCTCGACTGATGGCAGCCCGTGAAGGTAAAGGGAAATCCTTGCATGATGACAAAATCCAGAGGAGGGACGTCTTCTGCAAAGCGTTAGGGCTCGATCGCGTTATAGACGTCCTCATTTCTTCTCTTCCTTACCCTTAATCGAAGTTGGTTTGAAAAAGGTGATTAAACGATTGAACATCTTTGTTTTCGAATTTACATCTACTATCTAACTCCCACCTGAAGGAAAAATCACCAGAGATATTTATCCGCAGCATTACCCATAAGGCTTGTCAATCTCCAACGCCTGATACCCAGCCGTAGGTGTTTTGTCACCGAAGAGAATCTTGACGTCCTCCTGGCTCGCAGTAGCACCCGATGTAGGCAGAGACATCACACGCACCTGCGTGCTCATCGTCCGGTATCGCTCGATGCCCGCGGATGCATTCTTGAACACATCGACGGCCCCGGAAGCCCCCGGCATACCCGACTTGGCGGTCAGGACTACAAGGTCAACAAACGAGTCCCATGCGTCGCAGCAGACGCGGGTCCAAAGCACGTATGCCACGTGGCCAAGTGCGAGCGCTGCGTGCACGAACAGCACCGTCAGCGCAAGGTAGTATGCGAGGCTGTCAGCGCGGTAGGCGTAGCCGCTGACAACGACGGACCAATGCAGCGGGGTAGCTGTGCCTACGGAAGGTGGGAACGCGTACGTGCCCGCCAGAATGCTCTGCTGGCTCGATACCGAATTATCCCACGGCAGCATGTTCGACGCGTCGGAGATGTGCGTCGAGGAGCCCCCGTTGGCGGCGTACCCCTGACGCGACATGCCGTCTGCGACGAGGGTTGCGATGATGGTTTCTAGCACTGGAGGCACGTCATCCCAGTTGATGATGATGCCCGTACTGTTGTCCATGCCCATGTCTGTAAGAAGGGCGGCGAGGCTGGTCCAGCCGGACGTGCTGCGCCCGGGGGAAGGAGTCAGGGTGTTGAGCCAGTCTACGTCTATCTGGACTCGTCGCCAGGAGCCGTCATCGATAGGAAGGAAGTTGTATTGGTAGCCTGGGAGATCAGGGTCAAAGGGTCTCGTGTTCTGGATTGTAGCTGTTTGGACATAGTCTGCGTCCAGATCTCCCACGGGCCCGCCAGAGTAGGTCCCCATGGCCCATCTGGCGTCGACGGAGCAGGTAAAAGTTGTTCCCGTGTTGTTGGATTCGCTATAAGGTATCTGCACAATCAAGAACGCGCTGGGCACATCGGTCGTGTATGAGTTGTCGCTCAATTGAGCGGTCTCCGGGACTGCTATCCATTGTGCACTTATGTTAGACGAAATGGAGAAACTGGTTTCGATCCAGTAATTGAGATCGAGGCGGACACCGTATTCTGGGAGATCAGGGTACTTGATTGAAATCAGCGCCATTGTCTTAAAATAAACAGTGGGCCAAGGTAAGAAGAACATACCCCCAACTCTAAGCCCGAGATATTATAGAAGAGCGAGTTGGTTATACCACAATCTGCTCGTACTGCTGGAACCCAGCTCTGAACGGAACCTAGGGTCGCGTTGTGAGTTCGATACCGAAGCGTATGGTGCCAGCTTGACGTAGAGATTTCTGTTAGCGCCTGGTACCAAGCTCCAGCGAGATTTCTGGAAAGAACCCCAACGGCCATATGAATTGCAAGGACCCATGTCTCTGCCACTTCACCTCTTGGTCGTATAACAAAATCACGTTTGAGTACGCCGTCATCAAGGACTAGGTCAATCCCATTACTAAAGTGTCTTTGTTTGAAAGCTTCGGCAAGCGAGGAATAGCCAGCCCAGATACACCCTGAGGAGTTCAAGGTCTCAGTGCTCAGTTCTTGCATAGTAGGGGATTCGCAATCAGATTCTCCTATAGACGAGGCTGTCAGCTTAGAGGGCCAGAGAATCTCGTCACCACCTGCAAGCCAAAAAGAAGCACCTCCTGCTGGCCAGTTTGACCGCTGAGTCGGAATCAATAACAAGGCGGCAGAAGGGCCAGCAAAGAGTGAAATAAGGCTCGATGCGAGAATGAGTAGGCCGAACAGCAGTCGCTTACGGCGGCGGGCGAAGCCTGCAAGACCAAATCGAAACTCGGGAGATATGAGATACTCCATCTCGGTGAATTGTTGTTTGGAGGCCAAGATCCCCAAAGGTAGGCCTTCGCGTGAGAATAGCAGTTGGTGGCGCATAGCGTCCATGAGAATCGTTCCCAGAGAGGCGACGATCAGCAGTTCCTTTCACAAACAAATACGTGAGCTAGCAGGAAATCAAAAAGGAGGATACAATTACCAGGAGCTTTGCTGTCACCTGCAGGCATAGTGTATCAAGAGCCTGGTATACTCCACCTGTCAAGCCTTGCAACTCTGACCCAATAAAATAACCGGCGAGGTTGAAATATGCTGGTCGCAGACACTGCCAAGAGATGAACCGAGCATCGGAACAGAGCACGCTTGAGGCCTCTTTCAAGAACAATCTTCTTCTCTTCGTCCACATCTCCACGCCACAAGTGCTTAAAGAATTCCCCTGTGGCATCACGTAGCCTTCGCGAGACATTCCCAATGCCTTTGCCGCAAGATTCGAACTTGGTGCGGATCCGTTTGCTCAGCGCAGACCGCGAAGCATTGCTGCTAGTTGCTCCTGCTCTAGCGGGAGGAGAGGGTACCTGAGACATTCTGTAATGATTATAGAGGGCTCACTTCTAAAGAAGCAACACTCTCTGCTTTTATGGTTGCGTGGGGGCCGAGGCTGAGACCTCGTGCTTCTAGCCTGCCCCTCAAGCCTCATTCTTACATGCATTATGCACCTTATCGCAACTGGACCCAAGTGCCGATTAGGCCCGCTGAAGAAGTAACCCAGGTAATATACTCGTTTATAGGGTAGGTAAATGGAAGGAAGAAAGTTACTGTCCTCACACGGACGGACTGCTGATTACCTGTCGGGAGTGCTAGTTTTCTACCTTCATTACGCGCTAAGGCTTAGCGGGGATGGTATGAAGCCGAGAAAGCTATTGTGGGATATGGTCCGCGTCTAGGACCCCAGACAATGTCCCAGACACTTGTACGCCTTCCCCAACAGCGTTCTCTTCCCCTTGTCGATCTACTTCCCCTGGACCCCACTACTCTCAATTCTTCTTCAACATTCAACCTCCTCATGAGTCTCCTTTTGCTTCCGCTTTTCCTACCATTGGGAATTTGCGGAATACATGTCATCACGATCATGAAGTCCTCAAGCAAAATCTAGTAAGCGTCTAAACAAAATAACCATGAGCAATATGTTCTGTTTATTGCTGTTGTTCCTGTTCTGAGGTGGCATCTGATCATATCAATATCGTTACTGCGAACTAGGTATTCATCCCATACCAGCGTGGAGAAGGGAGACCAATTACGTGCCAAGGAAGCGCGGCTAGGCGGCTGAGAGCAGCCAGCTACTGTTAAAAGGAGAACAAGTGAGAACCGAACCCCGATCCCGATGGTAGAGTACAGCGGTAAAGTAGCTCAAGCGTTCTCTGGCACAGTACTCAGCTCCCTGCTCTTCTTCATAGCCTGCTCTAATTCGGATGGTGAAGTGAGTCCATGTTTCCTCTTAAGATGGCCCCCCAGGTTATCCGATCTCTTGGGCTTCGCGTGGCAATCCAGTTCGGGACACTTGAGACCTGCATCTTTGTTGTGTTTTGGCGATGTCCGCAAGTGGCGAGTCAAGTTCGATCTTGCGTTTGCTGGTGCACCTGTGAACCTTTCTCCGCAGAGATGACATATTTCCACATTTGATGTCGAGATACTGCAACTTGACGACGTAGGTGGAGTGGAAGCCTGAGACGCCGCGCTTGGCGAGGTCGTCTGAGTGCTGACATCGTCCATTTTGGACAAATCCATAGATGTCCGAGTTGCGAGACTGTTCGGTGAGGAGCCGACAGTAAGACCTCCAGTACTCCTCGAAGACAGCGAGGTAGGGGATCCGACGGATATCTCATGAGTGCAGTTGACTGCAAGGACACTAGTATTCAGCGGATATCTTGAAGCAAAATCGAAGCCCTGGTGCCTCTCCGGTTCTCCCAATATATCCATGATGTCCTTCAGATCCGCGATATAGTACTGATTACGCCACATTCGATTTGATGAGCCCATAGCTGTGTTGCACTGAGTCATCACGTCATTTTGAAATCTTTCAAAGACTTCGAGAGCTTGGGAGCTAAACTAAAACCGGTAAGTACAGGATTTGAGAGTACAGACGGTGGTTTGTAACTCACTCGGGCACTGGAGACCAACACGACCTCTACTTCACGGATCTCACGTAGAGTTCCGCCACATATACCGAAGCTAGCATTCGCTAGATTGGCTTGAAAAGCCTCAATACCTTTTCTCTGTTCAAGAGGTCTGATGATCTTCTTAACCAGTTCGCCAATCCTAGGAAGGTCGGTTCTTGCAGCCACTGCAGCGCCAGGGAATGACCTGTTTTTCTCCATGATAGTGGCCTCCTCAAACCCTAAGATTACAGTTAGAGAGGCCTTGTGACTGCTTCAGCGATACACTTGCCATCGAGAAAGCCGGTGCAGACCCTGAAAACTTTGCTATTCCTCAGTTCCTGAAGCAATGCTGCCTGATCGCCTCCAATCGAGAGTTCCTGAGACGGATTCCAGATAACTGGCGAATGAGGATTGGCGTTGGAATTTGGTACTATGGAGGATTTGGAGTCAGTTTTGCAAAGCAAGAACCCGAGTAACATGATAAATCCGGAAAGCAGCTACAGTCTTCTGTTGCCCAACCATGACCAGTAGAACTAGAAGCAAAAGAGCGTTGCCAATCTTTTAAAAGCACCGCACTGTCAAACCATGGCCATTGGAACGATCTCTTTGCTGCCAGAATATGGCTCGAAATTCAAGTCTGTTAGCAGTCAAGAGAAAGTAAGATTGAAATGCTCGTACTCTGTTGACCAGGTAGCCACCACCAACGATCCATAGCCGTCACAAACATAAACTTACCCTCTCTGTCAACCATTGCGTGCTGCAGCTGAAGTGCATCTTGGAAGAAAGCATCCCAACAGTGCGACTCATCCTTATGGTGCAAGATAAAGGCAGCGGCAAAGGCTACGTGCATGAACGAAAATACTTCTTCGAAATTACTTTCAAGTTTTCCACAAAGCCAATTCTTCAAAGTGTAAATGCCCTTTGCGAGCAATGTACGAGCGGACAGTGATGAGCATCGTATGTGTAGCTCAGGGCTTGGGAGCAACCTCTGCATCCACTCATTGTTGACAATACGTACCAGTCCTAGAAGCTCTTCGACTTGGGTTCGAATTTGTGCCGGGTTGGCCCCTAGATGGGGTCCATGGTCGTAGTCGGCCTCTGTGCCAAGTCTTTGTGTCTGAATGGGGATTTGCTGGCGCTCACTGCTTGAGTACCGATGGTACCCAGTCGAGTCGCTGGCTGGTATGGTGTTGGCTCTTAGCTTAGCAAGACGGGCTTGTGACTGCGTTTCCTCAAAATTTGGCGGTGGAAGCGTTGAGCTTTGTGACCTCCAAGCGTTGATGCCATCTTCCAAATTTGCTACCGCACTGACGGCTGGGACTTGTCGGATCCGTGAATCTTGAGAGCCAAGGTTTGACGTGGGAGATATAAGTGTCGAGGTTCGACTACTTAGTGACACTGCGCTGGACAGCTGGGAGATCAGACTTGGACTCGGTGTGCTTGGAGAGGCAGTTTGTGGCCCTGGAAAATCAAGTCCTAGAGAGGGCATATTTGGACAAATGTTTGCAATTCCTTCATGGAGGTTGTGGAATGGACTACTGGCACCATCCGCGTCCGCGTCCAAGAAATGTGAAAATTTGGTAAAGCTTTCTCCAAGAGTGTCAGCACTTGGGTGGTTTTGGCCGTAAACGCTGTCAGCTTGCAGATCCTGCGAAGTCGAAAATGAGGTCACGGTGTGAGCATCAGCGATGTTGAAGCTAGCGCGATCTCGTAACTCTGCCGTCCAATAGACCGGATCGACGGTTGGCAATTCTAGGTCAGTTGGAACAGAAGCATCAAACATATCAATCAACGGCGGTGACACCAACGCTTGCAGACCTAGCTTTCTATCGTCGGTGCTGTCACTGCCTGCTTCCAACGTATCAAACGGAGTTGAGCCGAACATCTCGTGCAGCGACCGCACATTGACTCGTTGTCGTGATGGGAGCTCTGATCTAGACACATCGCCACCAGTGATCTCAGCCGCGCCTGACCGATCTCCAGGGTATTTGGCTTTCTCATTCACCCATCCAGCATAGACAGCGTCAGCTCTGGTGTTCAAATCGTGCGCTAACGAGGAATTCGACATTAGCACTCCATTCTCAAGAGACAAATGCCAATTCATGAATCAGCCATAGAGAGCACAAAAGGGGCAAGAAATGCTTTCGAAGACTTGAAGCCACAATGTGAGACGAGTGCTGGTAGAACAAAGTAGGGAAATGACCTTCTGTCGCTCACAAAACATACACCAAGACTTAGATCAAGGTCTTATGGCGCTGAAAGGTACATACCATGCGAGGAACCTTGGCTGAGATTTGATAGACAGAGGCCAGGCTTCTCTGTGTCAAGTGCTAAGGTCTGACGGCCTTTGCCAAGCTCTCCCTTGTAGCTGCCCCGTCGAATGCGTTCATCTCGAGCAGTATCCTCTAATTCGACTTTTCTAGCAGTATCTACTGAGAACAATGCGTGAGTCTGTGGAGATTCGGCATCAGTAGGATATAGACCACGCACCTGTCTTTTTTAGAGAGCGTCTGCGACCCAGCCACCTGAAGAATGTAACGGCCAGCTTTGCTCCCCTCTTTTGCAGCCTGGGTCTAAGTATGATATCGCATCCCTTGTCGCACTCCAAAAATCGTTCGGGACGCTTGCAGTACGGGCACCAGTACCATCCATTGGAAAGGCGAGGGCACGTAAAAACGTGACACACAGTCGCATCAACATCTTTGAAACTGTTGCGACACCATAGCATTGGACACATCAAAAGCTCTTCTTTCTCTATGACTGGATCGTCACGTCGAAAATTTTTGACCCAGTCAAGAAAGCTCCGCTGGCATCCATGTTGAGAGAGGGAACCAAGGACCTTCCTGCCGACACCTTCGTTGAGATGAGGTTTCAGTCTGACGGGTAAGCGTCAGCATGGGCATGTCAGGGGAAAGTGGTTGCTGGAAACTCACGCGCAAGGCACTCCGCGAACATCGATTGGATTCGTTGTCCCACACATCCTGATTGGCGAATCCAATGCCGTCTGGTACTTTTCGCAGTAAGCGGCGGATGGGCATAGATCGAGGGTTCGTTGGGGAAAGTGGGAGTTTTTAGGCCCAAGCTCATTAGGGAAAATTGAGGATGAGGTGACATGATTTAGAACTTGGAGCACTGGATGTTGCGATTACACTAAAGACTGCGTGCCATCATCTGGGACGCCCATTCATTGGCGCAGAGGAAAGGGAATCAAATTTGTTGCGAGGACTTGCGCGCATGGAACGCCTGCCGTGTTGCATTTGCTGAATATATTAGCTGAAAACTTTGGAGGGGTAGAAAGTAGATTGAGGACTGGAGAAAGTAGGTAACAAACGACCGATCTCGTGATGCAATAGCTCGCGATGAAGCAAAGACTCACGTACCGAGCCAGTGAAGAGCGTATGTTGAATCGACGTTTCCGGAAAGAGTGTCCCACGAGGGAATTGTTCCATGATCATGCAAGCCTCCGACCGGGTGGCCGAACAAGGGCCTGCGAGCCCGCATTAACATGACCCCGTGTATGGCTCAAAGCGACCTTCGAGTGTGTCATTGTTGTTAGGTGCAGTCGGCCTCTCCAGACCGACCTATGGCACCAGTACCAGTCCTCAATTCTCGGTCTCTCCTGTATCTCACCGGACCGGCGGCCCAGCTTGGCCAGGCACAAGCAACCTCATGCTGCCCATGGTCATCTCCTGATCCCATTGTTGCCTTATCTTTTCAAACAGATCTGACGCGATCCATAGGAGACCAACAAGGACTGGAAAGAAGGCAACCGGCTAGTGAAGTAGCCGAGCAATGTGTTGTCCATCGCTGGTATCTGTGCGGATCGTGCAGGGTCGTCACGCAAGCCCTTGGTCTTTAACGCCCTATTCTGTAGAGAACTATAGGCAAAGGAAGTCGGAATGGAACCGAAAGAAATTTGATCCGTGAGATCCCTGCAATTGCTAGATAGTCCGGGGAGGCCCGGCCAGTCCTGAAAATATTAGTGGGAATTCAGCCTTGACAATTCGTATGCACTCACCAACATAGGTCTGCTTTCGCTTGGCAGGACCTTGGGGGCTAAAACAGACCGCAAGTAAGGACTTAGGAAGTGCTGCCAGGCAATGGTCCAGAGACTTGAAGGGCGACGATTGTCGTTGTGAGACGTAGGGCAGTCGATTGATTAGTATGCGGGGTTGGCATTAACAGATAGGATCTCCTAGCCATCCTGGCAGCCTCGGGATTCTCCGTTCCAGCCAAAGCAGCCTAAGAGATGATATACTCCGTGAGAAACGAAAGCAGCAGAAGGGGCACGTTATAGAGATTTGAAAACCTGACCTTCTTTTCTTCTGCACCGCAATTTCCGAATGTAACATTGTCAGGGCTGCGATGGTAGACGGGCTTTTGAGTGGTAGCAAAGCTTGTCTTGGTTTTCTCCATATCTTGTACATGACCAGTAAGAATAGAGCCCACCCCTACTTGACAACGAGCATGCAGCCACGGCCTCGGTCTATGAGCGATCTACAGGTGTGTCACGCTCTCATAGATGAATCCGCGTTTACTCCCAAACTGCTTCGCGATAGCAGCCTTATCAAACGTCTCGCCAATACCTGGGATCAGACGGGGTGGCATGCGACTAGCAGTCTAATGAGTTCCCCAACATCTCCAATCACTTATTTATTCATCTGGGTATATGTTGATTGTATTAGGCTGGCCAAGGAATGCCTGGGGGAAAAAGGAAAAAAAAAAAAAAAAAAAAAAAAAAAAAAACAACCCCCCCCCTTTATTTTTGTTTTTTTAATAATACACTCCCACAGGATATCGTAAAAAGTAAAAAATCAAAAAAATAACCAGGTTGTTGTGGGAAGGAAAAAATAATTTATCGGACGTCGTGTAGCTCTGTTAGCAACGTCGGTTCAATGTGTGTATGTGTAGTTTCTATTCCTATTTGTGGGGGTGCGATCCTCTAGAGTATCCATAAGATAGTCTTAGTAAATAATATAAGATTTGGCGGTCCCTAAAAGCGGCAGCCTCGGGAGAGCGTAGTGCCCAGACTTGAAACGCGCTGGACTTGAGCTCATACTAAACAGCTTCCGATCCTCAACGACTGGGATCTTCTAATGTGCAAACATTGGCGATTTTGAAGGGCCCGAGGAGCTGTGTCTCAGCCATCGCAAGGACGGTGTACACGCTTGTCGCAGGCTTGTCAGTGAAGCAGGGAAACACTCTTCCGCCCATATGATCTAAATAGAGAGTCAGCCCAACACGCGCAACGATTACCCGCCTTCCAACCTTCGACCACAAGCTGCTCGCAACTCACTATCCACCAGGTAAGGCGCCCTTTTAGTCAGCTACCCTCCAGAGACTGACTGCTTGGGCTCCACAGCATCTAACCACCATGGCCGGACGGTACATTCCCCCTCACATGCGTGGGTCAACCGGCTCTTCCTCAGCCGAAAAGCCCATGGTGAAGGCCGAGCGTAAGCCTGAAGATGGCTATACCCTCGAGGAAATAGCCAACCAATTCTCCTTCGATCACAAAAAGAAGCTGGGGACTCTGAACCGCGCTTCAATATCTGTCGAAGAAGAGGAGACACCTAATCTTGGCTTAGTCATTGTGTTCAAGGACCAGCACCCAGAATGGCCGCCTAAGATCTTCTGCAAGACGTATCTGTTCTTGTTGCCGAAGACGGAGACCCTTCCAAGTACGTACATTTCAAGAATGATCACCCTTAAACATGCCCCAACACGGGCCACGAGACTGCAAGACCGTGTTTTAGGAGCCAACTGTTTCTTGGCACCCCAATATCCGGCTCAGTACTCGAGTCTGTTCGCCGGGCAAGAGATGCTGACGTCGGGGTAGGTACTCCAATCACGGTCTTCACCGAAATCTCCAACCTCCGCACCTCGGAGAACCAATATCATCATGAGCAGAGATTCCTCTACGCAGGCGCGCATACCATTACGCGTATCCAATACCTCATGCCTCGCAGTCCTCTACTGGTCAAGATGCTGGAGAGCAAGTTTACGGGGCCCAAGAACGAGAGGTCCGAGGAAGCGTGGAACAAGAGCTTGAACATGAAGTGGGCGGTTGTAGATCTGAGCAAAGTGGAGGAAGAAGAGCAGGGGATCAGTCCTATGGAGCCGTTGAAAGAGATCAAGAAGAAGAGTGTTAGTGAGATGTTGGAAGAGATGCGATTAAGGGAGAGTAGTGGGGGAAAGGAGAATGGAAAACCAGGAGGTGGAGATGATAGGGAGGAGGCCCTGCACGGGGATGAGGATCGATGAGTTCCGGCTTCAACCGGGGATCCTACGATTGCACAAGGCTTGACATGAGCTGAAAAGCTGGAGTTTCCGAGCTTGATGTAAGCAGCCTCTCTTCGGCTAAGGACCGTATCACACCTAGCTCTGCTAACGGGGCGAAGCACAACCTTGCAGTCAAAGCTGATTAAATGGATCTGCTCATTGCAAAGCTCTTGCACTCACTGCTCCCTAAGAACTATGGCCATGCTTATCAGCCTTTTCCGAAGCACCAGCGAGGACAAAACTCCTTTGGCGAGACTGATCAGCGAAGCACCATAGCTCTTTAGCGTGCGAGTGTGTTCTAGAGATATACACATTACAAACAAAAACATCACACTCATAGCTTTTCAAGCATTTGGGCTCCCATTGACAGCATCGATGCTTTCCCCGCGGAGATCTTCGGCCACTGACGTAACTGACATGTCAATCCTGGGTATACAAACACTATCAGCCATCACCTCCACTCCAACCCCTGACCGCCGCTGCCACTGCTCAACATCTTCCTTCCACAATGCCCCTCTACGAAATCGAGCACATAACCCCGCTCTCCTCCTCCCAAAAAGATGCCCTAGCCCGCTCCATCACCCAAATCCACTCCCACCTCTTCACCACCCCCTCTCTGTTCGTCAACGTCCGCTTCACAGACACGGCAAGCCATGATGTGTACGTTGGCGGTAAGAAGGTAAGCTACAATGACGGCCGCACAGGACGGAACGATTTCTTTACCCGCCGAAAAAGCCCATCCCGTCTCCCATCGGCATGGAATGAAATGACATGAGATAAATGGGAAGATGAATCCTCTACCAAGCAACTCACTCAACCAGCCACGCGTTGAAAAGCCCCCACCCTGATCCCAGAGCCACTTACACACCTCGACAGAAATCCGCCAACCGCATCCTCGCGCACGTCCGCCCGGGCGGCGGCCGCTCCGTCGACGATTTCAACACCCTCTGCGCTCGGATCACGGAATCGTGGGACCTTATCATCCTCGGCCGCGACGCCAAGGGCGACCGAGGTCGAGATCGAGAGCTGCGCGCCGTTTTCATCCTCGGGACTATCGTTGCGGGAAGCGAGGCTGGGTTCGCGCTGCCGGCTGTAAGTCCGCCCGCTCGTACTGATCCTCTTGTTGTTGTTGTTGTTGTTGTTGTTGTTGTGGTGGTAGATAGAGAGGAAGATGATTTTTCCATCGTCAAGTATGTTTGTTGGCGGAGAAGGCTTGCTGATTGGGATATGTGTGTTTGGTGTAGGCGGGCGAGGATAGGAAGTGGTTGAGGGAGAATGTGGGGAATTTTGAGCAGAGGGCGGAGGCTGGGGATGGGGAATTTGGGGATCTGGTGGAAGAGATGAGGAGGAGGGAGGATTTGAAGGAGCTGTTGTAGCGGGGTCTGCGATGGAGGGTTTGGACATAGTGGATGAAGGAGATCGAGAACTAATGGGGTATATCTAATTTCCCACGCGTGAAGGTTCATCAGCATATCATCAATCATACTCTAGTGCTCCTCGCTCCTTTAATGACGTGTATTTGATTCGGCACTGCCCATGCCGATTTCGGTGGCAACGACTTAGACTTCACTGCGTCTGGTACGCTGTTCCCCCGCGACTTTTTATCCCTCACCCTGCTGCTGCTCCTTCTCGTGGTGGACTCTCATACGCCGTCCCCATTAATGGGCCGTCGCCATCGATGGACAACCTAGCACTGCGACTTCCACCGAATTTTCGGAAGAGATTTAAGAGGAGTGTCCTGCAAGCGGCGCGCGAGGTTGTGACGTAGATGACTGAGTTCCAGAAGCCCATAAGGGAAAGTACAATGCCAGCTGCGTACGCGTAGGGAACGGAGATGGACTCGGGGTAGATGAGAGAGTAGACGCGGTTGATGGAGGAGGGCACCCAGGTGACGAGCAGGGAGACGAAGAATAGAGAAGCCACTTTCGTGTAACCGAAAGCCGCTCTGTTGGCTTCCAGAGCTGCCCTGTTCTTCTTTTGTTGCTTGTATTCGATACTGGTATGGTGCAGTATCGAGGGTCGAGGCGCAGCCGAGATTTTGACATTATATTTTGGGTAGCTGATGTGAGACGGGTCGCTAGGGTTGCGGCTCTTGCGGTCGGCAGGGGAAATGAAGGCTTCGGAGATGTTTTTGAGGGGGAGGCTCTCAAAGTCGCTAGTCACTTGATAATCTGTGGTTTTGTAGGCATAATTGTGGTCATCTGAGGGATTGCCGAATGCTCTTAGTTGGTGACGTTTCTTGAAGATCTCGCGGCCGGCCATGATGTAGATTGCAAAAGAAGCGATGATGCAGACCCTATGATAATATCAGTAAGTGTACAGGATCCGACAGGTTTCTTTCATTTGCGTACCATGCTGGACCATAGCACACAGCGATACGCAAGAAATCCCAGTCATGGGATAGCCAACACCATAGCTAACGTTCACTGTCAGCTTGCAATCGTGCCTTGCCTTGAGCTGGTTCTCTTACCACTGCTGGGCCATAGATCTTGCCTCTTTCCTCATTTTCAACGAAGATGAAAATGAAGGCGATGACAAATGGGGCTCCATAGGCCATCAAGTGGTATTTCCACTCCAATGCTTTGAGTTGCTGGGCATTGTACTTCTTGAACAATGTCAAGTAAACATTAATTGCCATGGCCAGATTCCAAAGGGCATCGGCGGGAACAAACCTGCAGTACGTTAGCTGATGCGTTGCACTACGGCCTGGACACAGCTTTACATCTGAATGAGGAAGCCTTGGAATTGACACAGATGTGAATCGGCACCGGCGCGAATGGGTGACTCTGACATCAGGGTCCCGATGTTGCAAAGAGTGTTCCCCCATGAAGCGTAGAAAACCAGCCGGTTGATAGGTTTTCGGAAGTTGGGGGAGGACACAAAGGTGACGAAAATGAAGATTGTACCGATGAGCGAGAAGCAAGAAGCAACTCGCTCTGTGGTCTCGAGCGCATGCGATTCGTCTGCCGTCAACGTTGCCATATTCGGTCGGCGTGCACTGAGGGTCTCGAAGAGCGTTCAATGTTCCTGTTGACAAAGGACACAGCATATATAGCAGCGCAATGAGAGTCCTGGCGGTACGGCTAGGGAGGGGTAACAGCAGCAGAGGTATCGCAGTACCAATTCTTTCGATAATCGAAAGGGTACCTTGGAGGTAACCAGTCCTTGAGGAGAGAATGATCTACATGCGGGAGACATGGGATACTAATCTCAATCAAGAAGCACGATTAAATGACTGATGTGTCATCGTGATGCACGAGATCATGTATAAGCAGTGCCTACCGTGACTTACCTGCATAATGATGATAAGTAAATAAAATCTACATATACTGGCCGCGCTGCTTGGTTCATCAGCGAATGATACGGAGCCGGTGGGGGGTTGCAGCATCGCAAAGCCCGGCAGTCTGCGGGCTAACATGCCGTCCTGATGGTCTGACCAACGGCAGCGCTCGAAACAGCGGAGCATTCGGATAAGCACGTCAACAATACAGGCGGTCGAATGGGCGAGACCGACTTGCGAAGCTGTACAAAGTTGGAAACCCCCTATTATTGAAGTTGGGGGGAATATTAAGGGTACATGCAATGATGCAGCGTAAACAGGAAGTGTGGGGACCCGAGGGCACGGGAGATCGTCGGGGATTGACACTAAGGCAGTGACAGAGCCTAGCGTTCATTGCACGGCACTCAGGTAGGTGGGCGAGGTAGATAGCTGCATACTGGCTTGGAAGTCGCCGAAAGTCGACGCGAGAGTCAATCTTGAACCTCAACAGAGACATCTTGAGTATTGTTGCTTGCTATGAAGCATCGTTGATCATCTCGTCATCATCGCTTTGTTCCATCACGCAGGATCCCTTAATAATTCTTGTTTTTCAATTCATTGAGTCGGGAGAATTTTGGGTCACACTGTTCGAATGAAGACCACTGCTCCGGTGACCATATGTGCATTTGATTGCTCTAGATCCTCATGCAAGTCGGAAGATTAAAAGAAGCTTGCCGAGCATATCTTCCCTCATACTTGAATTAATACGGGACGGATCTCGTTACGGCTTTCCCGAGAGAACTAAGCATGGCGACAAATCAGGAGGCCTCGAAAGAGGGCTGAATTGCGTATTCGCGATCCTGATGATATTGATATGGCCTGTAAGCTTGGGTGCAGAGACGGTGATTAGGGCTCTCTCACGCTAGAAGAACGGGTTTCGCTTACGTTGGTAGTTGCTTTTGTCCTCAAATGTCGTCCAAAGAAGTATGAATGAGTAGAATTAAAGCGTGAGTCAGCCACACACATCTCTATTGTATGCTAGCCTGAGCCACAGCCGTATGTGACTGTTCACACGTCCATAACGGCCGCTTGCGTCTGCGAATTCGGAAGACGGAAGCTCCGCAAGGATTTCTAATCCTAGAGGATTACCGTGCATTGCACACATTAGTATGGATTCGGTCCTTGGAACATGATACCTCTTCGTTCGAAATTTTTACCAGAACGAACGAACCCCTTTTAAGAACAAGAACATGCACCTCACTGCCGGTAGCCGAGCAGCTGGAGGATCGTTTGCGTAGTGGCGGTGTCGACCTGCCAATTTTGGATAGCCAGGAACATGCGGGCTCTGGGCCCACCCGAGAGCCTTTATCAGGAGGACAATGTACCTGAATATACTCACCTCGATTGGACGATCGACAGTGGGAACAGCAGTCCATGACGATATGAGTGAAGGTCTACTCAACAGAATGAGAGCGTGTTGATAAAAGGACTGGATGACTTTGTAATGATACTAGTCCTGACTAATCAGAAAGAGGCAATACAAGCCGACAGTGCAGCGTTCGGTATGAAGCCGGGGAAATTTGTATGTGCGGTGTGCCCCAGCCAGCGGTGAAGGAAAAGGAGTCGCAATCGACCCTGTTCCATCGGGGGTAACATTTTGATCGGAGAATCTTCGTATGAAAAAGGCTAAGCTTGGGTTAGCACACGGCATGTGGACTATCGAACGAACTGGCGATCTCGTTCACTGGTATCTATTGGTGCACACATGGAGGTATCCGATCGGCTGGCAAATTTTCCCTGTTAAAGGGACCATCAAAGCAGTCGGCGTTGCTGTTGTATTTCAACGTTCTGAGAGTCTCGACAACTACAACTCCCACTTGACCGATGGCTTACCAGAACATCTACCCTTTGAGGGGCGCGACTCTGAAAATGCTCTCAGCACTGCCACAACGCTTTCGTCGACCAATGGCCATCCTAACGCTGTAATTCTTTTGTGGGAAATTTTCGAACGTTTCCCCAGTTCTTGACATCAGCGGTCTGATGTCCAACAGAGCTATAGTCTTCTGGGATAAAAGAGAGGTATGGCACTGGTTGATGGTGCCCAAAGCAATCAATCTGTTGCCGTAAATATGATTTGATTGGACGATTGAATATTGCTGTGATCCGATTCAGGCGGCTACCGAAACATGTGTGAAATAGATACTTTTGAAACAAGCTTGGCACGGATCAATGTTTTGCCGAGCGGCTTGTACCAGATTCGTGGACAGTTGGAGGAGCATTCACGCTGATGCCATCTTCACTACGCTCGTTCCCCTTCCATTCCACACCTCCTTTACGTACTTACTGCCATTTTCCTAACGCTCGTTCCTCCTTCGACTGCCGGATTTTGCAGATCGAACCGCTCGAACAGTGACACTACAAGCTGATGACATCGCACCCCGCTCGACTCCATTCAAAAGTTGCCTTTGCGGGACCTCGCTGGACGTCTTTCAACGACTAAGTCTACAGCGGAGCACATCCCTCGAGCCCGGAAGCACATGCAGCAGGCCATTTGAGTGGCACACCTATGTCACAGGGTACGCCCACGATCCCGGACTCGCTCGGGCAAGCCTACAACTTTCCCTAGCAGTTTCAAAGTCAATTCGGGCGAAATGAACGAGGAATATGGAAAGAGAAACTCTGGGGATATCTCATCTTCACCAGCACCTCCTCTACTGAGACCACCCATCCCAGGCAACAGAAGCAATGGAGGGCCACGGACTCCCCGCCTCGGGCTTGCTATACCCCCTTCTCCAAGTCAGAAGCCTGTGTCCAACAATGACACTGTACCTAATCTGCCTCCACTCGCCTCCATCCAGCGACCCTCCGCCCGACCCGCGCCTCCTCAACTGAGACTAGCCACACCAATGGGAAGCAATACCACACCACAAGAAGGGCACTCCATGGCGAATGCCCGGCCGCCGCCGCAACCGCATCCAGTCAGTGGGGTAAGCGATGGTAGTGGGCACTCAAGATCGGATAGCTTTGCCATAGTAGATGGCAAGAATAGCAATCCTACATCGGCTTCGTCATCCGGCTTCTCGGCTCTATCATACCCCACAAGCACACATCGACACCCAAGCGGGACCCCAGATCCAGCTTCTGCAATCAGCTCAGCCTACTCGGAAGCAGGAGGTGCAGCTATGGAAAGAGAAGGAAGCAACCATATACTACCGGATCTGGAGAAATTGAGCTTGGAGAAGGGGAGGAACTTCGATGTGGAGGATCTGGACGATGATGGTTGGAGGGCAGCGAGTGAGCAGAAGAAGATCATCGAGATTGGAAGCTTGGGAGAAGGAGCTGGGGGTGCCGTTACGCGGTGCAAGCTCGTCGGTGGGAAGACTGAGTTCGCACTGAAGGTGAAGTCATCATTGGATTTTCGATGATAAGTTGTTTACAAATCTGCAGATAATAACCACAGATCCCAATCCAGATGTCAAGAAACAGATAGTACGAGAGCTAGCCTTCAACAAGGATTGCTCCTCGGAACACATTTGTCAGTACTACGGAGCATTCATGGACGATTCTAGCGGTACAATATCAATTGCTATGGAGTACTGTGAAGGAGGAAGTCTCTACGGCGTCTACCGGGAGGTCAAGAAACTTGGAGGCAGGACCGGCGAGAAGGTACTCGGGAAAGTAGCCGAAGGCGTCCTGAACGGCTTAACATATCTACATGGCCGCAAGATTATTCACAGAGGTACCTGCGATCCTGTTGCGTTCTTCTCAACGCTTACTGACATATCCTTAGATATTAAACCTTCCAACATCCTCCTGACTCGTTCCGGTCAAGTCCGCCTTTGCGACTTTGGCGTTAGTGGCGAATTCGGCACCAAAGGAGACGCCAATACCTTCATTGGCACCTCCTACTACATGGCCCCTGAGCGCATCACTGGTAAATCCTACACGATCACCTCCGACGTCTGGTCCCTCGGTGTCACTCTTCTGGAAGTGGCCCAACACCGCTTTCCATTCCCCGCCGATGGCACGGAAATGCAACCGAAGGCGGGGTTGATTGATCTGCTTACTTATATAGTAAGGCAGTCGATCCCGAAGTTGAAGGATGAGGAGGAGAATGGGATCAAGTGGAGCGAGAACTTTAAATATTTCATTGAGTGCTGGTACGTACCCAACTTGCGCAGCTTTCAGATGAATTGATATGAAGCGGATATTAATGGTGGCGCAGTTTGGAAAAGGAACCATCACGAAGAGCAACTCCATGGCGCATGCTCGAACATCCCTGGATGGTTGAGATGCGCGGCAAGAAAGTCAATATGGAGCATTTCTTGCGACAAGTTTGGGACTGGAAGGATTAAGGATAGGAGCTAAATGTCTCTCAATTGATCTTGGCTCAAAAGGTTTCCAGTTTGAAACGACTTTAATAATGCGTCATGGAAATGTTGCAGGCATAAATAAGCAGGTGAACAACAAGCGGGCGATGAGCGGGCCTGGCGTTGGATGATGTGGAATAAGCGTGAATCTTTACCAAGCATCCGGTCAGTGTTTATTTGCATTACTATGTAGGTATAACAGTTCACCAGTTGTCCCGAAGAGTATGATTCTGGCACCTGGCTCTCTGCACGACGAAACGAGCGTCCATATTCTCCACCGCTGGATTTCTGACGATCAAAACCTCTGCTGACCTGGTCAAGAAACCACTGCTCACCTGGAAAAAAAAACACCCCCCCCTTCCAAACCACCCCGCATCTAAGCGATAGTATATACTCCATTACCAACCCGGTACCAGAGGTGCTAGACACACTTCAAGTCAACCACACTTCCCAGTCCCAAAAAGTCCTCCCCTACCTCCCAGCCTCCTCCTGCACAACCAATATCCATCGGCCCCGACCACAACCATGCTGTGCTGCGCTATGCTGAACTAAAATACAAGGTAAGAAAACGCCCACCTACCAAAGACAGCCACGGCATCTCTATCAGACGATCTACCTAAACCATACCGTCACCATCAACCATCGTCCTCGACCTCTTCGATCCGTCTTGGAGCGTACGTACGTACGTACGTAGGTAGGATAAGTAGGTAGAGTAGGTAGGTTTCGCACACGCAGCACAGCCAACCTCGCCTTTTCAAACACAAAAACAGCTACCAAGTATCCAGGAAAACCCACATAAACAAAACATCTTAAGATACAAGCGAGATGCTGGTGTTTTCGTCGACGACTTTGCATGTCGTCACGGGCCCTCCGCGATGACCCATCCAAACTTGTCGGTCCCGCCGAGTTCGTCGCTGTATTCGTGGGCATTCCGGACTCGCGGGTGCCCGCCCCGGGTTTGTGACTGAGACTCTGCAGCGAGGTGAGTGATGTTCTGCTGCGCACAGCCCTGCTCGGGTTTGATGATTGTATTAATTGATTGATTGATTGATTAATTAATTAATTAGTGAGTTGATTGGTCGAAAAGGGGGCGGTTAGCGAGCGGGTGGGGTTCCGTGATTGGATGCGTGCGTGCATGCATGCATGCGTGCAGTGTTGTTTTTGGAGTTATTGAGGGTGGAGGAAGGAAGGAAGGAAGGAAGGATGGAGGGAGGGAAGGGGATCAAGTGGTGTGTGGAGTAGGATACTATCGTATGTCTTCCGGTGGGTCAGTGGTATTATCAGTGCTATTGACGGTATCCAAGCAGGTATATATCCCGGGGCAACAAGTGTCCACCTCCGACAACATGAAGCCGGCCGAACACAACGAGATCGACGATGATGCCCTTCCTCCATCAACGTCCCAAAACCTGGCTTCGGCTCTTTTCTTTCCTCGGTTCCCGGCATTCCTCATACAGTATCAAGATAAGAAAGAGATCAGATACAAAGGTATCTGCAAATCTGGCACAGAACCGAAGATAGATATAGTATGACTTGACAAGACCGAATGGGCCGCACTTTTGCGCCGCTACCTAGCTCCCCGCCGTTGTCCCCTCCATCAGCCATTATGCTGTCGCAGAAGGTCCTTGTAACACCTCGGCGAAACGGGGCGTATCGCTTCGACGCTTCTGACGCACTTTTCCCTTTCACAGCCCCCTGCACGGGGGTTTAGTTTCAGATCACGTGTCATGAGCGCCCAATTGTGTGTGAGACGGACGCAAGATACGTCTGAGCGAGGATTTGCTTTCCGCACTGCGATTTTGTTTCCCAGCGCTTGTTGTACATGCTGGCCCTCTGAGGGACATTGATGGTAGGTCGGAAATAGGTTGAGAAGTAGTAACACATTGTTTCAAAGAGCTACTAATACAGTGTCATGCAAAAATGTAATACAATGTCATGAGAAAGTCGTGTAAACTTAGTAGACAGTGCACAAGTCCAAAGCCTCGCATTATCATGTTAAGAAGAGGATCCAAACACCCAGTACTCCCTGATTATGATATCCAATGCTATCGTTGATGGCCGACATCACGCCCTCAATCTCCATGATCACACTGTGTATTTGGCGAGCCCTTTGCCTCCAAAGCCTCAGCCGATGTTGATGGCTACACTGCGTTTGCCTCTTGCAACATAATGGACCAACCAATGTTCCCTGTATGGTATATATATTAACGAGGGTGGTGTCTCGTTTTTGTCGATGTGCTCTTGAAAGGCCATGCTCGTACGACATAGCATACTTGTGGTCTTTTCTTGTTGCTTCTGGGTGATAGCCATGGGAGCAAGCAGTGTGAAGCGAAGCGCCGAAAAGCCACAACAAAGGTGCGCACGTGTTCTGGGAGTTGCTTCGTCCGGTGTTAGACCAATGACGCAATTGGGAGCGCTGGCACGTTGAATGCCAAGACGTTGCATTCGCTTCGTAATCCCCGGATGCTCACTTGCAGAGACCAGACTGGTAGTGGAGACATCTTGATGATCGAGTCCTAGTATCTGGCTGTGTGATTGAGAGAGACAGGACGGAGGTTGGCGGTTGCTCCGATGAGCAGGCTCTTCTTCCATCTTATCACCTTATGCAATGTATAATCATCTCATCGAGTCCCTGGGTGCTCATGATGATGGAGTCTTGATGACAAAGCGAGCATTCAACGTGTCGCAGACGCCGGTCTCGCAATCTTCCTAGCTAAACCAATCCACGACCGTGGAGCAGAATTGGCGTCTCCATATAAGTCCTCCACAGCGCTATGAAAGCTGTTGGTGCTCGATGAAATATTCCTCGAATGAGCAGCTTGGCTATCCACAGACAGAGATCTTGATCTCAGGTCTATCGCGGTCGAGTTCTGCGACCGCAAAGCTGGAGTGCCCGCAGTACGTGGTCTATCTTTCCCTGCTGGATTCGAGAATAAAGACGGAGGAGCGAGCTCCGCCGGATCCAGCATCGGGACGGAGTTCATGGCTTCCTGGAACAATGGCGAAAATCTCTCCTCGTCTCGTAGGATTGATGGCGGCTGGGGAAGTGGCTCTCGTCGTTGTTGCTCGAGGAGACGTTCAAGCTGGACCTGGACGGGAGTCATAGGCGGTGTGAGGTCATGATGAGACCGAATGGTAGGAGACGGTTCAGAGCGGGTGCAATTCCTCGGTATGTAAGTTGGTGTGTAAGCTGGCGGCGCTGGGTGCGGTTCATGACTCGAGATGACATCTCGCTGCATCTCACCAGCGATAAGCCACATCTGTTCCTCTGGCATCCAGACCATTGCAGAAGCCGTATTGAGGCTTCGAGAGTTCGACTGTGGAGCTGACAGGGTGAGTTGGGGAGCTGGCGAAGTTGGGTTTCGCCGTTGCGATATGGTATTCTCTTGGTAAGCTGAAAAGCCGACCTGGGGAGTTGGCGAGGTCAGATTGCGTCGTCGAAGTAAGTCTGTGTTCTGGGTAGGAGGCCGGTCATTGCTTCTGGCCCTCTTGATCTTGTTAATTATACAATGAGACTCGATGTCGCAACGCTTTGGTGTCGGACATCTTGGTGTCGGGCACATTCGTCGTCGAGGAAGAGGTGGGAGGGGTTTTGATGAGTAGTCTCTCGGCAGAGGTCGACTGAAATTCCTCAGAGCATGTGCATCTGGTTGAATATCATGCTGTTGCCCGGGTGCATCTGGTACCGCGAAATGGCGGTCAAAGGTTGGTGAAGTTGCGAAGAGTGACAGATCGACCAATTCTTCGGTGCCAGCCATGTTGATACTTGCCGAGTGTAAAGGCCAATGGCAATTGTTATGTAAGTAAGGGCAGCAACGGCAGCGACGGCAAGGTTGGAGACATATCTCAAATATAGATGGAAGGATTAAGGGCGCAAGCAACCCCAAAAGAGGGAATGCGAATCCTGAGTTAGAGTAATACAATCTACCGGCCTCATAAAGTGGGTGTGGGATCTGGTGGAGCGCTCGGCGCCAGGTACCCGCCCAAAGGGGCGGAGTTCTTTTTGCAGATAATCAGTAAGCTATTTCATCATGCTTTGGCATGTATTGCGCCTCTCGGCCGCAGAGAAGATGCAGACTTGGTCAGGGTACAGGGACACTTAATGATACGTAAAGGCCAAGGCAATTTGAATGGTGTGGTCCAGTGATAAGGATTGTAGATGATCAACATACTGATAATGAATGTAGTAATAATGTATGACGGTATGGATCTTCTATATTATTACTCCCTTCCTTCGGCTGATCAATCTCAGCATATCTCACTTCCAACCAAAGGATAGATCTCGGCTCATGTCATCTTAGATTTTATGTTTGTGTGCTTGCTCTATCACTTACGCACACTTCTCGCACTTTCAATGTAATTTACTCTCACCAGGGATAACCGCTGCGAGCTGCAGTCTTCACCTATGTGATCAATCATAATCATTTGTTGGTGTATAGGATTCTCGTGGCATGAGGGGCTGTGCAATAATTAGAAGAAGGTGAGATGATGAAGGCTGTGTTCGAGGTTCGATGTTGGTGTTCCGGCAGTGAAACCATGTCTCTAAGGCCTAAGTCCGTTAGGGGCGGCATCCCTGGGTGACTAAGCCTAAGCGAGCCTGATGGGGGGGTGGGGTGGGGAACGGGGGACGGGATGCTCGGCCTCCTTCTGGGCGGGCTTCTGGGCGGTCTCCACCAATCAGCAAATCACTGTAAAAAGTAAACCTTACCTTACTCGTACTTCATAAGTAAGCAGCTGTGTTCGCTGTCTACATTACCTTATGGCAGATAACGTGCTACAACAAAGTAATTTGCTGGACGTGCTTCGAGAAGGCTGAGCCTCTATCACGCAGGATGCCCCCAAAGTCATCATGCCGTTGGGATGCGAGTTTGTCCATTGGCCCACTGCCACTTCCATCACAGCTAGCCAGCCTCATTTCCTTTCATCCGTTCCTTCCATCCTTCTACAACGCACCGAAAACACTTCGTATTGCTCGTCGCCTTGAGATTACAGAAGGGAAAACAGTGTTGGCACCAGAGCAGCTCCTCTTTTGTTTTGAAACAATTCAATTCGTCTTCTCTGTGCCATGGCTGTTGCTGATCGATCGTGAATTTTCTCCCATACCGTATCCTTTTTCGCACGGGATTCCTGTACCCTTTTCTCAATCGTCTTTGGTTGGCAGCGTGCTCCTGAGACTCCCCGCTACGACTGGAGTCGCCTTTGCGTCGCGAGTCGCATACATCCAACACCAAAAGCAGCCGCCATGGAGGCGACGCGACCTTCAACTGAAGGTAATGAGTTCTTTTCCCTCTACAATTTCTGCAGAGCCTTTAGGCCCATCCCTCATTTTTACTTTGACACCTTGATCCATCAATATGCACCAATTCAATGCAGCGTGTTTGCTTCTCCTATACGCAATGCAATCTGCCTCGCTCGTACTAGCCAACACCAACATACCAAGATCCAACCCCATTAATCAAGGCACACCACAAATCCTCCCACCAGCCAATCTAATCCAACCTCAAAAAAACCAAACTGGTCGGCTTACATGGGGAACAGACCACGACATCGGCTCCAATCTCACCATCTACATCTCCCTCGGAGACCCTTGCCCCCCTCAATCCCTCTATGAACTCCTCATCCTAGCCAAGGAGCAAGTCCGCGACCGCGCCGTCCTCTTCGGTCCCACGACTCGCGTCCCCCATCGCAAAGCGAACCCAGAGCTCACGCAAACAACCCACGCAGGGCTCGAATACTTCATCGAACCGGGCCGGGTTTTGAACCCCCGGCATCCGGGCCTCGAGTGGGGAGAGTTCGAAGTATTGACCTCCTGGCTGTACGAGTACCTCTGGATACTGTTGAATCATCGGTATTGTAACTATGTGCTGTATAGGAAGAACGTGACGACGGGCATGGAGCTGAATCTGGCTTTCGGGGAGATAAAGCCGCTTGAGACCACGGTGGCGGTCGACACCACTTCGCGCGGCACTGCGAGGCTGCCTGCAGAGTCGTTGTCGCAGGGTAGCGTTAATACTACCTGATCCGCAAGGCAAATCCAGCCCACATCTTTATCTTCTCACAACTAGACGGCGCATATAACAAGCGCTTGCTCCGTCCGGAACCTTACCAATACGGATCTCTCCCTTGCTATGAGAAAACCCCGAGTGGGCGGGAGGGACGCTACCGTGCCTACTTATTACTAGCTAGCTGTCAAATTGGCAGATCCTAAGGAAGCCGCCCTGATTCCGATCCACCCCGAGCTCGAGAATCAAGCCACACCACCTTCCCAGCTCGCTCTCCCATGTATTTCCCTTTCCACACACGAGCCTACCTACCCGTTCTCTGAAACTTTGCGCTTTCCTCTCCACCCCACCGCACGTCCGACCGTGTGATTTCCGAAGTTGCCTTTTCTTACATCTTCCTCTTCTCCTCTGCTACGCATCGCATCGCATTGCATTGCATTCCCGCCATCCATTCTGCTGCGACCTCCACCAATCCCCGACGACCGTAGTGACCCCAAACCCAGACAATGCCCCACCCCGCTCCCGCCCTGACGCCGCGCCACTGTCCTCAGTACACATCAACAAGAAGCAACGAGACCCTCCCCCCCCGGCGTCAACGAAGCACGCACGTGGCACTGCGGTAGCGGCTGTCGGATGCCCCAAAGCTGTAGACGTAAGTGCAAAGGAAGAAGGAAAGGAAGGAAGGTCCGTCTGTCCGTCCGTCTGCCTCATCAACCATCACGTCACGACCACGAGGCCGTTCGGTAGCTAAAACCCAGTCAATCAGACAGACAGACAGACAGACAGACAGACAGACAGACAGACAGACAGACAGACAGACAGACAGTGTTCCAGACAGACAGCAAAGCACAGACAACGAACGAACGACACGTCCGGCAAAGGGAACGGATCCAGACCTGCAACGTCCGCGGCGCATGGTCGCGGCGAGGACTCCGTTCCGGAAGGGGGATGTGGGGACAAGGGGCAATTTCCTGATACGCATAGTACGTATACTGCCACTTTTCCGTCATCGTTGTCGTTGTTCGTTGTCCTTGCTCGTTCCTGTTCCTGTTCTCGTTCCCGATCCCGATTCCCCCCCTTTTCCGGCGGATTCACTTTGCCGCAAGCGAGTCTGCCGATACGCACGCACGCACGCACGCACGAGGTTGTTTGATGATTTATTGATTGATTTATTGATTCATTGGATCCCGTGACGAGGGTTGTGTTTTCCTCGTGCGAGGACAGAGATCGGCGAGCCGTTCAGAAGGATTAGAGAAAAAGAAAATGATAACAATCGCACCGAATCTCATTCATTCGTAGAGAAGCGGCGCCACCTGCCTGATAACGAGAGTCGACCCAGCAGCAACAACGGGCCCATCAACACATGATACTGAATGCTTCACCGCACGCACAGGCTATCCCTCCATCTCCATCTCCATCACGGCCAACTCGAGGTGCAACAAAAAAAGAAGAGCACCGCCACGACCACGCCCACTCGAACGCAATCCGCCTGCACTAACCCCCCTCCTCCTCCTCCTCCTCCTCCTCCGCCTCGAAGACGTCCGGTGCGGCCTCGAGTTCCTCCGCGAGCATGCGCTCCAACCGGACGACTTCCTGCTTCGTCTTCATGACCTGCTCCTCGAGCTGGCGCTTGACGCCGGCTTCCGACGCCGCGGTCTGGTCGACGTGGTGCTCCACGTCCCGGAGGGCGGTTTTGATGCTTTTCTGGAGACGGTCCCGGTCAACGTGTGTGTGTGTGTGGGTGAGGGAAGGAGGGGGGAGGGAGGGAAAGAAGGGAAAGAAGGGAAAGAAGGGAAAGAAGAAGGAAAGAAAGAAAGAAAGGAAAGGGAAAGGGAAAGGGAAAGGGAAAGGGGAAAGGGAAAGGGAAAGGGAAAGAGAGAAAGGGAAAGAGAGAAAGGGAAAGAGAAAATCGGGGGCGGGGGCGGGTGGTGATGACTTACGACGACCTCGAGCGTCTCTTGGAGGCTCTTGGACGGGCCCTGGTGTGCCTCCGTCGTTTGCCTTTCCGGCTCGAGGAAGGTGACCTTGTTCAACTTTTTCAAAGACATGGTCGCCAACGGGGGGGGGATTTTTTTCGCCGAGGAAATGTAAGAAGAGACGTTGTTGGTCTGTGAGATGTGAACAAACGACAACGACGGCAAAGGCGAAAAAAGAAGGCGTCGGGGGGGCCTTTTTGTATCCCTCGAAACACGGGGGGAAACATTCTCATGGATGGTGGGGGAAGACACGTGGCGGATTGAGACGGAGCCAAGGGATGGATTCGAAGCAAACATTGAAAACTCGACATCGGGATTCGATCCCATCTTCGGCACGGTTTTTCATCAGGCGGATACGAGAGCCATCCGGGAACTCTCCCTCCACGTGCAAATGCGTTGGCCCATTCTCCCTCGAGGAGCGAAATCCACATCCCGAGCCGTCAGAGATCCAGCTGTTCCCTGCGAACTGGACTTTCTAGGCATGGAGCTGCCAGAAACCAGGTCAGGATGACGACAGTTGGAGAAGGGAGACCTATCGATCCACTGATGCGCTGTCCGGCTTCAGATCGGTGGCCACATCAAAGAATGCTGATACCCGATTGGCACCAAGCCCTGCTAATCAAGGTGTCGCATTTCATATCATCAAACGGGACGACAAGGTGACCCGACGGGAGAATGCTCCTTTACCCCTTTCCTCTAGAGATTTCCGGACGATATCTACGATTCCATCATCGATGCTTCGAGTTTTCCTCCTTGGTATCCCGCCGTCGAAATTGGAACCGTTCGATGGCATTCATCACCACGCCGGGGGGACTTGGTTTGCGCCGTTCCGTTGCGGAAGCTTCACACACGTCGAAGCGCCCATCCTTCTTCGCTCGTCTCCAAACGGAACATCCGTCATTACCCTTGACGGTGACGTTCGCTCGGCCCTCAGCCATGATCCCAACAACATCGTAATGGCCACGGATCGCTGCTCGCATCATCGCCGTCCGGCCCGAATCGCCAAGGGTTCCAGAACCGGCTCTTTCCGTGTCAGCGCCGCGGTTCAGCAACATCTTCACCGCACCCAGATTTGCGTGAGGGCATGCGTCTGTGAGCGGCGTCCAACCATGGTCATGCCAGTCAGTCATACTCTGCGCTGCGAAATTGACTCCACACTGCCGTTCTGAGCCGCGCGGCACAAAAGCCTGTAGTTAAGATGATCTCTCGTCGCAATGTGTACTAGTACGGGGTTAAGTTTTTGCCATGATAACATGTTTGCGATATAAGTCCAACCGCGAGCACATACTTCCGCCAACGGCCGGCTTCCGTCCCTGTTGAGGGTATGGGCGTTCGCTTTGGCTTCTAAGAGAACCCGAGCCGTCTCACGGTGGCCGTTTCTGACTGCCGGAAGTAGAGCTGTGTCCCCATCACGGTCCCGCACCTCCGTGACGGCTCCTTGGTCCAGGGGGAAGCGAACAGTCACGTCGTGAACTCCGCTACTGGCCTAGCTTCAAGAGCAGTCCGGCCCTCATCACCATCCTGAGCCTGAGCATATCTTTACTTTCGCGTTGAGAGGCCGGGAAGCCTTGTTGATTCTTCCATCCGCTGCAGCGTGATTGAGAGTCGCGTTTCTACCTTTGCCAATAGCATCGGCCGATGCACCAGCCTCAACGTAACGTCTGCAACACCGAAATGATCATTGCATAATGCTTTCAACAAAGTAGTTTGAACTTTGGTAATGTCCTTTGCCGATGTATTTGGTTTGTACTTTATCAATATCTCAACGATCGCCAGCTTGCCTTGAGATGCAGTTTTAATTAACGAGGTGTGACCATTTTCGTCATGAGCTTCGGGATATTGCCCCCATACAACGAAAACTGATCGACAACTCTGGCACTGTCATTGGCACTTGCCTGCATTGAAGCGGTATATTTGTGAATATTCAATGCCTCCATCTTCGCACCGTAGTCCAACCGAAGGCATACCGTAGTTACATATCCCAATCTGGAGAAGCCGGATCAAGACTGTCTCCTGGGATATCGGATCAAGCCTTTCCACATCAACACCGTGTGTTAGCATTCAGGCAATAAATGATCCGTCGTACATCCCACAGCAAGCCCACCGTCATCCTCGTCGTTTGACCCGTCGGCCCCTTGGGATAACAGGAGCCAGATAATGGGAACGTGGTTAATGCTGGCAGCGCAGTGTGATGGGGTCTTTGAATTGGCGCCGTCATTATTTTAGAAAGCGCTCTAGCAACAGCAGTCTTGGTTGGTCAAAGCGTTCATCCAATATTATAGCATGGTTCATCAGTGTCTCTAGGATTTGCCCCAGCGATGCGATGGAGCTTGTTGGATTGAGGGGTAGAGCGTGCCCTAAATAGAATATTGTTCCGGACTATGAGTGCTCAGCTGACGGATTTGGAGTGTGTCATGGGTGATGGAGGGTGTGGAGAAGAGTGTATGGCCTAAAGTTGGAGAGACAAGGATGTGAGTGTCCATCTCCTCCCGGTAGCTCTTCAAGCTCTGGACTAAATTGTCGATCTCATCTTTCTTCCCCGCCGTCTCGAGGACTTATCTGATGTTAGCCCATTCTCGATGCTTTGCCTCGTCTCGGCTTCAGCAAGTCCCATTTTCCCCCACCGGTTGCCCGCAATCTCGTTGCACGCACAGGTAGATTGTCGGAGATGATGGTTCTCAGGGAGCAAAGGTCCATCTCCATGCTGATTGGTAGGGCGGGACAGAGGAAAGGTTAGTCTCTCTCATGAGGCATTTTTTTCTTCACAGATGGAAGTTGTCGCCTATGGCGCCCTGAGCGTTTCGGTAGATCTGGCGGCCTTGGATTACAGTTGTCGAGTCGAAAACTAAAGTAGCTAAAGGTAAGTAACGTAAAAAATGGAGTAAAGCTAGCAGCTACCTTAAGCCTAAGGTACTTTTGATGGAATCTAACATATGACTAAAAAGTACCTTTACCGTAGGTACTTATGACAAAGTGCAGGGTCGGTAATTGACTTTTGAATTACCTTTACTGACTTGTGGATGACACTTTGACTTTGGAGACTCTTCGACTCGTGTCCTGACTCCGTCCGGCAATTTCGAATATCTGTGTGAGAAAAAGTTAAAACGTGAAAAAGCTAAAAAACACTCGTACTCTTACTAAAGTACTCGGGTCATGTCGGCCTCGCAAGTGAAGAGGGAGCCGCTACCGAGACTGACTAACCTCGTTAGGCTTAAATCCCGAGTCTCAACCTGCCTTCGCTTTACACTGCTTCCTGCGCCTTCCGAGTTGAATGACGAGCAGAAAAAGAAAAGAAAAGAAGAGAAAATGAAAATGAAAAGAAAAAGAAAAGAAAGGAAAAGAAAAAGAAGGAAAGAAAAGAAAAGAAAAGAAAGGAAAAGAAAAGAAATCAAACCAGGGGTCCGGGTCTGTCAAGAATTAAGCTTTGTCCGCCCGCATGTCAGGAACGAAGTCAATCCCCACCATGATCACCACCGCTTTGGCGTCCCCTGTGGCTGCACGCCCGCCGTAGCTCCCTTAGTCCTCCTCTCGCCATCTGAGTTCTGCAGGCCCGAAACCACCATCGTAGCGCCCACCCCCCCCGTCGAATCCCCTCTATACTTTTGCCCGAGGCGAACCAGCCCACCTGAGCAAGCCGCTGCAGTCTGACCGTCGGCTCCGAAAGACAACACGAAACTTGTCAGGAGGCGAGAGAGAAGAGAGTCAAGAGACCGACACCGGTCTGCCCTTTACCTGGCCCCCCCACCGATTCCCCCGATCCCCTCCGAAAACTCGGACCTTCTGCCATGGTGGGTTTGATTGGCAACACCGGTCTCCTAGGAGGTCCAATCGGTGCGATGGTGATGGAGTGACCGTAAGGTTTTTCGGGGCCACCAGAGGCTGTCCGTCTTGCCTTGTCCTTTCCCCCCCCACCCCAAACGTCCCATATCCATCTTAGCAGAGCGGCCTGGTCCTCTGGAGTAGGTACGTGTACCGCAAAGCGACAAAGTGGCCATGAACTACTCCTGAGAAGCCTACTGTCCTGTATTCCCCCCGGTTGAGCCGTTCTGCTCTTTCGAAACCCTGGGGGATTCCGTTTTGGAGTCGTTGGTAATCGGCCCTCCGTTCGTCGCTTGGTACGAGCCCGAGCTGCGACCATGAGCATCTCACTTTGTCGTAATCTTCCACAAAAGGCCAAAAGGGTGTCGTGATGTACCTATCTCGTGCCAGAAGTTGGCCAAGAAGGGGGGGGGGGAGGCGGGGTGAAGGTTCGTCGCGACGGCGGGCCGCCTCTGCTTCTCCACCTTAGCTGCCTGCTGCTATGTGACAGACCATCTAAATCACATTGCTAGCCCATAGTGGCGCCTGCGGATACATTGACCGCATCTGCTGTGAAGGTGAGTCCTTCTATTTCCGTGAGCGGCTTCGGTGACGATCGAATGCTGGCTTCGAGGGCGGCTCGTGTGGGTTTGATATCGTGTTGCCGGGCTGTTATCGATGACGCTGGCAGGGCTGAAGGAGATACGATGTTCGACTGAGGATAAAGTAAGCGAATGGGAAGAAGACCCACCTTGAACATCGAGCCCTGGGTGCAGCGGAGGAATTGGGGCAATCTCGTCAGGATCCGTCAACGTGATTGGAGAGGAGAGGGAAGGGAAGGGGGATGAAAGATCGCGTGGAGGTGTAGGTGTAGGTGTAATAGCACATCGTAAAGATGGCAGGGAAAACAGAGAGCGAGAGAGAGAGTGCAGGCGCAATTAGAATAGACGAGGAAAGACGAAAAAGATGTTTGGAAAGTATCAGAAACTGGACGGGGTTCATACGCAAGTCAGCAGCGAAGCACGTATTATTTGCTACTTTCCTTTATGTACTCCATCCATATCTCAACCTCGGTATACACCAGTAGGGAACTGTAGCACGGGCACCTAGGAGCGAACATCTGGCATCGTCGTACGCATGTTGCAGGCAAGGGTACCATGGCCTCATTGCCTTGTTTACGCCAATCGATGCCCGATACCCGTGTCTCCAACTCACATCCCGCCCTGTAAATGCCCGTCGTGGCGGCCCACCCCATTGCGTAGCCCCATCTTATCATTGTAGCGCACACCCTTCGCCGTCGGCATCTTCCTCGTCTCCATAACAGGTGTCTTCAAATGTCCCTGTTCCAATGCGCTCTTGATATTCTCGCAAACCAGCACCTCCATCTTCCGCTGCGTCTCCAATGTCCCCGTGCCCACATGCGGCAAGAGAACGCAGTTCTCATTTTCAATCAGCTCGGGATGGATCTTCGGCTCATGCTCGTGCACGTCCAAACCCGCACCCCACACTTTCCCACTTTCCAAAGCCTCAACGAGCGCATCTTCGTTGACAATGGGACCTCGGGCAGTGTTGATGAGAACGACGCCGTCTTTCATCGTGGCAAATTGATCTCGTGAGATCATCCCACGTGTGCTGGCGTTGAGGGGAAGATGAACGCTGATGATGTCGCTTGTTCTGAGCAACTCTTCGAAGCTCACGTATTTTGCTCCCACGGGATTCTGCGATCCAGGCACACGGGACCGATTGTGGTATTGAATGCGCATGCCAAATGGTACCGCGCGCCGGGCGACTGCTGTCCCAATGCCACCCATTCCCAGTATACCCAATGTTTTCCCCTCGGGCTCGTGCGTCAAGCACATGCCTCCGCGCCATTTGCCTGCTCGTAGGGCGGTGGTGGGTATGTGGATTCTGCGAAGCGCACCGATTATGAGGAAGAGGGTCGTGTCAGCTGTGGATGCGTCGACGGCACCGGGGGTGTTTGAGACGGAAATGCCACGGGTTGCGCAGGCGGAGGCGTCAATTGAGTCGTAGCCGGCGCCATTGTGGGAGACGAATCTTAGGCTGGAGGGGAGGACGTCGATGAGTTCTTGGTCGAAGCGGCCAGTCATCTGGGGAGCAATGTGTCGTCAGCTTCGGTAGGAGAATTGGTCTCTGGCCTCATGACTGGGGACTCGCCTGAGTTGAATCATACGTTCGGGAGATTGCTACTACCCCATCATAGACACCCGCTTTACAATCGATGAGGAATCGATCCCTGGTACCCTCATTGACTTGCTGCACCAGCCCCTTGTCAGCGCTCTGCCAATTGTGTCTCCCAAATTCGCCTTACACGTAGTTCCGCAAGCGCTCCCAAGTCATTCCACTCCGCCTGGGCGAGAATCACCTCGCCCAGAAGCAGAACAATGGGCTTCTTACCCTCCCACAGCAGCATCTTGAATGCAGCAGCGAAAAGGTGGTCGACCACATAAGAGGAAAAGGAGTGTTGGGTTTGCCCCTTCCGATTGCGCAGGAGAAGAAGGGCGCGTGATGAATCGCCTGTTCATGTTGCGCTGCCTGTGCATGTTAAATACCCGAACCCAGAAGCCCAGTCTGGCCCCGATAGAGAGGTTAGTGTTGTGACTGGTTTCCAACAATCAGGATCGAAGCCCAGCGACAACGGAGAGACCTGAAAGGGCAGTCATTCGCTGATGCTCTCCCGGCAATTGCTGGCAACGCATCGAACCGTGGGGGTGAAGCCGTTAACCAAGGACGCCCAAGTGTTCATGCCGCGTCCAAAGTGGGCTGTAGTGGATGGGGCTTCGTAGACTGATTGGGGGGAGTTGATGGTGGGCAAGAGGAGCTGACTGACCATCCGGACCCTAAAGTGGGGCGCTTGTCCGGGGAACTCTGACTTTGAAGATCGGCGGCACGGCGGCCCTAAGGAGTGCTAAGTAAGATTCGGCAATACTCGTGCCAATATGACTATTGACTGACCCATCATGATGGGATCATACAACTTTGCGACGGCTCATCCGCTTCCCCTCCGCTGTAAAGAAAAGAAAAAAATTCCCAGAAATGCATGAACTAAAACTTGACGTCTGTCAGACCCTGGACCCAACAAGTGGGCGCTGATGGCGTTGATGGCCATGCCTGGGTCTGGACCCCCCCAAACTTTCTGACGCCTTCAGCCGCAGCCCATCCACTATCTTCCTGAACCTCACCGTCCCATCCACCCTCCATCCACCACTAAGCACTCGCCCGACACGTATTGAGAAGCTGCACTTGCCAGGAACAGGACAGGTCCCTTAAAATCCTCAGGTGTCCCCCATCTTCCCGCCGGGATCCTACCCAGGATGCTCGCCGCCCGCTGTTCGTCCGATATCAACGCCGTATTCATCTCCGTAGCCACGTACCCAGGGGCAATTGCATTGACTGAAATGCCTTTCCCTGCCCATTCGTTTGATAGAGCTTTGGTGAGCTGTGATACACCTCCTTTGGAGGCTGCGTAGGCTGGGACTGTCATCCCTCCTCTGCCATATTTCCTTGTAGTCAGCATTTCCTCTTGGAGTTCGTTCAAGGGCGTAGAAGTCAGACGGATTGTTGGGAACCCCAAGGTTGGGGACGGAATCCCGGGGCTCTCATCTGTGTTCGATTCAGGAGATAATAGGCTGGAGAAAGACCCACTGAAAAGATAGGAGGGAGGCGACGTTGATTATGCTTCCTCGACGGCCTGCAACATTGAGTTCCTGCCCAAGCATGTGGGCACCGACATCGCGGCAGAGGGTAAATACTGTAGTCAGATTGACTTGAAGGATCTGTAGATGTGGTTCAGCCTTTAGGGAAATGAGGTCAAAGCGTACTTATCCACCTCGTTCCACTCCCGGCTGGGAAATTCATGACTCGGATGTCTTCTCTGGACGCCAGCACAGTTCAACAGGATGTCAATCCTATGGCCGTCATGTAAAATAGCAGGAACAAGGGCCGCGACGCTTTCTTCTGAAGAGAGATCAGCCTCGTAGATGCCGGCTTTCCGATCCAGCTTCTCAATAGCAGTCTTGGTCTCCGTGTGGGTGGTATTGCGCTGTAAAAGGTTAAGAAGGAAGTTCGATGCGGACTCGGCTTACGGTGACTATGCACTTGGACCAGGAGAATATCTGCGCCCGCTTCAGCCAGAGCTAGCGCCATGGCTTGTCCGATCCCTCGGGTGCCGCCCGTGACCAGGGCGGTCTGTCCCTCGAGCGAAAACATTGACGGTAGCGCCGAGGACGTCATGCCGTTCAACCGTTTGCAATTGATGGCAGTTTATATTGCGAAGAAAGGTTAAGGATGTTTGGTGGAGCAAAGCTGCACGGCCGAGGAGATACGTGACGTGCTCCCTCCCGTGGGAAGAGTGAAGCAAACATTTTGGTGGCGTCGAGGCCAACATTCACATCCTCATGGTTCCATAAAACTCCAGAAGATTGGCTGTTTGCACATTTATCACGTGAATCTGTGTGGTTATAATTAATATTCGACGACCATATTTCCTTACTAACTACCAATCTGCTATGGTCAAGCCACGATGCAGAACGCGAAGCCCATGATGCTAGATCGAAGCCTACCGTAGGCCTACTGTTACCCAGGTATTGACCCAATCGAGATGCCACCATCCTTGATATCAGCAACATGCAAGCCCCACAAGCAAAGATCTAGCAGAGATATAAATGCAACGTCTGAACTAGCCTCCACCCCGTCCGCCATATGCAGCCCTGTGGCGATAAGAAGCAAATATTTGAACAAGATTCGCATCTCCAACTTTTCTCCCTGCATCATGATTTCGTTCCTCAGGAAACCATGACAAATTGTCCATAACCCGGCACGCCCCCACAAGTCACATAGATCACATACGGCCCTGGCTGTGCAAGATTTCGATTTGGTGGCATCGTAGCGGTCAGTTTTTGGCCCGTCGCACCAGCCACGTAACCAGTGGTGTCAAGGAACAGCATGCGGTGATTCATGTGCAAGCTATGCGTCACATAACCCCCATGATACAGCACGACCGCACAAGCCGTGTTCCCGCCAGGCGCTGTAAATGAGACTGCGAATTCACTGCCGTCTGCTGTAAGGGTGGTGGAGGACAGGACGATATCTGTTGGGCGGGTGGGATTGTTTTGCAAGTAGGGAGGCGTGTAGATCTCCACACGGAACTCTGTCACGTAGTCTTCCGACGGGGTTTGGTTGGGGACTGGGGTTAGAACCGGCTGTTGGACTGGGTTCGAGCCGGCAACCATGAGTGTACCGTCGAGCAGGAGAAGAGCCACGGAGTGATACAGACGTGCAATTGTGGACTTGGCACCGGTCGAAAAGCGTGAACCCACGGGCTTGGAAGGATCATAGATTAGAGCTTCGAGGGTTGGGTCAGTGGCCAGACCGAATCCTTGGGCTCCTTGACCGCAACCATTGACCCAGACGACAGTTCCGTCGGGAAGCAGAGTGCCTTCTACCATACCTCGGCCTTCGGGCATTGACTCCATCTCCCACGTAGGATTGGTTGACAGGGGCTGAATGACACCGCAGCTGGGGTCTGTTGGACTTGTAATATCTTGATAAGCTCCTCCACCGCAGACCACGATCTCAGGTGCCCATCCATTCGAGCTTGATAATGGGAGAAGCACACTGCCACCTGTGTTTGGATACGTGCGGAACTCTCCTTCCAGATCTGGGAGGGTAGTGACAGTCTGGTTACCGGCCACGTTAAAGATCTCAGCAGACTTAGAGACGAAGATGAACAGGTTGCCATTGTTCAAGAGGTGGACGAACGGATACATGTAGTAAGGCTGATTCTTCTCTAAGATAGCCAACGGAATGCTTTCACCGCTCGAAAAGCCGTCGGCATTCAAAATCTCGTAAGTCGGGTTATTGTTGGCAGGAACTGTAGGGTCAAGTCCATTGAGGCTTCCAGAAGCCACGAATATACTGCTATCGGGCATGGTCTGTGCTGTGGCATACCATCTCGCACTCGACAACTTGTTGCCAGGCTCGGCCCAATTTGCTCCATTCAAACTTGCATCAGTCGCAGAGCGCGTGAGATATCGAATGGCTGTGAACCCATCTCCAACGGTGGGATCAATGAAACTGAGAGGTGCATTGCCACCGAGGGACACCCAACGTCCATCGGCTAGGAAAGCGCCGCCGGAGCAGAAAGCATTGGTCTGAATGTTGGGTTAGCCACCATAATGTTGATCAAGGGTGATTGTACCCACGTAGTACTGAAGTCCTACAGCTTTATTCGTTTCAGGGTCATATTCTGCGGAGTAGGCATATTGGCCGTCAGGAAGCTTAAGCTGAGTGTAATTTTCCACCTTGTCAAGGAAAATCACTCGCCCGTTCGGCATCAGACCTGCATGCATAGCTGGCACGCCGGATTCACCAACAATATTGAAGAAACCTGCATTCGGAGACGCGGGAGCAGGAGATGGGCCTGGTGCAGGGACTTCGGGAGGACCTGAGCACGGCCCGCTTTGACATCCACTGCCGCAATGAGCAGTTGTGTTCCCACAGAACTAGAAAATGTTAGCGATAGAGCCATGAGAACGGCAGACTTGAGCAGTTACCCCGTAAAGAGAACAACAAGGACCGTTTGGCCAGTCACCACAAACGGTGTTCCCATTTCCAGCGCCACAAGTACCATCAGTAGTATCACCGCCATTTGCAGGCGCACTCGAAGGCGAGCCCAGCACAGGCTCTTGGGTACCCGACGCCGCTGCAGCCGTAGTGGACGTTCCAGTGTCGCCCCCAGTACCACCGGCAGCGCCATCACATCCACTTTGGCAGCCATCCCCACAATAAACAGTGGTGTTACCACACCATCCGTACTGGGAGCAGCAAGTTCCGTGATAGTTGGCGGCGTCAGGATCGCAAAGGAGGCCACCGTGCGATGGTCCACAGCTGCCGTCAGTAGAGTAAGCTCGAGGAACGAGGTCTTGAAGGGAACGAGGTTTGTAGTGCTGCATTAGCTTATGAGCATCGTGTCTGAAGAAATCTGGAGACGAATGGAGAGGCGCTTTGAGGCAGCTGGAACAAGTCAGTACCAAGGCTGGCATGCCATGCGACTGTTGGTAGATAGCTCACGTCATATCATCGGCGCAGGACATGCCGCTCAAACATGCAACCGAGCCAGGAAGAGAAGCGTCACAGGATAAGTCAACTTTGTAATTGACGGGGATATTGGCCATGACTCGCCGGAGGCAGAGGCCGATCGAGAGGGCAAGTGACGTCTTCATAGTGAATGACCTTTTGTTCTTTTGGATGTGCGGTTTGATGGCAGATTATCAAGGTGAAGGTGAAGATGTAGAATGATTGTCAATTGGAAGTGAACATGAATTATAAGGTCGGAACGAAAGACCTCGGTCTACTTTACTCCGGATTTTGGCCAAGTATCGGCAATGTGGTATCAGATCTGGTCGCTCGTCCTCGAGGTAATTATTACTTTATAGTCCCTCGTGGCCGGGTAAGATCCGGATTTGGAACGGATGTGAATTAGATACTACCTCGTTCCCTTCCAAAGAGCAAATCAAGATCCCCTTTCGATGCAGCAGGTAGAATCTCAATCAAACGAGTGTCGGCTTCTCAGATGATATAGTACCGCCTAGGTCTCAATTTCTTGCAAAGAGCGGATGGTGACCAAAGATGTCAAAAGTGAGGAAAAGGAACGGATCATACCTACATAAGTAAAAAGAATAGCTCAACCTCCTAAAGTATCATTAAGTGCATCTTCATTACTGGCTCGACTGGACAGAGATTGCCATGGGCAACACATGCTCCCACACATTGATTCAGTGGCTATTTTGTGCTCACCGCTTCCCTGTTTTTTGGCGCGGCTGCATGCACTCGAGAAAAGCCCGCCGTGGCAAATACGAGGGGGTGCAGATATCAACGTCCAATAGGCGTTTACTTGAATCATCGTTTAGCCTATAGATGCGTGTTCGCGCTCCTCTCGAATGCACAGGCATGTCGCATCTAACGGCATCTGCTGCCGCGCGACTGAAATACCTAGCTTCGTAGCGAGACTTGGGAATTGCTCCTTCAGGTCAACAGCCTGTCTGTCCAAAGGTTTCAATTACGTACGTTAGAGTGACCGTTATGATTCAACGCTCCATGCCGGCCTCCTTTTGCGCTGGTTTTGGGGACGGCATCGCATGCTGTATCGTGCGCTTCACATCAGGCTTGAGTGCCTCAGGAACGAGAATGCCCTGCATGCATCTCCATCATTCGGAGCAGGGTTCTCCACAAATGATCTACAGCGTATGACGTCCTGCAGCAGTGCATGAACGAATCAGCGTGCTGAGGTACCTGGGCTCCCAAGGTTGCAGGAGAAGAGATCAAAGTAAGTGATGCTGGGAAGGACCTCCCGTAATCAACCAATCAACCGCTTGGAATATGCCGATCCCTATTTTTAGCTCACAGAGCCTTGTAACTGGTCGCTTGAGACGCTGATAGCATCGTCGCTTTCATGCCCCCTTACGCAGGCCTATATTTACACTACGGTACTGCGTATCTACTCATATGCTCGAATAGGCTGGCCATTGATTCGGCTCAAAATTGTTGCTGTGGCAAAAGTACCATCCTTTCGGACCAATTCAAACATCCCGTCTATTCGTATGGGAACACCCCCTTTCCCCATAAAAAAAAGGCCCCCCCCAAAACCCCCCCCCCCCCCCCCCCCCCCCCCCCCCCCCTTAAACCCCCGGAGGAAAAAAACCCCCCTTTTTTTTTTTTGGAAAAAACCCCCCCGGGGGAAAAAAAAAGGATGTACACCCCACCATGATTTAGTTTCTATCCCCACTCCCAAGCCTCCAAGCTCTCAGAGGCAGCGCCTGCAATTTCAACGCGGCAGGCCTGATATATAACGCAAATGTAATCGCACCAACGATCACGCAAACAACATTGGTGATGTAGTATCCATCTCGCGAGATATCGCATGTGCCGCCACCGTCGAGACAGCGGTGCTTCTCGACTTCGGCGACGCAGTTGAAGGAGGATGTAATGAGGCCGCCCTTGAGATCTTTTTCTAGGGGAGGAGAGGTGGGTGGGTGGCAAGTTGCGACGGTGAAATAGTCGACGAATTTGAGGATGAAGAAGCGGGGGAATGTACCGCCCAGGTTCGAGACACTGACATGAATGTTAGAAGGTGGTTCTGAAAAGATGGCATAAGGAGAGGGTGGGAACGTACGTTGCGAGCAGGGTCATATAGGTGCCGCCAATGGCTGGATCGGCGATCTTTGCATGGAAAGCTGAGATGGCGACGAACATGACTGTGCTCGTGAAAGTGGAGAAGATGTGTGAGGCGATTACCGTGAGCAAATACCAAGGCTGTACGCCGTCGGCGGGGAAAATCATGACGACCAGTTGGGCTAGGCAAGCTGCGACAAGGCGGCCAATGAAGGCCCAGCACCAGACGTGGATTGGGGGATTGGAGGTGGACCAGCGGCCAGCGTAGTAGCCTAGACTGATTTCGAAAGGGAAGTCAATAAGGACTGTGAGAGCCATGTCTTCTTGACTGAACCCCTTGTCGATGAGCTTGAGGTTTGTGACGGCATCGTTGGCTTGGAAGCCAATTTTGGCGATGAGATGGATTATGATGATGCTTTGTATATTCCTGAGTTTAAGGACGCCGAGCATGCTTTTATAGACTTCGAGGATGCCGTCCCTTTCTTTGGTTTTGTCTTCTTTTTTCAGGATGGCGAGACCGAGGGTTACGAGCAGGTAGCCCCAGCCCCAGAAGGTGAGGTAGCCGCCTAAGGTCATGACGCCTTCAGTGCTGGGCGTAGAGCGGAACCAGCGATTGGCGAAGTGAGGGGAGTTGAAGGCAAGGAAGACGGTGTAGGAGAGGAAGTGGCCAGCAGTAAGACCGACAGTTTGCGCGGTGGAAGCGTAGGAGAGGTTTTGGGGGGATAGCAGTGTGAGAGCCCACCCATCGACGGCAATATCTTGTGTCGCGCACAGGAAGACCAGGAAGAACCACCACCATGTAAATGACCACACGCCTGAGCCATCGCTTGCACCGGCAGCAACCATCATTTCTTTGACCCTCCCCCCAAGATATATCATCCCTATACCTGAGCACACCTGAATAGGCATGATCCAACTTTTTCTCCTTCCCAGCCTCGGACTCCATACTGCATCCACAATTGGACTCCATAGTAGCTTCAATGAATATGGGTACGACGCCAATGTGAAGACCCCTATTTGTCCGTACGAAAGATGTTGTTTTAGAAGAAAAGGCACAGATCCAGAAGCCAATCCCATGGGTATCCCTTGTAGAAAGTATAGAAGCACTAAGAGTAGGAAATTCCGTCTATCTTGTCGCGGCAGGTCAAAGAAACTCGAATTCGGATTCGGCGTTAAGGGTGTCTGTGGTGGCTCGTTGTCGAGGGTGAAGCTCTCCCTGCTCATAAGATGGGCGGTTTGCGAGGCTGCGGTTGGGGACTCGAGGGACGGGTGCTTCCGCCGCATCTCGAGGTGAGAATCCATATTCCCGTTGGTGTGGCCGTTCTGGCCACCCGACGACGTCGACGAGGGCTGGTCTGGCTCTTGGAGAGAAGGCTTCTGAGATTTGCGTCCCATTTGAGAGTCGTCTGAGTCTAAGTCGAAGTTCGATGGGGAAGTCAATGCTCGAGCTTCTTCGCCGTCAAGATTGGCTGTTGAGATAGGTTGCGGAAGTCTTCGGGAGCTCGATCCTGTGCGTGTGTCTGTTCCCTGCTCTTCACTATTGACCTGTGAGATCTGGCGGCTTGGTTCAGTGAGATCTGGCTCTCGGAAAGATGGTCTGAGCAGCTCTAGTTCTATGCTATTGTGCGACTGGTTAAATGGTAAAGTAGTAAGTTCCTGTTCCTGCACCTCCGGTTGTAGGATGTTGTAGAGAAGAGTATCGCCTGATAGAGTAGGCATTCACGTAGCCAGAGAGATAACCTTTTCGAGCCAGCTCGAAAAGACTCGTGTCTTAGTCATAGCATGCCGTCACAGACAAGGTTAATGGCGGATAGTCGTTGTGGACACGATTCTTTTTCCTTCATCACATGACTTCGCGATGCCAAGAAACTGAACGCGCTTACCCTATCGAGAATGGTTACATGTAAGTAAGAACCTCATATCTCATATGGTCTCCAGCTTGTACATATACATCAGCCTGAATGATCTACACATGTTCGAGGTCTACAGACCCTGCCAAACTGTGATTACGACGCCCAGTTGCAATCCAAGTGCTACTTGCCAACGCAAAGTGACTCCAGAATAGTGACTGCAATCTTTACCCGTAACCAACTTCACGCTAGGAGTTACCCGCTACTTCAGGTCTCCAAGTCAATCACTCTCACAGCTATACCTATATCAACTCTCTTACGCTATCAAGGGATGAACCATGGATCACTTTCAAGGCATCACTGCTCAGATCATTTCGAACGGACAGGTCCTGGACTTTTACGATGATCCTGACGCACCTGAAATTCCAGAGAGTCGTGCGCGCCACCACTACGTTGAAGCGGTAGCTGGGTCCACTTTTCAGGTGAAAGTGAACCTGACACACCGGTTCAACTCCTGCGGAATGAAGGCTGAGGATGCTGTCAAAATCTCGGTCGTACCTGATGGTAACAATCGCGGCGGGCGGGCAATTAAATATACCAAGAAACTTCTTCGGGAGAGTTTCTCACGGGTGTATCTCCGCAGTCATACTTTCACGGGTCCCAAGCACTTCTGCAAAGAGACTGGACAATGGATGCAGAGTGACTATTCCTTTGGCAATCTCGTCCTAAGTATACTATGTCTTTCAGTCTCAATTAAATATCACAATTAGTCTGACGCGACCCCTAGAAGAGACCCCAGATCCTGGTTTTTCCGTCAAACAAGCTGAGGACCTCGGCAAAATACAAATTACTGTCGAACGCATCAAGGTGGAAGAGCGCCAAGTGGCGTACGTCCCGAGTACGATACCTATTGAAACGATAAACGAGGTCCCGGAGAAAGCATTGAAAGGACGGTCCATTGAGACTACCGTCAGGTAAGGCGGGCCAGGGAAACCTCTATGGTGTTGACACTGAGAAGACCTAATTTAGATTGGCAAATACCCGTCCTACTTCCGCTTCCATTCATTCTCACATTTCTAAAAGCATCAGTGGGGAAGCGGGAAAGCCTGTGGTATTCAACATATACTACAGATCAAGACGTAGGTACCATCTCTTGGGTTGTAAGATGCCCAATCCTGATCTTCAAAGGTGCCTTGCAGATGATGGGATGCATTCCACGAAGCCCTTCCCCAGAATCCCAATCCCCCGATGATGATGCCACCGCTCCCGAACATGCACTCCGAGAAGTGCGAGACCTCCGCGTGAGTCCAATGTCTGAGCTTCGAATCGAACGGGAACTGATACGGCTACCCTCGTACAGGCTCGGCTTGCTCTCTTAGAACGTGGCCTCAACGTCAAGTCCGAATCGTCGAGTGCTGCCACGGGAGTCAAAAGGGAACGCGAGGAAGAAGGCAACGAAGGGTCCCGTCAAAGACGTCGGACTACCGTCAAGATTGAGCATGTCGATCTTACTGACGACTAGATCGCGTTCGAGAGAGTTGCATCCATATGATATGATACAACGTGAACTTCGCATTACGTCGTTGGGCGTCGATGGCATACCCAATCCAAGGCGTGTAGATGGGTAGCAGAGCTCAGCGAACGATCGCGGCGAGCGTGAGATACCCAATCCATAGCATCTAGATGGGCAGCAGAGTTTGACAAATGGATCGGCATATCGGTGGCATAACCAGTCAATTGCGTGTCAGACAGGCGACAGAGCTTAGCTGTTCATCAGTGGAAGGGAAATGTCACACGACTAGTGAATAAATGGTGATTCCTTAATATGTTGAAGATGTTCAAGACAACATCGTGACTGGCATTACTCACTGACGCCCCAATAAATTTATAGATACCTCGATCTCAGAGCCTGACTAATCGTACTCATCCTACTCGCCACACTTCCATGCGTCATCTCATTCGCCAAATGTTCCTCCAACGCACTCTGTGTCACGCTCGCCTCATCTAACTCGCTAAAACTGCTTCCCATACTTGGCGTCCCTTCACTCCCTTCCTTCGCCATACGTCTCTGCCTAGGCGAGAGCGTTGAGAGAGCGTTATGCTGTGGCGGTCGGTTCTGCGATTGGGACTGTGATTGCACAGACGATGAGGATGAGTGGGCAGTCTGTGGTAGGTTTGAGGCTTTGGGTTTTGTAAGGGTTGCGGGCGGCGACCTGCGTGAGGTTGGTCGCTTTGGAGATATTTTGAGGGTGGAGCTGGGGTCTGTAGGCATTGGTGGTGTGAAGGGACGAGCGTCTGAGAAGGGAAGAAAGGGTGGAGAGTCCTCGTCTTCCTCATCTGCATCGGACAGAGGGTTGAGGGGAGCTTTGGAGGAGGAGTACCGTGGTCGACGGGCAAAGGCTCGGCTGCGAGACAACGGGTGGGGAGCATCATCGGATGAAGAAGAGGAAGACGAGTCGCTGGCTATGGCCGAAGGGCTAGCTTCCCTGCCAATCGGACGCTGCTGTTGTTTTGGAGATGCTTCAATAGATCTGCCAGAATTTTCGCGACTCCGGGCTCGCTGGGCAAAAGAAGAATGTCTTTCAGTAGGCGTTCGTGGCGAAGCAGGGATTTGAGTGACAGTATGGGTTGAGGCTGTTCGAGACATTGGGACTAGGAACCTAATGAGCAACGGTAGTGATGGGAAGAACAAGGAAACATACGTCGTGCTGCTCGTGGAAATACTGTACTTGCTTCACCATGAGAGGTTGTTCGCTCTTTCGCTCTATGTGATAGTGAAGTCGGTACTCGCGATCCTGTGCGGGATCAGCAAGAGTGAAGCTGGAAGTCGAACGTTCCATACCTCCACTGCCTCCTCTGGTCATGGCGTATCCTCCTACCGTACCGCTACCCGATACAGAGCCGGGTGTTGGTGACGCACCCGACGAGAGCCTATTGGCTTTTTGCAAACCAGCTCTGACCTGGGACAGCTGTCTTTCGTAGAGCAGTGCTGCCTGTTGCGATAGGAAGGTAAGGGATACATTGAATCGCTCGGCGCTAAAACAACAAATCAGTACTGGCCCTTTCGATGGTGTCTTGAGGCTTAGGTTGACACACGTTGCGTGCCCTTCATTACCAGTCAGCACCCGCCCAACGCATTTGCATATCCACAAATCTCACAGTCTATGTCTCGCCCCTTGGCTGTAGCTTTCGATAGCAGATCAGAGAGCTCTCGATCTTTCTTCCCATTCCACTCCACCTGCTATGCATTAACCCTGTTTGTGCCATATCGCGAGACTGGGAAGCTCACGCTTGGTGGATCAACAAAGTCGCCTCGAGGGAATGGAAGGCGAACGAAGACTGTGTAGTGGACATAATCTGGTTCGGTTGGTGATTGTGGCAGGTCTTGATCTAAGTGTTGAGCCATATGTCGCGAGGAAGAACCATATGTGTGCCTGGATCGACATGAAGGATGGAAGGGATGGAAGTGAAGCATCGAAGGATGCATGGGCTCGGGACCAGATCCCTGCAGCAGCAGCTTCCTTCGGCTCCACACGGGAGCTAAACTCAAATTGTATCCTAGCTAGTGGCTATCTGTTGGCGACTAAGGTACGAGTGAACATGAAACGCATATGTGCTCATTTTAGCAACAATCAAAGTTATAATAAGTTGGGGGCCTAGTACTTCATAAGAGCATCTGCTTGTATCCACTCAGCTACATACCTTCGAGCTCAAAACACGAGACGAAGACTTCTGATCCAATTCGCACTAAAGTGACAGTCACTAAGCTTAAGGCTACGCATCTGTAACATGCAACGCTAAGTCTTGAAATCGAGCATATGATTTCGAGAGCCCGTTCTGGTTATCATTGGGCTGCCCGATGAGACTTCTTGCCAAATGAGACTCATTAACAGCGCGATTGTTGTACTTTGTGTTCTACAAGATCGGCAATCTAGAGTTGTCTGAGCTCGGATTTCGACGACTGGAAGTGTAGTTGACGTATCCTAAAGAAAGCTTCATTGATACAAATGTTTACAGTTACATCACAGGGACGACATGAATGAGAACGACGAGGAAGATATCGAGCCACTGCGATACCAGCCCGGAACCTATGAGTATGGGGAAAGAAATCAGGCAACACGCAAAACCATGTAAACGCCAAAGCTTCTTGCTTCTCTGCCGTATGAAAGCAATCAAATCTTCTCCGAGGGCGAGACTTCCCGAGTCTGACCATGCTCAAGATCCCCAAGTACACCAATGTGCGCAAATTTCCTCGACTGACTTGGGTCAGAGGGGGTCTGCTGTAGGTTCAAGCTTGGATCAGAACCCGGACTGGTCTTCATTCCGCTTTCTCCTGACCCGGAGCCGAATTTGCCAGTGGCGCGACTAAACAAGGGACGCGTCGTAGGCAAGCAGGCGCTGACAATGGCAATGCATAGTTCGACCATTGTCCAGATATTGACAGGGACATCGGACCCTTAGGAATTTGTCAGAGTAGATTGCACATTGAGATCGAGAAAGGCAGAGCTTACAGCTGGGGTCTGCATGAGAGAGCTCGTGGATGACAATGCACCTATAGATGCTGGCAAAACAGACGCTGTGCGCCATTAGCCTGCTTTTGTAAAAGGCATTAAATCGGTACTTACAAACCACCAAGAAGGAACATGCCCATGATTTGGATCTTCTGCTTCGTGGGCTTTTGCAGCGCATACAGTAAGGGCATTGGCAAAATCAAGATTGCAAAGTCAGTCAGGACGTTGAAGGCCGCGATGATGGTCGCTCCGATATCAGTATTGATGCAATAGTGTTTGACCAAAGGGTTCCAGTTGGAGTCAATCGGCATACACTGGAAGATGGCTGCAAAGACCTGCGTGATACTGTAGCAAGCAACGAAGATGCCGACTACCCATAGAATGATGACGAAGTTGCGGCTGACGAAGAAAACTCTCTTGTATAAGTACAAGATTGAAGCTTTGATGGTGAACATAGCAAAGTTATAGATGACTTCGGCGGAAATAAGCACCTTTGAAGATATCAACATCCGACATTTGCCCAATTCTGATACTCAGTACGAGATTTTGATGGCATACCTGAGCGAAGCCTGCGGGATTTTTGAGAAGGATCAGATGTTTCCCAGACCCGAAATGTAAACCTAATCCAGAGATTCAACACATGTCTATAGAAGTAGTACAGGGGATTGCCCACCAACGCAATCACATATGAGAATGCCGAGTGTAAAGAGCTGCAGATTGACACCATCAGTGAACGGCTTTGGATACAGGTAGCCGTTAAGGCAAGATCGAGAGCTCGACGAAATGGGTATGGTCTTACCAGCCCAGCAACAATTAGCCAATCATCTGCTTCATATCTGATCTTGCTCGACCGACGAGAGAGGAATCTTAAGAGAACAGCAGCACAAGCAATGGGAAAGCAAATGGCATTCGTTGCAATGATATTGGGGACTTTGTTATCAGAGATGTGTTTTTCCTGATACAGGATCTCTGCTGGGGAGGGCATAGAAGCCATATTTTTGGGAGACTGGGTGGTCAACGCTCGACAGTGAAATGGGCTGTGGTAAGCAATTTGTACAGTGTATTACTTTAGGCACGTAACAAGCGCATGGGACAAACATTAGAATGAGAGGCCTGACCTTGACTTTAACATTACTAACATGTCCGGGAACTTGGATTAAATCTCCTCGTTTCTGCCCGGGTGCAAGCACGAAAGCATCGAAAGGTCCAAGCGATGTTGAACATCTGCACCATGATCCTAGTGGTGTTTCCAGGAACGCAGGTCAGGGTGTTTACAAACAGTAAGATGCACAGCCTCGGTTACGATTGGTCGGATCCCCTTAATCAGAGCGGGAGTTCCCTAAAGCAGCCACGCGAGCATCATCGTACCACACTGTTGCATATCTAAGGGCGCTGATCTGCGAGGTTTGATTGGAGCGCGAGGTCAGTCCCCACAAACACAGATGGTGTCAATTTGTCAGGGTGGAAACCTTCTTCTTTCATGAACTTTGAGTTTTGACGGGATCAAAAGTTCCGATCCGATGAATAGGAGCTCGAGGAACATTCTCCGATCTGGGGAAACAGACCCTTGAGGCTCGCATCAACATCCGTGCGCCATGCAGCTCGCTCTGCATATGAGACGAGATCGCCCCTTGGTGGAGGGAGCCGGTCTGAAGGAAGGAGCCGTCAGGAATAGGATGAGTTTCGAGGTACCGAGAGAGCATTGCAGTCTCGGCTTTCCTTCTCCGAACACCTGTCTCCATCCTTCACAAACACTCGGCCCCCTCTTCACTGTCACAAGCTGATGAAGCTTTCAGAACCGTTTTCTGGCCTCACTTGCTGCCATGGAAAATTCAGATGAGATAATTACGCAGCAGGTTGATCTGGACGTTGATTGGAGCGCGAGAAGCGCATAAAGAAATCCCACTAGTCATATAAGGTAGCTAGCCTTGAACGCGGACTCTGCACTACCATTCTCCGCATATCCGTAGGTGCAGGACGCGGAAGATGAGTTTCAGATCTGGAGAAGTATGAGCTTCGTGGCGGATCCGAATCCGAGTACCCCGTCGTAGTCTTGATAATTGTTCGTGATATCCAAAGCGTTACTGCACGACGTATTTTCAAAAAGGTGTTCCTGGACAAAAAAGAGAAAACAGGTCAGCCTAGTTAGAGGTATCGGAAACAACGGTCAAAGAAGACTTGAAGTGTCGTGAATATGTGCGGTAGTCAGTTCATTCTGACCCAGCGGTAGCACCCACCTCCATATGGAAATCATCACCCATCATTTCCGGTGCCTTATTCACTATTGCCTTCAACGCCTTCTGCTCGGCCCCTGTTAGTCGTTCATCTTGCTACCGTCCAATTCGATACCATCACTAAAGAAGTTAGGTCTTCAGTAACTGCAATTCCAGACTCGATGGCGGGACTAAGAGTCTTGGATATCCTCGAAGCAGGTGCCTCAGCTTGGACTGCGACAGAGGTAGAGCTTACGAGTCTACAGAGAGAAATTAAAACTGTCTTTAGAATAGGTGTGCTTGTCAAGAAGCCCACTGTTGAGGTTGGTATCGAGTAATCCGCCTCGTTGTAATTCGCATTCAAAACTGTTTCCGCGGTCGGCATGAGCGCCGTATTACGGAAAGTGATCTCCTTGACCCTTTTGCTATCAGAACAGCAGGTCTGATTATCTGGGTACGGGCAAAATGTTCAATTGCCGTAAGTGGTGCTATTCAAACTATATTCGAAATCATTGTCCACGATAGGGACTGCAGTGTCACATCATTAATCATGCGGATCTTAGCTGTCGACAAGAAACACGAGAAAGAGATTACGGATTGGCTAGTAGATTAATGATGAAGTTGATGAGGTTTTTTTTTAGTTTTGATAAAAGGAAATAAAGAAAGGACAATCAGGACTTCGCCAGCTTTTGTCTGAACAGACTCCCATCCAACTCAAACCATTGTCTCCTGAGCAGTAAAGGTTTTGTCTTGCATCTAGATGCCGGGCTGCACATACACTGAAGTTGGCGGAGGGGTCGCAAGGAACAATGTCGGGAATCTGCACAGTCTGAAGGTGTTGGAATTCAGCATCTCAGCCCTATTGTACTTGGCAACAACTATAAGTAGCACACAAACTCCATAGAAAAACAATAAGCCGTCATCAATTTCAACAGGTTATGGCCCGGTTTGATGAAAATCGTCACCACGACGGCTTCCTTCGTAAGGGATTACTAAAGGTATTCTTACGTCGTACATTCAGCCATAGGGTCCCGGTCGACGTCCGCTGCGTTAACCAAGTTGCTACTCACACCTCTACGGCTTCTCAGCGCATTTCCACACCTCTACGCATATCCTACGATACGATATCGACCACAACACTGTTAAAGGTGAGATTGAGGGGCTTAAGGGTCGGATACAGGGGAGGAACCAGATAAGGCGTTAGGGAAGGACTCGACAGTTTAGAAGATGTTAGTGCCAGTGTCAGTGCCAGTGCCAGAGCCAAAGGTGCCCGTGCCCGAGCCAGTGCCGAAGCCCGTACATTTCGAAGTCGAACCAGTCACTCGATATACCCTACAGCAAGTTATCTCGGAAGCCCTACTACGGTAGCACACCCTCTTACGTCCAGAGCACTATTCCCGATTTCCCTACACGAGGGGGGTTTAGGGGTTTAAGGGGGGTTAAAAAAAGGAGGCAATTGTTCTGGGTAACTCGTCCCAGAGTAGTCACACAAACTCCATAGAAACAATAACCCTTTTCTCTGAAGGGAGTAACAGGGTCGTAGTTGAGCAGAATTAACCGAACTGAGACAACATATTGACAAGAAGATGAGTAGGAGCTTACGCATTGCATCGACCAAAACATGGCCTTGTCGAAAGCTTAATTAAATGCTCCTGGAAGATAGGAAGCCCGTGACGGACTGTTGCGGCAAGCAAAGCAGTTTTTGTGATCAGGCTGTGCTGCTGAAAGACGATTCTAGGGAAGCATTCGTAAGGGGCCTCCAGATGACTCGACAGAGGAAAATCAATCTTACCATAATCTTCAGTCTAGGCTCCATGTATGTGCTCGCACTCGTATTATCCTTATGATCAACTAACGTGTGTCACCTGCAGTGTCTGTGTGATTACCATCCTTCGAATCGCGTTCGCAGCTCAATTCGATGCCAACGACCTCACCTATGATTACATAAAAATCTCAATAACCACAGTAATTGAGCCTACACTTGGCATAATAGTGGCCTCCCTACCCATGTTCCCGCCGGCTCTCAAGAAGTTGCTGGGCAGTGAGAGCGAGCATGACTCCCTAAAGGTGCGCTCTAGCAGTACAACCCGGCTTCGCTCGAACGGCATGGATCCATCCCCGGGTTTCCCCAGGCTTGATGACTCGTACCCTCTTGCGGACTTGGAGACGGGTAGAACAACTGAGAACAAAGCCACTAGCTCCGATGGTAGAGCGAATTCTTTCGGTATTGAATATAGCACGGACTCAAGGGGTGAGACACAGCCGTATTCTAGGATCAATGTTCAAAAAGGGTGGGAGGTTCGGTCTGAGTAAGCGATCAAATAGCTAAGCCACGAATGCTATGAAACTTTTTCTAGGTTTCTCTACACTTTGAACGGGAAGTCTTTCGTAGTAATAACATAAGCAAAACCGACAGCGTCACACATTCAGGCAACTCTTTCATAGCTGATCGACCACACCATACTCAATTATAGGCGACCACCAAAGGTAGTTGATGATCGAGATGGTGGCCAGAAGATAAGGCTGTCATTATTCTGCAAGGCTGCAGGCATGCATATGAGGCTACCTTATGCAGCATGGTAGCCGACTTTCTCAAGTTCGCAACCTTTTCCAAAAGTGAATTCCCATTCAAACTGGGCACGGCTCCGCATACACCCCTCCCTCTTTTTGTCACCGGTTTGGTACACGCTAGGGACTCCACAGGACGAATAGGCGGGACTGATAAGGGGAAATGTATCGGAAAATTATTTCCATCCTCTGGTTCGAGGATTTCGGAACTGCAAGCCATGTGTCATCGACCATATAGCGCTTCTGTCATGGAGGGTCGCTTGGCCTAGAACGTCCATATCACAGATCGATGAAGCCACAAAGGACCGTTCTTCGGTCGCTTTCTAGCTGCGATTAATCCGTGAGGCTTCAGACGATAATAAAGATGCAGCTCGAGCTGCGCCCTTGTGACGAAAAGCATGGAAAGATGAAGGTCAGCCTGGTAAGGACGATGGGTGGAGCGCGAAACAAGGCTGAGTGATGATGCCTCCCGAATTCCCTCTTTCTCGACATCAAATACCACTCTTTTGACCCGGAAGGAGTGTGAGCACCGCCTTCCGTGAAGAGAGCAGAAGGCTACAAAACGGGCGTCTGGCCTAATGCTACCAAACACACCAGGCTTTGCTCGGCCGCGCGTCACCTTGTCAATCTTGGACAGACCAAGAAATGTCTATGCCCCACGCAATGGTCAAGGTCAGACAGACGGGGCATTGTGCCTTGCATTACATGCCGAGCTGAGAGCAACTGGAGAATCGAAAAGGCTGACAAATCGATCATCGCATGACTGGGTAAGAAGATTGCACAGCCTCATGTAGCTGCACACAGCCTTGCAGAAGCGAGACCGCAAGCTCTCTCTGCCCACCATCGTTGTCACTGCCTAAAATAGGACCACGATTACTGGCTCTTGTTGGCCGTCGCATCTCATCCAGAATGGTAGGACCGGATTGAAATCGGACATCTGCTTGTGGCATCTCCGCACGGACGTATCTCTGGCATACATGATCATTATTTCGCTTTTTTTGACCGTTGACTTGCTGAATTCTTGGCAAGAAGACAAAGTTCTTGACTCTTCTTCACAATACCTGGATCTACGGTTTCTTACAAAGATGCCTGTAATGATAATGTACGCCTTTGTCTGGAGCATTTTCGTCGCTGGCCTAGCCACTGCAGGGCCTGGGTATTCGATACAATGCTGTAACATAGCGTTACAGACATTTGCTTATCTTAACAAGAGTATACCCCAGGACGACTACAAATGTGGTCAGGTCTACGAAGCCGCCCTTCCACCTGCTCCACCTCTTCTGGTTCCCACCTCGTGGTGTCGCCAGAAATGCTCTGGGTATGGATTATCGGCTCCTGGCGACACAAATGCTTGGGCGGCACCCCTGATTCAATACATTCTACCAGCGGTCATTTTCAGTATGACCATCCCTCGAAGATTGGTGCTTGAACCGCCCAGATGGTTCTTCGACTTCAATGTCAACCACATGAGTGGCCTCGTCAAGGCTCTTTTCTCTTTGTGCGTTGCGGGTATAATCGTGACTCTCGACACCGCAGTCTGGGTTTTCATAATCATGGTAGCGCCGGCACCGTTCATCTTCAGTGGACTCGTGGAAATTGTGCTCGACTATAGGATTATACGGAATCTGAATAGTAGCAACACAAGTCAAGGCAAAGATCAGCCCGAGGGACTGGACAGGGCTCAAAGAGTTCAGCTTTTGACTGCCGTTCTGGCCGGGAACCTTGGGATAGACGGTGTCCCAGCTGATCCTCAAAAAGAATTAGGGACGGTCTTGGATATCTATAAGCACCCCGAAGAAGTGGCATTGCGTTTGGGGGCAATGCTAGATTGCCAATATCCGTTTGGAGCCGCTGTAGGAGCTCCCATTCTGCTCTACATCGGGTCTTTTGTATATACGCTTGCCACGATCCGCAGTTCCAATGGAGACAGGGAAACATCAAGGGCACTGGCTTTCGGTATTTGGTGGATGAACATTGTGCATGTCTCAGCCATCAGTGGATGCTTGTTGGCTAGCAACAATCCAAATACAGCAGGGGCGATCGTCAAGCGGAGACGAGAGAAAGTCGGACTACAGGAACGGCTAGATTACGCCAACCAGCGATCTGAGATGGAAGACAAGATCCAAGCTCGGTTAGAGGCATGGTCGCGGCTTCCGCTGAGCTATAAGGCTCGCTATGAGCCTGTCTGGATGTGGACGAGAGGCAAAAGCAAGGCTGGCTGGCTTCGACGAACTTCTGCCTGGAAAAAACCTTGGTTCCGCGAGCACGTCGAGATGACCGTCCCCGGCTGGATTTTCCTCGTTTGTGTAGCCTTTGGGCTTGTCTTATTCCCATGTGCACTCGCCTTTTGGGTTGAGTATTCGACGCCAACGAAAGGCGTGGGCTGCCGGTCATTAACCATTTTGGGTACGTACACCTCTAAGAAGACCCTATCTTTTCTACATAACGTTCCGACTTGCGAGACATGTTGTGGGAATGGAAGTCTTTGCTTTATCCCCTGAGGCTGTCTCACCATCTGGAATTCGCCACAAAAAATCAATGCTAACTCTGAAACAACCCCAAAGTCTACGCCTCCACTCAATTGACTTTCACCGTCCTCTCAGCTTGGAGCCATTTCAAAGCGTCCCACAACCAGACTTACTGGGACAACCACCGTTGGCTTGGTCGCTTGAGGCGCAAATGGGTCGGCGTCTCTGTTATGGTCATCTTCCTCTTTCCCGCTTGGGTAGCCGCAGTGTTTACAACCTTTGCTGGAACCCTCATGCAAGTTACAGGCATCTACCAAAACTGCCTGTGCGCTTCGAGTGGATACTGGTCTTGGGGTCCTACCTCCACCGTTCAACTCGCAGCGGACACCGAAGCCGATAGACATGCTAGTCTGCATTGGCAAAAAGCTGGCTACACAGCTCTCATTTTCTTGGCTGTTGTGACGTATTTAGCATGGTGGTGCCAATGCTATCTGCGCCAGAAGTTCATCGAGCGGGTGAAGCACCTCATCCCTGAGAATCCTACTGGACATGACATTCATACCAAAGCACAAGTCGATCTGGGAAGGCAGCGAATTGCGGAGACTATCAAGAGCTCTGAGATCAGCACCCTCCACAATTTGAGTGGGGCCTCTGGTGAGTGCCCTTTTTCATGTTGGCCTAGCAACCGCGAATACTTACCGACATCCAGTTGAAAACAATTCATTGTATATGTAAAGTCGAAGATCATATTGCCTTTCATCTAATTTTTCTATGATTCAACGGGCTCCAACCTACGTATGGTACGTCAAGGAAAATCCATTTAAACGTCGTTCGAAGAAACTCGCGCGACGCATTAACAGGTTTCATGCGTTCTCTCTGCTCTTCTGGCCTCGGACTTGACTGTCACAGGGGCGACATAAAACACACGGGAATCTTGATCTCAGTGTTTGCTAGCTGACACCGGGCTCTGCACGCCATTTTGATGACAGATTTCGCTTGCTCCAAGAGTTCTTCTACGGCAACCAGGAATCCTGATCTCAAGGTTTGCAGGCTTACACTGGTCCCTGCTCACCATTTAGACGTCATTTTTGAACTCGTTGATCCGTGGTCTATGATGATCGGAGACTAGTACTCCTAGAGCTTGGGATTGAGATCAAATCTTTGTACGCGAAGTCTCTCTTTCCGGCCGAAGCTACTACTCATTCTTGACAATTTGTACAGGCCTCCAACTTTATCTATGGCCCAAAAGATCTGTGCTGCGCTGCCAAAGTGCGCCAAGAATTTGGTCCGGACCCTGTTCTCCCCAGAAAGTCAATACTTGCTCAATTTGAGACCGTTGGACCCAAAAGAAAGATTATCGAGAGGTGCGAAAATCTCTCACTGTCGGATCACATCATCGAAAGACACAATCCTCAACCTATCCTTCATCATCAATCGACAACTATCTCCTCGAACAGCCAGAAACCCAGACCAACTCCAAATTTAACCACCATTCTCCGTAATGAAGATCTCCACTACCATCCTCCTCACCACCACCTTTACATTCGCCGCCCCTCACCTTACTTCAAACCAGCACTTGGGACCCAACCCAGCAATCTGCTCGCCGATATTGAGACTTCAGTTCTACATCAACGACCTGAACACCTACCCGACCCAAGGCGACATCTATATGGTGCAAGCGCAAGCGCTGACCGTAGACGATGAGTTGCAATGTCCCACGAAAAACGGGATATTGGATAGTGAAGAACCGGCTAGCGACACTTGCAAGAAAAATCAGGAGATCAAGGACGCAGTTGAAGAGCTAACGAATTCTTCTTCTGAAGACAAGCGTCTCCGGTTGAATGGGCTCAATGCTGCTTGTGTGGAGTTGTATGAGATGATTGGTTGTCCTACTAAGTAACTGGAAAGGCTGTTGGGAGGGTTACAGCCACTGAATGCATGCAAATGAGCCCCGTAAGACGATCTTCCTTGGCAACCCGGATACATCACCCACCTTGCAGGATCGACGCCCGATTCACTGCAGTCTGAGCACGGAATTACGTCGCCGTTACCGTGCACCTCAATATCACCGTCGTTTGTTGCAAGTCTCCCTGTTATAGTCACCGCGTCGGCCACTACAGATACTGCACGGAATTGGCATGACGCCGCTGTCATTGTAGTAATTACAATGAGCCATCTCTTGGTGTAGTCCGATGTATACTTAGCTGAATCAGCAATGTATAGAGACCCACTTGCTTTTATCAAAATCGTTTCGTTTGTTTAGATTTCTTTATCCGAAGGAGGAAAGTATCGTGAATTCATAAAAAGTGACCTCAAAAATTCTTCACTGATTCTTCTTAAAACGGAGAGCAGGAACTCAGGTCAAGACAGAGAAGAGAACTTTGTATTTAAATTCGGAAAATCTATGTTTGTCCACACAAAGCAAGCCATTTCTCAAGCCATTCGTGTTTATCGTTGATGTGTTTGCTATTTTTCGGTCAAAGATTTTCGCGCCTTCTTCCATCAGATCCAGACCCCCTTTTGAGTGCCAATTGTACAGTCCCTGCGGTCCAGTCGAGTCATGTACAGTTCCGGCAAGCTACAATTATCCATCTTAGAATCGATCTTACTGAAAACGTTATTTTCTTGCCAGGAACGAACTACAAATGCACAGTGAAGACACCCGCACTACCGCAGCCTTGACACTGAGTCACTGTGCCCCAGCTCGCTCGATCGCCATCCCCGCTACAGGAATCTCAAGTTGCCTGGGCATTTGCGCCCCCTTCCCATGATAGCCGTTGCAGTTACCAGTCTCTACGAAATGCCAGATTGTCAACTCGTCACTCTCTACGCCGCGGTTAAGACGTGAGGAGGAAGAGGTTTCAGACTTGGATAAGATATTAAACACACGGCTAGGATTACGAAAGTCTGAAGGGCTACGTACAATGCAATGTGGTTGGCTCCGCAATTGTTCAGTTGAAGACGAGTTCAATTCACAACGGTTTTCCACGCTTGAATTTAGATCGGCTGCTAACGTACCAGTTCTACCCTCAAGTGGCGGTCAAGAAAGCAGTCTACCATTTCTCCCAAGCACAGACAACCGGCTAACGACATTGCTTCAGGTTGCGGACCGTCAGGCCTGTCATTGCTCTCCCGGCCAGGGTATCGGCGACAAAGAGGCCCTTTGTATCACTACACCCTGCAGCGCTTGCACCACGCAGTTACTGTCCCTACTCCACGGCAGTGCCAACAGATCTGCCGCGTTGGAATTTTACCCGTTCCGTCACAGGCTTGGCACGTCAGACTGTTGTCGAACACCACGCGGCCACTCCCACCACAGGGACTGCAATTGACGGGGGCGCCCTGGCTGCCGCCTGCGCCATCACAGGCACTGCACCGCTCCGTCACCCGGCCGCAGGAGTTGCAATGTTTACAAGGAGGCGAAGACATTCTTCGGTTGTGGAGTCAGGTGGATGTGTAGAGGCCTGGATTCTTTTGTCAATTCCTTGTCGTTTGTTCAGGTTCTTCTTTTGGGAGGGAAATTCTGGTGTGTTTTCACGGAGGGTAACTCTTGGAGCCTTCCACCTATCCTTCTTGATATCTGGGAAGGAAATGATTTGAAGAGCAAGAATCTTGATTAATGAATGAGGGGGGTGTTTTATACTTGGTGTTGGAATCTCCATGTTTGTTCACGAAAAGCAAGCCTTTTCGGACCGTTCATGTTTATCGTTGAAGTATTCATTGGCTTCCGGTACACACGTATGTACCCCCAAATGTAATTTCCTGAGATAATGGGAGATGTTTGTGTTTCGAGAAATTGTGAAGAACCTGGCGTTAAGGCAAGGTAGTGTTTCCGATGGAGTGAGTGGGTGAGTTTGCGGTGCGATGAAAGGGGTTCATATCTCTGAAGCGTCCACACAAACATTCAAGAGTGAGAGTTCTTTGAGCTATGATACCACTTTGCGTTAACCACGGCAAGTAAAGCCTTTAGTATCGAAACGGAGACTGAGATTGAAAATCAGGGGTCGAAGGATTGATATCAGTAAAGCTCTGGCCTCCGCATAGAATGTGTATGGTAAAAGTGCAAAAAGGCTTAGATGGAGGGATCTGGAAGGTTTATGGTCTCAACGTGGTCTCGCTTTAATCCATACCCGTTGCACACACACAGTGACTACCGCCACTTTGAATGGAACTCTATACTATCATTCTCACGAACAACACGACATCCACGGTGTCCTAAAACAAGACCACCCGTTCATCCAATCACCAACGGCTAAACCCAAATCCAGTTCCGGCCGGCTACTACGCAATGACCACCCCACCCACCACACGCACTCCTTACTCCATTAACCGCACCAGGACAATCCAAGAAACCAGCCAAATCACATAAAACCCCTGCCCCTCATTGCTCCCACGATTGCAGGTTTAAATCCTCAGCTTCTCCTCAATCCCTGTTTGATCTTCTCTGGTTTTGGGTATTTTATTTGACATCGTTTCTATAACGTACTCCGCTGGCATGCTCAAGTGTGTCGACGTGAGTGATTGGTGATGCCGGCGTGGGGGATGAGGTTTCGCGACGCCGGCTTTCTTCGCGGGGCTGGAGGTTGTAGCGGGAGGGGTTGATGGATTCGCTTGGGTGGTTTGGTGGTTTTTGTGGTGGTGGAACGACGGCGCTGGTGGCAAGTACGTACAGGAATCTCAAGTGTGCAGATGGGATAAATAAACAGACCACTGAGATCTAGTTTCGATGTCTGCCCTACCTCTCAACGACCCGCAGCTACGAGACATGCCAATGGCTCGAAGGAGAAGATGGCCAGCCTGTGGGTTTGAGTTTGGTTATTACTCTATTCCGACCTCTTGCGATTTTTACGGCATAATGTGCTTTTTATCGTTATGCCTCCTTTATTTTTTACCATAGTAAACCTATTCCGAGACAATGAACGCTCCAACTTCGCCACCCATCTAATAAACGCCTCACATTATAGGCCTGAACATTTTTTATCTTATGAAAATTGTTTATTTATCTCCTGGCTATTTTAGTTGGACTCTGCTGATTACGGGCTCGACGAGTTGGAGGATACTGATGGGGTGGGTGTGCCTTTTCGCTTCTCGATCAGCCATTTTCTTAGGCCATGACCTGGCCGGCTCTCGGATTGATGCTTGAATGTGTTGATAGCTTGAATGCCTTTCGACTTTGATTCCAATCATTGGGAAAGGTCTTGGCCGTTTGACGTTTGTGGATAAATATCCATAAGGTGTCTTCTTAAGACAAGCCAATTATGATTACCCCATCTTTATTATGAAACTTGCCAACGTTTTTGTATTTGCGATAGACCGTTTTTGGTTGCTCTTGCCGTTCTATCGGCGACCAACGGACATATAATGAATGACAAGATCCCAATCCGTCCGGAAGCGGGCTAGGTTTGGACCGAGTCAACATTGGCCACGGCGTGCCTCGTGACAACCACTTCTTTGAAGCGACTCCCAAAAACGTCAAGGCCTCCAATTTTATCGCGGCATACGCCGACTGGATCAAAGGCGTCGACAAGAACTCGACCGCTTGGGAAGAGCGGTTGTCAGAACTGGACTTCTTTGCAAAGAGTGTTCTCGAGTCGGCTGAAGACGTCAACTGTGGTGCTGCATATAACGGCTGTGATGGGAGACCCTTGCGTGACGATATCGGCGAGAGAATCGAGAACAGGACGAGAGCTCGGCAGATATGCTATGTCTTTAATTCATTCCATCACGTGAGCTTGATCAGTGCCCAAGTACACGTAGGTGTCCACGTCCTCTTCGTTGTTTTGGTGAAGCTGACAGTTTCTGCAGGAACAAAGCAAAGCAGCCCAAGCCGACGGTGATGCCAAGTGTGGAGAGTTTGCCTCAACGTTCTTTTGGCAATTCGATCCGAGCCTTCAGAAGAAGTGCGACATCTTTACTAAATTGGTGAAAGCTGGAATCACAGCAGTCATGCTCGGTGCCCTCGCCTCAGCGCCGCTGGCGGCGCCTGCAGTCCTTGGAGCCGTAGCGGCGGCGGAAGCGGAGGTTGCAGTTGCTTTGGAGGCCAGAATTAGGGAAGCTGCTTCAATTGTTGAGACTGAAGCTAGCGAGATCGGAGTAGAAGTTGGGGAAGAGGTTGGGGCAGCTGCTTCACTTGTTGGGACTGAAGCTGGTGAGGGTGGAAGTGTCCCAGGGACGGATGATACTGAAGCGGGTGAGGGCGGAAATGTCCCAGGGATGGATGGTGGTGATAGCCCAGGGAGTGGAGATGAAGGCGGAGAAGGCACACCTGGGTCTCCAACCAACAGTGGCGATGGCGGGCCTGGGTCCACAGGAGATAGCACAAATGAAGGCACTGGTCCCACAGCAACAGGCGGAAAGAACGTAGCTGGCGTCAAGACGCCGTGGGAATGGCAACGCTCTTACGACAAAAATGGCAATGTTAAAGAAAGGGGCTGGCATAGAGTAGAGGGGGGGGGGGGAAAACTGGAGTCGTGGCTAATATGCTGGTAGCATTGCCAGTTACGGTAAGCCAATATCATGATAATCAGACTAAAACATTGCATTACTACCCTTTATAGATTGCTGGCCCGGCTATGCAGGACGGCCTCTGTTCAGGATTCCCAAATGCCAGTCCGAAGGATCTCGAGAAGTGGACGAACGTAATATCGGACCAAATCCTCTCTGCCGCAGAGGACTACCGGGCGACCATCGATAGTCACTTGAAGGAAGTAAAGAAAGGGGACGGATTCGGGGATGACGGTACGACGTGCAGGCGTGCAAAGCTCCTAGAGCTAAAGAGATGCTGATCATTTCCTCTAGGCACATTCGTCCAACCTTTCACCAGTATCATGGCGGAAACAATTTTCAGAGGAGATTACGTGCGATTGACGAAGTATGAGCGCGAGTTCCTTCGTAGAAGAAACATCGAAGCTTGAGATGTAAGCAGCTAATCCCACTGCTATTTTGTGTCAGGGCTGACTGCGAGTAACAATAGGGCCATGACAGCTCATTTCCTAAATGCGGCGATCTCAGTCTCACTGAAAAGCTCAACGTGCTACTTGCATTGTACGACCAACATCGATGGATCAGATAGGGATTCAGGAAAATTCACCATTGAACCCGAACCTGGCACCATTTGCCAGGCTCAATGCTGGCAAAATTGGGACCAAACCAAGCAGCTGGAGATGTTCGGTTTAGACAAGCTGATGAAGAATGATAACCACTGGGGCACTAATGCCAAAGAATTTCTCACCCATTCCTACAACCATTGGCAATGGTCTCGATTTGACCCAGATATCCTGTTCCCAACTATCGATCGACTTCGAGAAGGGACATCCTCCATCTCTACTTCAGGTGCCGTGTGCCTGTTTGCTATTCTCCTCAGCCTATTCAAAGCTACAAGCAGACGCATGATCGAGACAAAGCACTTCCATGCATCTGTGGCAATGAGATCGGCAACGAGACGGTGAGCTTTTTCCGTGAGGCCAATATCCAGTCCTGGATCACCGTGAACGAGGGAAAAGGGCTTGCCGAAGCACGCCAGACGAGCTTTCAGATCGACAAGACTTGGCCTGTCCAAGCGTATCTGGCCTGCTGTCACCTTGGCTGGCATTTCCCGGTTCACAGCGACAAATACTCGGATAATAGTACTAACGGAGGGAAGTACCGCTTTGGCATGGGCGCGGACGTCATGTGCGAATAGGCGGAGAATGAAGCGCAAGAGGTGATCAAGAGAGGAGGTAGCATCACAGATGTCAACTGTAACCTGTGCTGGCTAAGCAAAACCGGAAAGACTATCAAGGAAAACCAGAGACATTATGTTCACCATGACACCATGGACCATGGGAACAAGTATCACTTCAAAAAGGCATGTGAAGAGCAAATGGGGAACAAGGAGGTTTGTAAGGTAGAAAAGTGATCGAGTACTCAAAGTGTGACATAGAGTGATAGTATCCTTTGCTTGTTGGGTAGCTGAAAGAGATTGCAGATTCTCCCTAAGCAAACGAATTCCTTGAGGACGAAAGTGTTGAAGAAGAAAGGAGCCAGGTAATCTGCCAGACAAACTGGCAAAGCAGGTTTGGCAATCGAATTGCCTACAGCGTCCGAACAGAGTGATATGCGGACCATGAAGCTTGGACTTGGCGCTGATATGTTCAACATTAATGATTCAACGAATTTCTTCCTTCCACTCTTCCACTGCAATTGCCACCTTTTCTCTATCGCAGCCAGCCCACGCCAGCTGACCAGCTCAACGGGGTGGCGCGGTTGCCCCTGACGAGCGGGATCTACCGTTTTGACAGAACTCTAATAAAGGCGCGTCCGGCGAGTTGCAATTTTCACAACGGCTTTTCATGCGACATGGATTTTGATAAGTCACTACCTAGTAGAACAGTCTTGCATCATGTCACTCGCGGTCCTTGCTTGCGAAAATTTGTAAACATTGGGCCCCAAGCGATGCCCAATTGTGTATGGTGGTTCGGGAAGCTCCGACGTCTTGCGCGCTCTAGGTATTTATTTACAAGACTCTCGCGACGTGCAGCGCCGGCGAGCCATCACCGCCTCTAGCACTTGAGATGAATTGCAAGGTGCACTGCCAGCTCACACCCAAAGCTAGGCTGTTCCGGAGTATTCAAACTACGTGACCATCCGAGCCGCCAGTACTGGTGTAAAGGTTCCTATTCGCTGAGCTAAGCCAAGATGCTGCAGGTTATCACAGGATCTGCTGTCTGCTATTGGTCTCTTCCCCACTATGTTGAATAGTCGGTAGCTGCACGTATGAGGTCAAGTTGCGATGGATCACGTAGCATTAATGACTACTGTAAGTCCGGTGTAGGGTGGTGGCAGGACGAGCGGTACCAAGGTGTAGTCAAAACAACCAAAAGTCTTAGTAAGGATGTCCGTGCTCCCCCCAGACCAAAAGTCGCATCAATCTGAGGACGTGGATTTTGCTCCTCCATTAACTCCCGTATCAGCAATTATTATATTGAAAAAGGTTCAAGGACAATTATGATTCCATCATCTTGCTTTATCTTGCAGGGTCTGCGGTAGCGTGCCGGGCGGCAGCGTACCCCGGAGCCCGGCCTGTCAAAGAAATTTCTCGCCAACACGCGGTAAACAAAGCAAAACCCTTCAACGGTACCAACCACCACAGCGAACGTTGACCAGTATTACTGCTCTACTTACCTATAGCCTCATCATCGAAGATTCTCCGACTATATGCACCTCCGCTAATATCGGCCACAATAGGACGACCAGGACCGCGGCAAACAACCTGCGGTAACATGAAGCACTCACCCGAAATATCATCCCTGCGGTACCGACGTGTGGAGAAGCCACTGCAAGCCCAAATAATTCGATAAAGCCTTTGTGGGCTCCTTCATTGTTTCAGCCCAGTGATCGGAGCCACGGCGAGAGAGGTCTACCATGAACCCTCCCCCTCCTCCTCCCCCTCCACCCCCACCGCCTCATGGGCACAGTGCTGGCAATCGAAATGGTCTTCCCGAGGGCAACTACGACATCTTCATAATACCACCACACTCGTCCGGCGGTGGCTTCATATACCTACCATCTCTGCAGCCTCATCTGAACAGCTTCCTGGCTGGCGTTGCCTGCACTTTGCTGGGTGTTACCTTTTGGATCATTGTCTTACCAGTGTTCAAAGAGTGGTTCTCAACCATAGTGGCTGGTGGTGGGATGTCCGTCATGATACTCTTACTAGCAGTGGGAGTTGCGGGCTGGGCTTGGGGGAAGACCCAGATACAAGCTGGAGGTCCAGGACAAGGAGGTACTGGTGGGGCGCCCAAGACGCATATGCCTGGACACTCAGCTGGAGGTCCTGCTCCTGGTCCCACTCCTGGATTCACTCCTGGTCCCACTCCTGGATTCACTCCAGGTGCAACTCCCGGGTTCACTCACGGTCCAAATCCTGGCTTCACCCCGGGCCCTGGATTCACTCCAGGATACACTCCCCCTCCAGAACCGCGACCGCCACCCAAGCCTACGTGGCAACGAGCTAATCCTGCACCAAATGGAACAGCGAAGTCAGTGTGGGAGAAGGCCAGGGAGGAGACAAGGAAAAAGGAGGAGGAGCGGAAGAAAGCCGAAGAGTTGCGGAAAAAGAGGGAGGATGATGAGAAAGAGCGAATTAAACAAAGGGAAAAAGACGCACGAGAAAGGGAGGTCCGCGAGGCACGAGAGAAGAGAGAAAAGGAAAGAGCACAGGAAAGAGCACAGGAAAGAGCACAGGAACGAGCACAGGAGCGAGCACAGGAGAGAGCACGACCAGCATCTCCCACCAAAGAACACCGACATCCAACCGCAAAGACCGCAACAGAAGATGATGCCTATTCGTACAGGCCTTACGACGAGCCGAAACGATCTACAAAGACGGCTACCGCTTCGTCGATATATTCCGAGTCCTCATACGCACCCTCACAATCGACCAGTCGGACAACACCACCACCTTCTCATCGAGGCCCATATCGTTGCAAAGATCCCGATAAGATTGTTCTCAAGGCAGTGTATTCATTCAATAACACATTCACCAAAGTTCCAATTTCCAAATTGGTCTCTGGAGTGGGCGCCGTAACAGATGGTCTCATTCTCCGAATTACAACCGAAGGTCTCTTTATTGACGACGACGTGAGAGGCGTTCCCCAGCGGGAATGGGATGTCAAGGCATGGACTTTGAAATTGGTAGAGGTATGGTGTCCCCACCTACACGCGTTGGGAGCAATTTCTGGCTCCACTCCCGCAACGCGCAATGCTCCAACTGGTTCTTCTGGATTTTTTTCCAAGAAGTGGGCTTCCAAAACTCCTTCTGCCGAAGAGTCTGAGTCTTTCGTTGAAGCGTCTTCGCGTGCTTGCAAACCCTACCTGTCTGGATCTTCAGGTGCTTCTTCTTCATCGATACGAACGAAATCTGACGGCAGTGTTCTATCACAGAGCGGCGAGTTCAAAGGGCTGCACGTCCTCAGAGCAAATATAAGAGATCAGGAAGGCAAAAAATATGTATTCATCCTGCAAGAAGAAGAAGGTTGGAAGGTCGCAGTTGGGCTGCAACGACTCCGGAGAGGGACGCAAGTCAGAGCATTAGGAGTGAGTGGTATGGCCATCAACGAGACGAAGGCAATCTTGGAAAACATGGGGTGGGCATGAAGAGGACCTGTTGTTGACCAATAAACAGCAAGGGGTCGCTTGGAATGCAAACTCTACCACGATACACCATCTTCACTTTTACGGAGATCTCTTTCTGCATGTCATCTCTGACGGGTAAACACCTACTTTTCGAAAAATTTGAGCCCAGGCGGAGCGCAGCATCAGCATAGCATGAGCGATGGAGTTCGCATTCGATTGTAGGCATTTGGACGCATCTCTCATACCCCACATATTTGGCGAAGCGCGTTTGATGTACATACAAGATTGTTTGATGGACCGAAGCCAATCGTTCGAGATTTGGACACTTATAGGGGGAGAGCAGACATACACCAATACATATATTTGGAAAACATGTCCTTGTTGAACTCAGTCACTCAAAGTGTTTCCAGCTTTAATACCACACCAGACCTGTGTATCGCATTAGTTACATGATTATATCTTCTGAGAGGAGTAAGTGACGCCAAGGCTTTTCTCAGCCCTACGATGATCTCGTTTTCCAGCCTCCCTCGTCCAGTCTCTTCCTGCCACCTCACCAGCGCGCCAGCCTCCGCCGACAGCAAATATGTATCTACTCCTCGCTACCAGCTCCAGCAGGATGTCATTCAAACTGTGTTCTACATTCCAACGTCTTTACGGCAGACATGAATTTTGGTGATTCCAAGCTCCGCTATGTCAATACCAGCACTCCTCGACTAGTACATACAAACTCCAAACAATCTATCACGGCATCTGATGACTACTATTCGCTCACCTCCGAGGGATCGAGCAATGATGACCGAAACATCGTCCAGCGATACCAGACCCCGCCATTGCGTATGCGATCCGCTGATCCAAGTCGAGACGCCCTACAATCAGAAGCAACCATTCCCACCGTTCGGCCGGTAAAGCACCAGGACCCAGGTGACGATGAGAAACCGGAGGTACCGATCAGAAGTGAACAACACCGGATTCCCAGAAAGCCTGTATCTTCCTCTTCATCAGATGGTACAATCGTCCTAAGACCAGTCAGCGAGGTTATCAGCCCACCAACCCCTGGAGTCGACGACACACCATATATTCAATTCGCAATCGACCAATTGACTCGGGATGAGGAAGTGGCAGGCTTGCGACATCCAGGTAATTCGTCAACCTATCCTGTCGAAAGGATCATACCCGATGAAGGTTTGGGATACTATGGTACCAGACAGCAAGGGCAACCTCTTCGCCCACAAGACACGCGAACGGAATCACCTCGTAAGTTGTGGTCGATTTATCCTCAACCTACACGAGCCTTTTCTAAAGGTACCACAGCAACAGAGAATATACTACACTCTACAAAACCTACGACTGAAACTTTCAGACACCCCAAGCTCAACTTTGTCCCTCACTCTCTACAATTCGTATCCCTCGGCGCCCTCATCTTCTGCTGCCTCTTCATGATCGCGGGCCTCCTCTTCTGTGCCATCTATCCCTACAGTCACCTCGGCTTATGGCAATACGACGGCACCGGTACAAGCCGTTACTTCGTCTTCGAATACTTGCCTACGCTTCTTGCGAGCTTCATTATCATCTGGCTTCAAATCATTCAATCTGCAATGCATCGAGTTGCCCCATTTATGATATTATCATCTGGACGGAGCATCGGCAATTCTGGAGTTCTACACGACATGACGCTTTTTCCTGCTACCTATCTGATACCCAATTTGTCTTTTTTCAGCTACCAAGAGCCTCTGCTAGGCCTGTGCTCTATAATCTTTTGGCTCGAGATTTTTACATTACCACTGCAGAGCTGCTTATTTCAAACGCGATACTACAACTCAGAGAACATTTGGAGGTGGACAGCGGTCCAGCCGATAGCGTGGACATTGTTTGTTCTCTATCTGCTACTGCTCGTCGCACTTCTACTTCTACTCATCCGATTCGTACCTCGCCAAACCGGACTCAAGTGGGATCCGGTCTCCCTAGCAGACATCCTGTCACTCTTCCATCGATCGAACTTCCTCTCAGACTTTGCGCGTTCCGAAATGCATACTTCTTCTATCCGCCAACACACAGCGAAGCATCTCAGGCTCGGCTACTGGAATACATCGAAACAGGCAAACGAAGCATTCTACGGCATCGGAGAGGAGAACGCACCTGTTCCACGATTCTCACTAGAACAGGGCAAAATTGCACCAAACACGGACCATGATCTGGAAGCCCAGGAGCCCATGAAGGCCTCCACATTCGACACTCTGAAGGACGTCCATGATCTGGCTTTAAGATATAGATGGGCACCTTGGTTTCTCAGAGACGGCATGGTGGTCGCCTGGATCGTCATCGCCATCGTCTTAATGATCGCTTTCATTGTGGTCAGCTTCGTCAACCACGCCGTCCAACGGGGCTTTCTTCCTCTCCTCCCGGCTCCAACGACGACTGAGGGCTTCTCTCCGGCCGACTTCCTCTACAGCTTCATACCCTCCTTAATTGGCATGCTTCTCTTTCTCCTCTGGCAGCCCGTCGACCTCTACTTCCGAGCGCTCCAACCATTCGCTTCCCTCGCCCACCGCGACGGTGCTTCAGCTGAACAATCCCTCCTCCTGGACTACACGGCATGCCTACCAATCGAAGTCACCATCAAAGCCCTTCTCAATCGCCACTACAAACTTGCCTACATATCATTCATCAGCCTCCTCTCCCTCACCTTGCCCGTCCTAGCAGGCGGCATATTTACTGCCCAGTTCGTCGTTGAAAGGCAAGACATCCGAGTCATAGCCAGTATGCCAGGCTACTACGCTCTTGTTCTCTTCGTCGTCATCTACGCCGTCTCATTCATCGTCATCTGGCCCACGCGGAAACGCCGTTTGCCGCACGATATCAGCACGCTCGGACAGCTCGTCAGCTTCGTCTATCAGAGCCCGCTTCTCATGGAGACGGCGTTTGCAGAGCCGACGAGCAAGACCGATCTGGTGACCAAGCTGTTAGGGACGCCGGCTGGGGAGAAGGAGACACCGAGGTATGCGTTTAAAGTGTATGTGGGTAGAGATGCGAAAGAACACCTGGGTATCGATAGGCTGGAGAGATTCACGAGATTTACGGCAAAGGGGAGGATAGACCATTTAAGAACCGGCAGCCCGAGACATGGTGACTTGGCTTGATAAGGGGTGAACTTGGGTTGACGCCTTTTTTCACGACTGAATTCATGACGATTATAGATGGCTTACGTTTCACGACACTTATTTGGCTGGATGGCCGAGATTAATTTAATCATGCAACCAGATAGATAGATACCTTATAATCTACAACACATAATTCTACCTCATAGCTTTTCCACGAATATGCCTCCATCCCGATGTGACAGCACCTCAAAGATCGTGTGGAAATGGAGCGTGAATAGTTCATTGATAATTCTTGCCCACTACCTACACTATTCAATCAAAATGATATCCTCAAAAATCCGGAGGCATGATGCGAGCCTCGCTTCCCATACTATACACACTATCCATGCCGAAAAGGAAAAATACATCATGCGAACAGTAAAAGTATCCGTACCCGGGAAGTGCGCGCGACAACCGCTCTATACATGGACTCGGTCGCCCTAGAAAACAAGAGGCGACACCTCGTGGTATCACCAAGAGCGACGGTGGAATTATGGATGCCAATGGAGGCGATATAGCGTTGCTTTTAGAAAGCCTGTCCCTGCTGTCCTCTGACACCGGCCGGTATCCTACCATGGGGCCCACTACCACCGGGCAACTCGAAATCGGGGTTCGAACTCAACAGCATATCCCTTTGCTGCTGCTGATGTCTCTGTTCTCTTCTCCCGGGCACGCCTAGGTTAGCCTGTCCGCTTCTCTGGCCACCAGCTCCTTCCGTTCCCGGCCTCCAATTAGGATTGACCCCTCTTTGGCTGATCGATGTCATATCACTTGCCGGACTCATTTGACCATCCTGCAATTCCTCATATGATGAGCTAGGATCAATTGTCTCAATAGTCGGATGCTGGGCTTGCGGTAGGTCCGACGGTGCTTGTAAGATGCCGGGCATTAGAGATGAGGGAACGGCAGCGGAAGACTGGGTCGCTTGCGTTTGGCGGGCGGTGTCGATTTCTGGGGTGACGAAGCGAGGATCGACGTCTTCGTAATAGGCATCGGCGGAAGACTGATTACGGCCGTGGCCCGGAGCGTGGGCTTGAGGTAACGAGGAGGTGCGGGGTCTGCGCATTGTGTTTTGGTTGGAAGTGGGAAGTTCGACGGGGTCGAGGGCAATAGTGTTGGGAGGTGGGGTTACACCGCGGGTGACACCTGCCCACACAGAGCGGGGTGGGACGTATGGTCTGGAGATGATTTAGGACGTGAGAGGAAACGGGTTAACAGGGGGTTTGGCTTACTGTTCACCGCTATAGACGCTCGTGAGGCTCATAGGCGAATCTCTGTGCTCTTTATACGCTCCTTGGTTTTGGAGACCCACAAGGCCTTGCACGTCGCCATCGCGGTCATGCAGCTGCGTTCGGGGAAACTGAGGAGACGCGAGTCCCGGACTCCCGGTCCTCGCGTCCATCTCGATAGCTTGCCCTATTATCTCACCGTTACCAGGATGCTGGAACGGCAGTGGCGGAGAAGGCTCATTTCTGTAAGAATCTATTGGCTGTTGGCCTGGCGGAGCTTCTTGTCTCGCATACGGGTAATCTCCACCTGGCGAAGGGCCTCTGCCATAGCCTCCGGGAATTGTCTGTTGAGGTGGTGATGGCCCTCTCCCATATCCTCCAGGTGAGGGTCCTCTGTGGCCTCCTGGTGCCGATGGAGGCCCGGGAGATTGTCTTCTATACCCTCCAGGTGCAGATGGAGGCCCAGGAGATTGTCTTCCATATCCTCCAGGTGCAGATGGCGGTCCTGGTGAAGGTCGTCTTCCATAGCCTGGAGCGGAGGGACTCCTTCCATATCCAGCAGGCCCACCTAGGCCGTCGTATTGCCCAGGACGACCTTCTGGAGGATAGCCATTAGCATATCCAGGCGGTGGCCGTTGCCCTCGCCCGTATTCGTCTGCCATCATGCCGGCGCCTGCTCCGGCTGCCATCGCACCCATCGGTATTCCTCCCCTTCCGTTGCCAGGTCCGTAGGCGCCTCTGCCGGGTCCGTAGGGTCCACCTCTCCCAGGGCCGTAGGGTCCGCCCCTGCCGTATCCTCGAGGTGCGTATCCTCCTCTTCCCCTACCACGTGAGCTTTGGGAATTCATTGTCTCGTCGGAGTACTGACGTCTCATCGGCGGCTCGGACATGTCCCTCCTCCGTTCGGCGGGCGGTATTGGACCGAAAGCGTTTGACGGTGGTAAAAGATTCCCATACTCGTCCCTTGGTCCATTGTAACGTCCACCACGCCCCCCTCGTATGTTATCAGGTCCTCCTCTCCGCGGCCCGCCATATCTGTTGAATCCATCATCTGAATATGCTTGTCCCCCACTGCTGGGCATGCTTGGTAATGTTTTGTTGGATGGTGTCCTTGTGTTCAAAGGTATCCTATCCTCGTCGCCGCCATTCTTCGTCTCAAAAGTAGCGAATGCTGGCAATTTGTTATCATCCATACCACCGCTCACAGCGGGTTGGTTTGTCAACGGAGGCGGCGACTCTGCCCTATCCATGGCCATAACTGGAGGCGCGGCTTGGCGAGCATAGAAGTTCTCTCCATTCATTTCCGCATTCTCAGCTATCCTCTTCTTTCGAGCTTTCCTGCTCACTAGGGTTCTCCGCATTGCGCATGTGACAATAGCACTTGCCAGGATGAGAATTGTAGCTGCCAGCACAATCCATCCTCCCCACGCTAGATGTGGGATAAACAGCAAGATGTCTACCAAGAATGCCAGTAGAGTGATTAAAAGCGTTGGTACGGATAGGATGATCAGACCAAGGAGATAGCGAGGCGAATGTGATGGCGAGTGTAGATGGGAGGTAGCAGCTAGTATGAAGCATATAAGTGTGAGGAGAGCAGCGATTGGGTGAACTATGAGGATCGCAGAGAGATCGTGTCGCGTATTAGAGGAGAGGGAGAAATTGGTTTTATCGTTACTCGGATCTGTGGAGGCAGGCTTAGTATCTCGCCTCACAAGAACAATGTTGTAGAACAAGTCATGGCTTGGAGAAACAGCCGTCTCCCCATAACTTTCCATGTCTGCTCACTCCAACTCAGGGGTTCACGTACTTCTATATCCGATCTGTATTTTGCTGCATCCACTCGCCTGGCAAGTTCCAAACACTCCATATGTGATTCCATTGTAGGATGCAAGAGGTATGCCTTTGACGATAGGTGTCGATATGGTGGAAAGAAGCAGTAGAACGAAGGCCACGAAGAAAAGAATTGTCAACGGTGTCGCCGGTCGGAGCATTGTGAAAAATGTTCTCTGAGCACAGCGATGATTAACTTGAGTTTATAGTTGATGCGGTGGAAGTGTGGTGGTGTCTTTGCGCCTAGATGGGGTTTGGATGTAGGAGGAGGCTTAGAGAGCTCCTACGAGCCCCTTGCGAGCGCATTGGCGATTGCGCACTAGATATAAGCTCAACAGTACGAGACAGATGATTGAAGTTCCATTGTGGAATGCCTTTTGTTTGTAAACGAGTGTGCCAGCGTAAGTCGCTGTCAGAGGCGGGCTGCTCTGATGTGGAGGTTGGAGCACTTGGGGGTGTTTTTACTCTAGTCTCGGGCGATCGGGTACTCTAAGGGTACCTAGTCAATTGGCCCAAACCTTTGGACGGTTACTTTACAGTGTTTCAAAAGAATAATTTAAGTATCAGAATGAGCCGTGTGAGTGAGTTAAGAGTGGTGAACACAGACACGCTCTATAGAAATGATGAAGCAATTTAGACGTCCAAATGTCACGACAATGGAATGATGCTTTAGAAGGGAACCATAGAACTAACTTTTTTCTAAGATTGGATTTTCTCGCGTCCGATTGCTTTCACCCCAATTCACGCGTGAAGAGATTCAGGGTCTTCGTAAGTGCCGAAGTTCATCCGGCGTTAGATTCAAGTCTCGGTGTCACTAGGAAGACATAGCTTGCACATATATCAATATATCCAATATAACCATACTGAGGCCTTGACTTTTGACCCCCTGAGATGATTCGCTCTATCTTCGGGCTATCTGCGCATTCCTTAAAAAGTTCTAAACACTCCAGTATAAATAGTCAAAAAAGACTATTCCCTCACTTGCCTGTCAGGTCCCTCCAAACCCAGCAATTCCAACCATTCGCTCCTCCTTCCCCCAGCTCTTTGGGCAGACCAACTCCAGCAAAGACTTATCGTCGAACGAGAAGATGGGTTCGACGTCTCATGTATCTCGCTCTGGGCACAGGTGTGCTGTACGGCGTCGACAGACAATTCTATGCCTCATCCATAACCCGCAGTGCTCGCACTTTCGGTTTAGGTCTCATCGTAGCCCTAGATTACAAGATCAATTTTCGACCGAACCCTCCCCTCGCAACCTCGATACCTGCGCTTCATGCTCGCAATGCAGAACGCCTGGCCGACCTTCTCCAGTCAAACGGAGGCTTGTACCTCAAAATCGGTCAGGCCATTGCCATGCAGTCTGCCGTTTTACCCCCAGAATTCCAGAAGATGTTTGCCAAGATGTTCGATGACGCCCCGCAAAACGACTGGAAAGACGTTGAGCAAGTAATAAGGGAGGACTTTGGGAAGTCTCCGGAAGAGGTGTTCGGCGTCAGCTTTAGTGGAGATCCAAATAAGGGTGTAATGGAGAGGACTGCCAGAGCCAGTGCGAGCGTTGCTCAAGTCCACTGGGCAAGATTACAAGATGGAACAGAAGTCGCTGTGAAAATACAGAAAAGGGAGATTGCTCACCAAGTCGGCTGGGATCTTTGGTCTTTCAAGTAGGCTACCCTTGTCGGCAATTCAACATAATATGAGTGCAGTAAGACGCTAACGGGATACTTTCTATTAGGGTAGTGACAAAGATATATACCTATTGGTTCGATCTTCCTCTGTACAGTCTTGTACCCTTCATAACAGAGCGACTGATGCTGGAGACGGACTTTGTCAACGAAGCCGACAACGCTGAGAGAATGGGGCAGCTCGTGGCTGGGGAGCCTCGTCTGCGAGACAAAGTCTACGTTCCCAAAGTGTATCGAGATCTAAGCTCGACGCGTGTCATGACTGCAGAATGGATTGAGGGAGTACGACTGTGGGACAAAGAACACCTGACAAAACCCTGGGAAGGCAGATGGAGACAAGGTAGTCCTGGGTGTCATGGAGCCGCTCTTGATCCTCCTAAACACCTGGAAGTCGCAGATTTTGTTCGTAGTAACCTCATTGACGAGAGACTCAAGCCTGATCGGGATTGGTGGAAGGGCAAAGATGGCCAAGGTGGACTCGGTCTGTCTTTGAAAGATGTCATGACCACAATGATAGACCTGTTCTCCGCACAGATGTTCCTCTGGGGATGGGTACATTGCGATCCGCATCCCGGAAATATCTTCATCCGACGCTTGCCTTCCGGGAAACCAGAGCTCGTGCTCATCGACCATGGGCTGTATGTGCACATGAAACCAGATTTCCGGCATCAGTATTGTCTCTTCTGGAAAAGTTTGATGACTTTTGACAATAAGACTTTGGGCGAAATTGTCCAGAGCTGGGGCATCAACAATGCCGATATCTTTGCTTCCGCGACATTGATGAGACCTTATACTGGCGGCGATAACAGCACGTCAGCAGAGATCAGGAAAGGCTTGACTGGTAAGGAGCAGCAAGAACGCGCGTATGAAATGCAGCAGAAGATGCGGAAAGGCATCAAAGATATCCTAGCAGACGAGAAGAAATGGCCACAGGAACTTATTTTCATCGGTCGAAACCTTCGCATCGTCCAGGGAAACAATCAGTTCCTAGGCTCGCCGGTCAACCGTATAAAAATAACAGGCAATTGGGCATCGCGTAGTCTGGTCGATAGCCCTGATCTTAGCCTGAGCCAGAGGTTCAAGAATCTTGGAAATCATCTGCTCTTCAAGTTCGTTCTCTTCGGCAGCGACGTGTATTTTTATGCTGCCAAGGTCAAGCAATTCTTTGGCGCAGGTGGAGGCATGGAGGATGACATGGAACTGCAGATGAAGAAGATTGCCAAGGACTTCGGGGTGGAGTTGAACCACGGCGTCTTTGAGGGGTGAGTTGCAGTCGCAGGCATGCTTATCATATAGCTCACACGACACTCCACTCTCGCTCCGTGATGGACAAACGATCACAATATTTCTGCTTTACGATGTGTTTCTTTATGCTTCGTGGTCTGACCTGCTGTTACCGACTATCACCTCAAGTCAACACCGATCGATTCAACCATCCTTGACTCTTACCTTTCCTGCTTTTCACTCGACGAATTTGATACCGCAAACCTCGCACCACTGTTGTGGTTTCTATCGCATCCTTTCTACACATCCTTGCTGCATCGCATATCTTCTATACCATACCTTCGAGCCTGCTACATCTCACGACCAAACGTCAACTTTTCTCAACATGACCGATTTCAAAACACGCATCAATAACATCATCCATGCTCGCAACCTCCCGAACAGCTACTTGAACTTCCCCAACCCAGCCACAATGCCAACCCACTGCTCTGTCGTGGTAAGTAACGTCTCTGTCGCGATTCTTCCATCTATCTCACTGCCACCCTAGGACCGTACCCCCGTGACCGGGCACCCGGTCAACGAAGTCGTGCCTGCAATCCAAGATCTGCCGGCTCCCAACATCATGAATCCGGCCCTCCAATCCGGTCTTTACAACCCGAATGCGTACGTTCGCGGGGCTGCAGTGGAGGCGATGGGGAAAATGTATGGGTCCAAGGTGATGAAGCAGGCGAGGAAGGAGGAGAGCGACGCAAAGGCTCGTGTGAAGCGTCATGTATCGGATAAGGCGGATGTGCCTTACGAGTCGGTGCCTTACACCCCGGGAATGTTGACCGATGAGGAGCTGGCCTCTTTCGAGGAGTTGATTGAGGAGAAGGTTTTGGAGGAGGAGGAGGAGGAGGACGCCACTACTGCTGAGGAGAATGAAGGTGAAACGGAGCCTGCTGGGTTGGAGAAGGAGGGGAAGAGGCCCGCTGTTGGTGCTGCTGTGATGGAGATTGAGGGGAAGGAGCCCGTTACTGGTGCTGCTATGGTGGAGATTGAGGGGGAAAAGCTTGTTGCTGATGCTGCTGTGATGGAGATTGAGGGAAAGGAGCCTATTTCTGATGCTGCTGCGGTGGAGACAGAGGGCAATGAGTCTGTTACTGATGCTGCGGCAGTGGAGATGGATGGCAATGAGCCTGTTACTGATGCTGCTGTGATGGAGATGGATGGCAATGAGCTTGTTGCTGATGCTGCTGTGATGGAGATTGAGGGAAAGGAGCCTATTTCTGATGCTGCTGCGGTGGAGACAGAGGGCAATGAGTCTGTTACTGATGCTGCGGCAGTGGAGATGGATGGCAATGAGCTTGTTACTGATGCTGCTGTGATGGAGATTGAGGGAATGGAGCCTGTTTCTAATGCTGCTGCGGTGGAAATGGAGGGCAAGAAGCCCGTTACTGGTGCTGCTGCTGGGGAGACAGGGGAAAAGAAGCCTGCTGAACAGCAGAAGAAGAAGGAGGTCTGTTATCGTTGCACCAAGGGTTTAGATGACTGCTAATCCTTCACACAGCAAGCGAAGCCGGCGCCATTAGGTACTGCCTGGTTCTTGCAGCGAGGGAAGGCGCTGGATAGCAAACGTTTCTATTAGGCTCGATCCTATTCGGTCTATCAGTCCTTGTGGATTAGAACCCGTCGAGTTTGGCGGCACTGCAACTGCTAAAGTTCAATCTGCAGGCTTCTGTTGATACTGTCACGTGGTATCGTGGCATCGTGTTGTCCTTTTCATGACTTGATACCCCTAGAAGCGGTTTTTAGACAGCGGTAGCGAATCAAGACTCAATTTTATCTACGTTGACGACCCCGGAAATTTGCTACAACATGTACCATCTTAGTGGCACACAGGCTGTGAACTTTGACAACCTTCAGGGCACTCTCGCCCCTCCGGACGTATTCCCAGAGACTGTTGATGTATCTTTTCGCAGCCAATCACTATCACATGGAGGGAAAATTGTCCCTTGAGCTTGTCGAGTAGTATGCGGGGATACCAATATTTCCGTCGTCGACGGAGTCTGACATCCCTCGAGAGGATTTTAGCGATGGCCCAGTGCCTGTCTAATCGATTTATATCTAACTTACAACCCAGCCATCTCCCGTACCAACCCGGCCCTTACCCAACCCCTTGCAAAGTTCCTACCCATATACAAAAGTACACAGACCCACCAGACGCGGCCTATAACCCCATCATACCATCTCTCCAGACCAACCTCATCCTTCCCATCCCCTGCTCTCTGCCGCTTCTGCCACCTCCTATAACGTACCACCGCCACCCTCACGCCCTCTTCAACTACGACAGCAACGCCATTACCGGCAAAGAACCAAGCTTCTCCAAACGCGCCCTCCCATCCGCCCATGACAGTGTGCGCCGCGAAGCTGTGCACAAACGCGCTGCTCACGAAACCGCCGAGCACCTTGCCCATGTCCGCCGCCTCCTCGTCGGGCTTCCCCGTCAGTTTCCGCTCGAGCCATTCGCCGGGCCAGACCCCGTAGACGAGGAAAAGGCGGGAGAAAAGACGATGCCAGCCGTAGCTCCAGAAGTCCCGGACGCTCGTGAGCTCCCAGACACGCGCGGTGTAGAGGGGTGGGAAGTAAGAGAGCGGATGCGGTGCCAGCGGCGCCAACATGATTGCGAATGTACTGTGACCCAAGGAAAATGCACTCATTAGAAAGGCGCCCAATGCGGCGGTCAGAACCAACTGCAACCCAATTGGTAGATCGTCAAACGGCGCCCCGTTTGCTAGATAGAGACTGTAGATGTCGCGAATCACCGCCCAACTGACCACCAAAATTGGCAACACGTGAACGAGTATGGAATGGGTCCTGTCTCCGATGGACGGTCGCCAAGTCGATTTTGTATGCCTCACGTCAGCACTCGACCACGTGAAGCCAGCGCCGCGCATGGAGAGCTCGAGCTCCAAGGCCCAGCTTATTCTGTCTCGCCAGCCGTGGGGCCATCCTTCATCCGTGGTTGCCGTTTCCGTGACTGCTTCTCCATCGCCCGGGGTCAGAAAGTGCAAGCTGAAATAGCTCTTTGCATCGGCGCCCAGCGGAGTGCTAGGCGCAAGGGTGCGAGGAGCATGATGATATTTCACTCGTCGTGGTATATGTTGAAATAGGTAGGGTGATATGAAGAATGCGTCCAATACCCTGCAGCCACCGTACAATCCGACGAGCGCGAGCTGGTATGTTAAGCCTACGGAAAAAGGGACATGGTATTTGAGAGGTAGGCGGAAAAAGAGAATGCCGGAAAGGAGGGCGAGGGAGTTGCGAAGGAATGGGATGACGCGTGCAGTGGGCTCTGAGGAGGTGTTGGGAAATGGTGGGAGGAGGAGTAGGGCGAGGTAGTATGTCAACGGTGGTGCGAGGGCAGGCAGAGGTGTCAGGGGTGTTGTTCCTGACAGGGGCTTCAGGTCGGAGCGGGGTGGGGGAAGCAGGGTGGAAAGACTGGGCAGGATGGCCATTAGGGATGAGGCGGATGTATCTGTAAGCAATACGAGTACAAGTAAATGCTGGCCACTGAAAGGGTGAGATCTACAACTTCAAAAGTTCGCAGTAGTTCGAGCAATGAAAGGGCCTCGGAGCTAGAGGAGTACATAGGTAAATGTACTGGTACGTCACAACACAGAAACCCTAGGCTTAGTCCGGATTCGATCAGTCTAATAATCGTGGGTCCATGAACCCGGTACAATCATTACTCGTACCCTTGGCATGCGTCAAATCCCACAACAATATATTCCATAAGACTATCTCCGACGTACGACAGTATCAAATCCAACGACTGCGCTTGAAGAGGTAGGCTTTCCATATTCTTCGGGTCAGGACAACATTGCGATAACAGAAGGCAAATTCGATCATCTTGTCTCCTTCTTTGTTTCTCCTTGGCCGAAGACTGACGATCGAAGCAGGAGCATTCCATCAACTGTGGGAGGAGAGGAGAGGTCTAGCCTCGATCGATGCAAGAATACGGTTTGGATGGAGATGTTGCATACATATGGACTGCCGTTGAAATAGGGTGCATGAATGGCGTACGACACTACTCATCCTCGTCGGTCGGTATTGCCGCACGTTGTACATAAGTCGGAAGGTACCTGATTTTAGCGCCTTGGGATGAGAGAGGCCATGTGCTGACCGCAGAAATCCTTATCGACCTGCCTTTCTTAGACCGCGTTATATCTCCTCTCAGTATAGAGCAAGTGAGTCATCAAGTTTGCGCCTGGTGATCGACAGCAACCGGACCCAGATGCAGCTGGGAGAATCGAGAACGCATCCGACTTTCTTGGACCACATCAAGACATGACTTTGCATAAAATTGTTGTGTATGTGGATGAACAGCAGAAAGCAGCGAAAGCGTCCGGAAGCTGCTCCGGGTAAGGAAGATAAAGTTATTTAGGACGGGATATCGCCGCTGGGGTGCAAAAGCCCTGCATGATGGCGTCGCCATATGGCGTCGAATCCCTGTAGAAAATCAACCTGCAAGCTGAGGTAGCGAATCGCCATCACACTTCCATGACTCGAGTCATGTTGGGTACGCCATGACTTCTAGCATATCTCCTCGGTGAAGCGTACTCGAGCGGAGACTGGGAACTTTTTTTGCAAATTTGTGAATGTTGAAGAAGTCCGAAGGCGAAAAAGGCGTCGGCGGCTGTTGGGTTTTGAGGTATGACATCACTATCTTGGCATTTATCAATTTTTCCTTCACAGCAACAACAGCGTGCCACGCGGAAAAGATACAATTGTGGGTAAGAATTGCGATGCTATCTGTACGTGATACTATATCAAGGAGAAAGAAAACGGTCGAGGAAAGGGCGGGAGAGGATCCTATCCGGAGCGCCAGTAAAGAGTACTCCAAACGCTGATCCTCTGCAAAGATTTACCCAGTTTGTTTGATTCCTGCATCCGTTAAATCCGACACACATACCGACCTGCCCTCATACGCCTCACCATCTTTAATATTTTCGGTTCCCTTTCTCACCCAAGTCAACGAATTCTCCGCGTAAAAGGGACCCTCAAAACGGCGCGCTTCCCATAGTTCATACCATGTTCTCTGTCATCCAGCCATAATGTCCCGTTCCCAAAGCCGCTCGGCCTCCTCAGAAGATGACTACGAGGATGACGCGGCCATGCCTGAAGCGCAGTGGCAGTCGCAACAGCAAAGCTCCGCGAATGCAACTACAAGCAGCGTGCCTTCTTCAACTCAGCCCTCCCAAATCTCATTGCCAATGCAGAAGCGTAGGCGCGTGACGAGGGCCTGCGATGAGTGCAGAAGGAAGAAAATCAAGTGCGATGGCAAGCAACCATGTACACACTGCACCGTGTATAGTTACGGTCCGTAAAATCGCGCTACTCGAAAGGCGCACCGGCACCTTTTCAATGCACGGGGCTGACTATTTTTTGACGCAGATTGCACCTATGACCAACCATCGAATCGAAGACGCAATCCAGCCCCTCAGTATGTCGAAGCACTGGAAAATAGGCTCCAGCGCGCCGAAGCTCTCCTGAGAAACGTCCTTCCCAATGTTGATCTCGACGACCCTAATGCTGACCTTGGTGTCACTCAACGCATGCACCTTGCCCCCAACCAAGGGCTCCAGCCTCATCCTGGCCAAGCGAGACCTTGGGTACCTCTGGGGGTATCCCAGCAAGGGAATGAGGGAGAGAAAGATTCGGTGCTTGAGTCGATGGTGACCAATACTGGCTCCCTGGACTTGGACGATCAAGGTAATTGGGACTTCTATGGTCACTCTTCAGGCCGTGTTTTCTTGAGAAAGATGCGCGAGCAGTTCGGCGACTTGATGGGGCAAACGACCGATGGGCAACATGCAATGCCATTCCTGAGGTTCAAAAGTACTTCACAGCCATTCGAATCTCCAAAATCTTCAGCAGACCGTTCTCAAGACCCAAATCTACCAAATACACGTGATCTTTGCGCCAAGAACTGTGCCTTGATGCTGACCTCAAACGCGCTGGATGACGCCTGTGCAATATTGCGACTTGTGCATCGGCCAACATTTGACGCTATGCTTCATCGAATATATGATACACCACCGGAAAAATTTGGAGATGAAGAAAAGAATTTCCTGCCACAATTGTACGCAGTACTCGCTCTGGGTACCTTGTTTGCGAGAGCGGAGCAAAGCGAATTACAAAAGTCCGGCTATGACAATGCTTTTGAGCAAGGGTGACTACTGGGAACTCATCCAAGTATGCAAAACATGCTAACGTGTACATAGCTTCAACTGGTTCAGGATAGCCCGGTCGATGGTCGACGGGACTGACTGTCGAGATTTGACATCATTGCAAACAATGCTCTTCATCGTCTTGTTCCTCCAGTCTTCTGTACGCCTCAGTACATGCTATTCGTACATAGGCATAGTTCTCAGATCGGCAATACGCATGGGCCTGCATCGCTCTGTTTCCAACACTTTCAATCCCATCGAAACGGAGCTTCGGAAACGTATATGGTGGATCGTCCGGAAGTTGGACACATATGTCGGAGCACTACTGGGTCTGCCGCAAATGTTAAGTAACGATGACATCGACCAGGGAATGCCTGAGGAAATAGACGATGAATACATTACTAAGGAAGGAATACTACCAATGCCGCCCGGGCGATTGTCGGTCAACGTGGCATTGAATGCTCATACCAGACTGGTTAATATCCTAGCCAAAACCGTGAAATACGTTTATCCTATTAAGGGAACGACGCATGTGCATGGGAAAGGCAGTCATTCGTACGTGGTGAGTCATGCAAAAATTCGTGAAATTGAAGCAGATCTGCAAAAATGGATGAACAATCTGCCGGAGGAATTCAAACCTGGCGACGGGGCTTCGCCAGAATTCATGAGGCAAGATTATTGTTCCGAGATTAGTCAATGTTTAGACTGACTCTTCTGTCAGGATACGGCATCTGCTACGAATGGCCTATGCACACTGCGAGATGTTCCTTTATCGTCCTTTTCTCCATTACGTTTCTCAAACTCTCCAGGCCAAGAACATCGACAAGCGTTCTTATGCCTGCGCTGCAGCCTGTGTCAGTGTCTCTCGAAACATTGTTCACTTGACGACTGAGATGAAGAAGCAAGGACTATTAGTCGGCTCGTATTGGTTCTACATGTACACAACGTTCTTCTCCATCATCTCCTTGGTATTCTTCGTGCTCGAGAACCCACGAAGCCAAATGAGTGAAAGCATTTTAAAAGATGCATATGAGGGAAAGGATACTCTTGCTGGACTGGCAGCAAAAAGTCATGCCGCCGATAGGTGCTCAAAGGTCTTAGCGGTACGAGCAACTCACGTTCGGACTAGGAAAGCATTCCCGCATACTGACGTTTACGTTTATCATAGGATATGTTTGAACAACTTCCTGGAAAGCTCCAAGGAGCGCTCGATTCTGCCCCACAACCACAGAAGAAGAGGTCAGCACCCTCGCAGCTACCTGTGTCACAAATGCCACAACGAGCGCCAGAAATCAATTCGAGAAGCCAGAACGTAAATAACTCTGCGCGTCGGTCAAACATATCCCCCAATCAACAGGGATCGTTGAAACGTTCATCAATCGCACAGGACTCTTCGCCACTGCGCGATCAGATGACCAACCTTGATCCAATCTATCGAAGGGGTTCGCAGGATCCTTACAGCGCCTCAAACAACAGCCCAAGCAGCTCTATACCCTCAAGCGCGGCTTCATCTGGTATGCAGAACAACTATGTGCCTGATCTCTCTTCCATGATGTTTCCTTCATCCGACCCTTTCGCTTACCCCAATCAACCTATGACCACGCTCGAAAATCGGCAGTCAATTAAACAAGAGAACCCAGTAGACCGCGGCATGTTCAGCCCACCGACTACCTCAGGCGCCCCTTATGACAACCTAGACTACGGTTCGCTGCCATACATGATGCAAAGCCAGCAGCTTGGCTTCGGAATGCAGAGCATGAACCCTTCAATGGACATGAGTAACATAGACTCCACACCGACTACGATGCCTATGCAAGGAAATGAAGGCGGTGGATGGCCACAAAAGCAGCAGCAGCAAAGACCGGGTGGCACACCTGGCGTGAATATCGACCAATTGTTCGGCGAGGACTGGGGCGGATGGATGAATCAAGGATACAGGCAGTACCCATAATGGGTCGTGTCCGGAAGATTCAGCATCCGATCTTCATTTGCACATCGCTAATAAGGTCACGTTTCAATGACGCCTCTTTGTACATAGACACTTGGCACGGCATGCGGTGTATCTGCTTAGCCAGGAGGGACGCGTCCTATGAAGCACAAGGCGCTGGGACCATTTGCTCGAAGGACCCTTAGCTGTACAAGATGCACTTAGGTGAACGAAAATACAAATACAGAAACATACGAGCAGATGGCTTCTTATATTTCTTTATTAATAGACCAAGTGTATCTGCTACAAAAGTGCGGACAAATATGATGCCGAGCTGATCCTAGTGTCACCAGTGTTGTCCAATAACTCGATTTGAGCAAATTAGCGGACCGCTTGCCTGATACTATGAAGTAACACGGATGCTATTGCCGAGAAGTACTATCACCACGGTGTGATCCATTTTTAGATAACTCTCTTGGCTTCTAGATAACGACGAGGGGACCTGAGGAAACAAGGAGGTTTCGTTTTCTTCATGGCGGAAATGCTTGGTACTTTAACTTGGCAAGAGGGCGGGATTTTTGCCAAGATATCTAGCGGCTTGGCGTATTTATACTATCGCTTGTCATTACTCGGATAGAGGCAACATGCGAGAATAGAACGGAATTGTGCATAATTCGTGCGTCCCAATAGAGAAACATGCTCACTAGTACCACGATCTTGGGGCAGTGTTGAGCTCAGCTTTCGAATTTTTCTTCTTCACCAGCCGAGGAAGCCAAGGCCCCGCTCTTGGCGTCTTGGCAAATTAGCGGCTTTTTCGCTTTCCTGCTCACTCGAGTAACCCGCTCACTTGCTCCTTCTCTCATCCACCTCTTGACCAAGACTTACAATCTAGGCCACTTATTCATAACAAGCTTCCACCACCAAGTTGTTGCAAAAGACGTGGTGTTTTCATCAATATAAATCTCATCCTTGGGGAATATTCATCTCCGCTCCACTGCCAAGAATGTCGAGCCAAGAAGAAGGCCAAGGCGGCCTCCACACTGAAAGCCATCAAAATCATCAGCAGGGACAGCAGCCCGTCCAACATCAACATCCAGCACCGATAGCACCCCTGCAGAGCTCTGACAGCCAGTTCCAATGTCAGTGGGTAGGGTGCGCTGATAGAGCGCCCAACGCTGAGACGCTCTATGTGAGTAACACGATCCCCGAATCCTTGAAAGGCTTGAATAGATCTTGACTCAATAGGAACACGTTTGCGAAAGCCACATCGGTCGCAAAAGTACCAACAACCTCAATCTGACTTGTGCCTGGGGTACCTGTCGCGTCACTGTTGTAAAACGCGATCACATCACATCACACATTCGTGTTCATGTACCTTTAAAGCCACACCGATGCGACTTTTGTGGCAAGGCCTTCAAGAGGCCTCAGGATTTGAAGAAGCACGTTAAGACTCATGCCGACGACTCAAACCTCGGACAAAACGCTGGGACCAATGGAGCCAATCGTGGCCATCAGAATGGGCAAAATGGAGGATACAATGCACAGGCTCAGAACAAGAGTATGTAGCTCAAACTACACCACATGTCTCCTTGAATTCTCATGAGCACTCCCTCAACCTGACATACTTTAGACATGGTCACTGACTTGCAAACCCTCGCTTCTACAGCGGCAGGATTCTTTCCTGAGCACCAGCAACCCCTTCACTCGAATATGCCTATGGGATATCCTCAGCAACCAGTTCAAAATGGCTCACAGTATTCGTATGCACCCACACAGCAAGCGTCTTACTCCTATGGCAACGTCTCTTACGCTGTCGACCATGAAGGAAACAGCCACCCTGTTGAGACTCATAAGCAAGGTCTCGAGTCCATCAAGAATCTGGTAGTAGATACTCAACGTGGCTCATTCGATCCGACCTCTTACTCCCAGATCGGAGCGCGTCTGTCAGCTATTCAAGGTAGTCAGCTACCTTTCCTTCCAGGCCAATCCATAGGCGATTACCAATCTATCCAGTCTGGGGATGGGCCGGAAGCAAGTGTCTATGCACCGACAGCGCAGTATTCCCTGCCGATGGTCCCAAATTTGAGGACTAAGGATGACCTCTTGAATGCCGACCATGTCTTCCAAGCCATGCAATCAACTATCTACGACAACGCCAACAATGTTGCTGCAGCTGGGCTCGGTCAGCCTGGTGCTCATTACGTCCAGCGTCAAAGCCACTCCCCCCCGGGATTGCAACTACCAACTGCACACAATGCAAGCTTTGCACCCAACATGCGTGCTTCACCAACGCATTCCAACCACGATGCCACCCCTGCCTTGACGCCGCCTTCAAGCGCTGGTTCACATGACTCAGACCACTCACCACATTCAGTTCATAGCAACAGCGGAATTTCTAGGGCCCCACGTGCTGGCATGTACCCCACGTTGCCAGGATCGACCTCAGATACAGTGTCCCATCCTTCAAGCATGGCGCCAACATCTACACTCCGATCTCAACCAGAGCATCAACACCGACATGGTGGAGGAAGACTCCAGAAAGCTGCTCCTTCTCGTACCCCCAGGCATGGAGATGTGATGGACACTTCGGATGACAGCCCTAAGAGAGCTTTCTCTAGCTCATCCTCCGCGGCGAGCCCGGTTTCGAAGCCGGTGACTCGCCGCAACATCGACTTCTCCTCTTCTAACCTTGATCCGGCTCTGGGAGGTGTGGCATCCCCATCATCCGGCGAACTGGATGAGGGAGCAATCAAAGATAACGAGGAGTGGGTTGGCAATGCTCGTACTATCGAGGCCTTGAGGACGTGGATCAAGATGAGACTTGAGAATCATGAGTATGCTAGTAATGAAGAGGAAGAAACCGCGGTGAAGGAGGAAACACCCAGCTTATACCCTGTCCTTGCTGGGGTATAGGCGATGGATTGCATGAAAGACGGATAAGATGGTCGGCTTGATACAGTCATTATTCCCATGTTGAGGAGGCGTTGCGAGATATTACGGATCCCCACTGGCTTGCATTTTCTACCAGAGGTTCGCTTTCATTTCGTTTCGTGTATGCAAGCAGACTCTGAAGGGCCAGAGCCTTTACTTTTACTAGGGTACATTCAATGAAACAATTCCTTATGAACAACCAGTGCACTCTGCTGTACCCCGAGTTCACCCTTCATCAGGTCTAGAGTGACCGCCGCTCTATCGTCGCACGATCTAGGTGATTGTCAACCCGAACGAGCGGGGTTGTCCCTGCGCAGATAAGCTGCTACTGTATCCTACTCGTACACCTCCTGGTATCAGAAACGATTACGTATGAAACCTCTAGCGCCTATGTCGCATTTGATACAAGAGGTTGCATTACCGGGTAGATTGCATTTCCAGGTAGATAACTCACGGGCCACCAGGGCTGGATTGTATTGTACGGCTGAACTTCTCCCAGAATCTGCCCCTGGGGAAAGAGTGGAGTACCGTGTGGAGGACAAGAGTACCGTAGGGGGATGAGTTCACCGCAAGGTTGAGATCTGTATTGGGGTTGGATAACTGAAAATGGATGACCAGACGTTGCTGCCATTTGTCACGGAACAGTATGATATGACTCAACAAGTATGGTGTGGGACCGAATTGCCTCTCGCCGTCACGAAGCCCTCGAGTCTACCCTCATTACTCTCTTTCTCTGCTCTCCGTGCTGCCCGTTCTGCTCGGATTTGGCCCTGTGTTTCCATGTCCCACGACTCAGATTGATGTTTTTTATTCTTTTGGAATCCCCTCTGCTTCTTCTTGATATTCTTTGCCTGAGGATCCGACCGTTTGGGTATAGAAAGATTTGTGGTTGCCTTTGGCGCGGTCAGAATCTCTTGATGTTTGCTATCAACCACTTCATCTGTGTAGTTTCTTGTTGCTAATAGCAGTAATATCCGTAAAGTAAAGTCGGCGTCATTTCCAGCAACGTGGAGATTTTGAAAAGGACATTGAAGCTCGCTCAGGATGCTGCTAAGTGTGATAGGAATGTTTGGTGATGTTGTGGAGACAATCTTTCCTGTGTCTGGAAGACCCACGATCGACGTATGTAGGTCAAAACGAAGAAGCTGTAAGACTTTCAGATCATTTCTAAACTCATGACCGACAAGAACGATACTCCGAGTTCGCGGAACTAGAGATTCCAGATTGAAAACGATATCTCGCTGATATATCGTAATCGTCTCACCGAAAAGATATTTCGTCATGGTAGCGCCACAACAAGGTGACCCAGTGACAAGCTTATACGTTGGTATGGCAGTTTGAGGTGGCGACGAGATTAGATCCCTTGCTATCCAGAATGGCAATACCTACTTAACTATTAAAATTTCAATTGGAATCCTGTTTGAGATTCGATAGATACTCCAAATCAATCGCAATGAAGACGATTTGGTCTAGACCTCGAGACTCTGGAGGCTTAAGCCCGAGGAATTGTTAAAGAAGTTGAAGATCGTTATCTGAGATGGTGTATTGGAGTGCTATGCTAATGATGGTGAGGTAGTTTTGTCGTAGATTTCACGATAGATTATGATATCTGGCACAGTTCCTCAAAGGAAGTCACTGGTAATCATTGGTCGCCACGTGTGCTTTGTCAATGGGAAATATGTAGTCGCTCCTGATAATTGTTCATGGTAGTGGTGGTAGGTCGGTAGTTTTTGAGGCGATCAAACGTCACTCGGAGGCGAAGTATCCAGGTGCGCGGCATCCGCTCTACATTTCCACACATGTCTCTGTAATTCACCTACTTTATCCTCATTGAATCTGCACTACTTTGTCAGTGTAAGCGGGTTTAAACCTTAAAGGTACATACATGGTCTTGCCATGTCATTAGCAGACGTGGATTGATAGAGATCACAGTAGAATCTAGAGAGCTAGAAACCTTTTGGAGTCTTTCGCTGTCCACAGTCAGAGCTACACTCTCGCGACGGCTGGTGCATTGGGAATTTAGCAACTTTGCTTTCAAGAGAATTGATACCGGTCCTTACGAAGTAGGTAGGGTGTGTGACACGTAATGTGCGCGAGCAGTCTCACGATGCTCACTCGCTAAAGCGGCGACGCTTGCGCGGGACCTGAGTGGGGGTACATTTCTCATGTCTTGTCTAGATAGTTTGATGGCCGCGCTTCAAGCCTTGGCGTCTGTCAAGGCTTCTAAAGAGTCGCTCGCTGAGATCTTTGATTTTCAGCTCGATTTGTGGAGATCGAACATCGCTGCGAGCAGCCATGCCACCGCTGATCCGGCGGAAAGCCGCTTCCTCGCACACTTCTTCAAGCTCAGACAGCGAAGCCTCAGAAGTCTTTTCAGGCAGCAGTCCTCCGTCATACGAAGCCATCGGGGATAACATATCCAGAAAGAGGCGACGGCTGTCTTCAGGGCCAGACACGGGGTCAGATAGCTCAGCAGCAGAAGAAGCGCCAGCGCCAGTACCTTCAACAGCGTCTCGCATCAAGCCTAAGCAGGCCACCCCACCCTTCAATAATCCTGCAGGCATCGAGCACCCTACTGTCAGCAATGGTAAAGTCGTTGATTCGAGAGCAAGCTTCGCAACACTGGATGTTGCACCATGGCTCATTGCATCCTTGGCGGCGATGGAGATCAAGAGGCCCACGGGCATTCAGAAAGGTTGTATACCGAAAATTTTGGAAGGAAGGGACGTTATAGGAGGAAGCAGGACAGGTAGTGGGAAGACTGTGGCTTTTGCAGTGCCTATACTACAAAGATGGTCGGAGGATCCAGTGGGAATATATGCCGTTATACTCACGCCAACGAGGGAACTTGCGTTACAGATATTCGAGCAGATCAAGGCTATTTCTGCTCCTGAGTCGCTCAAGCCGATATTGATTACAGGCGGTACCGAGATGCGGCCACAAGCTCTTGCGCTCTCGAGACGACCGCATGTGGTCATTGCTACTCCAGGACGATTGGCCGACCACATTCTCACATCTGGCGTAGACACAACGATTGGACTACGGCGTGTAAAAGTTGTTGTTCTCGATGAAGCAGACAGACTACTAGCTTCTGGGCCTGGTAGTATGCTCTCAGACGTTGAGACCTGCCTGACCGCACTTCCACCCTCGCACGAGCGACAAACCTGTCTATTCACAGCGACCCTGACACCAGAAGTCATAGCCCTGAATTCGCTCCCCAGAACCAATGGCCGCCCACCAATCTTTGTCTGCGAGACCGACACAGCTGATCTTGCAGTTCCCGAAACACTGAAGCAAACATACCTCCAAGTCCCCCTCACCTACCGCGAAGCCTACCTGCACATCTTGCTCCTCACAGCTGGTAACGCTGTGAAGAAGTCAGTCATGGTATTTTGCAACCGCACCGCTACCACCAACCTACTTGAGCGACTCCTCAGATTGCTAGATCACCGTGTTACATCCCTTCACTCACTGCTTCCTCAAAAAGATCGAACAGACAATCTCGCCCGCTTCCGTGCCTCAGCCGCACGAATTCTAGTGGCGACAGACGTCGCATCTCGCGGTCTCGATATCCCAGAAGTCGACCTTGTGATAAACTACGACGTCCCACGCAACCCGGACGATTATATTCACCGGGTTGGGCGTACGGCACGAGCTGGGAAGAAAGGGGAGGCGGTTACGCTGGTTGGGCAGAGGGATGTGAGTCTATTTTTGGCGATTGAAGGCAGGGTTGGGGCGAAGATGAAGGAGTGGAAAGAGGAGGGTGTGAATGTGGAGACGAGAGTTGTGAGGGATGGGTTGAAGGATGTGGGGGAGAGGAAGAGGGTGGCGTTGTTGGATATCGAGGAGGGAAGGGATGTGAAGGGAAATAGGACGAGGGGGAAGATTCGGAGGCTGGAGTGATGGGGAGAATCCACTATAGGAAAGGACCACGGCGCTTTACACGTTAATTCTTGTCCAACGACGATTTAAACAAAGAACGGATACTTTGCTCCAGTACTTACAGGGGAAGCTCTTCGAGGCCGTTTTCCGTCAAGCCAGCTCTCCCGAAGTGACACAGGAGTCCCTCCATCTTGGGACTTTCGAGGTCTACGCTTTCACTCAACCTCATCTAGGAATGATGCAAGAAGACATGGACAGCCCCTACGGCAAATCCCCTCGACCAAACTATGGCCCTGGGTCGTGCTAGTGAAGAATTTTCCAATGGTGCCACGACAGTAAAGCCCCGGGCAATTCACTTACTCAAGCATGTTCGAGCGAGTCGCAAAAGGACACCGGCATTTGCAGAGTCAGGCTCGCCCTACCTAGTCAGATGCTGCCCACTCATCAACGGTCAATATTTATTTTGAGCGGCCGAAGTGGCAAAAACAGTAGTCCCCGAGGCATTACGCCCTTGGTTAACTTGCTCAATTAGAGTCATAATGCGAAATAGGTACTGATTTTTCGGGTCTTGGCGACTGTTTATTGAAGATTGGAGCCAATCAGGCTAGTGCCAGTACAGAAATTCACGGCAAACCCACGAAACGCTTGACCCAAACATATAATGACTGTAGAGTTCTTCGAAGTCTACGAACAAGTGCGAGCATCTTTTCGAACGGCATACAGGCTTTCATCTATCCAGCGAACCTACTGCGACAGCGAACAAGGCCAGCAGTATTGAAAGTGACTCAGCTCGCGTACGGCACGCGTTCTTTACTTTTTTCCACTCCCTTGACGAAGGGACCAAATTCCCAACCACCGCCAACGAGTATCATTACCAATCTGCACATCTTACCCTCCTCCACCAAGTACACTATCCTTACACCGACAGCAACAACTAGAACAATAACATCATCCTGCGCAGGCGCTGGGCAGTAGTATTTGTTTTATTTACGGTACGTTCCTCCGATCGATTCTGACGTATGCGAGACGCCGAGAGGTGCATTCGGCTTTGTCAACACATCAACGCATTGCGCATTCCGTGCGCCCTCCTGTTCCTCGGCGTTGCAGCACCCACCATTCAATAGCATGCTGACTGGATATTCTTACTAGAATTGAATTGAGGTAATCATGTCGACCCCCGCCACACGGCGGAGCGAGCGCAAGCGGGCACCCAATCCCCGGATTGCTGATCTCGACTCTTCACCCACGCAGAGGGCGCCACCTGCCTCGAAGAAACGAAAGGTGAGCTCACATACGGAATACACACCGTCCAGTCCAGTCTGCTAACTTTGACTGCAGGCAAGCGGTCAAGCCGCCCCTCGAGCTCCACGGCGCCAGCGAACACCGGAGGATGAAGTCACCGATGTCTCAGACGAGGCCTCGGATGATGAGACCGCCGTGGATGATGAGCCCGAAGATACCGCCGATCTTATCATACCTTATCTAAAGACCGCCTCCGATTCTGTCGCCGTTACTGAAGAGTATCCAAACCATAGAACAGAAGAGAGGTATGGCAAAGGAAACATCAACGCATTTGCAAAGATATGCGGCAGGGAGTGGACATACTATGTCCTTTCCTCTCATATCTTCTTTGGACGAGCGCCGGATGGGTTTCATGCTCGACAAGCTCGAGAGGAAACGGCTGCGCAGGAAAGCGGCGATGACCAGCCACCGATCGATATTGATCTGGGGCCAAGCAAAGTGGTATCGAGGACGCACGCCGAGCTGAGATATAGCCAGTCGGATGACGGATGGCACGTTCATGCGTACGGGCGCAATGGCGTCAGGGTGGATGAGGCCAATCTTAAAAAAGGGCAGAACACAAAAATCAAGAGTGGCACTATTATCACCATCGCAGGGACTGAGATGCTCTTCCAATCAGCAAGCGGCAAGACTGAAGTTCATCCTTCGTTCCTTGATAGAGTGCTTGAGCATCAGAACAATGAAGGGTTGGATGCCGAACTCGGGACTGGGTACCATCAGCCTCTTCCAGACCGTGCCATACGGGCGCTTCCAAGTGGCCCACCACCGTCTTACCCTCAGCAGTACGCATACACAAGACCGAATCTCAGCCAACAGACTACAATTGCTCCTGGGCCATCCGAACTTGCACGACCCGTTACACCAGAACCTTCGCCATCAAAACGGCCAGCGACGGGCTCAGCGAAGAAGCGATCGCCTAACTCATATAAACGTGGAATCATGATGGAGTCGACTGAGCAGATCGACTATTCGTTGGACTCCTCGAAGGATCTGAAGCCTGGCTGCAGCTATGCGTCGATGATTACCTGGGCAATCATTTCCACAGATGAGCAGGCCCTTAGCCTGAATGGTATTTACACTTGGATCAAAGCGCATTACGCATACTATCGACTTATCAATTCAGGGTGGCAAGTATGTGAAGCGTGTAATCCATTGCAAGACATCGAAGCTGACATTTATTAGAACTCGATCAGGCATAACCTTTCCCTGAATCCTGCATTCGACAAGGTCCCTCGACGTCCTGACGAGCCGGGAAAAGGCATGAAATGGCGCCTAGTACCCGAACACCGCCAGGCGACACTCAACTTAGCAAGTAAGAACGTCAGCAAAGGCGGAGGTCGGGTCTCATCTGCGCCTGGCACTCCAGCCGGAGCTCCAAAAACCGGCGGCTTCCTCCCACCTCTTACTAATGGCATGAAGACATCTCCAACAGATCGTAGTACACCGCCTCTGTCCTCGTATCCACCAGCACAGCAAGAGTCATATACACCAACCCGCGGCCCTCAAATGCCAATCTACGCCCCTACCCAAGGCGGACTGCCGGTGCTATCTGACGAGACTTCACCAATGCCCAGACGCCGCCCAAATGGACACCTCACAGCCATTGACTCTTCTCCAACACTCACATCTGGCGCTTGGGCTCACGACGCACCGATGATGCGTACACCAGCACCCAGACCACACAACCTCAACATGCCGCAGCCCAATACGGTCAAGCTTCCCACCAGCCATCTTGCGGACAGCAGTCCTGCACCATTCTGGCGTTTCGAAAACTTTGGTAGCACGCCTGCTCAACCATGGCCAGAGATTAGCCCGATGAGGAACGGAACTGGTGGTGCAGTAGCGATACAGAGTAGTAGTCCACCACCAGTTGCGAATGGGGCCGAGAGCCCGACGAGGAGGGCGAAGCCGCCTGTGGGACCTTACGGACCAACTGCGTATGGAGGAAATGGAATGAAGGATGATGAGGACGGGGAAATTGATATCACGAGGTGAGATAGCCTTTGATTTTCTAGAGAAGTAGCAGCATAACGCTGACTGATCAAGCAGGGGTTTTACTAAAATCAGCTCTTACCATCAGCAACGCAGCAATGTTGCCTCGAACGGCATCCAATCTTAAACCATGAGTTCTTCAAGACGCTATGAAAACAGCACCCAAAAAGCTTACTACGACAACACACAAACGCCAGTCTACCCAGCTACATCTACGCCCATTCTCACGAATTGATCTTTCCTACCTTCATTTCACTGTACATATTCACTGCGTCTGGCTTGTAAGATCGAGTTCATTGTTTGCGTTTCACTCACGACCACTGTCCCGCTGGTGGTTACCGTTCTCTATCGAAAATGCTTACCGTTCTTTGAGGGCGGTGGTGGCCATGGTTCCTTGAGATTGGCGGCTATTGTTCTGCGAGAAGCCGTGGACTTTCTTTATTTTAGAATTCTTCAAAGGTGCAATTAGAGAGGGTTACGAACAATGAGACAGGATACACTCGGGTTGGGGTCTGAATTTAAAACCCGGGGGAGGGAGGTCATCATCAATGTCTGCTGTTGCTAGATTCAATGACAGTCGCTTTAACAAAAACCGTCCACTCGTTGCTCGGAGATTCGTAGTGGCGGTTCGTACAACTAAACTGCCTACTGCGTTGCTCAAAAGCCATTCAGCATGAGCTCGCGTGTGCAAAGCTGGCGGGTGCACTGTTAGTTTCAAGAAGATATCTGTATGCTCTGTTTATCTGGAGTATGTAGGACCGATCAAGATCCATAGCCCATGGCAATCTGCTGACATTCGAACCCCATCGCCGTCTGCAGATAGAACCAAGCCAGATCCTCGGTCGCCACCGGGACAAAGTAGACGAGGTGAATCCGCCATCCTCGTCAGACAATGCAAGCTTTTCCATGCTTGCCATTCGACCAATGCATGCCAATCTCCACCGCCACATAGCAAACATCGGGAGCGTTCGCCAACCTCATATGAACGATCCATCATAATCACACCTGCTGTTTCATGCTGAAACGCATCGTCCAGCTAATCTTGCCTACTCCATGAATGCAACGCCAAGCCTCAGGTGAGCGGCACGCCCCCGTCAGCATCGTCCCCGTACGCGTCCAGCAGCTTCATCCTCGCCATTAGACGCTGCGGCGGCAAAGGTGTCTCTTTCGGCTTGTCTTCTAGAACGATCAAATCCTCATCCGTGTCGTCTCTGACATTTTTTTTCGCCTCCTTTGGAGTTCGGTTCTGCACAGCTCGCTTGTGGGGTGGAATATAGTTTGGATCTCTCTTGGAATGGCTGTTCTGGGGTGAAGTGTTGCCATTCTGAGACATGGTGTTGCTATTTGGATTTTGAGTGTTTCCATTCTCCTCATCGGCCCCGTCATTCCGTGAAACAGCCTTGCCATCGTCTTCTCCAATCCAGCCCCACCCATCTTCGTCGAAGTACTGTGCAGTCCTCTCTCTCGTTTTCTTTTCGTTGGCGGCATGGTATTGAATCTCGCCCTTTCTCTCGATGCTAGGTTTCAGCGCAGGGTAATGCCCGTCATATCCGTTCGTACCCTTGCCACTACGACGGTCTCCTCTCTGTATATCCCTCGCGTCACTCCTCGAGTAGTTTCCATTGAACTTTTCTTCCGCTTTCACGGCTCGGTTGAGTCCTTGTTGGAAAGCGCGAGCTTCGGCCATCTCGGCCGCGGGAAGAAGCTTGACGGCGGAGCCACCATCGCCGCCTTCTTCGTCTGCTATTTCCCATTCCTCCGTCTCTTCGATGACGCGAGCTTGAGCCTCAGCTGCCGCGGCAGAGAGTCTTTCCGGGTCGGGTGCTTTGGGGTGCTCATAGTTTAGAGCTTTGAAGGAGATACCAATGAGGGCTTCCACGGTGTATCCTGCGTCATTACCCTGGATGGTTTGTCAGCTGTTAGTGGACAACGCTTTGCTCCTAGGTGACTTACGGCATTGTGGAGGTTCCAACCAACCAAACCAAGATCCATGAGGACGGATCCGAGACTGCTTGGGTTCTGCCCATGCTTCATAGCACGAAAAAGATCGACTGTATCAATCGCTTCGAGGAGATTTGATAGATTGCTGACGTCGTAGCCAATACTTCGAAGGTATTGGATATCGGCACTAATCTCATGGCCAAGTAGAATCATATTGCGTTTGGGTGCGTTGTAATTAACTGGAGGTAAGTACTGGCTGCCAGATCCGTACCTTCCGACCACGCGTGCATCAGCTGGATATGAAGGGTACTGGCCTGGTGCAGAGAAGGGGTGACGGAAGCAGGAGGCAATGACTTGTGGTGCTTCATTGATTGAGATCCACTCGCTTTTCCCGAATTTCTCTTCAAATTTATCTGCACAGCCGGCGATGAACTCAGTGTTGTTGAGATGAGCGTATTCTGCGATCCTGAAATGGCGTCCCCGAATCTTCTTCATCCAGTCAAGGCCGCCTTCTCCAGGTGAAGTATTCACAAGGTCAAGTGTATCAAGCGTCGAGATGCCTATCTCTGTAACCTTCTTGTGGTCTTTCTCGTATGATTCAACATCCACGCACACAAAGACCACGTTACTTTCGAAAGGGTACGGGGCAGGCAAAGTCGGAACTAGCGTTGGTAGCTTTAGACCAGCAGCCTCTTCATACGCAGCTTGAGCGGCTTGACTCTCCTCGTAGGTGTGGTTCGGGTCGTTATGGAAGTCCTCCTTTCTAGCGGTCCCACGAGGTCTGATACCGAGATAGCATTGAGCACGCTTCAGTTGCGCGCACCATCCCCGCTTCTGGACCACACGATCTTGCTTCTTCTTGGACTTTGCGTTCTTCTGCCTATTCTTACCCGCTAGAATCGCGGCCTCCATTTTGCGCCGGAACGCTGGAAAGGTGCGGTCTTCCATAATCTGTGGCCCTCCTAGCTCCGTGCCTGGCTCAGGCATCATTTCTTCAAGATCTAGAAGACTCATCTGATCTGTCAGTCGGCCAAGGTAGCGCGGACGTGGACTCCCTTCTTCTTCAAATCCGATGTCGAAGCCTGGATGACGGGTCACGTCGGGGAAGTCGGCAGGAATCCTGAAATGAACGTAGATCTCTTTGAAGAGGTCCAGCACTTCCTCTCGTGGAATGAGCAGAAGAGGTTTGGTATTTTCCAGCAGTGTTTGAATATAGTATCTACGTGATATGTTAGCTGGATCGTGTTGAGCAATTACATAAATTGGAGAAGAGTGACACTTGAAGCACAGAGAGTGTGGAATTTGACGGAAGAGTGATGGGCTCAACGAACGATGAGGTAGTCGAGGTCCAACAAGAAATATTGGAAGAGCATCCCGTCGACTTACATTGTCCATCCCCTGGATCGAAATTGCCCAGCTGCGAAATATCTAACCGACACTTTTTCAGAATCTTCCGTGTTGTACAAGTGTCGATATGGCCACTTTGTGACTGCCCCTACGGGACAGAACCGGTCCCGAGGACCAGCCAGCTGACCAACTTGCATCTTAGCTGTGTCGAATAAGGAAGGAGATAAAATGAAATGTCTGCGATGGATCCAAGAAGCTCTAGCTTCGTAGATGCCCAAATGAACCTACGATGCTGTCAACGTCGCAAGGTAAGACGAGAGAGAGGATGAGTTTAAAGCGATGAAGTTGTAGTCTCAATGGCCGAGATGATAGAGAAGATGAGCGTGCTGAGGTCCCTTCAGCGAGTATTGAAGGAAGTCGTCACAGTTCCTGAAACAGTGTATTTGAGTGAGAATGACGGAGAATGCGAAGCTGACCGGATAACATGAGGCCTTTCGGAAGTAACAGCCCGACGTCCTCGATAATGCAAGTAAATAGATGCCCTCGAAACGGATTGAAATTTAGTGAGAGTAACAGTCAACACTCAACGGTGAATATCGAAAGCTCTGCCAAGGGTTTGATTTACATCTACGAGATCGTGCACGACATGTTTGGCAAGTGACAGAGGTTTCTGCACCTCAGATCAGTCACTTTGGCTCCTATTACTTTTCCTTGAGCCAACCGCTGATGTAGATACTCGTAGTAACAGGCAAAAGAAAGATTGAAGGGTTTATGCTCCTCCCCCCGAGGGTCCATTGCCATCAGCCCTACCAATATACCGCGCTAGACCTTCCATCGCTTGGCACCTGTGGCACTTTCCGCAGTACGATCTCATGCCCAGAACCTCACTTACGCGACAAGTCAACTTCAGAGCTCGAACTCCATATCTCAAACAGTGACCAGATGGAGTTCATGATAGAGGATACCCCAGCGGATCCTGACGCTCAAGCTACAGTCACCGACTTCCTCGACTACACCGAATACCTGCCCTCGGACCTCGCTCGGTCACTGACTCTCATTCGCAAGCTTGACGATGTCTACGTTACAGCCGCCGACACAGTACATGAGCTTACGAAAGAGTATGGGTCACTACCAAGCATGCCTCCTAACAAGCGGCCGAGCTCTCATGATCTTCGACAGGACATATCCTACAATCTGGACCACGCAATCAGCTGCCGCGAGTCATCCTATGGCGAAGCATCACGTCTGTCTGAAATGGTGGATCGTCACTATAATCGGTTGACCAGTATCATATCCAAATTACACGCATTGCCGAAACCTCCATCAAGAGATCCTACACCCGTGCCAAGATCTCCCCAAGCCAGCCGCAAGACTCCCCCTCCTCGTATCACTCTGCGTTTCGATGGCGCGAGAGCAGCAAAGGCTGCTGGTAGAACTCCGGAGAAAGCTCAGAAACGGATTCGAAGTCGAAAGGTTACAGTACCTGGTGAGGTGCTACCACCTCCAAACCCAGACTCTCCACTCCACTTTACCGACTCAGACTGGGAATCCGTACCTCCGTCGCCCATACCAATGCCTACGTCGCGTGTTGGAGGGTCTCGTAAACCAGGGCGAATCAGACCACCAAAGGCCCCCAAGGCGCCCAAGCTGAAACTTCCCAAGCAGCCTCGACCACCGAGACCGCCAGGCGCCATGGGGACGAATGTGCATAGCGCCGTTGCTGGGATTTCGACAAGCAATGCTCTATCATTACTGAGTCCTCCGCCAGCAGATGCCAAGCCTGGGAGCATACACGCACCATGGATGCGTCTTACTGAGTGGGAGATGGCGAAGCTGAGGAAGAGAATGAAGAAGAACGCTATCTGGACACCAAGCGAGACTATGATCAGGCGCGAACTGTCGCTTGCCGGTCGAGGTCCTGACAATTACAAAAGTACGAAATCGAAATGCGATGCTGCGGGCGAAGATTTTATTGATGATGACAATATTGCGAACGCTCCACGAGGGAAGGCACTAGTACCAGGCGAGATAAGTGCCGATTCTCTTGGGCTGGCGGACACAAATTTGAGTAACAGGGGAATGGCGCTGAACATTGCCAAGAAGGAGAAGAGGGAGAAGATGGCCCGCGAACAAGCTGATATCCTGGCTTCAGAAGCTCAGAAGCTGGGTCATCGTCTGGATTCCCTCAAGAATATATTTGCTCCACCTCCCGAGAAACTGATCGAGGGCCCGACCCCTAGCACTAAAACGCTCAAGGCTAAGGAAGCCCCGAAGAAGAAGACGGCTTCAGAGGAAAAGCCGAAAGAAGTTACTAAGACTCCTGCAAAGAAGCGAAAACGAGAAGAGTCCCCCAAACCAGAGCCTCCTCCCAAGCAGTTGGATATTGTTACTTCACCTGTCAAACCGTCTTCAGGGACTGCGACTTCACCTATCAAATCTCCGAAGAAGCGTAAGACTGAACAAGCCCAACCGGAGCCTCTGAAGATCACGACCAATACAGTAACAACAACAGTACCCCTTGCAGCTCCAGCTCCTTCTCCGTCAAAACCATCACGACGGTCTACGCCCGCGACACCCGCCACGCCTGTCATGGCAGCCCCTGAAAAGCCAACAGCCGCTACAACTCCCAGACCAACTGCAACCTCTACACGGCCTCGCCGCATCTCTTTAACACTGAAAGGGCCTGCGGAACCTCCTCCAGAACCCGTCCTTGCTTCTTCATGCACTAGTAGCCGTGTACACTCCCGCCGCAGCTCTGCTGGCCCTCCTTCTGCTACCACCCCCCGCGACCATCTTCGCCGCAAGAGCACTACGCCAGCTCCACCACAGAGTCCAGCGGCGATTGTTACTGCTGCTGGTAGACGAAGTAAGCGTCCCGCGCCTGGTCCGGTGATTGAAAGTCAAGAAGGTGGTGCTGCGGTCAGTGTAGGCAAGAGGCAGCATGCGCCGAAGAAGAAGGGCGGAGTGGCTGTATCCAATGCAAAAAGAGCGGCCGAAAATGCGAGCGCAAAGGAGAAAGAGAACGCGGTAAAGTTAGAGGATGAAGCGGCAGGTGAGGAGATCGATGCAGATGAAGCTAGGTACTGTTACTGCGAAGACGTAAGCTATGGGGAAATGGTTGCCTGTGAGAACGATAACGTAAGTCCATCTCTCTTGTGGCTTCCGAACCTCTTTGTGCATTTACTTACCTTCTGTAAGTGCGAACGCGAGTGGTTCCACTTCGAATGTGTAGGTTTGAAGGAACCTCCTGGAAGAAGGGTCAAGTGGTTCTGCCCTGATTGCAAGAAAATACTGGGCAAGAAATGATCACATGGAGGCACTGAAGCTCCCGAGCCGGTCAAGTGTGGTAGATCTCAACAGGAACTTTACAGGCACGACAAGGCAAGGTACTTCAGTGGAGGGCATTTCACTTCTTGTATGCATGATTTACGACGGCTACGGCCACAGAAGACTTCATACCCTGGGGGAAGTCGCTTCTTGCGGACACCGCTCATGAGGGCTGTCTGCTCGGACTATGTACGATAATGAGGATAGAGCTAGGATGTCGACTGAGAATCAATAATTCAACAGTCATAATATTTTCTAGCGATACGCAAGGCTCTCGGCGTATCAAAAAGATAAGGTAGCTAGCTAGCTTAATGAAACTACCCTTTTTATCCCAAATTATAACGCGCCTCACACCGGTTGCTAAGCTACTTTGTGTACTATGATATATGTCGAAGATGATGTTGACGTGCATGACTCGGAGTATTTCCATAGAAGTATGAGGCTCAATTCTAACTCGACAAAGGTACTTTAGAGTGCGGGTCGGCAGAGCTACCATGGTCCTTTGCGCAATTCAATTGGATGCAGGGTCATCATCGATGTGAGTCTGGACCTTGACACGTTTCAGATGCTAGAGTATCTGTGGTAATCGAGAGATGGAATCTCCGTCTTCCAACGAGACTACTCAGAGCTGAGATGATTGTTTCCATGTAATCCCTATCATTGATTGGACCATCTTCAGGTCTTTAGTCAAGCCTCCACTTTTGATTTTGATCTTGCGATTGGTGAAAAAGCACTCGCAGGATAAAAAGAAATCATTGTCAGCGGAAATGAAATGAAATCTAGTGTCGTTTGGACTTGTCCTAGTTTCTGTTAAAGCCAGGAACGTGTGCCGACTATAACATCGCGTTATGCCGTATTGCGTAAGGCGCGTGCACTATAGCGGCGGCAGTCGGAATCTAAATGATTAAACCCTTGTTGGCCGAGGGGGGCCAATCTCCACCCACAACCACCCTTTTCTTCTGCTCTGATTCCTCTCTTCTATCCACGCCTGCGCAACAAGGTGAATCCCCCGAGACACGCCCGAGCTGTTGTCGGCGGTGTCGTGGATGCAAGTGCTGTGAGGTGTGGATCAATCAGAGGACCAGGGGAGTTCGAACCAAAAGTCGCGAAATTCCACGGTCGCAGTTCAAGGGGGTGGAGCTCTCTTGCACAACAAACAGCAACAGCAAACATCACACTCATTACACATTCGATACTCGATACTCCATTCTCGGCGACTTTTTCTTGTCACCAGAAGCAGAATATCATAATAATGCAAATATAGAGGACAGGTGGGTGCCTCACGGACTGTGGCTATGGACAGCTAGCAGGATCAAATGGAGTACTGACTCCAAACAGCTCAAACAGTCTTAATCCGTCGGTCTATGACTGGCAGCCATTCATTACAAGACCCATAATTCTTTACATCAATAACACCACCGACGAAGCTGATCTTCGACCGCAACAACGAGCGAAAAACGTCCGCGCAAAGACGTTGTCCCATCTTTACACAATTAAACACAAAGTCATTCAGAAACACTACGCCATCCATTCGCATACATTCACTTGCCAGCTTCTTCCTCCAGCATAGCCTTTTACACTCGAACACCTATGCCTTTGGGGCAGAATTGGAATCGAACATTTAATCAACACAATCAGCCTACCGGTTGCTAATAACTACACTCATTCATCAAGCACATCTATATTTTACATCTATCGCGGACCAAAGGTCCAATGGAGCACCCGTCCAAGAGACGGAGAATCGAGCGGAATCTGGGAGGACCGGTCGAAGGTCTCAATCTCAACAATGGCAGAGAACGAGCGGTCAGTTTGGGTGGCTCAAGCAAGAACGAGAAGCCAATAATGCCCAAGCTTGTGCTCCCTCCGCACGGAGCGCCAGGACATCCTGCGCATGGGGATCAAGCCGTGGGTGCTTCTAGCCAAGGTGTTGACCGTCCTCACTACCCTCTGGAGTCTGCAGACACGAAGCCCACGAGGGTTCATGCCCGACAAATCGTGCAACCCTCCGAGCCCACAGTACCAAACACCAGCGAGGCGATGTCTTATCCGAGCGGTAATCCAACCTCAAATCCATACCCAGGTCAAGTGGTACCTCCAGCAGGTGTCGCTGCTGCAGATGCAAGAAACCAGGCACTCGAATCACAGCAGGCTCAAGCTCAGGCTGTTGCCGTGAAGCAATTGGATGCTATACCGCAGGCGCCAGCTCCTGCCCCAGCAACTCATGCAGCAGCCAGCGCCAGCTCAAATGCTATGAACGTCCCCAACTCTTCGTCACAGCAAATAGTCAAGGCACCTTCAACGCCTCCGCCATCCAATCCGTCGCCAACACCAGAGTCCTCTGCATCATATTTTTCCGCCTCACCTGCATCATCACCTAGTCCGAGTCCGCAACTTACATCAAGCCCTTCCGCTCCATCACCTACATTTACTCCGAACAAACATGAATTCGCTACTAATCATAATGGTACTATGTCAGGTAAGCCGCTTTTCGATCCATCCCACTCTCTCTTATACTGATCGATTTTCTAGCTTCTACCACAACATCCTCAAATCCGAGTAGGCTAAGTTCAGAGTCAGGGACCTTGTCTCCCTCTCTCTCCGCACTGCCGACGGTATCGCAGTCTTCATTAGCAAGCATCTCTACTATGATGACTTTCATCTCTGATGCAACGAATCCTAGTGCATCCCTCCAGACCCAAGCCTCTGGCACAAGCTCTGAACAAACAACATTCACACCTGCTACACTCGCTACATCAGGATCTGCACCAGCATCGTCACAGCTCTCGAGCCAAGCATCATTAGCATCCGTAATGTCCAGCGCCAGTGCCGCAGGTGCTGGAGGAAGTGGCAATTCGGGCAACACAGCCCCGACTCCTTCACCTTCATCAAGCTCAAATGGCGGCGCGGGCGGCAATGGTGCACCACCTACACAGGACCTCGTCGGTGGTATCGTCGGTGGCGTCGCAGGCCTGGCCATGATCTTCGTTATACTTCTCCTGTTGTTCCGTTGGCGACGAGGCAGGCTTGGCAATCGGAGAACTATATCTCCGCCTGTCCCTCAGACCATAGGCCACGGAGGTGTGCCGGAATCCGGTAATATGACCCAACGATCCAGCACCGCTCCTATAGCCGCCGCTGGCTTCTTTCGAAGTCTAAGACCTGCTTCATCTCAAACAGCGACCACTGCCGACACCGTTCCTAGCGAACGAGGCTTCCAGAAGATCTCTGGAAGAAAGCTCCCATCTGTACTGGCGTCTGGTGGTGATGGCTGGGGTGACCCTCCTGCTGCCGGTCCTAGTGCTGGACCTACTGGAGCCGCAGCTGGGCTAGGTATGGCTGCAGGCGTTGCTAAAGGCCGAAGCCCTTTCGATGATCCCCCGCCTGGTCAGCGACCTTCTCCATCCCATTCACTATCAGGTTCATCCTTTTACCGTGACTCCCACGGTTTCTACGGCGGTGTCGTGCCAGAAGAACAGACCGAAGCATCCAGCTCTCCTGGATCTTCATCGTCACCAACGTATTTTGCACCTCTAGGGGCTGCCGCCGGTCGTTCGAATGTCCCACTAGGTCATGGAAGCCCGAGCCGTCGGGATGAAGCAGCACAGATGCGACCCGGTCCTGCTCGTACGCCTGTCATAAACCAGCCCGGCTTTGGCTCAATCCGTGGCGGTGCACCTCCAAGGCCTGTTCGCGCTACACCGCCACCAGCTGGACTCGTTCCTGTTCGAGATGGTCTTGGCCGGAGTCATCCTAGCCAAGATGGCTCTCGCGGGTCTAGATTCAGAGAGGACACCACACCACCTTGAGTTATGACCCCCAATTTCTCAAACATCAACTTCACTTCTACTGTCAATATTTAACGATAGTCGTGGTTTTGGTTCATCGCCTCTAACCGCGCTTTCTTGTGTAATTAATCGACTAGCAACGGAGGAACTTTCAACGATTCCGCCACCACCAACGACCTATCACCGGCCGCTGTAACAATATTATCGAGGCTCTGGAGAGTCTTACGCCACGTCTTTTCCTATACGGTTGATCATAATGAATGGGGGTGAATGTGGGTAATGTACCAATCGGTCGATCCGTCCGTCAGCCTTCTTGTCACCTCATCACCCGGTACCCTTCAGCTAGAGAGTATCTTGAACAGATACATCGTGGACAGCAAGAGCTATCCATCTTGTGCGATCTCACCGCGCTTCAGCAGGCCTGCCTCATCCTGCAAGTCGCAGGGCATCACTGTCGAATTAAGTCTTTTTTACGATGAGAAGGGGACGCTGCCAGTATTGGGGCTGGATAATTTGCGTGGAGTGGGTTCTTGTGATAGAAATGTGTAACAATGAGGAGATCCTATGTCGCGTTGTCCCGAACGGGGGAGTGTTGTGGGACGGAACAGGCCATGAGGGCCAGCTTTTGTCAGTGCTAGATACCATGCTGCGAGTGTTATAAGGAATTCAATCTGTCAATCATCTTCATGTGCCTTCCAAGATACTGAAATTTCTTTCGGGTGACTTCCCCTCTACTCCGTCCTCGTAAATTTCCCTCCGCTACCCGGCACAACCCCAATCTTGATATTTACCTTCGTCCCAACCAGGTGCTGTCACAGCACGAAGCGATCATGGGTTACAAACATGATCAAACTCTATTCTCAGAGACTCACCGGCCTCCATCTGTAAACGAGCATCTAGAGGAGCAACCACCTCCCTCCCAGCGCCGCCCACCCCCTCCTCTACCACCCCGCGTTACCCCCGACTCACTTCCAGACCACCCCGCAGACGCCCCTCCTCCCTACACTGAGACTGCACCAATCTATCACTCCCAACCGTTGACCAGTTCCTGGACCGCACAAGACCCTCGCTCTTCGTCTACCCAATCGCTCGTACCCCACAACGATTCTCACACCGATGGAGATGGAAATAGGACAGATGGAAAAAGAACGCTGTTACTGGTGTACATACACGGTTTCATGGGAAACGAAACCAGTTTCCAGAGTTTTCCGGCTCACGTGCATAACCTGGTTACGGTCAAGCTGGAGGGAAGCCATGTGGTGCACACAAAGATTTATCCAAAGTATAAGAGTAGGAAGGCGATTGAATACGCGAGGGATGCGTTTGGAGAATGGCTAAGCCCGCATGAGGGGCGGGATACGGATGTCGTGCTGCTAGGGCATAGTATGGGAGGATTGCTATCTGCGGAGGTGGCTTTACTGGAAGGACATCGAGTCTTAGGGACGATCAATTTTGATACTCCGTTTCTGGGAATGCATCCGGGTGTCATAGCTAGTGGGCTTGGAAGTCTGTTCAGACCAGCGCCAGATTCTCCTGCCCCAAAATCTGCAGAGACCAGTGCTGGAAGCCAGGACGTCACTCGAACGTCGACCAATGAAGCCATACAGTCTTCTGCGTCGTCTTCTTACTTTGGTTCAGAGGCTACTGTATCTACGTTGATACCAACGGAGTCAGGTTCCAATACCTCAATACCACTATCCGCTGCTTCTGATCTGCCGACCAAAGATCCAAACTTCGACCCTCCTTTTGTCAATGATGTGCGGTTACCGCAGCGTACTGGTTGGAGCAATGCCTGGCATTTCCTCAACAAACATTCTGACGATTTGCGTAAAGCCACACAGTCGTATGTGAAGTCTCATCTTGAATTCGGCGGAGCTATGGCGGATTATAATGGTTTAAAGAATCGGTATGGCAAGATCAGGGACCTCGAGGATGTTAAACCACCGCAGAGAACAAGATTTGTAAATTACTACACTGCAAGTACGGGGCGGCCGAAGAAGCCAAAGGAGCCATCGCCTCTTGCATCTCAGACTCAAACTGGTCAACTGGATGGAGAATCATCACGCATGGCACTGCAGATACACGAGACAAGCCTCGACACTCTCGACGGTCATTCGCCAGACATGAGTCCTAGGATTTCCATCGAGAAACCGAACGACGAAGAAATAGCCGAAGAAGACACTCAAGACCATGACAAAGCCTTCCTCACTGCTAGCGAAGGCATCAGCGACGATGAAGGCGCAATGTCTGACGTTAGCCAAGCAATGGACCACTTGCACCCGGCTCCTGTTACAAGTGATGAGCGGGAAGAAGAACTCGACGACCATGATAAGCTTGCAGCGCTCAAGCCTAGCAATTCCGATGCCAACTCACACCCCAGCCCTTCGAAGGCCCCGTACATCGCATCGACAAACCCGCCGCCCTTGAGAGCCGCACCATCTCTCCCTCCGGTTCCCATTGCCCCCGAAGAACCTGCCCTCTTCGACCCCACTCTCTACCCCGACAAGGATACACGCAAACTCGCGGAAAAGGAACATTCTCGCCAAGTCAAAGCTTATAAGCAAGCAGTCAGAGATCGCGACAAGGGGATCGCTGATAGACGGAAGCTCGTCGAGAAAAAGGAAAAGAATGCAGCTAAGGAGAGAGAGAAGGTTGAGAAAGCAGAAGAAAAGGACAGGATCAAAGCCGAGCAGCGTGGGATGGAGAAAGGAGAGCGGGAGAGAGCAAAAGTTGAAAGGGAAGAGCAAATGAAGAGCGAAAAGGAACGATTGAAGGCCGAAAAGCAAAGAGCTAAGGTGGAGAGCGATAAGCTCAGGAATGCTTCTTTGCGCGAGACAAAATCGATGGCCGATTCCGATGCAGACGGTGCTGATGCTGATACTGAGCCCAAAGAACAGAAAGCAAAGCGAGACAAGAAATTCTGCATGCTACCGTCGAAGGAGAATGGGCAGATTGATCCTTGCTGGGTAAGGGTCTTTATGCCAGGCGTTGATGAGGTGGGAGCTCATTGCGGGCTCTTCTTGGTGGATGGGGAGAGGTACCAGTGGTTCGTGAATGATGTAGCGGAGAGGATTAAGGAGTGGGTCAAGGAGGGAGCGAGAGGTTGAGGAAAGCGGTGGATGGAAGGATTGAGACGGAGAACGTAGACGGAAGGCTTTTGGTTCAGTTTTTTACTATTTTAGACGATACCCATACATATGCCTGTGAACGGAGAGCTGGACGTATGAGCAGCTATATCTTTGACGTCGTCTTTGGGTATCGACATTCAAATACGTGCCATTCATCAGTCATCAGTCCATTGGGGGTGAGCGTTCAATAACCGTAATAACGGCTCCTCGTTGGTACGACTCTTGTCGGCCAGTATTTTTAAGGAGTTGTAGTTTGCCCACCGTACGACTTAGGTACCTAGTTTAGCACAGAATCGACCTTTGCGCCTTTTTTATTGAACTTATAAACGGTACCTGCATGATCGGATCGTAAGCCTAATACTTTGCCGCTCTAGCCGATATTCTATGGATATGTCATTCTTCCTCAACGGTTTTTCTAAACTTGAAACAACTCACCTTCACATTCGTCGAATACTAGATACTGACAGCGAAGCATCTGCCCGGATATACAACGCCCATTTCAACAAAACTACAATGGAGAAGCCGTCGGTGGAACAAATCAAGCAAATTGTCCGCAATCTTACCGAGAGCGATGACCCAGTCGTACACAAAGCTACCGTAGAAAAATAGTATGTCCTTCGAAACCACGACCGCGCTCTCACATCATGTCACCTTTCTTTTTTGAAAGTACTCAGAATAATAGATGACCCTTTCATACTATTGCAAGACAACGTAGTAACAAAAAAACCCCCAAAAGAAAACCCAGCATGGATTCTTCTCTCTTTTCTCCCTCTCTCTCTCTCGCTCCTTCGATCCAGCGTTCCCATCCTGACCCCACCCACCAGCTTCACCCAAAACGCCGCCTTCACGCACCCCATCGTCGACGTCAAACCCGCCCCCCACAGCATCGACACCCTCAAGCAAGTCTACGCCGTTTACAAAGTCCTGACGCGAAAGATCGAGATCCACTTCACGCGTACGTAAAAAAAACCCCCCCTCTCTCTCCCTCCCCTACAGGTATCCCATTTTCCCTCTCCCCCGAGAACCCTTCATTGACGGTCGCACGTGAACGACAAACCAGACGTCACCATCGACGCCGACAACACCCGCGCGGTGATCGAACTGGAGGAAGATTTGAACTTCGTCCTCCTCCCCTTCGGCTTCGCGCGGATCCGGGGGGTCAAGTTCATGACGGTGCTCGATCTCGTGCGGAGTCAACGGGACGATAGATACTATATCAGTAGACAGTGGGGTACTACACCATCCCTTTTCCGTTCCCCCGTTCCCCTTCCCGGCCCCTTTCCCCCTTCTTCATGACGCCTCGGGCATCGTGACGGACGGCTCGGTGCAGACTGCTGACGGCGGCATAGATATCATACCCGTAGACGCCGCCATCAGGAGCTTCCCTTTCGGCTTCGTGTACGGCTGGTGGCGGGGTGTCTGCACGCTTACGGGGTCGGTGGTGGGGTCGGGGTTGCAGATGTCGGGGCTGTGGGCGACGGCTTAGATAGGGTGAGCGCATGCTGAGAAGAGTGTGTAGGGGATCAGACATATTGTCCCAGAAGGAGGCGGTGGTGGGGGTGTCATGTTGGGAGATTGTGAAACTTCCGGCTTCGGAATGGACGTGTGGTGTGTGGATCGAAGACCTTGCCGGGGCTGTCTTTGCATTTTCATCAAAGCATTGTCGGCTTGGTGTAATAGAAGGGGTGGATATCACGAGACATAGACTACAAACCAGCATTATGATCTTGACGACAGAAACGCCTTTGCTTCATCCTCATCCACATTCGACTTGTCCGAGCTCTTCTTCTCAATCAATCCAAGCTTGTTCTTACGGATCTCATACCACATCTCCCTCCTATCACCCCCCAGCTCCTCCCCCAACAACTTCCCCTTCAGAGTCTTGATAAACTCATTATACAACCCCGGCTCCTCCATGTCAATCATCTCATTCCTCATCAGGTCCAACTCCTCCACCGCCTTGCCATAAGCAATGTCACCGAAGCTGTCTTTGATTTGCGCTTCGATGATTGTGGAAAGTTGCTTGACGGCGTCACGGACCTCATCTTCAGACTCGGTCGTGTCGAGAGCTTGTCGGAATTCAGGGATGGGGTTTTCGCGGGTTATCTTGATCTTTTTGGATTTGTTGTTGCCGAGGAGAGCGCCGACGTCGAGGCCGGAGAGGGGCTTGATTTCGTTGCGGTTGCGTTTTCTGGATTGGACTTTGGGCGGCACTTTCTTGACATCCGCCGCGGCGATCAGCTTCTCGAGCTTCTTTTTGGATCCAGCCACAAGCTCTTTAGGAGGGTTGGAATATCTTGTAAGTATATCGTATGGAGGGGGGACCGGCTCTGTGGGATGCACCGCTCTCCATCGGACTGCTTGGTCCATGCGATGCAGGACCGGGGAAAATGTGTCAGTCATGTTCATATACTCTGCCGGGTTTCCTTCATCATCTTTCCCCAAGTCCGAGAGATCCATTCGGTCAACGTAGTCGCTCATCGCCGCGCTCAGCGTGTCATTTGGTAGATTTCGGTGTTCCCGGATTTCCTTTCCAGACACTGTGATGACTCTGTCCAGCGGTGGAAATCTATAAGAACGGACATCTTCGGCGAAAGGCAGCTGTACATCAAGGAGACATTCGTAGTCAACCTCGATTGATGGCGCAAGCAAGGTGATCAGGGGCTCTCTATCTGCTTTAGTGACCAAGCGGGCAACTGCATACGATTCCAGCTCGAAGAGGGCATGTATCAGCGATGACAAGGCCATTATGGCCTTGCTGTTCGTTTTCTGAGCGATGACGACGCAGGAGACAGACAAAGTCATATAGCGTTCGAACTGTACTCTGTCAGAGATAAAGTTACTGAAGCATGCAAAGATTAGGCACTCACTGTCGACCAGGGAATGAACCCAACGATCTCAAGTCCCGGCTGGGTCTCCAATTTCGTGACGTTAAGGTCAGACTCACTTATGTGCACAGCTGTTCGCCCATACTCATAGCCTTTAGCCAAATCGTCTCTGCTAACGTCTCGTTTTCCTCCTGGAGCTTCCTCATCAAGGACTTGATAGGTTCGAGCATTCCTCACAGACGTCAAGCTGTTCCCATCAGATTGAATTGGACCGGAATCGGCTCCATCCGCATCAGGCATCATTGTTGCCGAAGACTGTGTGCTGACGTGGCCATTTGATAGATCAGACCGTTGAACATATTGACTTGCTGCAAGCGGTTTTCGGACCATAACCCTAGGATATCTTTCGACATCGATGCAGAGAGCTGAATCGTATTGCTCGGGGTCTCCAAGGGTGAGCTGGCCTTTATAAGAGTGTACAGGTCTCGTGGTCTTGAGCCTTGGCGTACCCAGCTCCTCGATTGCTTGTTGCATTGTTCCGAAAATGCCTTCGCAGTCTTCCACCAGAGCTCTGAGCGTTGCTTCATTGACTGCCTGTAGCATCTCATAAGCAGATGTTTGACATCTTGGTTGTGATTGAAGACCTTTTCAGGATCTTTGTCCTCTTCCTTGAATCCATAATCTGGATCGTCAAAGTCAACTCCACTGCCAGTCGTTAATTCTCATCCTTTTGAACTTCGATTTAGTGCATACATGACCACAAGCTCGATATCGTCTGACTTGATCTTCTCCGTGATTTGCGACATGTCATCCGCATCCATAGAGCCGCGTCCATCTGTGACAAGGACTATCTTCCGCTTGTATTTCAGCTTCTTGCAATGCTTCGTGATCATCTGGATGGCAATGACAATAGCCGATATTGCTGGCTTCATTAGTAGGTAGTCCTTCGAGAGTGAGGGAGACAAGCGTACCGTCGCCATCGGCCGTGTCGCTCACTTTGACTTTTTGCCATAGATCCTTCAAGCCCGGTAGCAGAAGCCTGTAGGATTTGAGCCGAGCTCTTTCCAATGCCGCAAGATACCCACTGTTTTATCTCTTGCAGCACAGATATATTTTGGAAGCTGTCTTCGCTGTCTAGCTCATTCTCCGTGCCTATTCGAGTATGAACGTCCGCAATCGCCAAAGTGTTTTAAGGGTCGTACGATCGGTGCGCAGCCCAATGGCTCCAAGCTGTGCAGTCTTCCGGTCGGTCGCTACCTAGATCTGTCAGACAGAACTACGCAGAGAGAGTTTCCACCTACCTACTGTACTGGTGATCTTTTCCCAGACGTAGGTCATCGCCCAGTCAAGATCTGATTCCTTCCTTGCGTTGCGCTTTTCACCCATCGGTCTCCCCATATCTACAATGTAGACCGTCGCCTCCTTGTCTGCCATGATTATATTGCGGTGTTGCTCGCGCCCGCGGTATATCGCGAGAGAAGGGAAGGTTGTTTGTGGATATGTGGTAATGTGGGGTAAGGAATAGCAGGCAGACACCGTCGCGGAAACTCCTAAACGCGAAGGCACGTGACCACTATGTCTTTAGCACCAACGTCTTTCGGCAGTACAAGGCCTTTGAATCTTGACGATGTTAATGCAAGAGACGAATCTTTCCTTCGGGGCAAGGCTCCGCATGGGCTTTTATGGAGCCAATGCCAAAGGATTTCGGTTTGGAGCACCTACAACATGGACGACTACCACAATTTCTGCTTCGCGACGACGTAGTGTCATAGCATCAACTGCACTACTCATGACTTGTCAAGGGAACTTTGCTCCTTCATACGGCAAATTTATCGGTAGGGTCTGACCTTCTCTTGATCGAAGGATGTTCATCTCACTCAAAGGCCCAGCCAGGTCCACTGCACACCCTTTCCATACAGCCTGGAACGCTGGATCAGCTAGAAATTGCACGCGTGACTTAAGTCCTTGTCCTCAGATTGGGGGTGAAATAACATTGCGTTGTATGACATCTGGATAGGCTGAGCTTGACGCAATGTTTATGGACGGAACTCATGCAGTCTTTTCTGCAAGCTTACGAAGGCTGGTAGCCCTTTTCCAACACTGTTAGCCCGCGCAGACGTTCTCAGAATTGGGAAGTCAGCCATCTAAGGGGATCCTTCATGTCCAAACTTTACCCATTTGGTGGGAAAGCGTATCTCGCCGATGCAATCGCTACCAGAAGCTGTACTCCCTTCAATTCGCCGTTCATGATAAGACTTCTTGATTAGCACAGATCATCTCGCACGCTGACCAGCGCGCCTCTTCCTAATATACTCGTTGCTCTGTCTACCCTCGAGTAGCAATCAACCTGAACATCTGCCGCTCCTCCAAAATCCTCGATTAGATCCTAATTCACTTTCGCCATTGATCTCTTCGTTCCATAGCTCAAACGCTTGAGATGTCGCCAACTTTGTCAGACGTAGTTCGGATGTTCTCGAACTACGACGGTCACCGTCCTGTTATCCTCTACCTCGGATTTCAGTTCTAAGTATCATTCCAGACAGTCTATAAAGTATTCCACTCAAATACGCGGTGGCGGAAGTCCCTTTGCTTCGGGTGGGAATGCTCCACCAAGAAGAGTTCGTAGAATTCCTGGCCAGAAGCGAAGGCTGTACTCGTACGATGACATTGATTTAATCGAATGGACGAACGATGTTGTTGAATATGGAGAAGGACCTCCTGCACCTTGGGGATCTAGGCCTATTTACGATTCGAAAAGCTCAAAGCGATAGGCTCAAAACGGTGAGCATTGGTAATACTATCATGACCAGTCATCACAGCCACAGCGTATTCCCGGTGTATTCATGCAACCTCGCCAAAGAACCAGACCTTCTCACATGCTCCATACCCAATTCTTTTTCCAGAAGTACGCCACTCTCCCCCAAAACCTCCCCCTACTTCTTTCCGGCCTAGTTCCCCTACTGCAACCTCTCCGCCAGCAAGAACCCATACCAAACCGTAATTCCCAAGCCCACCAAATTCGTCAATGCACTAACCCCATGCATACGACTAAACGCCCTATTCAATCTCTGCATCTCCTTCGACTGCGGTCCCTGCTCATAATACTTCTTCCCGTCCCGCGTCTCCTGATGCTTCCTCTCTTTCATAATCCGCGTCGTAACCGGTCCCGCCCAAAGCAAGTTCGCCGCATTCAATGCGAAAACGGTCGCAATGGGCGCTAAGACCGTCCATCTGTTTCGCTCTTGTAGTACGCCGCTTAAACTTGAGGATTCAGTGGTGTTGCCACTAAGGGAAGAGAGGGATTTGACGCCAGGGTATGTAAGCGCCATGATGACCGGGAGGGCGGTTTGCAGGGCGAAGTAGACAGGAGTGAGGGCGGCTTGCAGGGTGGCAAATTGAGGGCGGGAGAGGGCGCGGTAGGAGACTATGCCGTTGATGAAGGATTGGTAGATGGAGCTGCCGAGGAGGGTGCCATAGCTAGTAGAGTGGTCGAGTTAGTTGGGGACAGGGCTGGGAGACGGAGAGGGCGGGTCGGACCTGATGATGTGGTAGGGGGCGGGGCTGTAGAGGATTGAGAGGTCTGACATCTTGGCGTGAGGGTTACGAAGAGGTTCGGACAGTGGTAGAGACTATTTGTTCTCGCGAGCGCGAGTAGTGCAGTGGGAGAATGTACGGAGAGCCTCAGCGGCAGGCTGCTGGATTGGGTCTAGCGCCAGAAGCCATGATATCAGCATTTCGCTGCGCGCATACCTTACTGACTTACGTAGACCACGCCCATTGCTCATCTGACACGCGTGGCGCGAGCGATTGAAATATACTTTGTGAAATGGACGCTAAACATATCGACGTCTGTTTCAGACTTATTCTTACTGTACTACTACTTTACCTTTTCAAGTTTCAAAAATTCGAAGAGGGAGCCCGGGCACTCCGGGAGAGCTTTATCTTTTTTAATTGAACTCGTGAGTATTTATTTTATATCTTCTTCGGCTGCCAGGAAGACATAAATCTGTCCCGGCCTCACCCTCGACTGGGCCTCGGGTGAGCGCTGCCTCAACGGGTTGATACTGGGTGACTACGCCCCTTTTCCCTTTTGGACCTGGTTGATTACTTGAACATTATTGAAGGCTCTGCCAATGCGCAACGGGCTTCCGGTAATTTGAGCATTACCTTCGCACGATCCTGGAGCACACCATTCTTGAATTGGTGTATGTGTTACTGGAAAAGCGGCTTTTACTCGTTTACAATACGAGCGAAGCGAAGTGAAGTATCATAATGTCGCATGTCGCGTGTTACCAGCCGCCTGTTCATGTACATAAATCTTCGTACTCCCTCATGCATCAACATTCCGTTTTCAATCCTCCATCATCAACCACCGGGCACTCTATCTTCAATACCTTCGTCCCTGTCCCAGCCTACAGCTCTCAAACTTTCTAGCATCGTCTCCTGACTGTCCTCAGCGATTACCCCCACTCAGATAACTACTCCCTAGGCACCCGCTTCCCTCAGGGACCCTCCAATTTTTGCCGTGGAGTTACAACGTACTCCCAACCTGGGAGTAATTCTCAGAGGGTCTACCGTGGGGAGTGCTCCCCCAGCAAGTGCCAGGAGGAGCACTCGCCATAAGAGCATTCCTATTGATCATCCAAAAGATGAAGGTTCGCTGGTGACTGCTCCCCCAGCGAGTGCTCCATAGGCGAGTGTTCCGCACGGTTGATCCAAAAGATGAGGGTTTGCCGGGGAAGCAATCCACCGGCGAGTACTCCCTAGGGCTTCTCGCACAGTCTTAAACCACCTTCAAAGATAGCTATGACTTGGGGTATAAGAAGATAGAATGCCGCTTCAGGTCTAGCTCCGTCGAACAATCAGCCGCTCAGAAGTCCCACCACTTCTCCAGATCAATCGACGGAGATATAGCAACAGTCTCAAACGGCACCCCTCTTAATGTTGAACCATCTTTTTCATACAATTGGGGCTCGAAACTGACTCTCCCATACCCTCTGATTAATGCGCGCCAGTAACAAGCCTCAGCAGCTGGAGTCAGATAGCGATCTCTCATATCCTCCACACCCTTTTTCGCAATCCTCTCCGCCGTACGCGGAGTCTCCAACACTTCTTTGACCTTGTCCTCGAGATCGCTCCAATCGTCCTTGACCTGCACGAAATTCTGCTCGGCTCCCTCAGCCTCCAGCGCGTAAGTGGTAGTCTTTAACCACTTAGGCGTATGTGTCACGTAAACACTCTCGCAATTTTGTATGTATTTGCCCTTTCCACTCCAACTGCGTCCCGAGATGTCCATCAGCATTTTGAAGCGGCAGTGATCCCACAGGGTGAGGTAAGCGGATCCACTCGCGCTAACGTTGGCCCAGTCCTTGCCATCCGTGGCTTCCAAGAAGCGAGGCCGTTCGGGCGCTGTGTTCTTGTTGCCGCGCCATACCAGCTGCGGCGTCTTATCCTCGAAGGCGACTTGGTCCTCGACCCTGCGTATCTCGTTGCGGATGTGATTGTAGCTACGGATGTGGGCGTGCGGCCAGGCCCAGTAACCGAAATCGGGCATAAGCCATTGATTCTTAAACTCGGTATCGTGAGCGGGCTTGGTATAGGTCCAGACGGCTTTGTTCTCGCCGACGATGTCGAAGGTGAATACGAAAAACTCGATGTTGGGGAGAGATTTGCGATCGGGAAAGGCGGAAAGGGCGCGTTGCAGGGCGTGAGCGGTGGCGACGCCGTTTTGCACCCACATATTACCGTGTCTGGAGATGATATACAATTCACCGTCATAGATGATGGCGCGGATGCGCTGATCGTGCTGGTCTTGTTCATCGAGATCGGACAGGGTGATTGGGTTAGAGGTGAGGTTAGCGACATTGTTATGGATATCAGTGTATTGCTTTGGGAAAGCGATGTTGCACTGTTCTTCTGACAGAGCCAGGTTATCGCCGTCGCGAGTAGCATTGAAGGTCCACTCGGTCGTAGTGGTTTCTTGCTTGTCAGCGGCAGGAGATGCTTTGGCTGTTTGGTGAAGAGTGGCAGTATTCGACTCTTTGCTTGGGACCCCGGGAGCCCATTTCGAGTTCGACTTGACTGTATGGAAGAGTGTTGTTAGCAAGCCGGATAAGGCGAGAACGTGCAAGAAGATCCAATATATACGGTCAAAGCGAGAGTCGGGGTGCGTCATGTTGGTGGACTTGGTCAAGGAAAAAGGTGGAAGGCAAGGGACGAAAGGGCCCGCGAGAAGTGAGAGACATCAAACTTGGCTTACCTGGAGGGGCACGGTTGTTGGTATTTGTGACTAACATTGTAAGCTCTCCTATACTTGAGACACTTTTACTCCTACGGGATCTCGTTGATCCTGAAGTTTCGGGTATCTTTCCCCTGAGGGTTGTATTTGCCTGTGAATTGAAAAAGGTTAAGTAGCAAGTGTGACGATATCATGATAGTATTGAGGCCCGCCAACGGTGCACACGAAACGTTGAAATTAGGGCTGTAACAATAGCGCACACTCCTGTCAGGGTACTACCATTCAGTACAGAGCCATTATTATATAATTTGTCCTATTCGATTTTCTCAGCGCCAAGAATTCCGACGTTTTGTGCACACGCTAATATCTTGAGGGATGTCTTCATCGTATTGGAAACGATTTTGTATCTCCATCCATAAATTGCTAGCCAATATGTCTCTTCGCGATATGTGAAAATTATATCGGCAACGGTCGTGGCTCCTGTTCTCAAGTGACAGTGCCGTGGGTAGGCTAAGACGAAGCTCTTGCTCCCACTAACTACTGCCTGAAGCTCTGCCTTCTCGCTGTAGGACTTCTTCTTGACTGCCTCTTCCGAGCCCGGGGACTGCTCTGTTCTGCAGGACTTCCGTCTGGGCACTCGTTGTGATGATACCCGGTTTTCTCGCACCGCCAGCACAAGATATGCGTTCTGGCCCAGGCTGGCCACGATTGACCACTGACTTGGCGACACAGACTCCATTTAGTGCCTCGTTGCCCGGGTCTTGTTCAATGCTACGAAGGTGCTCCACCACCATAGCTGTCGTCAAAACCTAGCTTGTCTATAATCCCGAAGACACAGCTTACACAAGGGTACACTCCTGCTTATATGCATGAGATTTCCTGAAAATGAAGCCCGTGCTTTGATTCTGATTCAGTGAAAATGCCTTACAGATAAGATGGGATCCTTTTAATGTTGTACCCGACAGCCGACCAGAACTGATTGCTAGCGCCTTGGCTCACAGCCCTACAAATCTGGGTATCCTCTATTGAGACCACCAGCTCCTGTGTCTGAATCTCTGTCCTTAGGCACTTCTGCCTACACTTTTCGAGTTCTAATTACCGTGTGTCAATGTCAGGCAACTATCTTCCACACAAGGTTCAACCCTTTAGCACTACACTCAGAAGTGAGCACACGCAGGTAAATTCTGGCGTCTGTGTAGACGTTGAGGTAGCACAAGACAAACGTCAACCCATCAAAACCAAAATTCATTCTACGGCGACTTTCAAGCTTTGATCATTCTCTCATCATCTAATTGAACCTCGCCAAATCTCGTGAAACGAAAAGTAACCGTCACTACTCGATGATGGCGACTTCTCGAAACCATTTCCGGTACTTTGCATTGCCGGCAGAGATACGAAATCAAATCATGGAGTACGTCTTGATTGCTGGTGACATCTATATTCGTCCTGCAAAGAGAAATCGCCATGCTCAACAATTCTGGGAATCTCTCTCCTCGCGACCCAAATGCTTTGTGGATGCTATGGCAATTCTCTTTCGCCATTTATCAGGCCAATCTCAGCGTCTCGTCACCATTACCACGGATGCCCACCTGAAGGGGCAATCCACTATTCAACAACCGTGCATTCAGCTCCTGGCAACTTGCAAACAAGCATACAAAGATGGTCACTACATGTTTTTCGCGATGAATACCTTCCATTGGCCGCCGGGTCCTGTCAACACAGAAGGTTGGTACGTAAATTTACAGCCCGAGCACCAGAAGATGATCAAAACATCTTGCATTGATTTCCACCTTGCGGACCTCACCTACGGCGATATGAACGCTGTCGAAGTTTCCGCCAGGCGCGGTGGGGGCGGACGACCCAGTAACTACGATGCAAATGCTTGGAGCTCCGAGGCTATGTTTGAGCTTGCAGTGAGGATGTGGAATATAATTCTGTGCTTGTTCAGCCGCTCCACACCCCAGAACCTGCGCCGCTTCGTGGGACTCGAAAGGGTGATTTTTCAAAGCTCTATCGGTCGCTGTGTTCTGAATTCGCAGCTTGGGACAGATGAGAACGAATTGGTATCCCTCGAGTTGTTCGTTGCTGCAGTGTCTCACCACTTCGGGACCATTCTCCAACTGCATGTGACCAAGAGAGGATGGAAGAATACAAAGAAGTGGTTAGAGAGGCTAAGTTGAACAAGGTTTAGGGCTTGAGAAGGAGCTTCCAAGGCCATCTCGAGGCTGAAGTTGATATAAGGGCAGAAAAAACACGAAAGATACATTGATTTCAGCGGGGATTACCTTCGAGAGCAAAGTCCTCTTCACTGAAAACGGACATTCAGCCCCAGCGGCTTCAGCTGTCGTTGTCGTATAGACCTCCTGAACATGCTCTCTAGTCAACCACGACTTTTCCATATAACATGCGATTGCAAAGATGCTGGGGCCACAGTGCAAAGTGTTTTCGATGACGTCGTGCCTCAATAGCCTTTGACTGACAATCGGGCTACATGCTTTACTAAACTATTCTGATGTACGAGTCCCGTTCTCTGCTGCCATCTTTGCCTCATGCTTTTAATCTTGTATGAGGTCATTGAAGCCACAAGGCTCCATTTGCTTGACATGCTTACTCAACTTCATACGTACTCTTGGTTCAGTCTTACAGAAGCTTCGGGAGTGGAGTATATCTTGGATAAATTCTAATCACGAGCTAATCTCAATAGACTTGTCTTTCCCCTGTCTTAGAGACTCCCAAATACAGGCTTCAGTTCAGCAATGTGCGTGGGAGTCACATACTGCCTATAAATGTCAGAGAGAGCCACGATGCACTTTTGAAACGTTGGTCTCTTTTGGAATTCATCATGGTGTGCCTAGAAAGCTCTCAGTTAGCCCCATGGACCTGACGGATTTCTAGCAGAAAAAAAGGAGTTCGAATCGTGGATAGCTGGGTACAAATATTGGTTGGAGAGCTTACGTCAACAGATCTCCAACTCTCCAACAGTATCTGGTGTTGTGGATTCTCCATCTGCGGACCAATCCACCATCCACCGCAACCCTCCTTTCCGTCTAGAACTGGACCTATCGTCGAGCGGAAAACAACATAATAGCCCGATACCCTCCCTTCGATGACCTTCGTCAAGGCAACCTCTATCGCGGGCGCTTTGACCACGGCCGCCAGTCGATCTAAACTATCTAGGTCACTAGTCCCGAGGATAGCGTGTTGCTGCCAATGAATGCTACGGCCATTGAGTGCTGGTTGGACTTCATTGTGAAACTGCCTGTACGCTGGACTGGCGAAGAATGCGTGGCTTGATGCCAAGTTTTGCCAGATGAGCATCCAGATTTGCGTGTATCGGTCTTCGTGTCGCCTACCCTGCCATGCTGTGATTAAGCCGTGCGTTCTACATGATTAAAATCAGCTCTCGTTACCTCTTGACGACGCTCACACTCTGCGCTTCGCACAATCTCAAACGAGAAAATCAGCAGCCCATCACGCCTCGTCGGTTTTACAAATGGGGAGGCAACAAGGAGGGAAACAGCAATGGTACGTACTGGAACAATATACTGAGGGCGGGGGCCGGGTCCTTGTTGATCTCGTCGTCAGAGTGAACTGGTCGATGAGGTACGTGGATGAATTGTATGACGTGTGGAGAAGACATGTCGGTATCTCAGCGTTTCTGCGGTGCTAACAATTTGCAATATTAAGGCTGGGACTGCGTTTGGGGCGCAGTCTTTGTCAGAGCACCCATTTGTACTCTTCTTTTACAAGAAGTGCTTTCTCTCACATACTACGGTGGCAGTCCGGTGGCAGTCAGGTGACTTCGCAGCACACTTTCTTTGACTCCAGCTTTACACGCCAAAACGCCAAAAGTGCGAGGGCTCGATTAGGCCGTATACCTACCGTAGACGGCCCCGCATATTTTACTCCGCACCGCGCACCGCGACACTTTACTAAATCCTGGATTCGATGAAGCGCGTCTGCTCAACTTCTTCGATGTCTGTGCTGCCAGTGACTTCACGGATACTTTTCCCACAGCATACTCCCTCTCTTCACCAAAGTCGATCCTCCACAAGCTCACAGAGAACACGAAAATCAACACCATGTTAGATCTCAAATAGAAAGTAGATGGATTAGGTTGTTTTTATGGGTGAATTGCTATTGTGATGGGTGCGTTGTCAGGAATGGGCAGGGGAATTGCGTTGGCGCTGGCACGAGAGGGCGTTCACGTCGTCTGCTCCGACATAAAAGAGGAATGCGCACAGCACGGCTTCGAGGAAGACAAGCATATTCCAACACACACCGTCATTGCAAACAATGGGAAAACTTCTGCATATCAACAGTGTGATATGGGCAATACCGCTGAGAAATTTACCTTGATCGAGTTGACTGTGAAGGTACATCCTCCCTGACCTGATTTGTGAGAATCGATTGCATTCGTACTGACCCACCCTAGAAATTTTCAAAGATCGACATATTGATCAACAACGCCGGCGTCTAGTGGCCACTTCGCGACTTCATAGAAGAGACCGACGAGCAATGGAATGGGATATTATGATGGCGGTCAATGGCAAAGGATGCGCGACCGCGATGCGTGAAGCCATTAGACAGATGATCAAGCAACCGATCGCCGAGTCCGGAGCACGAGGGCGGATAGTCAACATCTCATCCGCTGCAGGTATCAACGCTATCCGTCGAGAGGCCACCTACGCTGCGAGTAAGGCGGCCGTGACCACGCTTACCAAAAACGTGGCGCTGGGTCACGCAAAAGACAGGCATGATTTCTCCTCCCTGGAGGTGTTTCTCAATACTAATGATTGCTGGTATCAACATCAACGCCGTTCGCCCCGGTGTCGTCAGGACTGCTCAAGCGAGCACGAACTTCCGCGACCCGGCAATTATTGCGGAGATGCGTAAGGGAACCCCATGGCCTCGACTAGGCGAGCCGATAGATGTCGCGAACATGGTTGTCTTCCTGTGCACAAATAAGCGCCGTGGATCAGAGGCCAAAATATTGCGGTTGATGCAGGGTTCACCGTGGGGATAATGCGGTGATCGAGGGCACGGACGGCAAACACTTGGATTGCCGAGGGTTATTTGATGCAGTCAGTGGTGGCATTTCGATAGATCGGACTTTTCTGTATATCGATCAGATCCATAAAAAGAACGAAGCTCAATAAACAAATTGACAACACGATCTTCAGCGTCCACTATTTATAATCCGTCTGTGTCTCCACAAAAAGTCGGTGTCTCGGCGGGCTCGCGGGCAGTTCGCGACTTTACCCCTCCTCCTCCACCATCATCCCATTTGCCCACCATCACACAAAATCCGCCCGCAAGTCACGCGCTCGTCATGACCGAAGCCGTACCTGAGTTGACAATCTTAGCTCCATCTATATCACAGCAACGCAGTATGGCCGTCAGCTACTATAATCGCTAAATTAATTATTTATATCTTTTATACTCTTAAATCCTACGCCTAAATAGAGTTATTCTACTTCTCTATTTATAATATTTAATCTAATACTTAAATAATTTCTATCTTACGAATAGATTTCTAAAAATTTATTCTAAGAATATCTTCTACGTCGGCTTCTCTAAATATATTACTATTATATTATATAGTAAATATTAAATATATTCTTTTCTATATATCGATAATTATTATTTATAATATCGCCTCGAAATAGTAAATTATATATTCACTCGAAGATAGATCGACTAGCTCTATTATAAAATTATTCGTAAGAGAATTTACGCTTATATCTATTATAAGAATATATTATCTCTTTAGATTCTTATCTTATATAAAGGCTATAGCTTTAAAGCGAAGATATTTAAATTTAGTTATTCGCTATAAATTATCTAGCTTCTCTAATAGAGCGATATAATTACTATTATACTTCTTTAAAAGAGTATTTTATAAATCTTTAATAATATTATAATCGATTTTAATTTTATCTTCTCGACTATATTTAGAGCTATAGATAATTATCTTTAGATATAATAACGCTAATATATTCTATACTATATATAAAATATAGCGTTTTTATATCTCTTTAAATATCTTAATCGCGATAATTATTATTAAAAATAAGAAGATATTATAAGATATTATAGGCGAGACCGAGAATAATAAGACTTAACTTAATCGATTAGAGATTATATCTAAGATTTATTAATATAAATAAAGATTTAAAGGCTGGAAATTAAATATAATCTATATTAAAAGAAAGATAAAAGCTTCGAAACTATATATAATCTCTTATTATAAATTATAACTATCGACTATTTTATTAATAGAGTAATTATTTCTCTAGTAACTATCTATAATAAGAGTATTCTATATATACGATTTCGTCTATTAATTCTATAGATAGGTATATTATAAGCTATCTATCTAAGAGAGTAAGATTATATTACTATAGATGGATATTAAATTCATTATACTCTTTTATATTAGTTTAAGACTTAGTTAATCTTTTCGAGTTTAGAAGCTCTCTCTCTCGTTATTATTCCCGCGAAGAGAAATATCTTAGAGAGATAATAATATTAGTATTAAAAAGGCTTTATAGTCTATACCCGAGTCTATATAATATATATCTTATTTTATAGAATTAGAATCGAGATATTACTTTTATTCTATTATTCGAGACTATAATAAAATTATAAGATATCTACTTTTCTTTCTAAGATTCTCGAGAGTTTTATTTCTTATATCGCCTATTACTTCTAGTATTATACTTATTCTACTAAACTTATATATTTATTATTTTATAGATTACGAAGTTATCGTATTTAACTATCGAATTAAGAAGACTTTTCGCTATAGCGCGTATCGGGTTTTTAAATATAAGAAAATTAATTAATACGATTAATATATCTCTAGCTTGCTAAGAGATATAATAATTATCTTTAAACGGGTTATGGGGAATATTATATTTAATCTCTAATAGTAAGAATAATAACTTCTAATAATAATATTCTATTATTATTAGAGGGCGATAACGAATAAAGATATTTCTCGTAAAGGCTAATTCTTATAAGATTTCTAGAATTCTTAAAATATCGCGTTTAATACTTTTAATTAATATTATATTAAAAAATAGAAGATAAGTATAAAAAGAAAAGAAAATAATATTAATAATACTAATAAAATAGCCTATAAGTAAAATAATTAAATATTATCTACTTAAAAATATTAAAATATATAAATTAAACTCTAGTCTATAACTTCTTAGAAATATACTATTACCTTCATATTCTTTAATATATAAACTATAAATTATCTTAATATAGAAAATCTTAATACGATATCGTATATTTATATTAGATCTTAATCTTACTAAAAACTTTCAGCGTTTATATCTTTATTATAAATTTTATCGCTTTTATTATTAGATTCGATTTAGATAAAATCTCTTTAATATTAATTAGCTAGCTACTTTAAGTAGCTAACCTATCTTTCTTAAATAAAAAATATATCTTAAGAATATAGTTTCGAGTCTAATTACTCTTCTTATAAGCGTACTCGAGCGTATTAACTATTCGATATATATAAAGAAAATTCTTAAAAGCTATCTTTATTCGTAGCTATATTACTACTAAGCTTATAACCTTTTTTATTTCTATATAAAAGTCTATAATATTATAATATAATTTAAAAGTATATTTTCTAAGCTCGATATCTCTTATATATACCTCTTAGAGTACCTCTCAATTTACGTTAATTAATTTTCTAATATATTATTTAATTATCGAGAGTAAATAGTATTAATTTCTATTAATATCTTATTACGATACTTATTTCGCAAGTTTATCTACTATTTTATTATCTAAAATATCTTTATAAGCGATAATTTAGCGTAGAGTAATTAATATATTTTTCTCTCTTAGCTTAACTAGCTTTTTTATAATTCTCTTAAAGATATATTATTCTAATTATCTCTATAGATTCGCTATTAACTATATTATCGCCTAGTTATCGATCTAAATAATAAGCGTTAAAGATATAATATCTATAGCGATCTCATAGACTATATTAATTTCTTTAAGTTTCTCGAAGTAGATAATATAATATTCGCTATTATCGAGATATCGCGTTTAAGTCTTATTTATTTAAGAAGCGTAGATTAATATACCTATTTTATTATCGATATCGCTATCATCGATATATATATATAAAAAGTTATAATCTATACTTATAATCTTATTATATTCTTTAATAATCTTTTCTCTATTTTTATATATCTTAATACTTAATAATTTTTATTATAAAGGCGTAATATAGAAAACGCGTCTCTTTATATCACCTTATATCTATTATTCGTAAACTCTAAACTCTAACTATTCTAAAGAGCTCTTAAGCTTTACTCGTTTACTAGTTAATTTCTATAGTTCGTTTATAATTTAAATTAATTTAATAATATCGTAGTTAAGATAAATCTAAATTTTAAAGATAATCTTTATAATAGCTTTCTTTAGAGTTAAGTATATTAAGAGCTAATAATATTCGATATTTAAGATATCGTTTACGACGTTTTTAAATTCTTCTAAAATAATATATATCGCCCTTTTTTATATAACTCTTAGTATTTTAAAGATTCTTTTCTCTTTAACTTTATATTTCATAGCTAGTAATATATATTATATAATATATTTAAATAATAGCGTAAATAAGATTATTTTTTAATAGAGCTTTCTTAAATCTTTATATAGAATTTCTTAAGCCGATCTCGCGTAGTTCGCTAATTCGTTTAACTTTATAATAGCTTTTACTTTTAATAACTCGATATAATTTTTTTAAGTTAGTTTAAGATTAAGTATAAAGTCTAGAAGCTTTATTATTTTATTAAACTTAACTTTATAAATATCTAAGTCTAATTTCATATTTAGATTATTATTTAATTATTTCTTTATTATTCTTATTATAATTAGCTAGAAGTAAATAAATTTATACTTATCTATCTTAAATTCTAAGATATATATTAATATCTATTACTAAATATCTATATAAATCTTCTTTAATATTTCACAGTTAATTTAAGCTATAGAACCCCTTATAAGTACGCTAATATTATCGATATACGTCGATATTAGATAGTCTTTCTTTCTATATATATTAGTAATATCGACATTATAGAATAGATAGAGGATAGAGAAGATAGAGAATTCTTAGAAGATTTCTATTTTTATTTTATATCTAAGAAATTCGCTCTCGGGTATAGTGATAATTATAAATCTATTACTTAGAAAGCTATTAATTTATTTAATAGCTTTTTCGCTAATATCTTATTTTCGTAGGTTATAAATTAACTAAGAGTGAAAGACGTTATTAAAAGCGCCTTTAATATTTAATATTAATAATAATATAATTTAATTATTCTCGAACTTTTAGACTTTATATATTTCTTCTAATATTATATAAATTATATTCTTAATTAATAATAACTTTCGCTCGCTTATATATTTCTTAGAGAAAAATTAATATTCCTCTACTAGATAACTAATTCTTATAATAATAATCTTTTTAAGTCTCTTTTCTAGTATATTAAGAAGAGTAATTAATTAATATAATTTAGATTAAATATAATCGTTCTTATCGAGCTTTTATAATATTACTATCTTCGAGTAATAAAAGTATTTTAAGTAATATCCTAGATCGATATATATATTATAAATATATCTTAATTATATTTTTATATATTTTAGAGCGAGTTATAAAATTCGAAAAATTAGTTTATTCTCGCCCGCGGTTTTATTTAAATAACTTATAAGTATCGTCTATCGAATTTCTCGAATTATAATAATTAGAAATTTCTTTAATATAGAATAATAATATTTTTCGAGGTCGTTTAGCTTAATTTATCTTATTCGAGAAAAGAAAGTATTCTTTAAAAGTATTATCTTCTTCTCGACTTCGATTATAATAGTATTATTTAATTTTACTAGTTCGAGAGTAAAAGAAGAGATTCTAATTTATTTACTTTTAATTTATTTATTAAATCTTTATAGCTTCTCATCGCTATTGTATTCTTTTATATATTATCTTTAGCTTTCGATTTTCTTATTTTTAAGAAGCCTCTTTTTAGCGTTACGGGCTTAATTTAATATTTTTTAATTCCAGTAATTATAGATTAGTTATTACGTTTATTTTAGGCTTCTAATCTTCGATATAATTTATTTACTCTCTTTATTTATAAAGGGCTTAGATTTTATAATAATTCTATTAATCGAGATAGTCTTTATCGTTATTTCGATAAGAATTATAATAAATTAGTATATCTACTTATCGAGATTCTTAATTATTATAATTAATTTATTTATAACTAAAAATCTAATTTAAAGTTTAATTTAAAAATCTATTATATTAATCTTTTTCTAATTTTAAGTTTCTTTTAGAGGCTTAAAGTAAATATTTCGATTTAATTCTATAAGAATTACTTCGTAATTTAAATCGAAGTTTTATTTCTTTATAATATCGCATTTAATTATATTATTAATTATAGTCGTTATAGCGAATATTAAATCTATAATAATAATATTACTTCGCTTTCTCAATTTAAAGATTAATAAATCTTTAAACGTTAGAAGCTAAAGTCTCGTTTTATCAATTATATCTATTAATTAATTTATTTCTATATATTAATATTTTTCTAAGTTTATCTATAGAGAATAATATAGATTAAAATCGTTTATTATTAGATGTTTATCGATTATATTTCTTATAATCGCGGTTTAAAGAGTATTAAGAGTTATAATCTTTAAGTAATCTCTAGCGATCTTATTTTTATATTTTCGAAAATACGCTTTTTATCTTTAAAAGGGGGATACGTTATATATATTATAAATATATAAGATTCTTTATTTTAATTCTTATAATTTAAATATTATAATAATTAAATTACTACTATAAACTCGAGAGTATTATTAATTTATTAAGATCTTAATACTAATATAGATATAGACTTTAATTATATTCTTTCGATTTAGATAATATAAATAGAAGTTCGCTAAAGCTAAATAATATATTTAATTTTTTTAAGAGTACTTCTAGAGCTTCTAAATAGCGAGGATATCGTATTTAAACTTCGAAATATTCTAAAATAATAGAATTATTACGTCTAGTAACTTATTAATATTATATTATAATATCTTAAATTATATCTTTAATAACTTTATTATTTATTTCTTTAAGTATATACTTATTAAGAATTTTCGCTAATTATAATACTTATAGAGTCTAACGTATTTATAAATTTAATAACGCTTTAAGTAGTATAATCGCTAGATTCGATAAAAGTTCGCTTACTTAATATTCCCTATATAATTTCTAATTCGAATTCTCTAAGAGATACTATATAGTTTTCTTTAGTCTCTCTTTATATCGAGGTTTTCTTTATATTCTTCTATTTATTATAAAATAGAGAGTCTAATAATTTATCGATCTTTTTATTTATAGACTTTATTATTATAATAAACAATTAATTCTCTTTATCTACGTTCTCGAAGAGATTATAGAACTCTTATAATAAAGAAAGCTTAATCTTAAAGGGGTAATACCCCTTATATTCGTCTAATTAAGAGCTCTCGTTTAGATTATTAACGATATTCGAAATAATATTCTATCGTTTAGCTTTTACTTACGATAGCGGTTTTTATATAATAATAAGAGAGGGTTTCTCGCGTCTATTCTCCTCTTTTTCCCCGTATCTACTATCTTTTATAGATATTCTTTAAGGCTTTATAGGGCCGCGAAAGTAGATAAAAGAATATCTATATTCGCTATTACTATAATACTTATATTTTAAGCGTTAATTTAAAATATTAATATTAATTAAAAAGACCCTTTAAGCTTCTTAATTAAGATACCTTCGACACTTATAATTATAGCCTTCTCGCCGAGTTTCTTCGCGATTAATTCTATCATATTTAATTCTTTCGTGGATTTCTTAATATAAGACTTTCTAGTCTTTCTAGATTTAAATATAATTAACTCTATATTCTAAGATATAATTATATTAATATCTAGATTCTATAATTAAATATCTTTAATTTATAATTAATTAATATTACCCTCGAAATAGAAAGCTTAAACTTAAAGCTTTATTCTTTTCTCAATCACTTTTATAATAATACTTTTTATTCTTTTATATTTAAAGTTAAATATTATATATTAATCTTAATAATTAGCGTATTTAAGTTTAAAACTCTATTTTTAAAGCTTTATATATACGCGGGAATTATAATTTTATATATAGTATATATAGATAGATTCTTTAACTTTATATAAAGATATAATATAATTAGATTTCTAATAGCGAAAGTATCTAATAACTCTACTCTCTTATATATAATTAATATAATTATAATATTTATTTCCTCTTAATAATATTTAGCTTAAGTTGTTTATTTAAGTAATATTCGCGTAATATAGATTAATAAATTTAACGATTATCGTCGAGGTCTTAATCGATAAATTTCTAATTTTATTTTTATTTAGCCAGTCTAGATATTAAATTTCCGCTCTAAGAATTCTATATATATTAATATCGATAATGATTTTAACGAGACTCTCGATATCTCTCGAGAATTAATAGATTTTAATAGAGATATTATAGATTATTATATTAAATATAAAAATTAAAATAAACGCGTCTTTCCCGAAATACGCTACTTATTTTTTAATTTTCTTAATATTTCTTAGAATTTTAACGCTCTCCCGAGTTTTTATTAGAAGTTAAAGATCTCTAGATTTAAGTTATTTAACTACTTCGATCTCTATAGCTTTAAATATTAAATATTTCTTAAGATAAATTTCGATATAGTTCTATAGCTGCTTTAGAGTATTAATATAAAATCTTTTAGCGATATTATTATTCTTTACTTTAATAATAATCTAATAATTTTTCTTATTCTCTAAGTCTAGGGGTGGTGCTAGCTATATAAAATATAATATTATTATACTTTATAATAGCGATAAGAAGGCGACTAGAAGGCCTTTCATCTACGCTTTTATAAATTTTTAAATTTTAATAATAACTATTTCTATAGAATTCTTTATAGTTATTACATCGCCTTCGATACGCTTAATAAACTATTCTAGACGTAGTATAGCGTTAAGAAATTCTTTATTATTTAATTAATCGATTATTTTTATAATTACTAAAGATACTATATAAAGTAAGACTTCGGCGACTATATAGGATATATACTCGCGTTTAATATCGTTAAGACTACTCTTAAGATACTTAAGAATAATCTTAGATATATTCTTTATAAGTAGAAGCTATTAATTAATAAGAAGAGTCTTATAGTTCTCGAGAGCCTTTAGCTATTTCGACTTATTATTCTTCGATATAATATACTATAAAAAGAAAATGAGTATAATAAATATATCGCGTAGAAATAATTGAAAGTAACTATAATAGTATTTTAAATAGGAGCTATTAAAGTTACTTCTACTTATAATAAGTAGAAACGTAATAAGCTACTAGTTCTTTGATAGCACCTCATTAATTTCGACTTATAAATAATAACTATTTCTTCTTCTTCTTAAATAGTCTCGTAGTAATAATACCGTGTTAACTATATTCGATATAGGGCCTTAGTGGATATAAACGGCCGGAGAACGCCTTCTAACAGTGATTTATATGTTAGCAGCAGCTCTTACGAGGGCCCTCAAGGCCTATAGGGCTATAGCACGGGCCTACGAGGGCTCTACGAAGATATTTAGATTTAAATAGAGGTGTCTAACCGTTAAGCGCAGACACCTCCGGGACTAAGCTTTTTTAGCTGAGTTGCTAACACTATGATCATATAAAATATCTTCTAAAGCTATTGCTATGATAATACCTCAGCGTAGTTATTATAACTTCCACCTTCACTTTAGCGAAGACCTCTTATAGAAGTAGAGGTGAAAGTTATAATAATAGCTGATGTAGGCGTCTATTAGAGCGCGTTTAGACTTCTTTCTAATTATAACGTCTATAGAATTAAGCTTAGCTATAATAGCGTGTTATATATATAAAAGACTACTCTAGAGCGTGTAATAGAATACGAAATAAGTAGCTTATGAAGTGTTATTGCTCCTTCAGAGAAGTAACTTAGAAGTCGTTTTTTTTCTATTTATTATAGAACTGAAATAGGACTATAGAGGTAAATAAGTAACTTATTTCATAAGTAGAAGTAACTTTAATAGCCTCTAATACTATTTAAATAATAGCTATAGAGGCTGTTAAAATCATTAATGATAGCGTATAAGTAGAGTAATCGAAAGATAAAAAGTACTTTTCCTATAGGCTCTATAGGGCCCTCGAAGAAATAATTTCTACTACGCTGCGTAACGGGGTGAGGTAAGCTTCGGGGTTAAATCTCGCTCCGAACCCCGCCCGCAGCGTAAATACTATCGTTATTAATAATTAAAGTCGACGACTACTACTAGACGCTTAGTAAGCCTATCGCTATTATTAACTTTATTAAATCCTCTCATATTAGAAAGCTATTATTTTTTAAATTATACTCTAAATAATAATAAATTATCGAATTATATCTTATATTTAAATGAAATTTAATATAGAGGTATGATTTAGTAATTAGGGATATGATTCGATAAGGATTTATACTTTTAGGGTATGAATTAGTAATTCGCCCCTCTCCTTCGTCACTATGAGATTGGATCTATCAGGGTAAACCACCCTCCTTTAGCTCTCCCCATCCACCTCGCTTTTAGGAACCTCCCACCTAACTAACCGTCTCTCCCCCATCCAGCGTCGCCCTAATAACTGGCGCCGGCGGCTCTATCGACCGCGCCTGCGTTCTCCAATTCGCCCACCACGGCCGCACCCGCATCGCCGGCCTCGCCACCACCGCCTCCGCCCTCTCCTCCCTCCCCGCCGCCACGGCCATCGTATTCCTCCCCCTCACGGGCGAATTACTAATTCATACCCCAAAAGTATAAATCCTTACCGAATCATACCCCTAATTACCGAATCATACCCCTAGACCAAATTATACCCAAATATGGGGTATGATTCGATAATTTGCTATTGCTTGGGGTATGATTTGGTAAGTTATTAAAGCGGCCTCAAAGTACGAAGGAGATAATCCGCGATCTGGCTTATTCGATCATAGAAATAAGGGAGTTTCTCCGACCGTATTTGATGAGAATTCTATCAGTCTAAAAACATCAGACGAAAGCCGAGTGGGCGAAATTTCGAGCCCGGGGGTGTCCGCACTTCACGCGGTAGACACCCCTATTCGGGTCCCGTAGGCCCCGTAGGGGCCCGTAGAGCCCCCGAAGGAATAATTCCTAACAATACCACTACGCTGCTGAGGCTGCGCAACGGGGCGAGGCGGGGTAAGCTTCGGGGGTCAAACCCCGCCCCGTTGCGCAGCATAAATTACTTTAAGATCGGCAGAGGGGTTTTATTAATCATACCTGGAGAGTCTTAGTAAAATTGTAGGCGGGGAATATTTCGACCCGCATTAACAAGGCTTAGGGTATAAGTAGCTATAGTGTAAAATAATATCGTATTTTATAGAGATCCTAGGAGTATTTTTAAAAATTAGAAGAATTTTCGCTTAGGATCTTCTCAGTTCTACCACTAATAACTAAGCCGTATTTTACGCTTTGACGTAATACTACTTTATAGCCTACACCTTATCCTATCACACCTCATCTCATCACACCCCATTCTATCACATTTTACTACCCTCTATCACCCCCGTAAGACCTCGAGAATATTACCCCCACGAGAACTTTGACTAAATCGCTTAAATCTAAAGTCAGAAATTAAAAAGCGTGAATGTAATTTACAGTAGCCAGATCTCGAAAACGAGTCTTGGCACTCGTATTTACGGAAATAATTATAGAAGACTCGCTTTCTTAGAAGACTCCCGGGAGGAATCTTAAACCACGATATCATGAGATTGAAAAATAATTGATATAAAAAGATTCTTCAAGAGGATTTTAGGGTAGGTACGTTGAATCTTATAATAAATCTTTTTTTATAAATTATATTTATAATATTTTTTTTTAATAATTAATATAAAAAAATTATAAAAAAAAACACAAAATAAACAAAAAAAAAAATAACAACAAAAAAAAAAAAAAAAACAACTAAAAAAAAAACCAAATAAATAAAACTCTCAAAAACCCTTAAATTAATAAAAACTATAATAAAAAAAAAATAAAAAAAAAAAAAAAAAAAAAAAAAAAAAAAAAAAAAAAAAAAAAAAAAAAAAATAAAAATAAATTTTTATAAAAAAATAAATAAAAAAATATAAATAAAAATTAATTAATTAATAATTTTTTTTTATTATTTTTTTTTTTTTTTTTTATTTTTTCCTCACCGTCGACCAAGCCTCCGAAGCCGACGTCGACCGCGCCGACCGGGACACCGTCGCCCGCTTCGGGCGCATCGACTACGCCGTCAACAACGCCGCCATCGCCGCGCCCTTCCGGCCCACGGGCGCGAGCCTGACGCAGGATTTCGACCGCGTTGCTGGGCGTTCAACCTGCGCGGTCTGTGGTTCTGCCAGTGCGCCGTGCTGCGCGTCATGGAGGCGCAGGACCCGCTGCCCGCCGCGTCCGCGTCCTCGTCCGATGGGCCCGGAGGGGGAGGAGGAGGAGGAAACGGTGACCACCGGGGACGGAGCCGCGGGTCCATCCTCGAGGTGTGCTCGATCCTCGGCCTCGTGGCCATGCCCGCGGACGGCCTGTACATCATCTCGAAGCACGGCGTCCTCGGCCTCGTCAAGACGGACGCGCTCGACTACGGCAAAAGGGGCATCCGGGTCAGCGCCGTGTGCCCCGGCTTCGTCGACACGACCCTCCTGATGCCCCAGTACCGCGTGCTGCTAGACTGGAGCATCCGGAAGAACCCGGGCATACTCTTCTTAATCACGGTCGACATGCCAATTCTGCCGCATGATGTATGTTATTCAGCGTGCATTTGCTTCTTTGCCTTCTTCCCACGGGACTTCAATTGACGTCTTTGGCTGACAAAGCAAGCCATTGAGCCTTTGAGGTCCTCAGTCACCGCGAAATTATGCCGAAACGCACACTGCCCCACTAAGCATGCGGCTCCCAGTGAGTTCTGTGCACGTTTCAAAGTAAACAATATAGACATTCGACCCACTTCATTTCTTACTTCTAATAAATTTGTTTAAATACCAGTTTTGTGCTTTTCAAAAGAGAGAGAGAGAAACATAATATTGCCAAATCGAACTCATCACTTGCCATCATGCCCTCGAATTGAACCCATCTTATTCGCTTCGTTGCCCAAGAAGATGCCCGATCCACTTGGGTCAAGTAGATCCCAAGACCTACCCTGATCTTGGAGTTGCATCCGTCGAAAAGAAAAAGATTGAGGCAAACGTTATCACCGGTTCCGTATTCGACGGCCTCGTACCGAGAAGACAATGACAGTCGCCCAGCCTCTTTCCCCCATCTTTGCGGATGAAACCCCCATTATTCGCTGCCTCGGCCTCAACTACCGTGACCACGCAAGAGAAGCCAAAATGCCAATCCCGAGCCATCCGGTCCTGTTCATCAAGCCACGAGCAGCTTTGTGCGGACCCTATCCGCGGAAAAATCAGCGTGCCTAAACATTGTCAGGACGGAACGAGCGACTATGAGGCCGAACTCACGGTTGTCATTGGCAAAACGGGGAGAGACATTGCCCCCAAAAAAAGGCGTTGGAGTACGTGTTGGGTTATAAGTGCGGGAACGATGTCAGCGCGAGGACGGAGCGGTTTCGGAATCCGCAGCGGTCCTTCTCAAAAGGTAAGATCCACCAGCTCCGCACCGTTTCGCCGGAGTACTTGACGGCCTCTCAGGCTTCGACTCCTCCGCCCCCATCGGTCCCGTCCTCGTCGCGCAGGAGCAAATCTCCGACCCGCACAGCCTCCGCATCAGAGCCATCCACAACCGAAACGTCGTCCAGGACTCGAGCAGGAAGGAGATGATATTCGGCGTGTCGGAAATGATGCATTCCTGGAGCGAGGAACCACCTTGAAGCGAGGAACCCTGATTATGACGGGGACCCCGCCGGGGATCGGGGCGATGAGAGACCCGAAGGTGGTTTTGAACCATGGTGATGATATGAGGGTTGAGATCGAGGGGATAGGTATGTTAGGTTTTGGGTGCACGGATGGTGGGTAAGGCTGACGCGGTGGCAGGTATGTTGATCAACGAGATCTACTATGAGTGAGCAGATGCTGCATCGGGCTGCACCAAAACATGGGCATGGATATCGGGACGGGAGCTCGTATCGCGTATCCAACGTTTCTCATAAATAGATAGCATCGACCACTTCTCACCGTTACTTTAAACTTTGTCCTCAGAGACAGCAGCGTTCAACCATCAAATCATCACATCTCGACTCGCTGTACGATCTTGTCTACCTTATCCGATGCTGCCTAACCCACGCTTCATCACCCACAACGCCTACTCAGTTTCTGATATTCACAACCAAAAATGCACAGAGGTCTACATACGCTTGCTGGTCAATCCTCATGCAGACACACTCAGTCCATGAATCTGGGGGGTACATCAGGACCCCAAATATATAAGCTATCCGGCGAAGCCAAATCCCTCGTGATAGGCGTCTCGCCGTTGACCTGATCGCCATCGACGTAATGTTCCAGGATGAACTTCGAGGTGTCGAACCTACACAAAGGTCAGCTGTTAACCCACGGGACCCAGGCAGACACCCGCAGTCACTGGAGGCGGCAACACACGTACCAATAATCAAAAATCTGACTCCCCAATACATGTCTCCCCACGCCCCAACAATTCTCGTAGCCCTTCTTGATCAACCAATCGTGCCCGAGCACCTGGGTGTCGAAATCAAACACCTCGAATGAAGAATGGTGCACGTGCGGTTTGGGCCCCTCGAAGAAAAAGAAGGAGTGGTGGTCGACGAACTCTTGGCCGCGGTCCAGGTGCATGAATGTGGTGATGTCGCGGCCTTCTGCGTTGTGCAGCAGGTCGGTGGGTTTGAGGTTGAAGTGGCCGGTCCAGAAGTTGAAGGATTTGGCGAAATTGGTGACGGCCATGCCAAAGTGGCCGAGTTTGTAGACCTGGGACGGGCCTGTTGGGGTTATGTTAGATGGGGTTCCATCTGGGATGGGGTGTGCGGGTGCTCACCTTTTTGCATCCGTTGGAATTTGTTCGCCGAGCGATGCTTCTCTGTGGGCTGCAGAACGATCCACGGTCAGGCACCCTCTCCGTCAACGTTTGGTGTCTGAGAAAGCACTCACGAAGTTGAACTCCTTCTGTTCATGCTGCTCCTTCATCTCCCTCTGCACCTGCCCATAAACCAGATGCACCATAAACCCATCCACCGGATCCTTCACCGTCACACACTCCCCCCCGCCCGGCGCATCCTTCAATTCCCAGATTTCACTCGCGGTCGGAATGGCCCTAGTCGCCAACTCCAAATCCTTCCTGCTTTCCACCACGAACGCCGTGCCCCCAAAGGCATCTTCCTCGCCCTTTGTCGAGCAATACAAGAAAGGTTCGGATCCGTATCCGCGGTAGTAGATGGTCTCGTTGGGTTCCCACACGTTGAGGCGCGAAACCTCTGTGAGGCCGAAGTCGGTCAGGAATTGGTGCTCGCGCTCGAAGTTGGCGTGGGTGTAGTAGACGTGGGCGATGCGGACGAGGACTACTTTTTCGGAGTCGCCGGGCGAGGCGTCCGGTGTGATGGCGGATGGAGACATGTCAGGCCGACTAGCAGGCGGCATGCGAAATGTTTACGAGAGAATTTTAAATAGATAGCAAAAGGGTCATGAGCCCGGGAAGACGTCTACTCTCCGACCGGCTTTTAGTCATGTCCAGAAAGCCGATGTCGCGGGCATTCGCCCGAGGAAGCAATACCTGACTTACAAAGCAGTTACGGACTGCTCTAGTGGTCATGTGATCCCACGAGCGCTGCTACGGAGTTCAATGTCCGGAGAAGTTCGTAAAGTTTTGTGGACCGTAGCGGAGGAATTATCGGTATAATGGTGGTGCGATGACGGAAATGGGGTGTGGGGTATTTCTGACAGGTTCTAGGTGAAAGCCGGGAAGGATATAGCGCGGCTGCTCCCCAACATGCATGATGTGTTCGCCATCATTGGATCGGGCTAATTACCGAATCATACCCCGAAACTATGAATCCTTACCGAATCATACCCCTAATTACTGAATCATACCCCTACACCAAAATTTGGGGTATGATTCGGTAAGGATTAATTGCTTGGGGTATGATTCGGTAATTTACCAAACTTGCTGTGTAGACTATTGGGAGTGAAGACTATGTGTGAGAGTCACAGACTGGGTGTAGACAGGCTGGGGGGCCAAATTTAGCCCACTGTTAGCAGCAGCCCTCACGGGGGCCCTGCGACGGTCCTACGGGGGCCCTATTTAGGTCTAAATAGGGGTGTCTGGCTGTCAAGCGCAAAAAAAGCCTGGTCCCGGGGGTGTCTGCGCTTGACAGCCAGACCCCTATTTAAACCTAAATAGGGCCCCCGTAGGGCCGCCAAAAGGGGCCCCCACTTGCGCTTGACAGCCAGACACCCCTATTTAGACCTGAATAGGGCCCCCGTTAGGGCCCCCCACCTCGCCCGTGGGAGCTGCTGCTAACACCCACTCGGCTTTCGTCTGATATTTAAGCTGGTAGGTCACCCATTAAATACGGTCGGAGATATTTCCTCTTTTCTATGGTCGGATGGCCCAGGTCGCGAATTTTCTCCTTTGCGATTTTTGTCATGAATGGCAAATTACCGAATCATACCCCAAGTAATGGCAAATTACTGAATCATACCCCTAGGGGTATGATTCAGTAATTAGGGGTATGATTCGGTAAGGATTCATAGTTTCGGGGTATGAATTAGTAATTAGCCCTCATTGGATCGGTTGTTAGCGGAGGAGCAGTAAACATTATGGCGGGAACCCTCACTCTCTGCGTCCATGAGACGGTCATCAAGGTAGATAAAAAATTATGAATGGATAGACTTCTGAGCGCTTTTTTTCTTTTGCTGTTCTTTTGGTAATGCCGAGTCTGACTCCATAAGAGGTAGATGACTGCCGTAATTGACATCTAGACATTATCTCGCCCATGTGAAAATGCTAACCCCCAATTTCGATGCTGTCTTTCTTTCCCACGGACTTTGTACCTATCATTTTCTGGAGCATCTCCGTGACAGGAATAGCATCGCCCAGGTCATGGATGAATCTGACTATAATATCAACGCGCTCTGCGACCCCTGGTTGATCTATTCGAAGTCATCTCGAAGATACTTGTGCGCTCTCAGATCTCCACTCCCTGCATGACCCTCGAAATTTTCGGCTCGAGCTGATCGTCCGCACAACCTACCTAACTCACCGCTGGCGCTCTCCGAAGTGACTTCTTGGTAAGTCACGGTTCGAAGATACTTACCGACCCATAATCCACCCGTATATCTCGCTGCTTTTCGAGTGGGCAGGACGTGATTTGTGCCGATCACCTAGCAATGTAAGCCTATTCACGACAAGCAAGCAGAAGATTGCCTTGTCACCGTACGAGACGCAAGTCTTTTCACCGAGGAATAGGGCGCCGGAATTCTGCATCTTCTCCAACGCCTCTCTTGGATGCCGAGTAAGAACCTGGACATGCTCGCTAGCGTACTCATTGGCAAGCTTGAACGCCTCCTCCAATGTAGGCACAGCGATAGCCTCGCCAAAAGTCTTCCATGACGTGCCGGCCAAAGTGGCGGTCGGTAGCATTTCGAGCATCTTGTCAACCATCTTGATCGACTCGGTGCCAACCTTTTCTGACGTCGTAATAAGCACTGCAGGAGTGTCGGGTCCGCGCTCAGCCTGAGAGAGCAAGGCCCCGACTAGAACTTCGGTTTGTCCAGCAAAAATATCGATACCAACTTCACCAAACATCTGGCGCTTTACTTCTGCTACAAAGGCATTACCGGGACCGGCGATGAAGTAAACCTTTGGCATCGTCTCCGTACCGCACGCCATGGCAGCAACAGCCTGGACGCCTCCAAGGACCCAGATCTCATCGGCTCCGGCATAGTACATAGCAGCCACTGTTGCATTGGGAATCTTGCCCAGGATTGGGGGAGTGCATCCCACTACAGTCTGTACATCGGCAACCTTGGCAGTGAGAATCGTCACGTGAGCTGAAGCTAGAAGAGGTTATTTTCCGCCAGGAATATGACTACTATGGTAAAATTCTGTCTTCGATGCGGATCTTGAGATACTTACCATCCGACAGCACTGATGGGAATTTTCTTTTGGCTAATATGGACACCGGGACGAATTTCAAGTTCGAAGTCTGTGATAGATTTCCGCTGTGCTTCTGCAAAGGCTCGAACGTTTCTTTGGACGTTTTTGATATCGTCGATGGTCTGCTTCGGGCATGCAGCAATTGCCTTATCAATCTCACTTTTCGAGAGCCTGAATGCACGAGGCGACCATTTGTCAAATTTCTCGAAATACTTTCGAACAGCGATGTCGCCATCCTTTCTTATTGTGTCAATCACATCCCTGACTATGGCAAGCACATCAGGTGTCGACCCAGCTGTACCAGTGACTGCGGTCCCCAACGGATGATGGTCCAAACGGGTCTTCAGATACTTCTTGTCCGTCATGTTTAATTATTTTGGGCACAGGCTTGTAGACGTCGAAGATGCACGTGCAATGGCTTTATGAGTGCGAAAATTTGCGGCGAAAGCACAGCGCTTGATCAATGGCGCAAGAATAAACAGTTCAACACAATTATGCAAGGTTTCTTTATCAATAGAGAGCGAAGACAAGAGATGACTTTATGTGATTCATGCTTGCACTGCGACTTATTCCGGAATCCTCGCCGACATCAACACTCACCGCGAGCCTCACATGATAATACTTCGAGTCCGGCCACAATTAAAGCCGTGACTATACACATTCTCCTAGTCAGACGCTCAACGGCAGGATTCTCTCTCGGGAGGACTGATTCCGGAGTTGGAAAGAGGGTGCTAGGGCCAAAACAAGCGGAAATCATTAGCAGTCGCTGTCTTACAAAATGTCAGGATCAGTATGCTGCTTTGACATCAGTTTGGAAAACCAGTTGAAAAGCAAAGGGAGATAGGTAATGTTGTTCTCCATGGGCTGTTGAAAAAGAGAAGGGAAGATGGTGTAGAGAAAGGTGCTCTTGCTTTAGAGTTGGGGGGCAGCCACCGCCCAGGAGTCACGAGTCACAAGTCACGACCCTGAGGCTCACGAATTTATCCCTAGCATCCTTGAACATCTCCCGTTCTCCCAGGGTCACCTGACCAATCACAACGACGCTCAGACAGCTTCAGGCAATCATTGGACTTCGGGCTTCGCTAACCCGCACTGCAACAGCAGCTAGGAAGAGAATCTCAAGCCATTAAGAGTTCGATATGCGGGGTACCATAGGCGCCCGATAGTCCTGGACTATTTATCGGACTATTAGTCTGACTGTCTACTGACCAATAGTTGCTGTCGATGATTTTATTAATAGTCTAGATTGTCGGTATTTGATAGATTAATCTAGACTATTAGTCTGATAGTTTAATAATCATTTATAAGCGTGCATTTTTAAGTCTGTGGGCGTATTTTTAGTAGTAATCGAAGATTAGATCTTTCTCCAAGGTGTGGACAGCATGTCATACCGTATGGGTGTGAACTGGATAATAAGGCTACCGAACTATGTATGTGGAAGGAGGCATGATATGTAGGAGATGCTCCCCGGCCCTAGCCATGGCTGGTGTGTGTAAGGTACGCTCGTAACACTCCCCTAAAGCATCCCCATGGCTGTAGACCGGATGCACCCCTTGCCTGCCCTTTCTCCAATCCAGTGCCTACCAAAACAAATCATATTTAAACCTGTCCAGTTTCGGACATCTGTTGATTGCCATGCCTGCATGTCCTTCAGATCCTAATATTATTTGCCGGTGCCGCAGATTTCGTTTTGACCTTTAAGTCTTTTGCCTTCACACCTACTCATCCTGCCTAGCTACTTATTGCCCTCCTGTCTCCCACCATCGGTATAAAAAATCCAACCGTCCCCCACCTACCTGCCTAGCTCCTGACTTTCCGCCTTGCCATCAAAACTCCTCCATCCACTTTGTCTCACTCGCCGCGCTTTCATTGTGGTTTGGTAGGTAGGGAAAGAATTGAATGGGGGAATTGCTTTGAAGGGGAATTTGGCCTTTTGGGTTTTTTTTTTCCCCCCCCCCCCAAAAACCCCCTAACCAACCCCCCCCCCTTAAAATTAAAAAAAAAAAAAAAAAAAAAAAAAAAAAAAAAAAAAAAAAAAAAAAAAAAAAAAAAAAAAAAAACCCCCCATTCTTTATTTAATATATATATTTATTATGTATATAATAATAGCGATTCCGAGCTATCGAAGGCCTCTACTTTTTATTAACCTATTTAATATCGTTGTAGAGTCTATAGCCTTTAGTAGTAAGATTGTTAAGCGTATATAAATATCGACTCTTGAAGATTAGTGGTTCTTAAGATTAAGCTAAAGAAACGATCTATTTCTCGGGCCTTGAGACGATTATTTAGTACTTATTAAGGTATCTATTAAATCTACGAAAAGACCTAATAATGGAGAAGATACCTTTATATCCTTCGAATTCGAGAATCTTATATCGAATTTACTATAAATACTAGGCTCGGATCTAGTGTCTCTTAGATATTAAGAGGTATCTAGTAAGAGACGAAGGGCTAAAATCTCTATAATTTATAAAGTATATAACCGTGCGCGGTAATAAATTCGTCTATAATCGATACTTAAAGATCTATAATTATAGTAACGGCTTAGAGGCTATCTCTCGATATTTAAAGAAGGATTACTTTATCGATTCTACGGCTAGTATAATAGCTAAAAAGAGAATATAAGACGAGGTAGATATTAATATAGCTATACTTTTATAGAGGCGAAAGTTAATATATAATTAAAAGAGAAAAGAAGGGCGAAGTTAATAGGTATTAATCTAGATAAGAATACTCTAAAGTATCTATATCTTTAATAGACTATAATTTAAGATCTTTCTTTTAAGTAAGTTAGAAATACGAAGTTTTAAACGTTTCTTAAATACGTTAATCTCGTTATTAATCAAATACTTTCGAAGTTTAATTTCATTATTAAGATATATACGAAAGGTCTCTTCGAGGAGGGAAAGAAGCGATTACGATATATATTAGTTATAGCCCTTTTAGATATTTATATTATATATAATATATAAATATTATTAAATCGTCTTAAACTATTAGCTATAATAACGTATTTTATAAGCGAAAAGTCGAAGCTATATACTATTACTCTCGTCCTTTAAGAGCTATAAAGGGAATATTTAGACTTAAATTAGGCTTATAATTATCCTTAGTATACTTAACGACTATAGGATTTGTAATAAGTTAAGATACTTTATTATAGATAACGCTTATAATAACGATACTCTTATTATTACTATTACTACTTCGTTAAGTAAGAAGAAAGTCTTCTATAATACTAAGTAATATCGTCTTCGATATAATAGTTATATAATTAATCTAGCAATTTAAAACTTTCTCTTTAAGAAAGATAGTTAATGATTATAAGTACTTGGAGAATAAGATTATATCTTCTTTTAATACTTAGTTAAAGTAGTAGCGTAAATTAAAATCTCTCGATAAGCTATATAATATTATTATTTAAATTATAGAAAGTTCTTAGCGAATATAATCCTTTAAAAATCGAATTAAGAGTCTTATATTACGACGTAATAATAAAATATAATAGAACTCTTAATACTTAATACTTAATTAGGCTATTAAAAGAATTAAGGCTACTATTATAGCTATTATTAATAAGAAGACTAATCTTTAAAAAGAATCTACTAACTACTAAAGAGTGGAAAACGCTTATTTATATTCGTGATTTTCTATGTAATTTTTATAACGCTATTAAGGTAACGAAAGGTTATTGAGTTACTCTAAAAGAAGTTCTTTCTATTATAAACTTTCTAGCTAATATATTTAAGAACGTCGTAGAGTAATTCGCTAACTATAAGTTTATGTATAAATCTCTTTAGATCGGATTTACTAAGCTATTAAAGTACTAGAATAAGATGAAAAGATTATCGATATATATCGCGCGTTATTCTTAATTCTATAATTAAATAAAGCTATTTTAATAATTAGAACTCTAAGTAATAATCAAATATAAAGGCTATAATAAAGGAGTTTTAGAAGATTAAATATCGATTCTTTATTAGTCTAATAAGACTTCTTCTAATAAGTCTAATAAAGAGACTACGAATAAGTACTTATAGTAAAAGAATAGAAATAAGAGATAGGGGATTATAGTCGATAACGAACTCGATCTATATATTCGCGATCTCTTTATACTCGTCGATAATATAATAATAATACTCGACTAATAGTTGGAACCTTAGTAATGTACTCGATATTCTCTACTATTAAAGATAGCTATTAATATCTACTTAATTTCTACTATATTCTCGAAGTTGGAATATATATTTTCTAAAGCTAAGTATACGATATTAGATTAAAGAAATATCTTAAGATAGAGACTATTAAGCTATTAAAGTATTTAAAGTTATAATTTTGATTAGATATCTTTACGAAGGTAGATCTATATGCTATTATTGATGCTTTAAAAGAAGATAATATAATAAAAGCTTTAAAAGAGTCTTTATATAAGTAGACTAATAGTCCGGGACTAGTCTAAATTATCTAGACTAGTTCAGGCTTTAGACGAATTATAGACTATTTGTATAGCTTCAATTTAGACTAGTCCGGCCGTCAGGACTAGTAGTCCGGACTATCGGGCGCCTTGGGTACCATGAACCTCCTGGGCAAGGGCCCTCTTTCCTCACAGATCCAGTGGTCCTTTTACTTCATCAGTCAGCTCCATGGCCTCGTGAATGTCAATCATCAGATACTCCGTCCTCCTACAGGGGATGCAAAGCAGCAAAACTCACCTTCAACTCGTCCATCTCGGCATCTCAACTGGTGCTGTTCGCCACGACTGCAAGCGCATGACCCTCACCACGTAACATCATGTCGCGCTCAGAAACGCGCCCCTCCAATGATGACGGCACCTACACGCAGGTACCGACTGCGCTACTGTCCTGTCAATTGTGCCGCCGAAGGAAGGTGCGATGCGATAAGGAACTACCCTCATGTTCCCTATGTATCAAGTCATCACAAACCTGTACCTATTCTCCAGGACCATTGAAAGGGCAGATTACCGAATCATACCCCTCACCAAAATTTTGGGTATGATTCGGTAAGGATTCCACAGTTTGGAGTATCAGTTAGTAATTTGCCCACCATTGAAACCTGGACCCAAGCTTGGCTCCTCACAACGCCCACTGAAGAGACCTCGCCGCTTCAAGGAAGAGGCCAACGACCAGCTCATTGACGATGATGCCTATCACAATGTTCAACAAGACAATGCCACCGAACACCAGAGGAACAGTTCATGGGACCAGGGGCTATTGTCCGGACCATCTGCGCAGTGGCAACCACAACCAGATCTCGAAATGAAAGGATGGATGAAGCAACTCATGCCATCACGTCTGACCACAATAATCATCAATCTCCAGGAAGCACATGCTCCACCACTGCTTCCCGCAGTGACTCGACGCCGCTTAACCTCCCGGCACTTTCTTTCCTTATACAACGTTCTCATGAGGTGCGTTGTTTTAGAGATATTACTTCCTATCCCTGACTTCAGCCTGACCCGTGAGACATGTTTTCATCGTTTGGCCTTTTTCACGATTCGAATTTGTACTATGAAATGAGCTTCTTTTCCTTGTTTTGTTCGTGTTATGAAAGATTAAGCTGACTGCAAAATACTCTCCAGTCAGCTCAGCAAACCCTTGCAGACGAGGATGATAGCAAAGAGGTTACTACGCCAGTGTATGGGGACGAGGTCTTTTCCAAGAGTGCCAAAAAGGCAATGTACTCCCAAATATGTGATACATTTCAAATTCCGCTGGAGACGGTTACCCATCTGTATGTATCTTCTCGATGAGCGACTCCGTAGCCCGCCGCAAGACGGACCGCATCCATGGATGAGGCCAGGTCCCCTTCGTCGAACGCAATCTGCATACACTATACCTCAGGACCTAGTGATTCGGCGGGATTCAGACCCTTACGACCCAAGAGGAGACGGCCATGCTCGTCACTCAATGTCGGTAATGAAAGATTCGCCAACACCAGTCCAGCCATTCATCGGGCTATTGCAACAGCAACAGCGTGATCAAGCGGCGTCTTTCGCTGGTGACACGGCCCTGCAATGGCCGAACAGGTTCGACGATAGCGCCATCGATAGTGGTGCTTTCGTCGGCATATCAGGTGGCCAACTCGACAATTTTGACTGTCGATTGGCGGACAACCTGGACTTTTCGTTGGCCAATGTGTTGAACTGGCATTCAGTTGAGTGATCTTAGGTATCTTGCGTCTTGGAATCTCGAAATCCGCGGTTTTTCCCGAAAGATTGGACTCTAGAGTACCAGAGAACGAGCTTTCCGGGCCCAAGCCCGTTCGCGGCCTTTAGTTCTTCAAGAAAAGGTCAATAACCGCATCGCGGATCACAATCTCAACACTCGCGGATGAACAGGGGAGTGCTAGAATTGTGCCGGAAATGTTCCGATGGATTACCATGATCGGACAGACCCTGGTTTCTAGACTGCCCCAGTCTTCAACTTTGCAGTAACCCTATATTAATGCGCTTGAATGCAGTGTTGATCATAGAGGTTGTTCTGGACCTGGATTTTACGTCGTAGCTCGAGAGCTACCACAGCTACGCTCAGTTCGACGTTCGACCAATTTGGCAAAACGAGGGGGCTGAGAATCAGGTCTCCTTTCTACTCACCGTGACATATGGTGCTCTTTCCTATGGTGTATCTGCCCTTATAGTAGCACAGCTAGAAGGCCATTGTCCGTGCCAAGGTGAAATCCAAGTGGAAGTATGTACAACGAAAGATCCAGATGGCGAGACGGAGACTCCAAAAACATGACCATGTTGAAGTTCCGAGGAAACAACATTTGTTTGCAAAGTCTGGGCCAAGTCTCGGAGTTAGTGGCCTAGTAACCCATGGGCAGCACATCTTCTACATCATACCGGGCTCGAGTCAATATATACTGGCGAACCTGCGTTTCCCGGCCGGGTTCATTCTGAGGCTGGGCTTGCGTCCTGATGTTAACATTCATCATTTTGTCATTGAACTTAGGCATGAGTCTGATGATTGGCTTTAAGTGACGTTAAGTGACGTTTGAGATTCACAGAAATACCAGTCGCCAGTCGACGCTGTACTCTCTCTGGATCTGGGCCTTCACATGTTGGCTCGACGTATGCAAGGAACGGAAGTAGTCCGGGGCAGTGGCGATTCCAGCTATCGGATGATGTTCAGAGCTTGTGCGAGTAGTGCAAATGATCTAAATTAAATGACAATCCAGTCCAACACTATATTGACTGTCCAGCAATATGCGTGTTTGCCCAGACAGCGAAAAACCGAACGAAGTCTAGACCTATGTCTCCTTCCCTTGTCCAAGTACCTGCCACCTCGTATTTAGGGCTAGACCTTTGAGTTTAGGTTTCGTGACAGTACTCGGGGACACGAGCCAGACAAGAACGCCGCTCAGGCGCCAGCTGCATCATGTTCTCGTCATAAGCACCCTACTCTCCACGCATCGAGGATCATCCCACAGCTATACAATCTGAACAGGGTCACCACATGGGTCTACCCTCTTTATCATGCACAATCTTTCCAACGACATGTCCACAGTGGCGCTACTAGTATGAGTTCGCTAGCCTCAAATACAGTCTAGGGAGCTTGGGATTCCTTTGGGGCGGCCCATCGTAGTGTGGAAACTCATATAATTCTGCGAAAAGCGGATTCGATTGCTTGAACAGCGTTCAGAAACAATTATGCAGAAACCGGAGTGGATCGCCGAAATAGTTGGGGTGGTGAAGGATAATATTTGACGCATATAGTTTTATTTGCTGCTCCGCATTTATGTGATAGCATGTTTTGGGGCTGTGTGGGTAGTAGTTTGAGGTGTGCATATCTAGCAAAAAGAGTGGACGTCTAGTTTCCATCCATAATCAGTCCGTGGACAATCATTCCTTTTTAAGCAATATCTGACGCCAAACCATGTGCTTTCAACAGTCCGTTCGGTACAACTCCACCAGCAGCAATTCGGAACGTTTGATCAAGCATGGAATTTCCTTCCAGGGACAACAGGTCTTTCGCGTGAGGAAATGGGAGCGTTGTTTGACGATAACGTGGTGACTCACGTGACCGCCGACGGCCACGGTCTGGTCGAAGTTGACGCCATGGCTGAGTTCAAGGGAGCAGGGTTCGCGACTGGGGTGGAGCATGCAGGCGGTTACGGCGATGAGAAGGTCGGGACTCATCGGGCCGCAGAGCTGAATAACTCGAATTAGTCTGATCTGTGATCAGATCAGATATGATGGCGGAGGGTTTCTGGGTTTCAATGCAAACATTTCCTGCGGGTCACTGCTGCCGTTCAAGCTCCCCATGTATTCAATCTATGATGAGGTTTCGACAATGCTTATGGAAACATGAAAGAAGAGGACCCTTGCACTGGATTAACCTATGGGGAGCATTGACTGGAGTTCTGGCAGATCATCTTCATACTTCACGATGAATCATTCTCGCTCATCACGTGAGCATTGCCCCCATCTTCCGACTCGTCCGTCGTCGCAACACCAACTTCGTCTTCTTTGGGCTTCTTACCCTCCCGCACCTCCTCCAAAGCGGGCACAAGCGCCACACCACTCCCAAAAAGCCTATCCAACCTCGTCGCGCGATCCCAAACCCTCCTTCCCTCCCCGTCCCCCTTCTTCCTAAAATACATGATCCGATGCTGCGGGATCCACTCCTCGTCAGTCACATCGGCCACTCCCCCTTTCCACGCCGCGACGTCCATTTCCATCATCTCGGGCGCGTGGCGGTCAATATAGCCGACGACGAAATCGGACTCGTGGAGCGAGGGGTCGTGCCGGATGCGGGAGAGAACGTCTTTGGCGGGTCGCAGCGAGGGTTTGGAGTTCTGGTTGCGATGTGCGGCTTTGCGAGCCTTCTTCGCTCGTGATCGGGAAGTTGTGGGTTTGCGGGATGGGGATGGTGAAGAGTCGGAGGAGGGAGAGTCACTGTCGTTGGCGGAGGCGTGTTCGGCCGCAGATGGATGTAGAGGGATCATGTCTTCGCTGGCTTCGAGGGATGAGGGTGGGTGCATGCTGAATAAGGAAAAATCTGGATCTTCCAAAGCATGTGAAGTCTTCGTAGGAGCCATGGCTTTGCACGAAGTGGAGATGTGTTGCTTGGTAAGAAGGAGAAGTATTGACAAAGCAGGTGGATCCGGCAAAGCCAGTCTTATTGCTGGATAATCTTTGATAGTAACTTGAACTCTAGTCTATGATAGCGAAAGACCATGGTACATATATAAGCTGCAATCTGACTCTGCTGAGCCCAGTTGGATTGAGTCATCCAGTGGCTATGACGGTACCAAGCTTACACAAATGGAAAGAACGCCTGATAGATGACTCACAGACATAGTGAGACTTCTTCAATACTTAGCTCAACAAGAATTGACACTGTGATTTTGCAGGCAGTCTTTAAGTTGTCCAGAGTTTTGTACTAGTACTAGTACAATCGATCTTCAATGGTGGTCAAGTAGAGAAGAGCCAAGGCGCGCTAAATTGGCAAATCCGAACATTTACCGGCGGCCATGTGTCTCGAGCCGACACCTCACATTTTACACCCTCGTTTCTTTTCTCTGTGAATCCACTGCTACCTAATCTGCAAGGCTCGTTAGTGAGGTGCGAGGCTGAGTCCTTAAGGCCGGAACCAGCGCTGTTCTAATCTCCACCATGTCTGCCCACCACTACGACAGAGAGCCCGCCTACAACGACCGCAGACTCTCTGGTACTCAATATCACGGGGATCGAAATGGCAGAATGTATGAAGACCAGTACTATAGGTCACGATCAAGAGACCGATACCGAAGGAGTCGATCACCTCGCGCACGATACTCATCTCCTCCGCATGGTAAACCATAAATAAGGACACTTACATCGCTCAACCTGCGCGTCTGCTAATATTACGTTTGGGAAGATCGGAACAAGTCTTCACATAGTGGGGATGAATTCGCAATCAAGGGTGCTTCCACTCGCCGAGAGAGGGACGTAGCGATTCCACGACCAGACAACAGAGGATACGAGGACTACCAGCGAGGCCGATCTCCATCACCCCAAGGAAGAGAAAGAGCGCCATATCGAGACAGGGACCACGAAAGCTACAGATCGCCCAGCTATGACAACCGCAGCCGCAGTCGGATGCGAAGCCGTAATCAAAGCCGCAGCCGCAGCCAGAGCAGGGATCGATCACCATACTATGGAGGCCCACCCAGTAGGGAAGTGATGTTGGAAGGGCTTTTGCTGGATATGGTAGAGGAAGACGTTGGCCACCCCATCCACCATACGCTCAATACACCAATATGAACACCAAAGCCTAAGTGTGATTGAAAATTGCATTCGGACTCTGGCTAAGACGTGGCATATTCCAAATCTCACAGATCTCGAAAGAGTTGAAGCAATACCACCATGTTGAGAGACTCGAAGACGTACGAGTTATTCGAGACCGACAGACGAGTACGATCTTCCCCTCAACGATACGTGTCGGGAGGCATGCTGAATTGATCTCAGAGGCGTCCCGAGGCTTTGGCTTCATAAGGTTCCCGGCTCTTGAAGATTCAAAGGCTTTCGTGGAGCGCAACTACCCAATGATCTACCTTTTTGGTAATGGTTCATCAGATAATAACGATCAAGCAGCCAAAGTCCGAATAGCATACAGCCGTGAGCGGGATGATCGGAGCCGCGGCGAGAAGGCGGAAGGAGAATGGATCTGCAAGATTGTGAGACATCCTCAAGCCAGGCAAACTTATGGCACCACTAAGAGCTCTAGTGCACATTTGTCAATTTTCCGGGCCGTACGAAATGTCACAGGTGTCAGACACCGCAGATCGGTGCGTGTAAAAACACCGGAGAGCTAGAGATTTTGTTAATAAATATAGATATGGCTACGTTCAACCAAGCAGCAGCAGCAAAACCTCAATACATGAACAGTGGAGACAGCGATGCTTCACCGAATGGCACACCCTCGCAATTCCTTCTCATCCGGAACCTAGAACCTACAGTGACGGAAGATCTCCTCGCGAAAGGCGTGACCAAACTATACAAGCCAGGCAGACGCTCATCACCGCCTGCCGCTACGGCATCGAAGAAGAACAATGCCAAAGTCGCATCGACTACTGGCGACGCAAATCTCGGTGCTAAGGAGGGAAGCCTTAGAAGGATACTACTCGTCCGGGATAGGCGGAACAACGAAAGCTGGCGCTATGGGTTTGCTGAGTTTGCTACGATTGAGGTGATAGTACAGATTCTGGATAATTATCGCCACTGACAAGATTACGATAGGATGCACAAGCCGCCCTGACTCGCTATAAATCGTTCGAAAAGTTCACAATTTCCTCGAAGCCTGTCACTGCTGATTATGTACATGCTGGTGTATTCATTCCTATCTTCAATACATCCAAAGAGACAGAGCGCTTTACATTCAGTCCACTGGGGAACACAGCTACCAAGCTCGCTTACTGGGATGAAGACGCTTGGGCCAGTGAACTTGCTGTATCCACCGGCTCGCCTAAATTGGGTTCAGCAGCGGGTGAAGGTCAATTTCGATCTGCTGCCGACCAAGCAGCGGCAGCGGCTGAGAACGAAGGTCTTTTGAGGCCTGGAAATGAGGCCGACACTAGGATGAAGAAGAGGAAAGCAGAGGCCAACGCTACAGCCAAACAGAAAAAGGTACTTCGAAATTCGGAATTTAATAAGCAGCGTCGACTAATATGTTTAAGACTGCACCTGCGCATCTGCAATTCTGGAGTAACCGCCATGCAGAGCTTCATGGCGTGAAACCGGATATATCCACGGAGAATGGGCACGAAAGTAAAGAAATGTCAGAGGTGAAGGAAGAGGTGAAGGAAACAAACGCTTTTCCGCAAACCTACGCCAACTTGGCCAAGAAATGCTGCTACCTATGCTCCCGCCAATTTAAGACCGAAGCTGAGGTAAACCAGCATGAGCGTGTCAGCGATCTTCACCAAAGTAAACTCAAGAACGCAGACCTGGTAGCAAAGGCTCAGAGCAAGATGGTCAAAGCAGGCATTCCATTGACAGCGGTTTCTGAAGACTCTTCAGAGTACCGTGATCGAGCTAGGGAAAGACGTGCTGCTTTCGGCGCTGGCAAGAAAATCTCACTTCCGCTTAAAAAATCAGCAACTCAACCAGACGAAGAGACAAAAGACGAGCCGGCTCCAGCGCCATCGAGGGGCGCTTCCTTGCTAGGAAAGATGGGTTGGTCTGCGGGTGAAGGTCTTGGAGCTCAGGGGACAGGGATGACGGCACCGATAGCTACTGATATGTATGTGCAAGGAGTTGGTTTGGGGGCTCAAGGGGGGAAAATCGGCGATGCGTCTGAGGAGGCAGAGAGGAATACAAAAGGAGGTTACGGGGACTTCTTGGAGAGGACGAAGGATAAGGCGAAGGAGAGGTTTGAGAGGATGGCTTGATGTAGGTCATGGGAAAAGTGATTTGCTTATCCGGCTTTATTGCTACAATCTGATGGTAATGAAGATAGAGGACCAATAATTCCTTGTTGATACTCTCTCAAGTGCCCAGAATCATGATCGGTAGCGCAAGGAATGGCTAATCCTGGTCTGAGCTGAAGCTTCGGTTGTGCTCGAATACGGCCCGAAAGATTCGTGCCTCCTAATAGTTGATCAACAGGCTTCGGTATCCTGCTGACTGGTTCCTCCCGGTGTGGCTACTTATGCGCCGGAGAAGGAAACAGTATCACCCAAGAATGGACCAAGAGCCGCCATGAGTGAAGAAATCAAATGGACAACTTCGCCTAAGCACATCGAAGATACAGATATAAACCCAAGACAAGAAAGAACCATTCCATTGCGCATTGAAAGATGCTTTTGAAAAACGCTGACCACAAGCAAAATCTATCCTAACACTGGCACCTCCCCAATGCCAAGCGTGCCAGGCAGCTGCTCAACAGTCCTGCCACGAGTGTCAAATGCATCAGTCTGCACGTTTACCATTCTCTCTCTCTCTCACGGAGTTCCATCCCCCCTGCCCTGCTGGAACGATGTTGGCGTGTGAATCAGCAGCAAAAACTGCATTACTGCAAATATCCGCACCGTGTCAAAGACATACGGAAATTACTTCGTGGCTGTTGATATATCCTTCATATTTCTGGAAGTATTGCACGACTCTCACAAGATATCGCACAAGAATCAGCGCGCTTGCGGCATCTAGACCGCGCATATGTTTCCGCTACGGCAGAGATGACCGAGGTTGCTGCGTCGGCTGGCGTAGAACTCTGGTGTGGAACGCTGTCGTCACGATGATGAAGAGGTTGGAGATGGCGACGTGTAGGAAGAGAAGGATCTGGCCCGTGTGCTGTCACTTTTTCCGTCTCCCCGGCTTGCTGTCCTGCGCCGGCCGCGTGGGACTCGGATGATATGCCGTCTGGATTCACGAAGACCTTGGTGAGGTTGTTGACGTTGATGAGGGAGTGGCGTGCTGCGTTTAAGAGACGTATGGTGCTGCCGAGTATCGTGTAGATGGGTGCCGGCGAAAAGAGCTGGGGCCACAAGAGCGAGTATGGGAGAGATGACATTGGGACCGAGGGATTGGATGTGGAGATAGGAAACGGAGCGATCGGGGTAGGCTATGGGTTCGACTGAGAGGGGGGGATCACTTGGAAAAGGAGAGAAAGGACGAACACTTTTCGATGTGTCCAAACTACACATGCTCTTTCGCTGCACACACTCCACACATTGATTCCTGTTCCAGAACTTGTCCTGCTCAACAGTGATGCACCACAAGCGAGCCCGTTGACACTCTTTACATCCAGATTTTCTTTCCAATTCATGGATGACTGCCATTTGGCCGCTAAGTGGAAACTCTCTGCGAGCATAACCCGCAAGCACCCTGTGCGCGGGTAACGGTTTACCATCCTTGTCAGGGCTATCTCTTGCGGCCTGGTCGAGGATAGCTTTGCGTGCAGCCCGTTCTTCACGCTTGGTACGTGTCGCGGAAGGAGAGTGATGCTTGCAGGAACAGGGCCGTTCCGAACGTAAACAGGGAAACCAGCCATTGTCTATGCCAGCTTTAGCAAGACTTTCCACAGCCTTGACCGCAGACCGAACATTCTGATCAATCTCTATCGCGGTAGGTGAATTCCCTATAATTGATTCTAAATACTGGGCACCTTGCACAAGGGAAGAAAGGCTCTCCGGATCAAGACTCGAGTCCCCCGATGTCTTGGAGCCAATTCTAGCTGCAGCTGGATCCTCGAAAGTCGTTTCAAACTGCGTCAAGGATCGCTGTTCCCCATGTTGGCTATGATGATCTGCTGGAGGGCCGAAGGGAGGAACGGTGTTACATCGGCCAGGGCGAGATTGGCTCGGACTATCCGGCTTTGTGATCCGAGAATCCTTGACCATAGAAAGAACCCTAGACGGAGGAAGTGACTGAGAACGATGGTTCGTAAGACCCATATCAGGAGATCATAGATTGAAGTGATGTGGATACGAAGGTGGAAAGCAGTTTGAAGACGCGTTGTGGTTTGAACACGCGAGGGACATTAGAAAGTAAATAAGGTGGTAAGTAGGCACCCTCGCCAAATGAAGCATCTGCACCTCCACATCCGTGCTCAAACAGCAGTCAAAGATTGGTTGTTGGCACGCATGATTGCAAACAAAAGCGAAACGGGATAATGATGAATTAATAGTAACAAATACGTCTGCATTCATCATATGATATGGGCATGTACCTCACAGACAAAACGTAAGATACAAATATGTGGAACCACAAGGGACAACGAAAAGCGAGCATTCACCCTCGCCGCATCAAACACTTGAACTTCAATAATATCAGTGCTCCGATAGCAATAAAGTAGCAGCCGAACATTGCTCATCGGCACGCCTAATGCAAATTGAAGCAGAGCAGGGCCGGCACCCTGATTAGCTTTATCAAGAGCATCCATCACGTGTCCGCAGTGTTCTCCGCATTTGCCTGTTATAGTTTCTCCTCTTACTCCTTAATGCAGTGGGGATGACGGGCTAAGTTGCAGTGGTGTTCTCCGCTTGCTAAGTGATGATTTGATGTGGAATCGTGGAGAGCATATGACGTGGGATCTTGGAGAGCTGAGCCGTGTTCTTGGTGCTGGGGGCCTTGTTGCCGCTTGGTTTCTCCGCAGTGTTCTCCGTATTTGCCTGTTGTAGTTCCTCCTCTTACTCCTTCTCTTGTAGAGTATCAGACTGAGTGGCTAGCTGAGTGGCTGACTGAGTGGATGACTGATATGACGTGGGATCTTGGAGAGCTGAGCCGTGTTCTTGATGATGGTGGCCTTGTTGCCGCTTGGTTTCTCCGCAGTGTTCTCCGCATTTGCCTATTGTAGTTCCTCCTCTTACTCCTTCTCTTATAGAGTATCAGACTGAGTAGCTAGCTGAGTGGCTGACTGAGTGGATGACTGAGTGACTGACTGACGATCTAATTGAGTGGATTACTGAGCTGATAGGGTAGGTAGTGTTGACTAAGCGGCTGGTCGAGTAGTATATAGGGGAGGATGATGGCTGTAAATCCGTTCGGGCTCTTTTTGAGGGCCTTTCAACGCGTTTATGAGCAGTAGTAGGTAGCTGTTGAGCTCGCTTGCGGCCTTGATTGGTAGTAGTAGAGGCGTCAGTAAGGGGTTCAAAAGACGGGCGGAAGGGATACGTGCCTTAGATACTTAGTAATATTTGGGCGAGGGGTATCGAGGGCGAATTTATTCATAATTGGTGGATTGGTAGAATTGTAGAAGAAGAATGGTTACATAAACAGGTGGAAGGATTATTAAGTTATCCGAACCCGGACGCGTCTGATGTGACTACCATGACTATCATATTTGAATATTTATTTAATCCACCAATAGTAGGCTAAACTTCATTATTTTTACAGCGTTAGAAAGCGTATACTGAGCTCTATAATTTACGAAATTATAAAGAAATAGTATCCGTAGGAAGCTGGTTATTTTAGAGTGTAAGACTTCTATATATAAATTTTTGATAAGAAAGCTCGAAAGGGCTAGCGGGCTAACTTAGTTAGTCTAGCCAAAACGCGTAATAACTCTAAATCTATAATTGGCTATATATATAAATTCAAGGTTTTTAAGCTTAGCTCTATCTTATTCTATTATATATACTAATATTAATATATATATCTATTCGAGTCTAGCGCTTCTTAATAGAGCTTTTCTTATTTCTTATTACTATCTATAGTATAGATCTTCTTATTATTAAAATTCTCGTTATTTATTATTATAGACTTAGTCTAGTATAATTCTAATGAGATTAATTCTTTAACTCGATTTCTTTTAATTTTCTAAACTCTATATTCGAGATTATTTTATTCTAGAGAAAAAAAATTTAAATTAGTAATAATTTTTGAATTTTTTTTTAAAATTCTAAAAATCGAGCTAGGATTAAAGAAGTTAGTATTATATCAAAATATCTTCGATTTCTAAGCCGCGGAAGCCCCGCGACCATCGGGCCTAGAGGCCTTAGTACGGGGTACCCGAGCCCTAGACGTACCCTACGGCCCCCCTATACGACCTCCATAAATCTCGATAGCGAGATGGCGACCCTCTAGTATATTATACTTCGTTATATATAATTTAGAATATAAGTAACTTCTTAGTACGATAAATATCTTTTAGATAAAAGTAATTTAAGTATATCTATTTAACAAAGCTAGATTTATAGATTTAGAATAATTATAGAAATTATACAGAGGTCTGCACCGAAAGTCCTGTACCCGCACTAGTGCAGCCCTAACCCTACTTTCGGAAAGCGGCCCTATAGAGGGAAAGCCTAGAAATATCTTCTCACAGCGCATAGATGGGACTTTAGGTACTTCTTTTGGCTTGATAGAGGCATTAAGCCCCGAAACCTGGCTAGGGCTAGGTGCGATTCCGAAGAACTCCAGACGCATTGTCCAGGTAGCCCTTTAGGTGGGGCGTTATCCGAAGTCTGAGCGCAAGAGTCTTGGCGGGTCAGGGGGGTGCAGGACTTTCGGTGCAGACCTCTGTATAGAAAAGTTAATAAAATATAAAAGTCAACTAATAAAATTAATATTAAAAGAGATAGTTTTTTTAAAAACTAAGAGTATAAATATCTAACTTTATTTAGATAGGATCGGAATATTAAAAGTAGTAAAGAATCTTGTGGCATAGAGTTCAAAAATGGAGGTTGAGGGTGCGTAAAATGGCTGTGACCGATCCGATTCTAGCGTGTCGTAACAGGTACTTAATCTTGGCGCTGCGACATAGATGGTCGTCTCACGGCCTCGGATCTGAGCTCGGATCTCAACCACATGCGAGGTATGGAATCACACCAGACTTCCGTACGCAAAAGACGCAATCGCGAGCATCACAATTCTAGAAACGGCTGTCTTCAATGCAAAGCACGCAAGGTCAAGGTCGGTGTCCTTTACCCTTCGGAAAATGGCGCCTGCTCACCCTCGGTGTTACAGTGCGACGAAGAAAAACCCAAGTGCCGAAGCTGCACTCGGAGAGCTACACCCTGTACATACACCAACAACATTGGCTTAAATCATCTCGCGCGAGCGGCGCAGGTATCTTCGCCATACAACAAGCCCGAGCCAAGCTCCACCTTCGCACCCGTACCATACAACCATGGTGATTTCATATCCAATGGGAACAATCTTCTCCAGGCGGACGGCTCATTGTAAGTGCCATCCCCCTCACCCTTGGCCCTCAACATGGCCCATCTAGAGCTTCTGCATCATTTCATAGCAGTCACATCCGAGGCTCTTGGGGTGGAGACTATCTCACTTCAAGTTTGGAAGATGACAATCCCTCAGATCGCCCTTGGCCATGATTTCCTCATGCACAGCATTTTGGCAGTCGCGGCCCTGCATATAGCCCATCTCCGGCCGGAGCAGCGAAGACCATACTGGGAACGAGCGGCTATGCATCAGGATCGAGCACTGGAGCTACAACAGGAGGCTATGGCAAATGCGAGTCGAGATAATGCCGATGCGTTGTTTTCGTTCTCTTTGCTAGTCATCTACTTTGCTTTCGCATCACCCAAAACCTCAGATAGCCAAGAGTCGGAGGAGCCACTTGCAGGCGCTGTTCAATGCATCAGCATAATACGTGGGATTCGATATGTCGTACCGCCTATTCAGCAGTGGGTAGAAGAGGGGCCCTTGGCACAACTGCTATCCTTCCATCCCGGCAATATGAAAAGCAACCACTCTTTCAACGATCCCGACACCGATCGCTATTTCCAAAGATTCCTTGTGCTATGCTCTACAAACTCCGACTTGAACAAGACACACGAGTTTGAAGACATAGAACAATACGCCGCCGCGGCCAGTACCCTCCGAGCGTCTTTCCTCAAAGCCGAATCAATTGCGGACGGCGCGCTGAAGACCCCACCCATTTGGCACTGGGCCTGCCGTTTGGCTCCGGAATTTCTTCAAAGACTGGGAAAGTTGCATCCGATACCCTTGGTGCTGGTTGCCCATTGGTGCGTCATACTGGCGCAAATCCGACAGTACTGGTGGATTCAGGGGTGGGTGGATCATACCATGGGACAGATACATGAGTGTTTACCTCGGGAATACCACGAATGGCTTGAGTGGCCAACGAAAAAGATTCAAGAACAGCGAGAGAACTGGACCCGGGGAATAGATGGGATTGGAAGCTCTTGACGAATGATCACCGACGTTTTTAATGAGCACGCATCTTGTAGTTCTGGCTCTTACATCTCACGAGCAGGATGTATAAGATTCATGGCTTACGCCAGCATTCCTCCATCGATGGTGTATACGGAGCCGGTTACTGATGAAGTTCGCTAGTCAGCAGGGATCCATTCTAAACAGGAACGGAAGTCTTGAAAAATGTGCCCGGGGTATGAGAGTCACTGATACATGTTTCGTATTTCCCGAAGACGCTCAAGCCTGGATTTCGGGTCTGGAGAAGACCTACTGTACTTAGCCCCGTCACTCAATAGGAATGCCCGAACACTGGCGGCCTCCTCTGGCTGGCCTATCCTGGAGAGCGGCACCCGATTGAACATTTCCAACTTTGCAGATTCCACTCCACCCAAGCCTGCCACCATCGGCGTATTGAATATACCTCTGTACTTGTGGCAGCTGGTCTGGAATCGTTGGTGAAACAGTCCAACAAACGGAACAATGGCTTCGGCTGAGCCACGAGAGGGTCGAAAAGTGCCATTCCAAGCATTGACAACCACGTGAAAGAGAGTAGACCTACGGCGCAACACAGTTGACCCGGATTCCTCTCCCTCCCACCTCACCGGCCGCACTCTGACTCAACCCAATGACTGCATGCTTAGTCGCCGAGTACGGGCTATTTTTCGGATGCCCCTCTAACCCTGTCGTACTCGGCGCGTTTACCACGGCGTCTCCGTCATTCAGCACCCTCAACTGCGCCCTCATACAATAAAACAGTCCCGTGAAATTTGTCCTCGTGACAAACTCCCACTCATTGCTCAATTGTACAAGAATATGAACACCGAAGTTCTTGCCCAACACCCCAGCGATATTAGCTGCGCCGTCTAAGCGTCCAAAGTGCGAGATCGTCTTCTCGATCCAGGAGTCCACCTGCGACGATTCGCGAATGTCAACGGCGGTGGCTAGGATGTTAGGCTTTGGGGAGGAGGTGGATGTGAATGAGGATTCGATTTCCTTTCGAGTTTAGGTCAAGGCGTCTTCCCGGTAGTCGGCAAGGGAAAGACTGGCGCCGCGGGCGAAAAGAGCTTTGGCTGTTGCAAGGCCCATGCCCGAGGCAGAGCCAGTAACGGAGATGACTTTGCCGGCGAGCGAAATCATTGTGCTAGTGGGATTCGTGGGAAGGTGCGTTGCAATGGGTTCTGGGGATCCTGAAGACTGAATCATAAACAGTGCTTGAAGCTTGTGAATTTTGGCGGACGTGGAGTGGGCTGGATCGCTTTGACTCAGTTTACCCGGACTGCTTCGACTAATTCGGACAATTAGGGAACTATACGCGAAAGCACGTGACTTCGCACTCTCAAGATGTCTCTCTCTCTGTCTGACACGCATGAAAGGCATGAAGACAGTCGTGGCAGATTATGCAAAATGCCATGCATTGTGCTTGTATCCTCAAAACATCTTGTATCTGCATTACCTGAATAGGAATTCTCGCATCAACATTCCGAATCACGGAGAGACTTTGTGCAGGCCAGTAATCAGCGATCGAACTATCCGCGTGAGTCGGACCAAGACTGCAAACACATACAGAGAGTAAGGTAGAAAGACTTATAGAGAAACGACTTCGTTGAAACTCGTCCTGAAATATTCAAATTGTCTCTCATCTTACGCGGCACACCTAGTGGAGGGTCCAATTGCGTAACAGCTCTTGCAATTTTCCTATTCCTGGTGAGCTGAAAATATGCACGATGATGAGACGCCCGCTGGGGGGCCGTACGGCGAGAGGCTATTGCCACAGGTTATCGATGCCTAAGCCAGAATTGACCCAGAAAGGATCTATGCATTGGTACCTCATTCCGCAGATGTAACCCAAGGGTTCCGCAAGATCACAATGAAGGAGCCAGCCAGCGCTGTCAATCGCCTCGCTTGGTGGATAGATCGTGAGATTGGGCACTCGGAGGATTTCGAGACATTGGCTTATATGGGTGCTACGGACATTCGTTTTGGCACTTTCTTCTTTGCTGCGATCAAGTGCGATTACAAGTTCTTGGTGCCTTCAGCAAGAAATTCGGTATCTGGCAACGTTTCTCTCCTGAGGGCATGCTATTGCACCAAAGTTTTTGTTACGGCGGATATGGCCAAGAAATTTCCCGACTTGGAGAAGAACATACCTGACTTGCGGAACTTCTTTCTTGTGTCGCTCGATGACCTGTTGACCGGAACATCAGCACACGACCCCTACGACAAAACACATGCGGAAGGTGTTAAAGATCCAGTCCTCATCTGCCATACGTCCGGTTCCACAGGTGCGCCCAAGCCGATTATACTTCCTAATGGAGCATTCAACGTTATCGACAACCAGCACAGGCTCTCAAAGCTGGAGGGCCGGAAGAACATGGACTATTCCTTGTTTGATCTACAAGGAAAAGGGTTCATAAACACGTTTCCGGGCTTCCATGTTGGTGGAATTGTTGCCATGACCGCACTTCCAATCTGGTACGATTCTCTTGTCGTAATGGTGCCTTCGAATAGGCCCGCAAATGGAGAGATAATGGGTCAGATCATGTCTCAAATGCCGATTCGTGGGGTTTTCAAAACCCCAACAGTGCTCGAAGAACTACTGGACACACCTGAAGGCCTTAAGCAGATTCTCCAGACGGACTTTGTCATGGAGACCTCTAGCCCCTCTCGCGGGCGACCGTATTAGCGAGGTAACCAGTCTCACTTCTGCTATTGGCTCGACCGAGGCTGGTATTATCCCGGCGTGGGTTCCGACCAAGGAGAACTGGAGTTACTTTGAGCGGCATCCGGACTACGAAGTTGATATGGTACATGTGGTATCTAATGAATTGACGGTACCGAACCCGTCGAGGCTCGCGTGGATTCATACGTGCTATCACACTTTCCCCGAAGTCGAAGGATGGCGGACCAATGACCATTACAGACGCCACCCGACACATTCAAATCTTTTTACATTCCGAGGCCGAGGTGACGACGTGCTAGTGCTGTCCAACAGGGAGAAGTTCCAACCCGTCATCACGGAGAGCATAATCCAAGGTCATCCGAGTATAGAAGGAGCACTTGTCGTAGGGACTGGTCGGTTTCAGCCTGCCCTCGTTATCGAACCAAAAGTGCATCCAGCGGATGCAGAGGCGTTCATTGAAGAGATCTGGCCGATCGTGCAAAGAGCCAACCAGGAAGCCGCAGCCCACGGTAAGATTTTCAGAGGCAAAATCATATTGACAACGCCTGATAAGCCATTTATCAGAGCTGGAAAGGGCAGCGTCACCCGGCCCAAGTCCACAGCTTTGTACGCTGATGAGATCGAGGCGTTGTTTAGTGACTCGGTCGGGGATAAGGAGCTCGGAGTTCTGTCGCCGGAACAGGTGCAAGATACGGCAGCTCTCAAGGCGTCACTGGGTGCTTACGTTCGCTCGATCCTGCCGGATTTGCCAGAAGGCGCGGATGGCGACAAAGACGACCTTTTTGCTCACGGGCTTGATTCTGTCCAGACTATCGAGCTTGCTAGTGGATTGCGCGCTATGTTGCATCCGCATCTGAACCCGTCGGATCTGAGCACGGTAGCGGCGAAGGCGATTTACACAATTTCAACTGTTGATAGTCTTGCAGAGTACATCAAGGGCCTACTGGGGATGACGACTGGTACTGGTGGTGACGTGGCGATGAAGCGAGCAGCTCGCATGAGCGCCATGCTGGACAAGTATAGCACAGGTCTCCCAAAGGCGAAGAATAGTGCTATGCAAACGAAAGGTGCTGCTCATACGAATGGGATCTCGCGCGCCAACGGTGTCGCTCACATAAATGGTACAAGCCCTATGCTCTGCGTCGTCTTGACGGGCTCCACCGGCTCGCTAGGGACCCAGCTGCTGCAACCTCTTATAATTGACCCTCAAGTCTCAAAGGTGGTCTGTCTGAATTGTGCGGACAATGCTCTGCAGCGGACACAGGACGCATTCGCTCAAAGGACCGTGAAGGTTGACCTTTCCAAGGCCGAGTTCCACAAAGCGCAATTTGCGGATGTGAGTTTCGGTCTATCTACTGAGGCTTATGACACGCTGAGGGATGAGGGGGACGTTGTTATTCATAATGCTTGGACAATCAATTCCAATCAATCGCTCGAGTCTTTTGAAGGTACGTACTCAGAGAAAAAACTCCCCACTGCTGCCAAAACTTGAATCACGAAACATGCTTTGGCCGAAAGTGACTCTTGGCTCTCCCTGAAGCTATTCGTGGCCCACACCTTTGTTTCTAGGAAGCAACGCCGACTTAAAACCCCGTATAGATCACATCCGCGGCGCCCGCAACTTCATCGACTTGAACAACTCAATCCCCAGGCGCCCTCGTATCACCTTCGCTCTTCCATCTCTTCCATCGCCAACCATTCCGGCTGCTACCCTAACGCCACTTTTATCCCTGAATAATCACTCACCTCAACCGACTACGCCGTCGCCCTCCCCATGGGGTACGGCGAATCGAAACACGTCGCCAAACGTATGCTAGCCCTCGCCGCCGAAAGGTCCGGCGTCAAAGTCGACATACTCCGTCTCGGACAGGTCGCTGGCCCTATCGCACCGCATGAGGGGTGTTGGAATAGGAACGAATGGTTTCCAAGGTTGATTCAAACAAGCAAGGCATTGGGGTATCTGCCGGATAAGCTGATGGAAGTCGAATGGATCCCTGCAGATGTGTTGGCGAGGATTATTCGAGACCTGGCGCATCAGGATCATGAAGGAATTCAGACGTATAATCTCATCAACCCACACAGCCGCGATTGGAAAACCCTGGTCCCTTTCGTTCAGAGAATGATTGGAGGAGAAGTGGTGCCGTTGAAGGAATGGATTGTACGATCGAGGGCGGTCGATGCGGATGACAAAGCAGAGGTGGCGGGGAAGCCTGCGTTGAAGATTCTGGATTGGTTCGGTGATGTCGAGGCGGGTTGTCGGCGGGGGAGGAGGGACGTAAATAGGCTACGGCGGATGGGAGGGAGGCGGGTGAGACGATGAGGGAATTAGGGCCCGTGAGCGACGAATGGATAGGGCATTGGTTGGGGGAGTTGGGCCTCTGAGAAGGTCTAGCATTCATCGTGATGTGTGTCTCATGTTTTTGCAACCTTTGTGTTGTTCTGGATGTTTTGTCTGAATCCACACTGCATCTCCGTCCGGTGCACGCCATCTTGGCCCCAGCATGCGGGTTCCCTTCACTGCGTGCTGCGCCTCGTTGTTACAGGGGATTTTTCGGTCCATGTCACGGTGTTGTATGAATGACGCTATTATTATCACTTCGATCGGGGTGTGAATTTAGAATTCTCACAGAATATCAGATCTGCACATGGGGGACCTGTACTGCGTCTCGTGATTCACGGTAGCTCCGGCAAAGTTTCAAGTGACGGAGTGGGTGGAAAGTGAAGAAACGACAACACCTTTGTGCACCGCACAATGTCTGCGTCACCTTCTATTTCCAGAACCTGCCGGCCAGCTGCGCCTCCACCGCACATGAACATACACGCTCAACATCATCATCACGCACATACTTAATACACCCCACACACAGCACAGCGACATCCTTTTTTTTTTCAAGAAAAACCCCCCGTCAAAACAATCCAGCATGGCGGCCCTGGATCCTACCCTTTTCCTCACCGCGGGCTCCGCCTACCACGCCGCCGTGCAGCTCATTTACAAACTCCCCGGCAAATACCGCCTCGTCCGCCGCACCCACCACACCCACATCGTCCACGGCACCGACCTCGCCTACCGGGACCTCGTCTGCCCCAGCCGCGGGACCGCCGACGTCACCCTCCGCGCCGCCACGGACGGCCAGTACGAAGTCGAGCTGATGCACACCACGGCCATCGACCTCCGCACCTGGGACGGACAAACGGCCACCAAGGTTGAGAAACGCGCGTTCCGGATCACGAACGGTCAGTGGAGCATGTGGGCGGTCCGGACGACGGATGAGGGGGTGGATGTCGTGGCGGGGAAGTTGGCGGATCTCACGCTGAGCGTGGCGGGGGGGCCGGCGGAGGGGGACGTGGTGCAGAAGGCGGCGCTGAACGGGGGACCGTGGCGGGATGGGCAGGGGGTGAATGCTGTGGCTATGTGTGTCTGGGTGGGGAAGCAGCCGTGTTGGCAGCTGATGCATCAGGTGGATCGGCAGGAGCCGGCGGCGAGTGAGGTGTGTAGTGATGAGTTTTGGCCTGTGGTGGAGGATGCGGGGAATGGGTGAGATGATGGACTGTGAGGTTTTGTTAAGAGGGGAAAGAGGGGGGGGGGGCGACTACTTGCAATGCTGAATCATACTAGTCGATGCAAAATTTTGTGTCTTGCAGATCAGTTAATGGAATACGTGCGATGGTATTGGACCGAAGAAGAGCACTCCAAGGAATTGTTCATTTTCACAAGTAAACGACCATTTTGCATCCAGGTGTATCGAGCGAAGAGGCATCAAGGTTCCACAATAGAAGATTTTACTCTTCTTTCCTTCTCTTTTCTCGGCGAGATCAAATGAGAAATCTGATCTAGAGCCTCTCGAAGATTCCTTTGCTAGACTTGTTTGTAGTTACCAATACCTACTCGTCACTCAGCTTTACACCGTCTTGCGATTACCAGCTTCGATAATGGCACAGTCCGACTTGACAGGGCGAGTCTACTTTAATCAAGGACGTGACATCGAAGGTAATCGGCTAGGGTCTATCCATTTCTCCACAATTTTAATTCCGAACCGTTTCCGAGATACCGTGCGGCCTAACAGACAACGGGATCGGTGTTCGACGAAGTTTCCTCTGAGCAACTTCACAAGCCTTTTTTCACCAGTTGAACAAGAGCGGCATGGTAGTTTGGATGATGAGGGGGAGGCGAGATCAGGTGATGAGCGTGATCCGGATGCGAAAACCGCTGAATCGATGAGACGACTCGAATCTCACGCGTGAATTGCACGCTGAGTCGGTATGACCAAGTTTACATGACGGAGATTATATGAAGTAAGACGTAGTATTAACTACTTTATACCTTGAATCCATACCGGCCATCATCTAGGCAGGATTAGAAAGATGGTGCATTACGAGAGAGTAGCTATGTTCAGCATCTTTCTAGCCATGGTACATGCACTCAGGAGGTATTTAGTCAATACCACTAACTGTATGAAACATCAAGGAAAGTATAAGATAGTAAAAGAGAAGGAGGCAAGGAAGGATTTTGAGACAGGAGACAAGATATGTACAAGATACAAGATACAAGATACAAGGCCAGAAAGAAGGTTGGTGGCTGCCACGTTTTCCTCTCGGTTACATATCGTATCGGAAACGCCAATTTAGCGCGCCTAGCCAATTCGAGCTTGGTAAGGTAATACCTTACTCTAAGTGGCTTGCAATTTGACCGAACCCTACGGCACGGTCAGCCAGCTTATTAAAGTACTTTACTTTCTGTTGCTGTATGATTATGTTTTGTGATTACGGTGATATACTGCTACTACTAAATAAGAATTTTTGCCAATTGGCAGCACTCAACAGAATTCCTTCATTCGTCGCTCTTCTGAACCTTCCACAACTAACAGCGCCAACCAGACTTCACCCCCATTTTCACTCACCTAGCCGCCGACATCCACCACAGGCTTGCCACGAATACAATGCACTTCGTCATTTAGCCTATATTGCCAACGCACTATCCTGCCTGCCCTGTCCACTTGCAATGTCTGACTTCAAGAACCGGTCCGTCTCTGACATGCAGCACCCCAACACTTCATCTCACAAGCGAGATGACGACGAGACGTATCGTATGACCGTCCTTCGATTCGACAAGACCGAGGACGAGGTGGACCAGCACTTCCTACAAATGGCACTTGATCTGGGCATCAACATTCCACAAGAACCCAAGACGACCATCGACCTCATCACTAGCAATGTCGCTACTCTTAATATCAATTCTGACTCCCCAGAACCACACCAGCTGTCCCCCTCCCGAGCCTCCGAATCCACACATACAGCATCCGAAAGTTCCATCGAACAGATGGAGCATACAAAGACACCCTCACTTACCGCCACATCCGTTACCACTGCTTCCATTAGCTCGGCAGCATCCAACAAGTCCAACTACGTCAAGGTCAGGAACGGCTTTCGTCGGATATCAAGACTACACAGGCGGAAGACAATGGCGGTACCCGTCCCAGCAATACCACTTCGCACCTCGTCTATGTTTCACATCTTAAGACCTGGCTTGGAGCCTCGTGCAATAACGGCGGACCAAATCGCTACAATCTACAATCCCCAGCCTCACGCGATAACGACAGACCAAATACGGACCCTTTCAATACCCCGCAAACGGGTCATGTCTACCACATATAATGCACCGCCTCCGCTACCACCGCCTGCACCCTTGTCGCCGCCTCTCCGTTCTCCAGGGGAAGAAACAATAGAGACTCTCTATGCCCGTCGCCGTAGCATATCGAATCCCACCCTCAAGAAGCTCCGGACAACTCAACTACAAGAACAACTCCGCTTCATCAGCTTCGAGGCCTCGCAACACCGCCTCATGCGCACCAAGCAGCTACAACACAAACGGGATTCCCTCTCCCGGTATCAAGACCAGGAAAGGGATACCCACGCCCACCACACCGAGGCTCTTTCCTCCCTCGAAACTCGACATTTGACCGCGGAAGTCGACCTCCAAAGGACCCTGCAATTGGAACGTCAAGCTTGCGATACCCGTTTGAAACACATGCAGGCGTACTGCAATCCACGCTCAACGGTAGCAGGGATGCCCTCGCGAGTGGTTACGAAATCCGACTATCGTCAGCTAGAACAACAATATCACATACGCAACGGCATGGATAACCTTCACGCTTCCCGCATTAACGTCTTACGAGAAAGGCAAGGGAAGCAACAAGAGCGTATAATGGCAAAGCAAGAGGCCGAGCTCGAAACTCTCGAGTCGAACTTTGAGCAGCAGAATGAAGAATTGGATACGAAGTTTCGAGAGGAGGAAATGCAGCTGCAGCAAGAGTTTGCCGAGCGCAAGAAAAGACTTGTCAGACGATGGGCACTGGCTGAGGCAATCGAGAGGCGGAAATTGGAGAAAGCAACTGGCGAGACCTTTGAGCCTTTGCCTCCTATCTTCTGGTCCGGCGATGAGGATGGCAGGGGCAAAGAGAAAGAAAGAGCAAGGGAGGTACCGGGGAAAGAGGACAATCCGACGTACGACGCTATGAATATGATCTGATCTTCAACCGCATAGATTCTTTGTTTTATATCAAGTTCTGGACCATGTGAGCGAGCATGGAGCGAGCATGGTGTGGCGTTTCAAATCCTACGAATCTTTTGGCGCAAATACCTGTGTACATTTACAATTTTGTCGTTAGCTTTCTATCATGGAAACATCCTTTCCCTGCTCAGCCTCACCCAGCGACACGCTTTTGGGCTGGCACCACACCCTCATCTCCAGCTGAAACCAGCGTAGCGGATGCAGCGAGCAGCGTCGTTTCCGCTACGCTCCAACATCGATCCTTTTCGCAGCTGGCTGAGCACTTTGACCTGGCCTGACCCGCACCCTACATTTCCTTTTGCCCAATCGAACGAAGGGGGATCTCTGATAAAGAAAACAACTTCGTCGGTGGCATGCTTTTTTCATCCTCAGATTTGAACCCCTCCTAAACACGGAGCTTAGCACGAACGTCGAATCCAACCCGGAGCAACAGAATTGGAGCACCCCAAAGCCTCTCTCGTCCTCCCGTGGCACGTTCCGCCTCGATCGCGGTCTCCGAATGGCGCTCTTGGGCCGATACGTGCGGAATACGGTTCACGTTGTGTGTCCGCAGGACGGCATTGAAAACCGCTGCTCTTCTTATTCGAGGTCTGGCTGCGTGTGGTCCGACTCGGGCTTCAACATTCAATGTTAAGTTGTTGAGCAATGTTGAAGTTCTATAACCTATCTCGGTGTTGACGGATATTCACACAATACATGTGGGATGCGGGAGCAGTTCGCAATAACCAAGCTTCCCATCAATCCTGCAGTCCTGAGGCATATACTGTGTTGGTTGCGTGTCTCACCGAAGTGACCGACGGCTCACAAATGTAGGGAGCTCGCGAGCTCTTATTTGCACCCTAAGACACAATTGTCGTGGAGTCAACCTACCAGTTCCTGAGGTCCAGCAACAGCTCGAAGAGCAGCAGTCGTCCATGTATTGCGCAACAACATAAGAGTGGCGGGAATAGTGGGTAGGCATCTGATACTGATGTGTGACCTAGCCTCTCAAGGCTCAGCAGAAATCCATTCGTCAACAAAAGTTTATGTATTTGGTATCCGAGACCCTCTCAGCAAGTAAGGCAAGCGAAGTGAGCAACCCTGGTTGTTGCTAGTTCCTGCCTGCCTTCAAGGGAGGTCTACTTAAGATTTTAAGCTGTACGCGACCATTGACAGAATTTCCTCATCTCGCCGTAGCTATAAAAGAGGGTTGCGACGGGGAAGAAAGCAACGGCGGGAAAGCCAGGCAAATCAGTTGCCCAATGATTGTTTGTCAGTCATGCGATCGTAGACATAGTACGGTAGCAGCAGTGCAGGACGAACGTAGTTGTAAGAGGGAATGCAAGACTCCCCCAAGGGTTGTGATGTATTGCAGTAGCGAGCATGGGAAAGCCCGCGCCAAATAAAGGGTCTGACGATGATAGTGTTGGCCGGGATGGCGGAGTTGGCGTGCAGGAGGTGGACGTCGATGCGGTAGGCCCGACCTTGCGAGAAGAATAATCTGCAGGTCAGCTTCCGAGAGGAACACACGCGATGATCTGAAGCCATGCTGCCACGGGTTCTTTGATATATGTATGCGGAGAAGACGTCCACGCGAACCAGAAGTATCCGGTGGGCAGATCTAAGCGCATTGTCTAGGCAACCCTTCTGGCGGAGGCGTTATCCGAGATGTTGGCGAGATGTTGGCGCAGGAGTCTTGGCATGTCCAGGACGTTTGGGGGTGTGAATTATTGATTAGCCCATTTTAACCATGTCACTGCTGGGTAAGGACTGTATCAACATTGAGAAGATCTTAGAGCCGAATCCAACTATTGTGTCAACTACCGACTTTGACTTTTAAAGATAGACCTATCTCGAAACCCCGAGCCTGTCGCCAGAGTATCGCATCCTCTGGCAGAGGGTACTTGTATATTCAGGGGTTTCGACCGAACATCAAATTACCATCGCTGCGCTTCAGTCGTGAGTGTAGTTCAACAACGACTGCTTCCACAACAAAAATTTCAGTGTTGCGATTATTCGTTATACGCAGCGAAAGTTGTTGTCCTGCAGTCTGTTCGTTTCAATAAATCCCTGGGTTTTCAAGGTTTTTCCGAAACAGTGTACGCGGAATCTACTATTGTGTCAAGACTGTTATATACAATCGTGAGACGCTTCTAAAAATCCAACTTGCGCGAAACTAGATAGAATTTTAAAGGGAGGCGAGACGGATAAACTTATGGTAGGCACGGTATGTCGTTTGCGCAATCGGCAACTCTACCAAAAACATGGCGATCATCCAACATGTACGGTACTCGCAGCATAAATTGAAGTGCGGAATTGAGGATGATGCCTTGGTTTCGAGGGTTGTAATATACAATTCCTTGACGACGGTGGTTATAGACCGTCGCAGATATTATTGGGATGTTTCACGCGGGCCGTACGAGTAGGCGCCACAGGATTGCTGATCCCGTTCGGAACACGTAGTAGCTTTTTAGCCAAAGAATAATTTGGACGCAAGTACAAGCCGTCTTGTTGCCTACGCTATCCAATGGTATGCGCTGGTGGGTACGGTCCACGAACGTGGACTGACACCTTTTCATGGTGCTGGGGATAAGTAGCTCTACGGAGTGAAACCAACATCAGTCCCATCTAATCCACCTCGACCATCCACCAGCATATCGACTCTGATGTCGAATTACTGAAGTCTTATTTCGCATCGTCAAAGCCAATGCCAACGCCAAAGTCAACGACCCCGAATTGCTGTCAGTGACGTCCCACTTCATTCCGTCCGACTGGCTGTGGAGATAAGCATGGATCTCCCTCTATAGGAGCGGTGGTAATCAGGATCATCGATATCCTTACCACTTCATACAGCTTAAACTTGTTCATGTTCAGTTGAGATTATCATCTGGCTGGGTAGTAATAGATTTTCGAGCGAACTGGATCTATCCCTCTTTCCCCTTCGCAGTTGTAACATTCGCATTCGATTCTTTTACATCAAAGTATTCAGGAGCAGGAGCGAAGAGAGGGTATCTTCGACTACTTTCGAGGGTAGTTTCCTCAGTGAAAGAAGCGTACGGCATGGATCACTCGAAGGGCGGGTTTAATGGGTGGGGACTTCAGATCTACGGACATAGCCTCGTTGATGTTCTCATGTAATGGGACAGGCTTCCCTAAGTCCTCTCATAAAACAGTAAGGACAACTACAAATCCGATACATCGGCATGGCGGCCGTCGGAAAAAGAACGTATCAACATGGGTTTCATGTGTCGCGTATACCCGAAACACCATATTAAACGATTAGCCGCAGTACTGTCTCAATCGCACGGGACGCATCAGAATTCTTTGGCAATGACCGAAATCAATGATAAAAGAGCGTACGCCATGCTCAGAAGAAAAACACCCAGAAAAGAAACAACGTCTCAGAGACATTATTTACATTACCACTTTGATCACCCAGCTCCCATTCCGTTATATCACAATCGCCATGCGTTGTAAGTCCTCTTGCGGACAGATTGTATATTGGGCAACAGATTACTGACGCTGCTCTGTCTTTTCAGCATCTCTACGCTCCATCTCGGCCTGCGCCTTCCTGTTCGTCAATCTCTTCTCTCTCATAAACGCCTCCCCCGCCTTACACTCAAACGCTCTCGAACCACGCAAAGTTGGGCGCGGAGGTGGCGGTGGTGGAGGTCACAGCGATGATGATAGCGGTGGTGGCAGTTCAGGAGGAAGTTCAGGAGGAAGTTCAGGAGGAAGTTCAGGAGGCTCCAAAACCGGATCAAGCTCAACCAACGTATTGCTTTTCAGTGGGGGTGATTACGGCTCATTACGCGGAAATTGCCAGATGGGCGATGATGGTAAATGTTACGGCCAGGATCAAGCAACAGGCAACGGCATCACTTGCAACGGACAGGGCACTTGGTACACCGTCACCGCAAGTAACATCAGCGTTGCCTGCGCCCACTTCAACTACAACAGCAGCGCCTACAGCCAGGGCCAGAGTTGGAATCAGACCACTACCAACTCTGGGGGACCCCTGGTCAATGAACAGGGCCAGCAAATGTCGATCTACTGGTCGGCGCAATTCGACGGGGCCGACAACGCAACGCCGGCAGCATGTGAAGGCGCTCTGGGTGATTTGGTAACGGCATGCGCGAGTACGAATAAGGACTCCGAGGGCGGGCTGTACAATTTCGTAGGCGACACTGCGGCTTATGGGGTTAATTTCACGACTAGTTACTGTGGCTGTTAGTGGAATCGTCATTTGCGGAGACGAGGCGTGGGTCGAAGATGTGTATCAGACTCTTTTGTATTTTTCACCCTGCATCAGAACATTTGCTTTTACCGCCATGAGCCACGAGAGAGGGGTATACATATACTACTTACCTTCGTAGCCATGCCCTCTTCATTTAGCCCAGAACAGAAACTGCATCTCTTACCTCGGTCTCATTCCTTTTCCTTTTCCCAGCTTACAACAGAATTGTAATAACGATTCCGATATCTGTCTACGGGATTTGTCAGCAAAATGGGAAATCCTGCGGTTTTCAGGATAGACGAGGCGGGATCGAAACGCACCATCAAGATATGCTCTAAGACCTGATGTCAAAACCACTCAGCTGGCTCCCTGCAAACGATGGCTTGATCAAGCCTCTCGCATGTTTCCATTCCGCGCCATCATCGGTGCAGAGCATACCGCGCCCGAAGAAAGGCCCAAAGTCTCCTTTCCGCTCGGGGCCAACCTCAAAAGCTCTCCCATGCGGTGCCCAAGATCGCTTGGCAATTTCGAGGCTCGCATGTGTGGAAGGTGCTTTGACCGAGTATCTTTTCGCTGATGGTGTGACCTAGTCTTGAGAATCGAGGATAGAGAACGTCTTCGAGAGCATCGTCGCCTTCGTAAGCGAGCACGTTCTATAAATGGTCCAGGCCGCCACGGAAACGGGTGGTGTCGACGGTGGGTTCCTCGCAGGGACGCTCGAGTCTTAGATGGTGGTAGTGTTGGGTGATTTGCCAAGTGCCTGTAGGCTTGAGATTTGATGAACAGAACAGTAAATCATTTTAAAGCGTTTTCAGCACGACTTTGACATTGACAATTCTTGAAGTTTTAGAATTTGTATTCTACGCTCTGGCTTTTTTCCCCAGGGTTTTAACTATATTGTTATAGAACGATAAAGTATAAAGGTCAGATTTGGGGGATTGCATATCCCAGTAGATTGTATTAGATATAGGGTGTGAGTCCGAGTAGAGTCTGGAGACACGCAACAAGGGATTTTGCGTGGCTATCGAGGCCGTATTTGACCAGCTTGAACCACCATTAGCACACTAACAACGCGACTTAAGGTCGACCATTGTCTGTAAGGAAGCCTCGATACTTTGTCACTCGTTCAGAATCCAATGCAAGGTCCAGCCGAGTGTCGGCACTGCACTACGAGGTTGTCGCATCGATTGGGAGTATTCCAAGGCTATGTTGGCCCCGGTCGTCAGCTACGGTACCTTACTTTGGGAACCTATTGCAGGATCAAAGGTACAGGGCCACAGCAAGCTTGTATCCAGATTGCCTCTCCACAGATATCATGCCGATTCTTTAGGGTACAGGGTTGCTATGTCAGAAGAATTTGTAGCACCGGCTCGACCCGTTCACCATGTTGGTATGCACAGCTTGCCGTAATTTCATGTGGCTGAGGCTGACGCAAACCCGCGATTGCAAATCTCCCCTCCGACATCACCTTTGTCACAGGTGACTATGTAGAGAACTGAGTCTATAGCTATTAGGCAAGCCAATAGATACATACCTCGCAAAGGATTCAGACGAAGGATACACTGGAGACTGGTAAGGCTAGGCTTTGCGCCAAGGCATTAGGACTAAGCTGGACTCAGTCCGGCCCGACTGGACTACTGAAGGCAGGCTTCGAACATTGAATCGTACCAACTTTGAGCGTTGGTATCTCAGCACCCGTTCATCCTAACCATCGACAAAGCACCTGGAATCTGGCCTACAAATGCACCGAACACCAGCTTGAATTCACAGAAGGCACAGTCTTTCTTTCCGAGACTCGAGCCCGAATCGTGATAAGTCGCGTCCCCAGGCCATTCGCTCACGCGACACGCGACACGCCTCCTACCTTCCATTCAACTTTTGCCCAGCGAAACGCTCGGTTATGTTCAAGTCAATGGCTTCTATCCTGTCTCCGACCGTGACATCTCACGATCAGAATCAATCATTCGTTGAGTCTGATGACCCCGAGCGCAGTGATCCGGCAGTGAATTCTGACGCACTGCCTGACGATCATCCAATCCATCTCTTACCCGAGGCGCGAGCGTTCTACCGCAGCGGCCGGACGCCGCCTTTTGTGTTGAATAAGCGTTCTGAGGTGATCAAAAGCGTCGTGATCCCAACCAAGAATGGATTGAGACCCAAGGATGAAAAGGCGATCAAAGTCAAGATTGTAGCCAAGGTATGTGCTTTTAAGTGTGGGTTCTTCCCACTCGGTATATCTCTTGAGAGTGGGGAAGACTTGTTACCCCCACCGTGCTCCATGAACTTGTCTCACGACTCGATTTTGAGTCATGGTAAGGGCATGCTGACTCGGGAATCATCTTTAGCCCTGGGATAAAGAGTTCATGTTCTGGACCCTTGATCTAAACCATACCAGGTACATTGTAAAGCCGTTCAACGGACAAGCACAAGGGGGCATGCGGTATCTCTACTGGGCTGGTCCAGGCAAAGACTTTGAGCAAAAACCGCTTGCACTGTCTTTCATATCGCCTTATCACTCGGGTACTACAATTTCTACGAGGAGTGATGGCACCCTACCCGCCATTTCAAGTTTCGCTCCAATCAATCGCAAACGAAGCATCCCCACGGACTCTTTCGATTCGTCAGAGTCGTCAGATTCGTCGGATACTTCCGACTCCGAATCTGAAGCGAAAAGTACGCGTATACCTGGCCTTGCTCAACGCGCGGTTGATGCAGGACCCGGAAACCCCTTGCAGCAGATCGATGACAACACTTCCGATCACAGCGATCATTGCACCAGCGAGACGAACGCCCTGAAGCAGCCGGCTGCATTCCAGAGCGCCCCTCCAAAAAGGAGGAAAACTGAGGTCTCGAGCCGCGAGATCGACCGACTGAATCGGAGTTCTCCTCCTGCACGACGACGATCTGACGTCCAGGTTCCATTCAGAGGAAGTCATCCAGAACCTGCGCAGCCTACCACATCGGCATCGACGAAACCGGTAAATGATCGTGAGGACAAGAGAAAGCAAAGGGCCATAGCTCGGATCGAGAAGGATCTCGGGCGAAAATTCGATCAAATATTCACACCTTGGGCTGGTGAAGACCAAGGTGTGAGTCGAAATACTCTTCAAATGATCTTGAAGGTCATCGCCCTCATGGAAGACAATTCGCCTCAAAAGATTACCCGGTCCTTGAACAAAGCCGTGAACGGGAGGGACGGCAAGCGCCAACCTGCTGGAGGCTTGCGACCCACAGGACCCTCTTTCAAGGGATTGGAAGCGACTTTGCAGGCCACAAAAACCGCGACTGTCAACGGCGGTAGGACGGATACGCCTTCATCTCCGTCGAGAAAAGACCGCCAGCAGCTTGATCAAAGGACTTTGCAGAGAACCGAGGCTGTGAGCCACAAAGGTACTGGACCAGATCCGCCATCGATTCTGTTGGAAGGTAACCGCCACCAGCTTGATCAGGGTCTGGACTTGGACATGTCGCCCTCGACAATCTTGCCTCAACACAAACAGAACCGCACTACATTGATCGTTCGAGTGGCGCCTTCCCTCGAATACTTACCCCTGAAATTGAGCGAATGCATGACACCATTAGTCTTTTACACTAAAGTTATTAGCGCCTGGGGTATTCGTGGGGAGAGCGTGGCAAAGATTACAGCGACCTTCACATGGATGGACCCGAAGGATAAGATGAGGACAATGTTAATGAACAGCAAAATTCAAGGCTGCTTTGCGCATATGATTGAGCAGGTTGACGAAGCTCCAGCCTGGGAAGAGGGGGGAAAGGGAAAGTGTGTCTTGGATGTTGAGATTGTGCTGAAGGAGTAAGCTTGCACGTGCGTTGCAAAACTTTTTGATGTAAGATAGCGGGAGCAGGTGGCATTGACGGGATATGAGGTTTTCTTCCATGCAGGATGTTGGCGACGGCGGAAAGCTAAACTTTCGCAACGAATTTGAAGGATCAGGGTGGTTTGCGTGTATAATGAAAGAAATAAGGAGTTTGATTGCTTGTCAGATGAAAGAAAATCGGGACATTGAACTTGGGAATAAGCCATGATAGTATCCTTAAAGGCTGGACTTCGCATGCTAGATGAACGGGATGAGGGGACATTGACCATCACAACAAGCTACAGGAACATCATATGAGTGGCGTACTACTGAAAAGCAGGACTTGGGCCCATGAAATCTGGACACATCTCGAATGACAAGCAGTAAAAATCTGTTCTGGTAGCGGTTCCTTCCCTTAATAATGACCTGACCTCCATACGCGCTTGCCGCGAATCATATCCAAACATTCGGTTGCTTCTCGCTATGTCTAACCTACCGCAACCACAACAACCTCTACGATCCCCTTATCTCCGACACTCTACGGGCGTTCTCCACCTCAGTCTCAAGTTTGCATCGACCATGAGCCAGAGGACTAGAGTCGCGGTAGGCTTCCCCCCCGTCCCTCATGTCAAACACTTGAACTTATCCAACCACCTACAGTGCAGATCGTGCGTCGATGGGGGCACGAAGTGTGAAGTGACATCAACCGGCCGATGCAGACGCTGCACCAACCGGGGTCTGACCTGCTTTATGCCACCCCGTGATGCCGTCAAGATAGCCGTAAGTAGGCACTGTGATGGTTTACCCCCTCAAATCTAACACCTTTGCAGTGTGAGATTTGCCGAAGACGAAGACGCAAGTGCATTCCAACTTCTGGTGCCAAGTGTGAGCGTTGCACTGAGCAAAATCTCATCTGTATCGTCTCGCCGCCTACCCAAGAGCAGCAAGAGGCCCGACGCAGTTCAGGAAGGCGCCGCTCTGACCAATCGATGACCGACGCAGACAGTGATTCTGAAGCTAGCTTCGACTCCCTTTTCCACGAGTCCCAATCCGAGCCTGAATCCAGCCCCGACCGGCCTTTGACTCGCAAAGTTGGCCACGAGCCCCAGCAAACGAAGCATGTCAATTCTACGATCGTCACCGAAAGGCAGAAGGCAGCTGCGACCATGGAAAAACGGCTCGCCGAACGTACTAGTACCGCTACCTTCGTTGGTGCCCGGTCTGGATACGAATCTGGCACGTCTGATGATGTACCGTTGGGCAAGAAACAGAGAGTTACTCCGGTTACTCCCCCCAGTCGAAACAAATCAAAGCCCACCACGCCTCAACAGATCCAAGTGTCTCCAGCCCCTCTTGCAAAGATGATCCCGACTCAAAGAGACGTGCCCAAGTTTTTAATACCCCAGTCGATCAATATTCTACCCCAACGTCAGACACAAGTGACCACCACCACAACGGCTACTGCTATCAGTGATGGCCAACCCGGAACCCTAACCGCAACGTCAAAGAAATCGCCACAGTATCAGCTCGAGAACACGAAGCTAAAGGTACATCTACACGGCAGTAAGGGCTACAAACCCCTACTGTTGAAAGACTGCATGGCACCTTCCCTGTTCTTCACCAAAGTCCTCGAAATATGGTCCTTGCTAGACGACACTGTCAAGCGGCTTCACATTACATTCCCATGGCTATCCAAAGAGGATAACGGCAGACTTATGATTCTGGAACGCCAAACCATCAAGGCTGGCCTAATATGTATCTGCGATGAGGTGGAAACTGCCCCCTGTTGGGCTGAACAAAGGGGCCACTGTTCTATTGATGTGACAATCTTTCCAAACTCGCGAATGATGGATAAATTTGATGGGCCTGCAACCCGTGACGGTCGCTCGATTCCGAATATGAGTGTCAACGCAAATAAAGTTTACTGGGCTATGAGGGCAGACAAGCAGGCAGATGTGGGATTGCATGTTCAAGAGATAGCTACTATGGTGGGTATGGATGCAGTCGACGTTGTTATTGCGGGGGAAGAGTTGCTGGAGCATTGTTTGATTATCACGAGCGACGAAGATTACGATGTTTGGAGTCTGTTGGAAGTCTGATCGAGGCTGTACATGGTTTATGTATCAAGTTAGGCTACCGTTCTCTTGAAATGCTCGACTATTCTAAGACAAATAAGGATGTAGATACATCAATGCCGGATAACTCTACCATAGCCGTTGCACTTTAGCTGCGGAGCCAGCCTGGCTCCTTCCTATCTATCTCTCGACGTCCCCTCCATCTCACAGCCCCCCGCCACCTCTAAGCCCTGACGACCTCAACAACAATTCCGCACTTCCCCCCCTCATCCTTCCAACAGGGCGCCTCATCGATAATCTCCAAGAATATTTCAAAGCTGCCTTCGCTCCCCCTGTCGATATAAATCGTCTTGTAGACATCAGTTTCGTCCTTCCAGTCAAAGATAGCCATGAGACATCTAACCGGCTGTTCGTATTCTTTGTGCCCGCTGGCAGCGATGACGCCGCTGAAGAGTGTGGCCATGGTCATGCAGGCGAGCAGTCGTAGTGGGACGAAACCAATGATGTTTGAATCGCGAGTGATGCGAAGGGTGGTGTGGGTTTGTTTGTGGAGAGTGAGGGTCGGGAGAGAAGTGGGTGCTGGGGCATGGGGGTTTTGGGTTTCGGGGGTCGGGCCCGGGCGGTGGTTGATGCCGGGCGTAGGGGCCGGAGTCCCGTAGGGCGGGGAGGAGAGGGCGGAGGAGTCGTCGGAATGAGAGCGGGTTCGGCGAGGGGTTCGCTTTGGAACGGAAGCTGGCGGTTTGTCTGGCCTGGAGCCCAAGTGTGCAGGCGGCGAGGGGCTCCTCGCTCTCTTTGTAGGCTTAGGTGTCCTACGGGGACGTTCTTTCAACGCTGGTGGCTCGGATGAAGCGACCGGTTGACGCGTACTGAACTTGATTGGCGTTGGAGGAGGAATGGCGGTAGGATCAAAGGCCTTTTTGAACCTGTCGTAGAAATATTGTTGATCTTCTGTTGCACTTGGGTGAGGGTCCTGATCCTCTTCATCGTCCGATGACGACGACAAGCTTGGATCTTCGTCGACTTCGGGCAGATGCTCGGTCAAGCTTGACGCTGTCTTCCTCGCGCTGGCGGGCTGACTAGAGTAGGCGACAACCCTCTTGACGCGCCCTTCACCAGAGCCGAGCCAAAGACGATATTGGTATCGACGTGGATGACCCACGTGCTTGCCCATTAGAATAAACCTCTTCCCATCCAAGTCCAGAGTCGGGTAGTCATCCACAGAATTCCAAATCCGGTACACCACCTCCGCTTCTGTTGAAGTGGCCGAGAACTGACCGTCTTGCGTAGCAAGAAGAACGTGTCTGCGGGGCTTCTTAGTCTTATGGATCACGAAAGGAGGTCTAGAATCCGCGTAGAGCGCTTTCGCTTCCTCGAGATATTCCACTGGGAGATCGTGACCAAGGCTGTTGGCTGTCGCACTAGTCAAGGTATCGTACTGGGTCATTGGTAGCTTTGCTGCAGCAGGAGACTCGGTTCTTGGACCTAGAACACTCGTGTATTCCCCATTGATGCATGAGAACGCCAACGGCAGATCTTCAAACTCATCCTCTACTCCTGTCCAAGAACAGTAGACCCATTTTGCACCGCTAATGCACCCCTTGTTGGGAAAAGACTGGACAATGAATCTCTCACCATTGAGATCTAGAGTCCAATAGATCCCATCGAGGGCGAGTGCACCCCAATGTTTGGCGACCAGATCGGTTCGGATTGCTAGAGGAGGTCGTTGACCGTCTTTGGCAACGAAGACGGCCCTCCTAGATCCTTTAGAGCTGTTGCCCGGAGTAGTCACGAAGGGAGGCTTGCTATTCTCGTAGATTCGTTTGGCCTCGGCCAAGAATTTTGGAGCGTGGTCTGCTGGCAGTTTGGTCGTGTCAAGTGCCGGGTCCTGTCCCACTCCTAGTGCTGCAGGTGCGTTGACGTCCATGACTGACAGAAGGCTTAAATCTGGTATATGTTAGGACGTAGAGGCCCTAGTAGATCTTTTTTCAACTGTAGAGTGCTGGCGGAGAATCTCTGGTGCACACTTAATGTTCAGAAAGTGAGATTTGTCGATGGCTGAGTTTCTGAGGGGTTGGATGGTCGATCTACGTAGGCTTATGCCAGTTCAAGGCAAGTTTACAAGCCTTTCAATGCAATTGCTTGACTTCAAGCGTGAAGGTAGAGTGTACGAGGCTGCGTTTGGGTTGGGTGGTAGAAGTTGAAAGGCTGGTACAAACAGGCAAACAAGAGCGAGGTACCTTAAGGCCGTTACCCGAGCGCTAGCGGATAATTTCACTCCAACATATTACCTACCTTACCGGTATTATATCGCTCCGGCTTCAATGACTACCTACTCAAGAAACAGCTCTACCATTGTGAGCGAGCACGCGAACATTCAGATCCCGCAATACGAGATGATCCACTTGTACCTCCATGTTTCAAACTCATGCAGAGACGCAGACTGCACAGTCAATTGAGCACTTATCGGCCCAGTAATCACTTTTCCTACGCCTTTCAAAAACGTGCATGTCCCAGATGCCATCAAGGCCACCGTCGGATCATCGATCAGCTCTAGACCCATTTTCGCTCATAGTACCATGTACACTCCGCCAAGAAAGCTAAAGAGCAATGAGAGGGTGATTGGAGGTGGAAGACACAAGAGGCAAAGTGCAAGATGAACGCGAAGATTTCGATAGGCCAACGGTTGTCTGAGGTAGCTGGTAGCGATCTGGCCGAAGACTTGAATCAAGGGATAGACGGCAAGGAGAAGAGTGCTGGTCGAAGGGCTGTAACCGAGGAAGTCAACGTAGGAAGGCAGATACGATGTTCGAAAGACGGGGCCAAGGGGTTTCAGGAAAACAGATGCTGCAAAGAAGTAGAAGAGCGGCTTTCGTGGGAAAGCCATGTCAATCCTCCGTCTTCCGCTTGACTTAGAGGCTGGTAGCCTGCCTTTAAGCACCAGCAGCACCATGCCAGTTAGTACCACCATAGCTACCGCAAAGGCACCTAGAGTCGGAACGTAGCCATATGTATTGAGCAGAGGTGCCCACATGAAAGGCATTGAAGTTCCACTGACACCCATAGACGCCCGCATGATTCCCAAAGCCAAACCCCTCTTCACCACGAATCACTCATTGAGCATACTTATACTGATAAAGTACATGGTCGTAAAGCGGACACTGTAGAGCGCACCTTGCGTAGCGATCAGAACTCTACTCGTTTCTGCAAAGCTGACCGCCCCGAGGCTCAATATAGATACAGCCCAGCCTACCCAGATCATGTGGAGGGGCACCAAGGTAGACGACGCTGGTGGTCAGCGTACCGATAACGGGTATGTTCTGATTGCCACGAAAGGGCTCGTGCGCGGTGTAGTACACTTGGAAGACACCGAAGAGAAGGGCGAAGCCTATGTGGGAGATTAGTGGATACAAACATAGAGAGGGTGTCGACAGTACTGACAACATTGGAAAGCCTCTATCATAAAGACCTGGAAGAGGATTCTCCACGCCTGGGCACTTCCATTGATGGGAGGTAGTGCTTGGTCATCCAATTCCGATTCACGCTAGTTTGACGGCCGGGCATTGATATGACTTCCAAGTTTGGCCTGTGCTGGAGCCTGACTGACCGACGGTAAGGAGATCTAAGGGTACATGCTGAGGCGATGCCTCTGATTCAGCGGTTGAAGTCATTGTATGGGGCGGAAAGCCTGTGCGGCCGAGGTCTCTAGCTCTGTGGTCATAGTCATCGTCTAGTTTGGGTGGCTTGTGGCTCCCAGGTCGCTGGCTCATGAGGGGTGAGCCCAGATTGCTAGCTCTGTCGTCGTAGACACCTCCTATGTAAATACTCGTTATTAGGCCGAGAGACCCAGAAGGTCGGCGAGGGAACAACTCTTCGTCGTCATCGTGTCACACAAGCTCGCCCAGGACCCATGCCAGATGATGCCTGCATGAGTCCTTCACAGGACCTCATACCTAGTGAGCCAGCTCATTGGGGTACTGGTACCAGGTTGAAAAAGTAAGTCATTTGAAAGGAATTGAGTAAAATGCTAGACTAGAGTACACAGCTGTGATTATGGGAAAAAAAAAGGAAGAACAACCAGCTGCGCGAGATTTGTGGCTCCTTCCATACAAGGCGGCTCGGAGAAAACCACGCCGCACTTGAGCGCTTCTGGCAATTCTGCACGACATCAACCACCGTTTCTTTCTCCTCCTCCCGTCCATAAGACAAAGCTCCAGGCCTAATCTTGTACAGAATGATGAGGACTTTCCGGTGGAAAAGTATTATGGTGGAACATGCAATGATCGAGGGTCGTACAAAGGGGACTGATGATGCTAAACTATTACAAGTCTGTATGTTTTTGGAAGTCAAAGCGTCCGGAGAAAATGGCTTCAGAACATCTGAGTGAAGAATGTAAGAGAAATGATCCCGAACACGTCTGAGGCCTTTAGAACATGTTGAATCTGCACGTTGAGCAGAACGGCGGTTCGTGGAAGTGACTGATACAAGATTTCGAACATGATGGGCTAGCAGCATTGGAATGTTGAGAGACTCTGGAACTGGGGGGATTCTGGAACTGGGAGAGCATAGTAGGAGCGCTGCATGCGGCTGAAATCTGTCGCTTATGATTCGATGTCTGCTGTACCGTGGACATTGTGCCGGGTGCGCTTCTTGGCTGGCGGTGCCGCATCAGTGGACTTGCGCTTTTTATCGGCGGTGGAAGCAACTTTGCGAGGTGCAACGGTGGCACGTGGTGTAGCTGGCTTGTGCTGGGCCTTTTGACCGTAGTTAGTATCTTTCGGATCATCCGGTGTATCGCTGCTGGGTCCGCTGACTGCGCTGTTGGGTGCACTGATCGTGTCTTCGTCCCGCTGAAGCTGGAGACCGTGTTAATAGTACTTTTAGTTCAGAGCAGAGGTCAACATACCATTGGAACAGACGTGACTTCGGCCCCTGCACCGGGGTAGAAGCCGGCTTGATAGCCTGCCACGACGCCGGTCGATGAGGCAGCGATGGCTACGGACCCATTGGCAGATGTCTTGAGCGCTAATGAACCCTGTCTTGGTCTTGCGTCGGCCGCACCCCGGGCAATGAGGGCTTTGGCGGCATCTGCAGACACTGCAAACCCTTTCTTCGGATCGATGATAGGCATCCCACGACGACCTTTCGGCTTGGGAGGGGACTGCTTTCGGTCTTCGTTGGTCATGAAATCCGTACCCGCCTTCATTGCAGCTTGACTAATGACCGAGGTTGGAAGGTTCGCTTCAGCGATCTCATCAGCATACCAAGTCTTTTTCTTATCGGCCTTCGGTGTACGACCACGCTGGATTGTTATCAGCCCAAAGAAACTCCATTGACCAGATTAGAACAGCCCACCTTTTTTGATTCAGGAGTGTTAATGGTCTGGATTTTGCGCTCTGGAGAATTTGTGTCGCCATCTGGATGCCGGAAAGTACCATTTCGATTGGCCGTTTGAGACAATGCTCTACCATATTCCTGTCTGAGGTTTGATGGGTTCCAAACAGATGGAAATGGTCTCGCTTGCAGCGTCGGCACAGCTAGCTCGGTCATCCCCTCAAATCTTGCCTGGGATGGCGTCCAGGGACGTAGGTCCTGTGGCATATAACCATAGTGGATGCTGCCGAATGGCGCTGCTCTCTGGCCAGTGAGGGACGGGATGAGACCAGGCGCTACCGGATTTTGGGGTCTCGGAACATGAAATCTTGCAGACCACTGCGTCAAGAATCTTTCATTCTCGTTGTTCATGTTCATGATGATCACTTGATTACGAGCGTAACAGTTGTACACAGCTTCTAGCGTTTGTGGCACGAGGCCTGGATCTAGGAAGGTTGGGCTCATCGGAGTTTGCGGTATATGGAGTCCTGATAGAAGCTCCTCGTCAGCTCCCAGCTGCCAGCATCTCATGATTAGGGAACATGTCAACCATACCTTGCTGCATAAAATTGATACGAGCGTTCAGAGTTCCTCCGGACAAAGGTGGACTAGGGGCATAGAGATGTGGCGAAGCTGGGACTAGGGATTGTTGATGTCGTTGATATGCTATCATCGAAGTCTGGACAGGTGGCTGCAATGGTTGAGGGCGGGTTTCTGGCTTAGGTTCGGAATGACAATGTTGTTGTGGTTGCGAGTGCAGTTGGTGGAAATGCTTCTGCTTGCGCTCTTGCCAGAAGTTGTACAGCTTCACGCGCTCGACGAGCAAGTATTCGTCAAGAGTGCGCTGTGTCTGGTATTGCGCATTCTTCTCTGCGCACAATTCCTCGTGATCAGTGCTGGAGGAATGGCCAGTCTCGCGCATGCCCTCGTCAAGCATCTTTTTAGCTTTGAGACGAGAGGCTGCAAAGAGATTCTGCGCCTCGGCTTCATCGATGGGCTCATCGCCTAGCTTCCAGCCCGGAGGGGTCAGTAAGTCCCCTAGATGTCCCACTCCTGGGATGCGATGACTGGGTCCAATCTGGTCAGCGCGACGATCGTATATGTTGAGAAGTGGCGCTGGGTCTTTTCTCTTTTTTGGGCTCGTTTCTTGGCTGTCTCCATTGAGTAAGCCTGATTGTGCAGGAGGGAACACCGATACACTCTCTGTTACCTGCGCTGGACGTCCGGGAAGCGCCACTGGAGGTTGGTTGGTTTGACTAGGAGCGAGATCCTTCAAAGTCTCAGCGATGCCAGGAAGCTGCGTCACTGGTAGTGGCTCGCGCATGTCGTCCGCGTTGGTTGATTCCATTGGCGGAGCCTGGCGTTGCGTGGTGGTGGTAGTGATAGGTGACGGGACATTGTGGAGACCTGCTCCGAACCCTGCGGGTGGGCTACCAATGCCTCGACCAGCTGACGCTATACGGCTCCAAGTCAACCGACGTTTGTGAAATCGGTTTACGAAAACACTCTTCGATTCAGAACACTCACGGCTATCAACAAGACTGGCCACTCTCAATCGTCCTCGCTTATTCAAACTTGCTGGGCTGAAGGTTTCAGCGCTGCTCGTGCTGGAAAAGCTGTTAGGAACTCTCTAATAGTTGGGGTGAATTGACTCCGACTTACGGCGGAGTGTTCAACTTGTTGCCATTGCCCTCGATGTTGTTAACAGTGTCTTTGTTAGCCGCTGTCATTCCATGGCTCGGACTCGCGCTCTCCATGATTGATAGCTTGCTTGGTGTTCGTAATCGTGTGGGCTGAGGGTTGTGGGTTTTGTTTGGCTCCATGCTGAAATAAAATTGTTACGACTAGGTGAACGCTAAGCTTCGTGTTGTAGAAGTGAAGCAATGCGTCCCCTCAATGAATTACTGCCGTGTTCAATTCATCACGATGGTTCAAGAGGGAGATTGCTGATGTTTTGGAAGTATTGGACTGGCAATCTTAATGCGTATCGATAAGGTGGAATTGGAGCGCAAAGCCGGCCGATGTCAACACAAGCTATTATAGTCACGTTTGCAAAGAATCTTCATCACGTTGCTAAGCATACGGTTGCAGATAGCTATATGGGGTATCACATCTGATTGCAAGCTAGCTATTCTGAGAAGGAAAAGGAAGGTTGCTGTCTGCACGCCAAAGTCTATCTCGTGGTCGAAGATCGCTCTCACATCTCTGCTTGAAATGTTGGAGAGAGACACAGATGGGAGTTTCTAGTAGTCTTGCTCGTGCGAATGGGTAGTCTAATTCCAGCCACTGTTAGTGTCAGTAGCAGGAGCTTCGCTACCCCAAGCATCACCAGAGGTATCGCCATTGGCCGCGCCATTTGTCTGCGCTGCCCCACCCCAAGCGTCACCACCAGCCGCGTCGTCGCCCTCATCATCAGTATCGTCATCGAATTTCAGCTGTTCCTCATTTTCAGGCTTGTAGCTCTCAAGGAAGTCAGGCACGACCTGATGGGTTTCAATGAGCAGCTTGGTCAAAGCGTCGGCTATGTCCTCGTTCTTGTCATTGTAGAAAGATGTCGCCATGCCGATATTGCCGATACGAGCAGTTCGCCCGATGCGGTGGACATATTCGTGAATGCCGCCATAGTCAGAATTGGGTAAGTCGTAATTGATGACATGCATCACGTTCTTGATGTCGAGTCCGCGAGCAGATACACCAGTGGCAACAAGCAGAGGAGCTTTGCCTGATCTGAAAGCACGACTGTACATCGTAAGTAGATGCTGCATCAGCTTGTGCTATGATTGGCTTACATTGCGTCTTCGCGCTCACGCTGGGTGCGGTCTGAGTGTATGGATGTGCTTGGAAGCCCACGGTTGTAGAGGAAGTCATCTAGAAAATCCGCTGCCTTTTTGTTGTTCACGAAGACAATAGTACGAGCAGGAGGCACTGACAGCAAGAGATCAAAGAGACACTCGCGCTTCTTAGGCTCGTCGACGAAAAGGACCTGAAACTTGTGAGTTTATGCCCACAAAACCAGAGAGGACGCTCTCACCTTCTGGACGACGTTCATGTGTGAAGAGCCGGCGCGACCGACGCGGATGCGGATGTGATCCTTTGACATGTACTCTTTGGCAACAGCGCGAGCTTCCTTGGGGAACGTGGCAGAGAACATCATATAGACATGATCATCATCGGCATTAGAATCTGCGCCTCCCATCACAGCCCGCATTTCATCGACCCAGTCAGGAGACACCATCTCGTCAGCCTCATCGATAATAGTATATCTGACAAGATCAGTGCTACGTCATAGACAATTTTTGGAGCTGATGGATATACTTGACGCGGCTGAGTGATAGAAGGTGTCCACGGCTCATGAAGTCCATGAGACGTCCGGGAGTAGCAACTAACACATCGCAGCCCTTTCTGAGTTCATCCATCTGCTCTCCAGTCGGAGCACCACCATAGATGACGCAAGGACGAAGCATAGATCGGTAACAAAGGCGACGGGCTTCATCAAAGATCTGAGTTGCTAGCTCACGAGTAGGAGCAACAATAAGAATCAAAGGTTCAGCACGAACCCCGTCTTCACGAGTCCATGGTTTCGTGAGGTTTGGACGTGGAGCAGCCAACTTCTTGGCCTTACCCATAAGCTTGGACAGGGTAGGGATCAGGAATGCAGCTGTTTTTCCGGATCCTGCGACAGTATCAGTATTGATCGCTTCAGATATCACGAGGCACATACCAGTCTGAGCAACGCCAATGATATCGATGCCTTTCAGGACCGAGGGGAGACAGTAAGCTTGAATTGGAGTTGGAACCTCGTAGCCGCAGAGCTTAACATTTGCGAGCATCAAGGGATGAAGGCCGGCATCTTCAAACTATGTGGAGAGCAAGTCAGCATTGCTCGCAGATAAGATCAATTATCCAAGTACCTTGGCAACTGGCTTGATCTTTGTCTGACTCTCGAAGGTGACAGCGATCTCGGTAAGCCTGGCCCGGTCAGCTATGCCTACCAGTGTTGGCGTGCAAAGGGTGATTTACGTGGAGAACTCTTCGCCTCGCACCATCTTGTTTTCATTGCCGAACAGTATGTCCTCCAGTCCTTTGTGTTCTGGGCCGACATCCCCATAGTCTTCGTCCCATTCGTATCTGACTGCATCACTAGCCCAACCTGAAGCGTCTCCTTGCGGCTGATCTGGCCCCGAAGCTGGAGCGGTCTTATCATGAGGTCCCTTATTATACTTTCCGTAGTCGAATCCCTGGGTGGGGACCCAATCCGCTTGTTTGACACGCTCGAGTGCCACCTCACTGACCTGGACCTTGGCAACCTTGTTGGTCACGTCGGAAAGAGCGTGGTCGTCACCGTTGGCAGACATGGTGACGAGATTCAAGTATGGAGTTCTGCACCAGAAAGTTAGCTAGTCTTCTGGAATGGTTGTATTGACAAGTGAACAGTCAACAATGATTCGGGAAGGAATGCACTTGAAGCGGGACGAAGACTGGAAAGATGGATATGATAGGTGGAGGAAGAACTTGACAGTCCTGTGTTGGGCTCTTAATTCTGATCTCTGATCTCGAATGGCAAAGGTGTTTCGGTGGCAAACTCAACGCGTCGACCTCTGGCTGTAATGGCTTTCTCGACCGCGGAAGTGAGGTGAGCAATAGTAATTGCAGGTGATGAGATTGATGGAGAAGATCGAGGTGTGATTGATGCGAGACGGCAGAGATGAAGTAGATGAGCTTTTGGTGAAGGTGTGAGGCAAAAGGACTGTGAGTGTATCATACCTTGACTAGTGGTTTTCACTGTGGCAAGCAGACTATTGGTCTACTTGTAAGAGCGTGACGGACGCTCTGGTATCCTGTTTGACTGGGTAACAAGAGTCCTGACGTGGTGCAAGTCCTGTTTGGCTGATCGTCAAAGAAGAATAAAGATGTGTAGAGAAGAAGTAGAAGTTTTCGAGCAGCAAAGGTTTTAAGCAGTATGCCCGCTGCACTCGGCTATTCCGAATCCCGTGATATTCACTCTAACAAGTTGGACTTTTGACCCGGCCTCAGATTTCCGCTTATTAGCCACCCAATTGTGAGATACTCTAGTTTTCACACTCCAATAGCCACGCTGATAGACCAAATTGGCCATCCTATACTACTTCCTCATTGGCGAAACTCAGTATGTACCAAGGCTTGAAGAAGCGGTGCCTCCTCCAGCTGCCGCCAAGATGCTGGTCACCAGCTAGACTCAGACCCTATCCTCGGAATCTGAAAATACCCCCAACGAAGAAAAGAATTCAAAAGAATCGAAATAGCTCTGAAAACAAAGCATCAGTATCTCCTGCATTGCATAAGGATGGTGCCCAAAGTACGAGAACAGAAAAGACACAAAATCAAAACATGCAGTGAGCAGACTTCGACGTACAGTGCTGCTCACAGACTTGCTTTCGCCTCTCTAAATCTAGGCCTTGCCCAGGCTTGTCAGCTGTATCGTCGACAATCTCCGCTGGCCGCTCTAGTGGTCAACCACCTCGCAGCGATTCCTGGGTGCTTTATTGGCAAAGCGATGAGGAGATTCGCATTGCCCTGCTCCGTGGCTGCTGCGATGGATGGAGTACTGTAGTTCCATCTCGTTTGAGGAATAAGATGTTGGAAAAGGCCGGGTGGAGGCATGGGGTGGAGAAGGTTGACTTGGTATGCCACAATGACACAGAGCCGGATGCGGATCCATGCTACTGCTCGTCGGATGACCACCGTGGAAGCCAATCTTCAGCACCCTTGCAGTTCAAGTCAACAATCATCCGCCATCACGCTTCTTCGTGGAGAAGCTTCGAAATGATGGGATACTGGCAGCCCTGACTGACTTCGAATGTCGCTGAGAAGGGTGGTACGCTGTGCGTAGGAACGAATGACCCTATGTATGTCAGATGTTAGATGGTCAAGAATTAAACAAAAGCGTTGTGCTACACGCACGTGACACTGGAGTACGAGACTGCAGAGATGGCCGAGCACGCGTTTGGTAAGGTCATACCAGGACCAACGTCAGCAAACCCGGTCAGCTCGTTGCTTATGTTGTTAGCAGACCCTGCCTCAAAAGCTTTCATATTCATCATCACGGAATCGGAAAACGCAGTGACAACATTGGACGTACGTGGAATGTGAAGGCTTGTGGAGAATTTCCTATATACATTCGGACACTCGCCAATCCCTGTCAAGCAAATCTTCCCCTTGAACCGGTACCCATCGACATCATGGCAATGATTGCCTGCCTTTCTAGGAGAGCACGTGGGTGCCAAGAATAGGGTCTTCGCAATTGTCAACGTTGTCAGGTATTCGGGGCATGGAAACTCTCACTCATTAGTGATCCTTCGTTATCGGTCACAGGCATTCCCATTCCCATACGACGATTGTCTTCCCGAGGTTTTCAAAGACCTGGGCGATCAAATCCGCCATGGTTACACGTCGATCTTGCATTCCTGGTCTTCGATGGTAAGAGCGCAGTCGAGGACGGAAATGCTTGGTGCATGATCATCGCCACCCAGACCCCAAGCCTTCTGGCTAACCATAGGACCGTCTTTGCGACAGAACCGAGGAGAAACAGAAGTTCTTTTGCGGCTGGTGAAGACACCGATGTCGAGCAACGTGGGTTATTTTTATATGTAAGGTGATGAGGTAAGTAGTGCAACATAGCACGGTAGTCGATGGTAGTGTATGAGAGATGTCACGCTCCTGATGAATCTGTACCCCACATATCGATAGGTCGAAGGTCTGGTATGAGGGTATGAGAAGAAAGTGGAGCATAAAGTCTGTAATCATGACTGCCTGTGTTGTATGGCTGAATGCTTTGAGAGATGATCTGTGGTACAGCTTCCCATGGAAATACCAAACGGCATACCTGCGATAAGGACTCCGGCTCCATTGTCGATCTGGCGCTCTCGGGAGGGCACGAGCATAGACTACGGTATTGATCCGGGCTTTGAAGTCTGACGTGATGAAAGAGAAAGATGCTTTTGGGGTGTGGGATTCCCATTCTTTGATGTTCCATGCCATGGCTGGTTGGGCGGCTACGAGTCCCGTTTGCAATTTGAGCTCCGCTGTATTCTTGAGGGATTCTGAGTTCACAGCCCCCACAGCTTGTCCAGGACGCCTGTCTTGCATTGGCGCTCAGGGCTCGTTATGTATTTGTTGTAATTCCACGCTGTGTGGTAGCGGACTCGAAGTGGACAGGCTCTTCGTGTTGCTTTCTCAAGTGTCTCACAAATTCACACGAGCAGGTGAGAGCGCGGCTACACATCAAGACAGCTGGCTGTAACACAAACGGATGCTTTCGTGCGGATGCGGCGATCTGCTACTGAGTTCGAGCTCGTCGAATCGTGCTGTGAGATTTTGTCGTCACATCGAGGAAATCATGCCACCAGGCTGGTATGGTCAGTTATGATCGAGAAACGTGAAGGACTATGGGAACGAAGGAGTGTTGGTGACCCCGAGTTTCCCGAAGGCGGCCATGGCTGAATTATCTCTCTTGTAGATGGAACTGACCCGTGAAAGTGCTCGACGCTGACCTGAGAGTCAATAATTATTTGTTGTAATGTAAGGGTACGATCATCTTCCAGGGCTTTCATCACCTCCTCTTGAATTTTTTCATCTTATGTTCGTCACGAAGCTTCTGCATGCCGTGTGGGTAGGCTTTGAGATGAGCTGGCGGCCAGCCAGGAGGACGTGCATTGGATTGGGAGCGTTTGTTGACCACAGGCTGAAACCCATCCTCCGCCACAGTGCTGAAAACACTTCCGAACACTTGCGGGCGTTCATCATAGTCTGAATCGTAGTATTCACCATCGTCAGAGCTCTCAGATGAGGAGTCAGCTTGCAGGCGTTTCTTCGGATCCCAATCCTATGTGTTCTTGGAGTCATACTCCGCTGCAGCGATGCCGGAAAGCCATTGAACGCCTAGCAGCCGAACGATTGCTTTGGGTGTGTAACGGCTCAAGATCGCTGCCTCGATCTGGACAAGAGCCGAAACTTCTGGTTGAACCTGGGTCTCCATCGCAGAGTGGTTCGCCAGCCCAGCGTGCAGCATTGCCAGCCTAGCTATCTCTTGCCGAAGTTCAGAGCCTCCTAGAAGAACGTCGCAGCTCCTCTTACGGAACATGCTGAATTGAAACACCTCCTTGAAGGACATGCTGGATCACGGCTCCTCCGAGGACAAGATGACCCGTCATCCCATCTTCCATCACCACCTGCAAACATGCCGCGTATATATATAGGATTGCCGTCACTCATAGGCGTCGGCATCCCATCATTGGCACAAGATGCCAACCAAGCTTGGTGATAAGGACTGGAAAGCGTGTCAGCAAAAGCTCCTCGTATCATTGTTCTTAGGAATCAATTTTCTTACCACTCCTCTTCTCCAGCTGTCTTCTCTTCTCGAAAGCTGCAAGTAGGATCACCAGCAAAACTTACAATGGTGTCGTTGTCGTCATCAGTGTGTGAGGATGTTATCAGTGTCATCAGTGTCATGTGTCTCCTGTCCCGCCAAGATGAAGGCATGATTGTCTTTCAGGCCCACCTTCTGCGCACCACCAGTCTCCCCGGGAATAATTCAAACTGCGAACACGCTTTGCCGATTCAATTGGCTTGCCATTGAGGATTGGTGTAAGTCTCGCGTCATTGACATGTTGGGGCTGTTGTCGACGATCGTAAGGTCCTTGTCTGGTGTCGAATCCGCCACCGCCTCTACACATAGGCCGGGTTTGATGCATCTCGGTCCACTTGCGAGCTTCGTCGGCAAAGTCGCCACGCCAGCTCATGGGGTTGCTGCTGGCCATAGGGGTCCATCGGCCGTCGTTGGCATATCGTCGCTGCTTTCAACGGTCGTACGGTCCTTGTCGCGTGTTCAAGCGACCACCACCTCTGCGCATTGACCCGGTTTGATGCATCTCGTCGCCGTTTGGCATCACCCCACTTGCCAGCTCCATCGGCAAAGCCGCCACGTCCGTTCCTGGAGTTGCCGTTGCCCATGGGGGTCCATCGGCCGTCGTTGGCATATCTTCGCTGCTTTCGACGGTCGTACGGTCCTTGTCGCGTGTTCAAGCGGCCACGTCCTCTGCGCATCGGCCCCGTCTGATGTCCCTCGTCACCGCTTGGGATCATCAGGGTGTTCATAAGCCAGCCGGGCGCTTGCGGCTTGGGCGTTGCCCGTGTTGCCAGCCACTGAAGCCTGTGGAGATCGCTGCAACATGGAGTCCACTGAGGGAGTTAGCCTTAGGTCGTACTTTCTTGAGTCTTTGCAGGGACTTTACCTTCGAAGACACCGGCTGCGGGCATCTAGCTGAAGAGAACTGGACGCTCTGGAGCCGGGGAGGGAGGCCGAAGAAAAAGTGTATTTTTTTATATTGTTCTGAAAGGCAAAAATATAATCTGCAGAAGTGTGTGTGTCTGAAGAAGAAAAAGCGCGCAAATCAAAGAGGATTCATCTTTGCCCGACGGTCTCACGGTCTCAACACATAGTCAGTGTCGCAAAACGTCGGATTCTGTGCTAAGCCCCTAATTTTGCCGCCAGAAGTGCCCCAGCAAAGGTTGATCATCAGACATTGGAATAGCTTCTGTACGTGAAAGAAAATACCGGAGCTGGAGAAGATAGTTGGTATGACATAGCTGCCAGCTTGGAAGGTGCTAGTTTAAGTGTCGACTGTGTGCACCCGGCTGCAGCGTGTAGGAGATACCGCAGCACAGAGGCTGAAGGAAATCTGTATGTCATGAATGCCCAAGAAGACATCCAAGAGCTTCGCTGATGATGGTGTATAGGGGTCGCCAAAGGCGGAGCCCTGCTGAAGCTGGAAGCCCAAGCTCTGCTGGACGAGTATGCAGGAAGGATGGTTGACGGTGGTCGGGGAGGGGGTTTATATACCGGCAAGTGCCTCTAGGGGCGAAGTGAGTCCCACGCTAGTCGCCGTGAATCGAAGTGAGGTGAAGCGTTTTTCGAGTGAAATTGGTGTGTTATCGGCGGATCGCCGAGTGAGCGTATAGCTCATTACCGAAAGTGATCGCGATCACTCGGCGGTTTATTCGGAAGATGAATTTCGATGGATGAAAAGGGGTTAGCGCTGGTAGATTGTATAGGGCCAGGGATCCATCTTAAGAATTTGGTGAATCGGCGTTGGATGATCATCGCTCATTCACGAGGCTGCATACTCATTTCACTGAGCTCGTTCTTTATCTACACGTACCAAGTCACTTTGGTAAACGAATACGAGACTAGCTTGGTTGATCGTAGTGGATTCACTATGTAAGGCTTTATTTCGATCAACAGAGAAGGCACTAGTGTGTGTAAGTCATCACGCTGTAAGACACCACTTCACGCCACGGATAAGGGGATTTGCTTTGGTGAATATTGGCCTGTTCACAGAGCAGGACTGGCAGAATAACCAGAATATTCGGGCTAGTAACCCGCAAAACATGCCATTTCAAATCAAATAAGAGCTCCAAAAGGTAATAGTTTGCAGACGGATTGGGGCCAGTAACCCGTAAAACCTGTCAATTCAGGCCAGACAGGAGCTTCACTCGACTGAAAATGGCAGTATGAATGGGTCAGAAACCGGAAGAATCTGTCATACCAAACAAAGCAAGAGCTGCACTTACGTAAAGGGAGAACATTGTTGGGTTAGGAACCAGTGAAACCCACCATTTCACAGGGAGCATACGCCCTAGAGTGTGATGATATTCGGGGATATAACCCGTGAAGCTTGGCATTTTGAATTGAGCAAAAGCTGCAATCACATCAAAGCAACAAGAAGAAGGGATAGTCTTGACGGCAAATTTGGGCTTTACCCTGTTGCAGATTGAAAACAATGTAATATCCGAAAGCCCAAAGCTTCTCCCTTTGAGGGGCAAGCTACCTCAAGATACTATCAAAGCCGCAGCATGAGACCAGTGATGAACAACAGTTTTGGGGCCATTGAGCTTACACTTGTGGCCAGTTTGGGCGCCAACCCCTTGTTGTGACGGTATGTAAAGGCATGCTCTCCTTTCAATATCACGCCCTCGGCTCAAGGCTGGCTATTTGAAAGGGGTGATGAGCATAATCTAGAGGACTGCTAAACCACGACTCGTGACTCATTTGGGTCTCAGACCCTGGTTCTGGTGTACCTTAAGGGGGGATGACGTTCAGGATATCACATAGACAGGCTCCGACATTTGATTGTGTGGCGTAATTATGTGGCATAGTCCTTCCACAGCTTCACCTATTCGAGTCCTGAAGACCTATAGTGGCACAAATTCCAGGGCATAGCCCCTTCACAAGACAACAACTGTGGCTTCCGGTTCTCTCGAGCTATGATGAATGAACATAAGTCTGCACTGGCGCTCAGACCATGGGGGCGATGCCAGCAGGAATGCTGAAAATTGAGGGCAAGATCCAGAGCAAATGGTAGCAGATGTGGTAGATAGAGCTTCAGATCAATTCATTTCAGCCATCCTTCTATCGCTTTCCGGGTTGCCATCCACGCTTCCCATGCTGGCGACGCGACCATCTCCTTTGCTGCCTTTATTGAAAAAGTCCTCAGCCTTTCCACAGGCCTCTGGCCCCGGATATCTTCCTCTGAAAACCAATTGCCATGTAGACCGTAGGGGACTCTCTGAGGTAGATGCACCCTAGCGACGACATCCGTCATGTTCTTCGCATCAATGATCCACAGCTCGCTCTTGGCATCTGACCTACACTCGTCATCTTCCAACAATTGGGTCTCGTCAAAGACATAGCTGAGAATCCAGCCGTCGTCCTCAGAAACCCCGTCCCTACGTGGCACGAAGCGAGATTCTTGTGCGTACCATCCCTCGGGCATCTTGAACACCTTGATGGCATCCAAAGGATCCTCACTTGCAAGTACTTCCGACATGTCTCTGGTATCGACGCACCCAATAATTTGGCTCGGGGGATCACGTATGCCCCTTTCGATTAGAGTCTCAACGTCCACCTTGACAAGCGAATTAATCTTCACTGCCCGGCCAAGCGCTGCACCAAACGAGGCATCAGAAACGGAGCAACCGTATATGTACTTTGCGGCAGACATTGAGACCGAGTCGCGAAGAGACGGGAACTCGAAAGGGATCGCGGAGAGGGCCCACTGGTGCACAATCAGATTGTCATTGCCGGAGATATGATTCGAACTGCCGCATGACTGCGGCAGACAAAATTGATAGTAGTAAAGGCGGCACTGCTCCTCTTCTTGCTGATCGGCCGGTATGTCGTATGTTGGAGTTGGTGCCGCCAGGTCGCCTGCGCTAAAGACCAGCGAGGCGGAGGTCAGGCGGCATGCTAGCATGTTTACCATGTCCAGGCGGCCGGGAAACCCGTTCGCGGGGCTGGGATCAGCGGAGTTCCAGGAATTAGCGGTGTGGAAGATACAGCAAGGATTGGTCTCGAACCAGCGGACGTCTTCTGGCTGGTGGCGAGGAAACACGCCAAAGCGAGACCGGCTTGTGGGATCATAAGCTACGACGGGCCTGTTTTTCGCGAGGTTGAGCGGATCGAGAGACAAGGGGAGGTCCATGATAATTGTGTGGGTACTGGAGACTCCAAAATCATGCATCATCTTGGCAGAGTTAATGCCGGGAACTGGTCGGTTAATCAAATTGCTTGGTGATTGGTTGCTGGTTTTGCTGGAAGGTTCATAGGTGGAGCTGACGATCGAATAGTTCACATAGGGTGTCACGAATGTAGAGTGGTATAAAATCAATTCTTTAGTCCTATGGTCGACACGAGGCTGGAGCGAGTTAGCATCAATGAATTGCAGACAGGATATGGCTAAACGTACGTGGGCAGTCGTCCATTCTCTCATGAAGCTGAAAGGGCCTTTGCCACCAAACCCTGGACGTGTATCACGAACACCCTCTCCTTCGCTTGCTCTCCCGTTGAACCATCCAACCGTCTCAAGACCCGGTAATGCTATGCGCATAGGTGGTCCGCTTTCACACGTTGCCAATGCTCGTCCATCATGGTATAGTATGGAAGTATTTGCGACACTTATTTTCTTGATCGCTTGTTGCGAGCCTGGTAAATGAGACAGTATGACCAGTGCAATGGTTCTTAAGATTCGTAGGACGATGGTGATCAACGAGCTCATGGGATTGACGAGGGTTGCAATGCTCGGCAGAATTGGCGTTCTGAGGGACGAGGAAGTCTTGGAAGAGTTGTAGACGTCGGTCAGAATGTACTGATTGACGAATTCGGGCTGGATAGCCCCTTCCTCGCCCGTTCGTCGAAAGGAAACACCACTGAGCATGCCATCGCCATCGAACCAGTGGGCATCTCGCCCGAGAGCATCATTTGTCACCGGATTTCCTCCATTGCGAACATATTCCCCTCCTGCAAGTTCTTCTGGTATGGTACCGGTGTATGAACAAGGCGTGAGAGGAAGCACTTGCTGGATGGGTGCGAAGTTTCCAGATAGGTAGCTGCAGGGCCGAGTCAATAAGCGGCGGCCGTTGGTGAGATGGACAGCTTACGGATGACCACGACGTTTCTCCTCAAAGTTCAAATTTTTCATTCTCAGAGGATTGTAGAGTAGCAGCAAAGCTAACAATTGTGTCTACAAGCCGGAGTGATCGGCCGCATGGATACGTAAAGCCATTCACACAAAAGAGGCCGTTGACTCGCTGTGGCAAAAACAGCTACCTGATGTCTTATCGACGGAGATAGCCTCCGCTATGAATGCCATGGCGCAAATAGGAGCGTGACCCGCAAAAGCCGTCAAGTCAGGTATGATTCGGTGGGGTAAAAAGCTACGACTTTCGTAATGGATATGCGGCATCCAGCAAACCGTTGCATGATTGCATCCTTTTTCTTTACGGTAAAGCCTTGTTCATTCTTTCCCCAGTCGGTGATGTCAAGGTGCAGGAGCCTTTTCACATTTTCGTTGCAGGGCGGGATTCTCGGCCGCTAGAAGGACCCCTGTGGAATCAAATCTCGCTGCTTTTATGCCAGCTAGTCGCCGCTGTGATAGGTCATCGGTTGTCGATGTGGTGCGCCATAGCAAAATGAAATAAAGGACGACATCGTAAACTTCGGATATACTAAAGTACCGTCATCGGGAAGCTCCCTTTGCTTGAGATTGAATTGAGCGTCATTTTGGAAAAATTGCTTCATGTCAAGGAGAATGCTTTTTCTCGTCTCAATTATCCCAACTATCGCGCCTCTTGGTTAGCTCATAGCCTTCCCCCCGCTTTTCCAAGTTCCTTGAACCGCTGCCCACGACAAACAGTCATGAATTCTGCAACAGTGGCGCACCGATGAATGTCAACGTTAGACATGGGGTATGACTATGCCTTGGTGTAAGTCATCCATGCCGCTTTCTACTGGGAAGCCTAACCAGACTCGCAGTCACTTGCAATACACGATACCGCCGGCGGTAGCCCTGACTTTGTGTTACTATCCACTCTCGACCAGTCTCGGGGTCTACAAGATACTATTTCTCATAGCAGTAGGTCTACAGCATGCCTGGTGTTAAATTATGCTTATTCTCCAGATCGCTGTCATCTCCACCACTCCGTGGGACTCATACCTCATTCACTCTCAAATATGGACATATCCTCCCAACGCCATCATTGGCCCTACTCTCTTCAGAATACCAGCGGAAGAGGTCTTTTTCTTTATCATTCAGACCTACAACACCTCCCTACTCTATCTCCTCCTCAGCAAGCCTACGTTTCACCCGGTCTACCTTCGAGGACAGAAGCTGTTCAATGACGGAAGGCGACTGGGCCTGAGAAGATGGACTGGAGTATCAGTGATTGTTGCATGTATTTTGGCGGGCATTGGCATGATCATGAAAAGCGGGGAGGGCCTTTACATGGGCTTAATACTTGTCTGGGCAGGCCCCTTCGTTTTGCTGCTTTGGTATGACTAGGAGATCCCCATCACCTTCTAATAGATGCTAACGAGCATCAGGAGCCTTGCATATCAATTCATAATCGGATTGCCCCTTTCTAGCACTTTTATACCCGTCGTCCTCCCTACCCTATACCTCTGGATTGTGGATACCCTGGCATTAAAAAGGGGGACGTGGGTCATTGAGTCTGGAACGAAGCTGGGGTGGCATCTATGGGACGGGCTCGAGATCGAGTATGAGACTTTTTCGATGCATGGTCTAGCGGGAGGCTAACAACCTTACAGAGAAGCAGTCTTCTTCCTCGTCACAAATGTCCTCATCGTCTTTGGTCTGATCGCCTTCGACAACGCCTTCGCCATCCTGCAAACATTCCCTTCACTATTTCCTACTATACCTACATTGCCTTCGCCAATCCTCCTAGTTCGGGCGCTGCTCCTTCCGACAACTTCATACGAGGACGAGCGGATAGAAGGGCTTCAAGAAGCACTCGGGCGCCTCAGAGCCAAAAGTCGGAGCTTTTACCTTGCAAGTGGAGTCTTCCAAGGGAGACTTCGTGTTGACTTGGTCTTACTGTATTCATTTTGCCGTGTTGCAGATGATCTGGTCGACGAAGCTGGCTCGATCGAAGAGGCCAAGCATTGGATAGCCAAGCTCAACGAGTATCTCGACATCACCTATGGGAAATCCTATGTCAAAGTTGAGCGGAAACAAGACCTCATATCAACGTTCCCACCATCTGCCCAGGCGAGCCTTCGCTTACTTCCGACCTCCCATCTTTCTCCCACGCCACTTTACGACCTCCTAAAAGGCTTTGAAACCGATCTCCACTTCTCCTCCAGCAACCCTTTCCCCATCAAAGACGAACCCACTCTACAAGTCTACGGAGCCCAGGTGGCGGGTACTGTGGCCGAGTTATGCTTAGAGCTAGTCTTCCATCACACTAAGGGATCTACGCCCGAAAGTTTGCGAAGGCGGATAGTCCAAGCTGGTGGTCGAATGGGCATCGCATTGCAATACGTCAATATTGCGCGAGACATCTCAGTTGACGCTTCGAATGGCCGCGTCTACCTTCCAACAACCTGGCTCAAGGAGGAAGGGGTTACTCCAGAGGACATCATCAAAGACCCTGCCCGTTCGAAAGCCGAGATTCTGAGACAGCGGCTCCTGAACAGTGCTTTCGAGATTTACGATGAAGCGAAAGGGGCCATTGAGCAATTACCTGCAGAAGCACGGGGCCCAATGCGGGTAGCTGTAGAAAGCTATGTCGAGATTGGGAGAGTGCTGCGACAGCCCGGCTACAAGGTCAAGGCTGGAAGAGCGACAGTGCCCAAACTAAGAAGACTGAGGGTCGCTTGGAATGCTTTGAGCCATACCTGAAGCCCCTGATCTTGTACAAAACGGGGTTCGCATGCTGCCCATGTCCTCCTGGTAAGGGTTTGTATATACTTTTCGAGATACCACCTTTGTTCATAGCTATGCAGGCTATACCAGCGCTAATAGTTTCTGTACATACAAATTTACATATGAAAGGGTTGTCAACCTTGACAATGGAAGTTGTGACCCTGTCAAGACGTGAGTCAGGGGTTTTATGTCACCTCAGTCCTGCCTTTTACGTCTCCATTACCCATCAGTCTTACACAATCTTGCTTCAACTTTCCAACCATCTTGTGCAGTCTGCGGTGGACTTTATCCCATCGCTTCAGCAAGATACCTTTTTCCAACAATCGCAGACGCTGGTTTGCCTGACCGCAACGGAATCCCGGTGCGCTCTATTTGGTACAGCGAGCGTGGATTTGAAGTCTCTGCAGAAGCTTGCAATAACAGATTGCGTATCCTCTTCCGATTTTCGACCCATCCATGCTTCCGCCAAAGTGTAAAGGGCCGTATCGCCGCCTGTGACTATGATCTACCATTCGAAGATATGGCGGAGACATTCCCAGACCTGGAACCGGCGCGGGAGGCTAGCTCGTCGTCCATGACCACGGTACGGGACGCCGGCTCCAACCATCCCTCCATCAAGATGCCGGAATGTATAGCTCCCGCGAAAACCGCACATCTCGCACGATGGTGGCACTGATGAATTTGATGACGGAAATCCATGCCCAGACCCGGAATCTGGGGCGGAGTGTGGAAGCCCAGTTCCCGTGAGCTTTGCGTGATTGACAAATCGTTGTCACCCGGCGAGGCAGCAGCTGGGACCGGTGGACCCACATTCTCAGGTGACCCATTTGGTCCTGCTGTTGGTAGCCATTTACACGTTGCTCCTTGGGTTGTCGTGGTCGTCAATGCAGCTTTGATCACTGTCACCCTTGATTTCTTCGGAATGTGACAACGAGAACTAGGCAATCAGATGAGGGAACATCACATTGAGCACCCAAACACATGTTGCAAATTCTATATAGCCAGAGTAAACCTCAGGGTCAGTCCCTCAACCCAGAACACAACCTACAAACCCGAACAGTGGGCAAGCAAACATCAACATTGCCTGACTACTTTCGCCAGTCAATAAAATCCGATGGCTTTACCGATCCTATCTTACTCTGTAGAGTATCACAACTCTCTCCCAGATGTCGCTGATGCGAAAACCCAGTTTGACTCGGTGGACGCTAGCAAGACCCTCTTCGCAGAAATTGGACGAATTTTCTTGAAACATCATATGGAGAACACGCTGGGAATTGTCCTTCTCCACCACCACTTTCTCCTGGCGCAAGACGAGATGCTGGTGAATGTCGGACCTGTCGCAGTACCCTGGAAAACTAACAGCGGCTTGAAGGAGCTCGAAAATGTTCACCCCAGCTCCTGGGGCTTCACCAAGGACGGCGTTGCGCCGTACGAGTTTACTCACGGATCGCCCAGAGTATCTCTCGACAGCCAATTGCAACCTTTTCTTGGTGAATTGGGCGCCATACTTGAGAAACGCAAAATGACTGACCTTTTTGGGATTTGTGCCCTGGATGGATCTATTGATCGCCCTTGCGACATTGAATTCACCGAAGGGCGTGCCAATATTACATTTCCGTTCGACATTTCCCCCCACAAAGGTAGCAATGTTGAAGCGATGTGGCGAATCGGCTCAAGCAAGGACGGAATAACAAGTACAAAGGTGAAAGGCGAAGTTCAGCCAAGGGTCTCGAATGGGTGCGGAAAATTGTATAAGCTGCAAGGGAACACACACAGGCAACCACCTCCCACAGGTGCCAAGGCTCAGGGGAACCAGGCTGCCATCAACAGAACCTTAGAAGACGACGTGGCGAGTACAGGTCTGGGAGACAGTGCACAGCATACTGTCTTTGCTGAATGCAAAGTTCGCTGCAACAGTTTTCAACTACCCGAAAATGGTGGGAGAAGCGAGAGCAATTGTAGCGGCCCTTCGACAAGGTCCCTTAGATAGCAAGAATCAAATGAAAAGCCAATGAGTACCATGATTCAACACAAGATCTAGCCACCAGCACTTTACTCCTGACTTGGTTCACGCACAGTGTGTAGCCTATCTAAGGGAGAATAGAGCCCATGTCATATGTCTCAGGTCAGTCATGGATATTGGAGCTCAGAGGCAAGTATCTAATCGTCGTATGTTGTCTTGGCAAGGTGCAAGAATAAGTGGTAGTCGTAGATGGTGAAATGCCAGAAAAATCGTCAACAGCGGCACCAAAGAGGGAGGTTTTCGACAGATCAATTCTCTTCCTTGACTTAAATCAATCCTTGAAGATAGATTTTCTCGGAGCGGGATTTGGTGCCCACGATTGATGTGAAATAATTGATCTGCGCGCTTCAAGAGGAAAAATGACAGTTGAAAGATGTTATGTCGAATCCTTGTCAGAAAGAGCAGCATTTTATTCGACCTTGTGCGCGGAGATATCTCCGCCTCGAATGTCATCATTATCACGCCTAGGGTTTCTAGCTTAGGGTTTCGTGCCTTTGGGGCGCTCAACCTTCCATAATCATTCGAAGGCAATGAAGGAGAAGTCCGGGCAGAAGACTGCAATAATTGTAGGTATGCTCATCAGATATGCAGACGTCCTAACGAAAGGTTCGGAGACTTACCAATCATTCTATCAGGCGCCGGCGTTGGCGGAGTTGCAACAGCAGCCCGCCTCGCAAAGGCTGGCTTTAAAGTCACAGTCTTCGAGAAGAATGAGTTTACAGGAGGACGATGCTCTTTGATACATCATGCTGGCTATGTGAGCCCCTTTGTTCCCCTCAAATCTCTTAACTGCTGACCACTGTCAGCGCTTCGACCAAGGCCCGTCCCTCCTCCTACTCCCCCATCTCTTTCACGAAGCCTTTCACGACCTCGATACCTCCCTCGAAGCCGAAGGTGTGGAGTTCATGAAATGTGAGCCCAACTACAATCTCTGGTTCAGTGATGGCGAGTCCTTCGAGCTCTCAACCGATGTCTCCCGCATGAAAGATGAGGTCGAGAAGTGGGAAGGCAAAGATGGCTTCGAGCGGTATCTAGGCTTCCTACAGGAAGCCCATCGGCATTACGAGCTCAGCGTTACTCATGTGCTCAAGAAAAATTACACTTCACTCTTCTCTATGGCCCGGCCGTCTTTCCTTCGCCACCTCCTCGCTCTACATCCTTTCGAGAGCATATACTCGCGTGCCTCGAAATACTTTTGGACAGAACGGCTCCGCCGTGTGTTCACATTCGGAAGCATGTACATGGGCATGTCTCCATTCGATGCTCCAGGCACGTACAGTCTCCTTCAATACACTGAGCTCGCAGAAGGAATATGGTACCCGAAAGGCGGCTTCCACAGCGTCATTGCAGCTCTTGTTCGCGTCGGTGAGCGCTACGGTGTCACATACCGTCTCTCGACCTCCGTTTCCTCCATCCAGCTCTCCCCAAATTCCCGCCGCGCAACAGGCGTTGTTCTTGACAGTGGTGAGGTCATCTCCGCTGATATTGTAATCGTAAATGCCGACCTCGTCTACGCCTACAACAACCTGCTCCCCCAATCCTCAAAGGCAGCGTCACTGCAAAAACGGTCCGCAAGCTGCAGTTCCATCTCATTCTATTGGGCCATGAACCGTACTATACCAGAGCTCACAACACACAACATCTTTCTTGCAGACGACTACCGCGAGTCCTTCGACGACATCTTTAAGAAGCAGCTGATACCCTCACAGCCCTCCTTCTACGTCAACGTACCTTCAAGAATCGACCCTGCCGCTGCACCAGAGGGAAAAGACGGAATCGTGGTATTAGTCCCTGTGGGCCATCTGCTCGATGAAAAAGAAGGCTCAGGTATCAAAGTAGAAAGCAAGCAAGACTGGGAAGCCATGGTGACCAAGGCGCGCGAGACCGTCTTTTCAACCATCGAAGCCCGCACTGGTGCTCAAGATCTCCAAGGAGCATTGGTCAAGGAAATCGTCAATACGCCGCAGAGCTGGAAAGACGTCTTCAATTTGGACAAAGGCGCTATTCTAGGCCTGAGCCATAGCTTTTTCAATGTGCTATCTTTTAGACCATCGACCAAGCATTCCTCGATCGATAGACTACATTTTGTGGGTGCGTCAACGCATCCTGGGACCGGGGTGCCAATCGTGCTTGCTGGAAGCAAGATTACGAGTGACCAGGTGCTGGATGTGTTTGGGATGGAGAAGCCTTGGGGTAGGAGTGTGAAGAAAAAGGCGAAGGTTAAGAAGATCGATAAGGTGCATGCTTTGCCGATGCTGTCGAACTTCCATATTGCGTGGCTAACGCTGGTGTTTGTAATGGTAATGGCGGCCCTTAGGTTTGATGTTTTGGAGGGGTTGGGGGAGGGCGTCTGGAGATAATTGTTACGTATGTATGGGGGCTTGGTGGTGGCTTCAATTCATTGAATATAATTGATATACATAACAGTAGAAGGAAATTAGGCAGAACGTAACGTATCCTCCACACATCTGCAACCGGACGCAATTTAGAAGCTCGCCTACTGAACATACGGTAGTTTCATCCAGCTTGCTTGGTGATCTATTTCGTGTTTGCTGTTCTTTGAACACATCAGGCGTGCCTAACCGATCCTGATCTCAAACGCACTCTGGAAACCCAGCCAAGCTGAGCAAGGTGCATGCTGGCGTAGAAAATGCTCGCCGCTCCAACCCTACTGTCGCGGACTCGTATTTCCAAGGCTGTCGCATGGCGAGAAAGTGTGTTTGAAATTGACCTGTTGAACCAACTATGCTGGAAATGGCAAGGGAAGCAGCGCTGCTACAACAGCACCAGATGCCTTGCGGGAATCCAACCACGAAAAGCAGCAAGCTCGCTTGCAGGAAACAAAAGAAAAAGAACACTGAGACTTTCGGTTCAGGCTTGTGGCTTGAAAGCCGTCCAAGTCGTTGGGAAGCAGCTTCATTTCCCTGCCAAGATGTCAAACCGCCAAAACTTGACTTTTTTGATCAAGGGCGTCTGGCAGCAAGGGTATCGATCCCGGTTGGCTCGGTTCGACAGTCGCGAAGCTTCGAAAAGGCTCCTTTCAAAAGCAGCATGCTGCATCACGACTAAATTCGGCAGCTAAGGAAGCTATCTGCCCCTATTGTGCATTATCGTTTTTTTCTGCATGACGTGCGAGTGGGGAGGTGTCCCATGATGCGAGTAAAATTTGCATGTGATGGCGATAAAAAGAAGGCATGCCACCAGGTCGATCCAAAGTTATTGCCGTATAACCGTACGGTCGCTTGTTGTGGCTGAGATGCTTTGACGTCGGAATCTCGTACCCCAGAATACATTACCTAACAGATGGGAAAGTTTCAGCTCGATGCAATTTGTGAATTTGGCATACTCTTAGCGGAGGATAGGAGCCAAGACGTTAGAAAAGCGGCGTTCGATCGGCCATCGCTCCGGTAAGCCCTTTTTTTGCATTAGTCATGGTAGAGTAGAGGCGGAGATCTCTCCTTATAGGATGGGCATGGCGTTAGCAATCTGCAGCTGTAGCAGGGTTTCAATTTCCACTATCAGGCGCTAGTCTCGAAAGTGTTGATGGTGATTTCATGGAGGGAAAAACCATGTTGCTGCTTTCAACGTGCCACTTGCGACGAGACAAGTGTCCCCAGGGGTCCGTCGGAATGTGCGGAAGATAACAAGGTTTGCTTTCCACCACAGCCGGACTTGATTCACAGCGAGAGAGAGGAAGAAATGGTGGGGGATGGAAGCATTCTTGAAGCCAACGGCTTTCCTAGAGAGGACAACAAGCGTGATGCTGTGCATAAGGGGTTCAGGAAGCATCTCCGGTCCTCCGCTGTACTACTCCATGCAATCAATTGGATGTTGACGAGTAGAAGAAGCTAGAGATTGAGCCGAGCATAATAATGGGAAAGCTTGCCCGAGCACTTTGCGGTCGGTGTATGAATGATGAATGACGCAAATTGAAAGAGCTATGTCATCGGATCGCTAGCAAAAATGAATTTCGTCCACTAGCGTCATGTCACTTTTCCAATACAAACATCCCCCAACCTCACATTTCTTCTTCTGTTCAACAACTATCACCGTCCCCAACCACCACAACATCGTATCTCGAGTTGCAAAAGACTCTCAACATGGCAAGCCAACACTTGTTCAAGCGTAGCAACGATGCTATTCACGCCAACGGAGACCACATGGTCAATGGCGCTACCTCCGACATTGCCATCACCACTCATGGATCTGATTGGTACTGGGTAAGCAAGCACCCCACCATCTGCAGCTTCCGCGAACCTCAAATTCACGTTTGATAGGCCGTCTGTGCTGTCATGGTCGCCTCTACCATCGTCTTCATAGGCCTGTCATTCACCAAACCTCGCACACACCGCCTCTTCCACTACATCACCGCTGCTATCACCATGGTCGCCAGCATCGCCTACTTCACCATGGGCTCCGACTTGGGAGAGACTGGCATTCGCCCTGAGTTCATCCGTACCAATCCCAAGGTTTCCGGCACCCTTCGTGAGATCTTCTACGTTCGCTACATTGACTGGTAAGCACTGTGACATTATCGGAATGTTGAATAAGGCTAATACGATACAAGGGTCATCACCACGCCCTTGTTGCTCATGGACATCCTCTTGACTGCTGGTCTGCCATGGCCCACGATCCTCTACACCGTCTTGATCGATGAGATCATGATCATCACCGGTCTTGTTGGCGCCTTGGTCACTTCTAGCTACAAGGTACAATACTCCGCGAAATCTTATACAGAAAAGCTGCTAACAGTCAGAATAGTGGGGGTACTACACCTTCGGATGCTTCGCTCTCTTTTGGGTTGGGTGGACTCTCGTCTGGACCGGTCGCAAGCACGCAGCTGCCATTGGCTCCGATGTCTCGAAAACCTATCTCATCGTCGGTACTTGGACCACCTTCCTCTGGTTCCTCTACCCGATTGCCTGGGGACTTTCCGAGGGTGGTAATGTCATCTCACCCGACTCTGAGGCTGTGTTCTACGGTATCTTGGACATCATGGCTAAGCCAGTCTTCGGTGCTCTATTGATCTGGGGTCACCGTGGTATTGACCCAGGACGTCTTGGCAGTAAGTCTTGTTCCTTCTCATTCAGCCTTTGGGCTGCGCTGACTTTCCGCAGTCCACATCCGCGACTATGATGAGGGACCATCATACACTCAAGGCACCGAGAACCTCGAGAAGGTCGCCAACGGTCGCAATGGTCACAATGGTGTCACCGATGGTGCTACCAGCTCCGGCGCCAACGTCTAAGTTCTAGAATCGACTCAGAACTGAAGGTGGATTTGGTATCATTGTTGTCTTTATCAAGGGAATTGATGCTGCTCAATATTCATGTGTGCCCTTCTAGCGATCAAGCAACGGCGCCTGGATCAATCGTCCAGAGCCTAAATGTTACATAATACATGCTGTGGATTCAGCTCACAAATTGCAATGTCACTCCTCTAAAAACTCTGGACTGGTGCTTTGACTTCATTTCCAGCACCGTACTTTTGACATGTTCAGCTTGAATCATTGTATACCATGTGCGGAAACCTACCCGTAATTACTTCAATGACGTCTCACTGTTCACAAAAGCTGCCCGGCATTGCACCAGCACCTCGAGAACCTCGACTCCGATTGCTCAACGCTCGCGAGTGAATCTTCGACGAACATCGAGGATATGGTGGAGTTGTACTGCCTGCATTGCAACTACGTAGGCTACAGAACAGATATAGGCTGCGCCAAGCCTACATTAGGCCCAACTAGGTGGAAGCCTAGGGCACGTCCGTAACTCCTGCAGCACATGTCAAATATATAGTATTTTAGGCGAAATTTTGAGATCTTCGAGCTCGAGTGGTCTAGTGGTATGATTCTCGCTTAGGGATTACTCTGAGTACAAAATTGCGAGAGGCCCCGCGTTCGAATCGCGGCCCGAGCCCATTTCGTTTTTGCTTCCGGAAACTGTACAATTAATTAATGCTCACTCACTGTCGATTGATTACGTGCTGGTTGGTTGGTGTGGTCGTGTTTCTGAGCTTTTTTTTGGGGTGGAGAGAGATGGCGATGGGGCCGCAGAAGGTGCCAATGCGCAGATGATTTGCGTTGTCGTTCCTCGGCAATGTTTCATTCACGCTCTGAGTCCCCCTTTCTGAGCACATACATTATCCTCTGGTCGCTGCTCTATTGCTTCTCCTCCGTGGGTCAAAAGTCTCATCCCATCGGTTTTCCGTGTCGGTGCGTTTATCCTGACTTCGTGGCGACTCATTCACCTCTAGGAGCCGCGTGAACTACGGGGGAAGAGCTGTCTCTTGTTGGTTGGTACCCATGTAAACCACGCAGGTGCTGCAAGTCTAATTTTCTTTTCTCATTTACAATGCTAAGTGAAGTGTTCGAGAAACAAGGCGAATCCTGAACGGAGTATGTGCTCATGGTCACTGGTACTCAAACGTACTGCAAACGATTACATCTTTTTTCTCGCTCCCCTTGCTTGGTGGTTGCAAATCAGTTCTCAATATATACATAAGTATCGAGTCCCATGTGAAGTAGCTGTGGTCTCCGAGACTCACACTCCACGGATCAATCTGTCACCACTGCTCCTTTCCACACCGCATGATCGCAGTCATGGAAATGAAGTGAGAGGAGCTTCCAAGCATCCCTGAAAGCATCGAGGACAGTTTCAATGTTGAAGCAGTTGAGAGATACAAGCTAGTTCGGCAAACCCGCCTTGAGCACTCAGCGGACTAGCCGGAAGGCTTTGAAGAGTGGATCTCGAGGCCTTGGTGAAAAAGGCAGATGAGAGACCTCCAGGGAAAGAGAAGTTAGAAGACCCGTTCTGCTCAACTTTCTGTTAGCTGACATATAGAAGGAGGATCCCTTGGACCGACCGGGCAGCCCCAATCCCGAGCCCTTTAATTTGTTCTTCATGGTTGAGTAGACATTGCCAAGCAACAGGCGCATGAGCGACCTGTTCTCTGGCCAGGGAAATATTAAACGTGAGCCAAATGATTAGGATCATCATCAAAGCAAAGTCTTGTCATTTTCATTTCCCTCCGCGGCACAGCTTCACACGCGATTCAAGCACCCATGTTTGCACACATAGCTCACAGACTTGAATCTGCAAGCGGTAGACATCACCGTCATCTCAACTTCTGAAGGCTCGATGATGATCGCGTCGGGAGCACATTCGTTTTTCTTTTCGTCTCCACACCACTTCTTTTGTTAATGATTGATCTCAGATCTCTCAGGATAAGAATATGATTATGATTATCGACGGCAAGGACGATGATATCGTCCATAGGAACGGCAGTGAGAACAACGATAACAATAGTAATACCCATGATGGTCGACAACCGATGTGCAATCTATATCAGCGTAAACATCGCCCTTCAATGGGTTTCTAAGAGCCGTGTTCACGATGCAACATACGGGTTCATAGACGCAGTGTTTTTTCGACGCCGAATGCGTAGCAGCAGCAGATGACAGTGCTACAGCAACAAAATCCGGCAATACTTGCTGAAATGCAGCAGATGCGCGTTGCGATGCAGGCGAGATCTGCATGTGCTGCTACCTATCATTACGGCGACCCATTATCGCCGTCTCCGTGATGCCTTACCATGGGACCATCAACTCTTCTGATGTGGAAATGCCACCTTGACCGGCCTAACGCTTTGCCAATGCAGGACAGATGAGCATCGACAAGATGATTGAGAACGCTGTTCAAGACCGGTTCCTCCTCCAATAAGGAGGTCAAAGGAATTACCTTCGCCATGGGGAGACCTATGGCACAGTACTCCAACGCATTATGGATGCGTCGACTTCAGACATCCAGAAGCGAAACACTAGGTGCCGATTTGAACATGGCCCCATCAACGCAAGACATCGCGCGTTTCCTCATTTCCATCCTCGACAAAGTCATACCCAAACCCAAGCACGGTGTTCCAAGCTCCTCCTGGACGCAGACCGGAATCTACCACCTCATCCAATCCTTGGTCCTTCCAATACTCTGAGATCAATGTGTCGGAGACGGTATCTTGCTGGCTATTCCACCAAACATGACAGCGACATCTTGCGTAGCTTGGTCAGTCGGCAAAACGAAACTACCGATCCATGCTTTGAAGTCCGCGCCATGGGCAAAGCAACTCCAACAGGTATTCGACATGACCGAGGAATGGCTCTTGGGTATGATGAACGGACAGAGGTCAGCGTCCCGAACACGACAAGAGATTGATACGGAACTCCGAGACAGTGTCATAACCCATGAACAGCGTACAGAACAGATCCAGGAATCTGTACGAAAGAAATCGAACAAATGATCAAAAATGCGATAGAGGAAGAAGATTAGCACATCTGAATTTGCTTTGTCCTTTGTGTGGGCGAGTGGTACCTATGTTTGCTCCGTTTGCCCCAGATGAAGACCCTGTCAGGAAATGCCCTCAGCTGACGATTTCCAGCTCTCTGACGAGTTTTCTCTGCGCTCTCTATCGGATGATGTCTCTTTTCTCGCGTTCGGAAGTGTTGCGTTTGCATTATCGTATCCATCGGGTCGTCTGACCCATATTATTGCTCATGGGTTTCTTCTTGCTCTTTCCCCACTCATCACAACTGCTTATCTTCAACAAGAAAGGCTGAAGCCAAAAACCTTGAAGCTCAGGTGCGAGTAAGATGTCAAAAGGCATACTGAAAAATCCTACGCCTCCAGAGTGGAAGGAGGCGGACGAGATCGTTCATCATGTCTGGCTGGGAACGTAGATCATCCCCCTCCTGTCAATTCGAACGGGCCGATGTTGACATCCTCTCAGGATTACTGAGAACGAGCACGCCCGAAGGAGAAATATCACCGAGGTCATCTGCATCTCCAAAGACCCCCAGGCAGACTTGCAGCGCGAAGGTTTCAGGAAGGCGCCAGATCTCGATTCCATCATCTTCACCCTAGAAAGCGACACCGAAGGAGATCTGCTGTCAACATTTGGTAAAGTATGCGACGCCATTGACAGGACCCTCTGGGAAGGGGCAGATGTATTGGTGTGGGATGTAGGCGGAGGTGTGGCTGCGCTGGCTGCATATCGTAAGTACAGTACCACATGTGCACGGACAAGCTCCACGGGGCATATCATTGACAGAACTACCGCAACAGTCATGAAAAAGCATGAACTGTGCTTGCCAGAAGCCATGACGACCATAACGCGGGCAAGGTTAATGAGGCCAAAACCAACACTCATACCCAGCCAAAGGATCATCGACCTGCTCCACAACGACGTCTATCAAGGGCAGCTTGAAATGTGGCAGGCGTGCGAGTACGACACCCACGAGAACATCATTGTGAACCCAACCGAGCCGCGTGAGAAGTGGATAGTCGAAGGAGTGGGGGGGGGTCCGAAGAAGAAGAGAGTCAATGTGCAATCTACCCTGAGGAGACTAGATGTTGTGCAATCGGTCTTGATGAGACCAAATGACGTGCAATCTGTCTTGAGGAGACTAGATGAGAGGTTGCCGCATACCTCGGAGCACCTCCGTCGTCTTGCCACGATTGAGGAAGTCGAAGAGGAAGCTCGTCGTCTCAGCATCATTCTTGAGGAATGATTCGGGGCCAGCGGTTGACATTATCGGTCCGGGGACACGTTGAGAGACAGCCGTGGATTCGTAGACGCTGGAGCGCCCAGATCTGACATTATATGATACATGATCTGAGAGGAACTGATCTGACTTGAGCGGCAATGCGTCTGAATACCTGGCACACGCTAGCAAATGACAATGGTCATGGGAAGTATGAATATTACCTGAATCACAAGAATCTCAGTCCGATTTTCCCCTTGGCATGGAAATCTTGTATTTTGCAATGTCCACAACCCAACGTTTGCACTGCCGAGACCCCCCCCCCCAACTACTCTTACAGGCCTCAATGGACAAAAAAGATGACATAAGTCACACCACACCATTGCGGTCTATAACCCTCCTCTACCTTATCACTAGCATCAGTCCAACCCAGATGTAGACCGCCATATAGTGCTCGAATGATGTACGCTATTCACACTCCTTTTGAGGAACATACTGTCCAAGGGTCCAAAGCATCTCGCATAAGAAATTTAATCTATCAGCTGAAGTGAAAACCCCACCGACACCTTTGCAAAACAGATGTCGAAGCAGCCGGCAACGCCGTGGAAAATTATAATCTACGGCCTATGCTTACTGCGTGTTAGTAGCAACGCTCTGCCTCTTCAGTGCCAGGATAGATGGTGTGTCAAAACCAAAAGCTTGAGAGGTTGGTGTTCCTGAGCAGCATGACAGGCCGTGTCGGCACCGTTTCTGGATTGGATATGGGTCTCTGTGTTTCTGGCTCTGATTTCTACTTGTCCGAAGAAGCCCTTCTGATGCTTGTGAGCGCAGGGTTTCATCATGGATCAGAATTCGGGCGGACTCATCCAGCTTGATGTCTATCATGGCTCCCCTAAGTCACTGGCAGCCTGATTCAGCCGAAAGTGGGGCTTCTTTATCGTCGGGAGGTTCACGAAAATCCAAGACCCGAGATTATGGATCGCTACCAAATTTCTTGTTTCGATATCTCTCTTCTTCAAGTATTTTCCTGATGTCAAACCAGAAATCATCTCGTTTTTCACCACCCGATTTCAGCAGACACTCTATTTCCATCGTCTCATAAACGTTACTTCGGCCTCAACATGAGAAAAGGCAAAGGGAAAGAAAAAGAAGGAGACAATGAAGCTAGGGCTGGAAAGCGCGAGACGGAACCTGTCTCTAATGACAACGAGCACTGGACCAAAGACCTCGCACTGAGATTGAAAGAAGGTGAGGCGAAAAGCCAAGGGCATAAAGGCGGCTCAGAAAACGCCAAAGCGGAATCTAGCACGATGGACGAAGATCAAATTGCTTTGGTCCATGCACTCTGTTGCGATAATGTTCCTTTCAAAGATCTCAAACAACTATTAGGGGTACCGGAAGGTGCTGTGGGCCTTTCTGAGCTGGTAGAGGTCGTGATAGATGCGGAGAAACTGAAAGCCGAAAAATTGAACACGCAAGGTTAGTATGTCTTCGAGATATTCCAAACCGGGTTCAGAACTGAAAAGCAGGGAAGCAGAGATACCCGGCCAGACTCGGTTCCAGGCCAGCGATGAAAAATTCGAGGTCTACGATCCTGATCGTTGGGAGGCACCAGCTGAGGAAAATAATGTTGATGAAACTTCGGACGACGAGGAAGCTCCTGTTCCTGAGCCTTTCGATTACATCGAAGAATGGGTCTCGGACAGGCCGAAACCTGCACCTAGTGTCCTTACCTCAGGACCGCGCTTCGTTCGCGCTCTCAAAGACTCTAAGGGGGGGAGTAAGCCATATTTCCGATCAGGAGACATCTTGCGAGTGATCAGTAAAGTACGACGGAAGGGACTTAATGGTGAGTTGACAAGACGTGGAGGGGACTGGCAGATGCTAAAATACATATGAGCAGATCAATCTTTCGATCTGCTTCCTCTCAAACCTCCCGGAGAAGCGGGACGAGTGCTGATCCGGGACTTCGAGCCAGCAGACCAGGGAGCGGTGGATGCCGTAGGGAGGGAAGCTAGTACCGAAAAGGAGAAAGATAGCTTTCGATGCGCTATGGAATGGGAGGATTGATGGGCCTTGCTGGGTTTTGTAGAATTGGGAAGCTGGAGATGGTTTCTCACTCGCTGACCAATCACAAGGCTCTGATACAGGCGGGAAAGGTTGATCGTTATCCACCCCACCACCTGCCACGTTCGTGTAGAGAACAAGTTGTTTTTGTAGAATTCGTGAGAGCGTCCTTTGGTTGGCATTTCGACCAGAGACCTGCATCAGTGTCCCATTCGAAGGCTAAGAGGTTGGAGCTGGCGTCAGGGTATCAACATGTGTATAGTCGCTCCGTTCGCTCCATGGATTTATCAATGCGAGCTCGAGTCGATTGTTCTTCTGGTGACCTTGTGGGCGTCCATCAGTCTTGCCATCGGTCATGGCATGGTTCTCGGTCGATGCCATTGGTTTCCTATCGTTCTGGCATCGATGCTATCCGTTTCCCAGTGGTCTTCCAGCGGTCTACCATTGATGCTACTGGTCTATCATCGGTCTGCCATTGGTCATGGATCATTTGGCAGTCGAAGAGGTTCAGAACGCCGTCAGCGTTGAATCTCGGCCCCATCGATCCCCAGCGTAAACCATCGGTCACCTGTGTAAACAATGGTCTTGGCGTATTTTCCAGGCGTAGATGATGAAACTAAGCCTAATCGAGGTCTATGAGCGCTGTGAGCGTCTTGACGTAATTTCCCGCCGTAGATAATGGATCTAAGCCTATTTGAGGTTTTGGATGCTGTCAGCGTCGGTATTACGAGCGTATTCTTAATATATTACTTAGCTCTATAACTAGCGAACCTTAACGAAGATATCCTCTATTATATTATATCTTCTTTTCATCTATATAGTTCGATAGTCTTATTATTCTAGTTCTATCTTACTTATACTAGTATCGTATCTATACTAGTTCTAACATTATAATAAGACTTCTTTATATACCCCTCGGCGAAGAGAACTAATAGGTTTTTTACTTTCTACTCGAAGTAAGCGATCGAGTCTAATAAAGAAAACGCTGGGTATTTCTATTATATAGAAACTCTATCATATATTTAAATTATTAGATATCTATATTATTCGAAAGAATCTATATTAAATAACCTATATTATTAACTAGTAGCCTAATTTATTAAAAAATAAGTTCCCTATATCGAATATAAGAAATTCTTCTCTACTTCGTTCTCCGTATAAAGTTTATTATTAGCTAAAAGACCTTCGACGAACTTTCTATTATTCGAAAGGATATTATTTAAAGTACTTATAGTCTTAACGACGACTTAATCAGTTAAGAAATAAAAGGAATAATACTATTTCGAGCGTTATAGTTAAATTTCGACTCTTAATATAGAGATCTATTATCTTTCTCGACTCGCGTACGCCTTTATAGTACTAGAGTTCCAGAGATCTCTTTATCTCACTCGATAAAGATACTATTCGATATTATAATAAACCTTTACGAGGAAGCTTAGCCAAAATCGCTATTTTTACGCCTATCTTCTCCGCTCTATTCTTATCTACATTTAAAATATTATAAATTCTTTAAATTCATCTATATCATCATTAATATATCTTATTCTATATCGTCGATTAGCTTATATATAACGACTTTATCTATTATAAAGTAGTAGAGACTAATAAGAAAGACGAATATTATATAAAAATTTATAATACTATCATCGAAGGTAAGAATAAGTTTTAAGGGATTATTCTTAATAAGTGCTTTATATAAGACGGGGTACTTTACCGTAAGAACCGTTTATAGATATTCGATAACATATATACCGATGTTATCCGAGAGGTGTATGATTAATTATTCTACGGCTATCTCGAAATAATATATTTCTATAAATTACTTAAAAGGAAATACTACTAGCGAGGAATAAGGATAATAGTAGTTATCTATATTTAGAATTACTATATCTATTAGAGAACTAAGATACCTCGCGATCGAGAATATAATTTACTCTAGTCTATATCAAATTCATCTATATTAATACTAAAATATATTTCTTTATATCGCCGATCACCTATATATCTTAAATACTCTTATCTTATATACGACGATTTATATAGAAGATACTTATCTCTAAATTCGCTATTACTCTATATATTATAGATATAGCGCTCTCTATCTACTAAGAATCTTTATTAGCAATTTATTAATTAAGAGGAGATATTAGAATAATAATAGAAGACGTAAGATTAAAACTCGCCTGAGATCTCTATTCCACCTCTATCCTCACCATCACCTACTCTATGAGATTTCGAGGCACTTAGAGTAAATCGATATCGGCTAATATTACTATAGTTAGTTAGATAGTTAATTAGATAGCTACTTAGTCTAAGACTATTAGATCTATCTATCTTCATGAATACTAATTTAATATTATTTAATAACTAGAAAATAAGAATTCGAGATAAGCTTATTTATAATAATAATTATTTCCCTATTAATACTTTTAAAATTATCTACGTTATAGCGAGACTTAAAGGGGAAGCTAGTTAGTATATATCTATTAGACGACGATATCGCTTATACTCTATAGTCGATAATCTTCTAGATTATTTAAGCAACGTATATAAGATATCCTTATTTATTCTTAAGAGTATTTTTAAATATACTTATAATAAAATAAGTTAAGAAAGTTAATTATTTCTTAAATTTTATAATAATCTTATTAAATATATTAAATATAATTTTAAGAATAATAGTCTTAGTCTTCTAATAAACGATATATAAAAGAAATTAAAACTTCGTTTATATAACTTAATTAATCTATTAATAAGAGATTAAACTATATCTAAATTAAAGAAATATATTATAAGAATATAGCTTTAATATTAATAATCTATTAAGGAGTTCGTCGAGAAGAAGATTAAAAGATTCGCGGAGTAATATATAAAAGTAAAAGTCGAGACTAACGTAAAGAAGGGATACTTAATTATAACTCGCCTTACTTTTAATATATAGAATTTAAGTCTTACTAAGATAGAGGATCTTATAAATAAGAATTAAACTTATATATAAAAGTATAATAAATACTTCGAATTCGATATAGATTTTAACGAAGTATACGAGCTTAGTTATTAGGGCTTTCTATAAATTTAAGACTAGTATACGACTCGATAATAGCCTTATTTTTTATATTCGTAAAATCGATTTCTTAGGCCTATATTGCTTAATAACTACCTTATATTAGACTTATTAAGCGGGCTCCCCTTATTATTATATATATAAAAGTCTTTCGAAGTTATAATACGTTATCTATAAATCTTACTATCGCCGTTAATATTCTTAATCGATATCGACTATGTGATATCTTATAGAGAAACTCATATCGAAATAATTTGATATTAATTTAGAGTTTTAGCGTCTACGGCTCGATTCGGTTCGAGAGCCCTCGACTAATTACGTCGTATTATTTTATTAAAATTCTTTACGCTGAAATATTAATTCGAAATATTAACTCGAGAGTTATTATAAATTATTAAGATAATTATAATTATTACTAATTTATTTAACCCTCGATTTTCTTTAAATTAGACTCTCTATACTCGCTATATCTCTAGCTATCGATAAGATTAATAAGAGAATTTATATAAAGACTATTACTACTACTATCGCCGCTAAGAACGAATATTATATTAAAAATCTCGAATATTAAAAGTTCTTTATTTTTATAGATTTTCAGCGAGTATAATATATATATATACGATGAAATTATTTAATTCTTTCGAAGACGAGTAGTAAGTAGACTAAATAGGAGAAGGACTTAGAGAATCTTACTAGTATATAGATAAGATATAGCTATATCTCTAGAATCTCAATCCTCTTCAGTTAAGGCCTATACGGACTATAGATATTTAGAGATATAAGATAAGTAATAAACTTATATCTTCGATCTATTAGCTATAAAGACTATGGCTATTTAAGAGAAAAAAATAGTATTATAAGCGTATTCTTAATATACTACTTAGCCCTATAACTAGCGAGCCTTAACGAAGATATCCTCTATTATATTATATCTCCTTCTTATATATATAGTTCGATAGCCTTATTATTCTAGTTCTATCTTACTTATACTAGTATCGCATCTATACTAATTCTAATAACTAGCGCTAAATTATATACTTTTCTTAGCTTTTCTAATAATATTAAATTAAGATTATTAATCTTAATTTATTAAACTAGCTAATTAACTTAATTTATATTTAATAAGATAAAGAATATAGATAGAGAGTTATTATTAAATATTATAACTATTATTTTTAAAGATAAAGACGTAATAGATCTTAAGTCTAATATCTTAAATTTTAATTTATCGAGAATAATTTATAGTTAAATTAAAAATAGTTTACTCTTTTATTATATATATCTAATAATTATTTTCTTTATAATATTTATTTTTACTATTTAAATAAATTAAATAAAGTCTAATTTATTTATTAAGTAATTATCTCTAAGTATAATATTCTTTATTAAATATCTATAATATATAATCGCTAAAGACTAAAAAAAATCGACGTTTAATAATTAAAGAATATATATAATATAGATAAATAGATATAAGAGAACGATATCGTTATTAATATAAAACTATATAACTTTAATATTAATATAAAATATATACTTATTATAAATAAGAAGGCGATATTTTTCTTTTAATATTCTTCGAATCTATAATTTAAAGTATCTATAAAGAATAAGTTAAAAGCTAATTATATAAAAAGAATTAAATAGAATATATCTAATAAATTACTTTAAGCCTAATACATTATTTATTTAATTATTTTCAGTTAACGTAATAACTAAATTCTTTTTCTTTAAGATATTAAATTAAGCTTTTATTTAAATCTTATCTTTAAAGATAATAAATAAAGAAAGAAGTCTTCCATCCGCGGATATATATTCGATAAAAGTAGCTTACTCTCTACTCTTATTCTAAGTTATATATATATATATATTATACTTAAAGTATATAACTTATACTTTATTAGTAGTATTAAGAGTAAACCCTTTCTTATTTATATTATATATATTTTTCTTCTAAATATTATATTTCTAAATTATTAATTTAATAAGCTAAAATTATCGTAGTAGCTTTTCTATATTATAAGTTATAATATATTCTTTATCTAAAGGCTAACTAAATCGACTCTATAGATCTAAATAACGATTTATAAAACTAGCTATTTAATTTATATCTAATTCTTCTTTATTTCTCTTTACTACTAGCATTTTACTAGCTATATAATAAATAAGAGAAACTTCAAAAGATTAATCTTACTTTATTACTTATTAAATCTATATCTTTAAAGCTTTCTTCTCTATAAAACTTAATCGCTATTAATCTTTAGCTAATTTTTAATAAAAACGATTATTAGCGATATATCGATTAAGAGTAAAAGAAGTAACTTTATAATATAATATAATTAATTTAATAGTAGACTTCTTTTATTAAGAATCTAAGCTATTCTTATAAATTAAAAGAGCTTAATTATACTTATTAAGTATAATCTCTAAATATTTCTTCTTAGAAATCTTTTTAAAAGACTTTAAAGTCTTTAGTAAAGTTATTAATAAAGCTATTAATAGAGGGAAAGAAAGAGAAATATAACTTTTTATTATAGTAAGACTATAAATTAATAAGTTCTTTTCTTAATCTTCTAAATTAACTACTCGATAATCGATTAATATAACGAGACTTATATATATATATCTATTTTAGACTAAGAAAGCTTATAGAAAGACTTATAGAAAGGCTTATAGAAAGACTTATAGAAAGGCTTATAGAAAAGCTTATAGAAAGGCTTATAGAAAGGTTTATAGAAAGGTCTATAAAAAGGCTTATAGAAAGGCTTATAGAAAGGCTTATAGAAAGACTTATAGAAGGCTTATATATATCTATTTTAAATAATAGAAGATACCTTACTTATAATATTAATAGATAATTAATAAATCCTCGAACATCGAATATCGTATTTTTAAACGATTTAGATTTATTCGAAGTCTTTAGAAAGCCCCTTAAGGCCTTATTTTTTTATATTTAAAAATCGATTACTTAAACCCTTATTATTTAACGATTACTTTATATAAGGTTTATCGAGTACGCTACTCTTATTACTCTATTTATAAAGATCTTTTAAAGATATATCGCGTTATTATTCGATCTCGCTATTATCGTCTAATACTTTATAACAATTCCGTAAATATAATATCTTAAGAAGAAACTTATTTAATATTAATTTAAGAATTAAAGATTACGACTTAATTCGGCTTAAGAGTATTTAAACTAATAAGAGCGTATTATTCTACGATTTCTTCTTCGCTTAAAAATATAATATTAAATAATCACCTTATAGCAAAATACGTTTATAATTACTATTTCTTCGTTTCTTTATTAAATCTCTTTAAAATTAAAGTCCTATAATATTATAGTATTAGATATTAAAACTATTATATAAGATATATCGTAATTCCCGTCTTATATAGCGTTTTAGAGTATTAAAAAAGAAGTTTAAAAATCTATTTAGAAGTAGATTAATAGAGGTCTAATAAATTTTAGATATATATATATAGATATTAATTATAAATTAGAATAAACTATATACTTATAATGTAACTCTCTTATAATTACGAGAAATTAAATATTAAGTTATTATTATTTTATTATTTTCGAAATTATTAAGAATTTTAATAGATTTAAACTTACTTATAATAAGATATAGCGTAGCCTATAACTAGTTACTAGTTAGGAAATTTATGGTATTTTTAATAGATATCCCACTGCACTATATAGCCTAGATGGAATATCGAATACTACTTAGATACATATATCGCCAGAATAAAAACAGGCCATATCTAAGTTCAGGGCTAAGATACCTATTATGCCAGGCCTATAGACGGTGACTATAGTACCGTAGTATTAGCTATTATGATAGACTATAGTAGTAGGCCATTTAAAAGAGTGGTAGTGGTAGCCATGGTAGTGGTAGCTATCTATGTCGGATTTATCGGATTTAAGAGCGTGCAAATGGGGGTAACGTGCAAATGGGGGTGGAAACGAGTATCCGGAGGCTTCAGCCCTGCGTGCCAAGACAATTTACGCCCCAGGCGCCAGTACCGAGGGAAACTCCCTAAAGTACCTTATGAGTCTAATGTTCGGTAATTCAGCTCAGGTTGGGATATTTGTGACTGTGGGTTTAGCCTTCCGCCAGCATTTAGATGATTCGGTGACAGAAATGATCGCACCACACTTTTCACATCAGTTTCAATCGAATCCAATTCACCCTTTCAACAGATCCACACATACAATGCTTCGTGAATCGTGTCTCATTTGTTCGACCGAGGCTTTCCGTGCCTTCTCCTGCTGAAACAAAAACAAATGGATACTTGCTATCTTGATCGGATCCTATGTATGACAGCTGGGCTAGAACCCATCAATTCGCGAAATGTCTGATACAGAGCTAGTGCATGAACAGGACTCTCCGCTCATACTGGAGGTCCCACAACCTTCAACGGATGCGCCTCGGTATTGAAGACAAATTGATTCGTGCTACCGTTGCCAGCTACCTGGAACACGCTGTCCTACTGTCCTATCAGCGAGTGTGTTCTTGCATCCGCTCGGGATACTCACCGGCGCATGTATCAAATAGGAGTACTTCATGACCTCCGCAAACAAGAAGCTCTCTTGCACATTGTCAAACGATCCTCCATTCGCGGCATTAACATCCGAGATCTCCGAAAATCCTTGGCCGACTCTGGTCGTCGCATTTATAGCTACGAAGGCTTCCCATGCCCAGTCTTGGTACATCGTGTTGCCTTCAATCCGGTCAGCCTGCCGCTCTCACCCCAAGAATAGCGATGGATGCCTTACCAGTAATTCTGTAAGCGTAGTAGAAACTTTCGATGACTTCTGGACGCAGATCATACAGGGGCTCAGTGATGTAGAAGCCATTCGCATTGTAAAAGGCTTCGTTGGTAGAGTCCACCCCTGTGGTGTTCCAGCTAAAAGTCTCTGGCCCTATTCCTGTGAGGGTGGAGTTGTACAGGTCGTGGCAACCATTGACAAGCGCAAGCCCAAAGTCGACATAGTCCTGTCGACCAAGGACTGAGCCTCCGAGAAGGAAATTTCCGCCATCGACTAGATTACAGTTTCGCCGTCAGTATTGCCTATTTGAGGAGGTATATCCAGCCTTGAAACACGTTTCGAGAGTAAAAACTCCCGAGACATTATTCAAGACTCAAGGTTTGCTCCAAAAGGGGAAATATGGGCTCCGAAATACGTACAGCAGGTCAAGTGCTCGGACGAGTTAACGAAAGTGGTATCGACATAGCTTGCCAAGAACGTCAAATCTGGCCGAGAAGCCGCTACACCATTTTAGAGTCAACACTTCTCTCCTAGGACGGAACTTGAAAGTCTGAAGGCAAATGTGTCTTCAGACTCGAAGAATGTATGAAAGCGGAATTGGTAATTCAGGAATTTGGCTTACGATTCGAGGTTAGGTATTTGATAGTACTGTCGGCAGCCATGACCCAACGGTCCGAATAGTTGCTATAGCGCGACGAATCATAGACGTACATCTTGATAAGATACTCGTAAAAGCTATCATCGCCGCCGTTCCATCCTCCAGTAGCGTCCAGAAAGACGCCGTTGGAGATATTGACGTTGGTACCCACGAGCCCGGGGAAGGGCTCATTGAATCCTGGCAGCGGGTTCAGAAGGTAAGTCTCGGCTTTCTGCACCAGATCTCCGTACGAAGGATCACCTGTGAGGTCTGACAGATGTTGCCATTCGAGGCACAGGGTCCCAATGTCAGCAAGTCCATTTGTTGTGCTTCCGTCATCGGTTTGATTGGTGAAATTCAAGCTGTTCGAAGGTATACCTGTAGACGTATTGAATGCGAAACTCAGACTATCCGCTAGGCTTTTCGACTGGGTAAGAAGAGTGTCGACTGCAGAAGCATTCATACCCAAACTGGATAATGGCCCCTTGAGAAGGTCATATCCTGACAGCATACCGGCCATATACCTAATGGTCGTCTCGAACAGGCTGACTTCCGTAGCAGTAGTGGTATAGTCGATAGTGGCAATGTAATCAAGAATATCGTTGACAATAGGTTGGCTTTCCATCACCAAAGCCGTGCTCAAGGCGTCGACCGCGCTAGCCCCCCAATTGTTCCTTGGGTTGGTACATGTATTCGTCACTGGCTCAAGCTCATCTTGGCCTTTGCAAGTCGTGAAGTAGCCGTTCCAGGCGAACGTGAAAGCATCCTTGACGGCAGCCGCTCTCTGCTGCTCCATCGTAGAATTAGTGCCGCCGTTTTGGCGGGCCCTAAGAGCTCGATCTCCCAATGCTAGAGACTGGTATTCCGGGTTTCCAGGGAAAGGCAGCCTGTGTCCATAAACAACACTCGCCGCTGTGGAGAGTTGTAAGAGAGAGGAAAGACGCATCGTGGAAAGCGTTCTTGTTATACTGCAAGGGGAAATTGGAAGGGAAAGATAGAATCTGGGGTACGACGAAGTAGGAGGAACGACAAAGCGAATGAAGTGGCCTAAGGAATACTTTAATATTAATGCCAGCCAGGCTGACCGTGGATAATGGTTCATTAAAGAAACTCCTGCTTTTAACAATACTCACGTCTCCGAGATCAAATGAAGAAGGAGCTCCGACGTTACCAGTTGGAATTGCGGAGAAGGAGAGCTGCTAAGCTGCGGGTATGAGGATTGCTTTCTTCCCCATACTTCCCCACACAATAGTATATTGGCGCGCGAATTCTTGCGTGGTAGGAAATGACAAGTGGGGGATCATCTGCAGCTCATACTGCTGCGCATTGCAGTCTCCGCGTGACTATGGCGGGCAGTCCAATAGCCAAAGAATTTCCTCTCAGCAGGTCAGTGGCTCGGTCGTCTGCCTGCTGACCACCTCTCCATAACGGTACTCTACAACATAAATGTCCATGCTTCTTCGCCAGGTAAGAAGCGGGACGATCATGTGGGGAAGGCAAGGATGATGTTGGAGTGCAGAAATCTTTGAATCTGATCATGACCGTCTTCACGATGACTTGACCTGCGCTTGGAAGGTAAGAGGAGGCTCACGAGACTCGGGTCCGATCGACTTGCTTGTTAGAGGCAGGTGCGCTCAGTTGCCGCCATTCCGCTCGTGGCTGGTCCCCGGCCCCTTTCCGCGCCTCGCAACCTACTTTATCGTCACGGGCTCCAACATCGACCCTCTACTAGTCTCAGTGGCCCCACGCAGTGGGTCTGAGCAGGAAACCCTGCCAAGACTTATTTTTTTGGTGTATTGCCCGATATGTAATATTCACACCCTGCGTACATATGATCCTTAACAAAAATACGCAACTACGTGATATAATCTTTTTTAGAATTCTTAAAAAAAGTCGAATAAATAGTTAAATAGATTCTCGTTAAATTAGAAGCTATAATATAATAATTAAAAAGTAAACTTTTAATTTTATTTTATTAAAAAACTTAGTTAACTTAGTTATAATAGTAATACTAGTATTTAAAAATATTATATATCTTAATAAACGCGTAGTACTATATAGGAATTTCTTTATAGTATATTAATTCTCGAGATAATTATTATAATATTCGTCGAATCGATAATATAGCGTATTAGAGAAAATACGTAGCCTTACTAGTTAGTTTATTACTTTAATTAAATATCGTAATCTCCCTTTATTTTTTATAGTCTTCTCTTATTTTTTAAATAATTAGACTTATAAGAGTTATTATAGCGATAAATCGTCGCGATAATAGATATAAATAAATAAATAAGTAAGTAAGTAAGTAAGTAAGTAGAGTATTATCGCGACGATTTATCGTCGCGATAACTCTTATAAGTAAATAAGTAAGTAAGTAAGTAAGTAATTAAGTAAGTAAGTAAGTAAGTAAGTAAGTAAGTAAGTAAGTAAAGTATCGCTATAACGATATATATAAATAAATAAGTAATTAAACTTACGAAGAGTAGAGCGGAGAGTAAAGCGAAGATAATTTATTCTTTTAATATAAAGTTAGATATTAATAATAACGATATCGATAAATAAGAATATCTCGTATAACGTCGAAGTCTCTTATAAATATATAGAACGTAGAAAAAGACGTCTTTAAATATAGAAAGGTCTACGTTATCGTTATAAACGATCTAATTAAATATCGCTTAATTATCTTCTTTATACTTTTATATCTAATAATTTAAAAATTAAATATTTAAATTTTTAAATTTCTTTTAATTTAAACTATTAAAAGTTTTTAGACTTCGCTATTATATAGAGAAAGAATATTACTATAAAGTATAGAGAGATTAATATCTAAAGTTCGAAGATATCTCGTCGTCGTTATTATAGAGAAAATTAGATATTTAAATATTTCTAATATATTCTATACTTATACGAGCTCGTTCTAAGCGCGCTAATCGCGTTAATATTATTTAAGATATATATATTATAATCTCTTTAACTTCTAAGTAAAGCGTATTTAAGTTAATATATATTTCTATAGAGATAATATCTTAAGTATTTAACTTTCTAATTAAGAGTAATATAATAAATCTATCTTAATAATTTCTTAATTCGATTTATTATATAATCTTTTAATAATATTAAATATAATACGCTATTATTTAAAGTTTTTTTAATAAAGATTAATTAATTAAAGATAAATATTATAAGCGTTAGCGAAGATCGCGATCTCGAATTAACTTATATAATAATAATAAGCTATTCGATTTTAATAAAAGATTTAAATACTTAATTAACGATCTCGATAAATCTATTCCCTTCGCGATTAACTTTAAAGAATTATATAATAATCGTAGAAGAATCGTTAAAAGTCGCGAATTTCGTATTTCAATTAATTATTGCGAGTACTTTATATAAAATAACGATTAATATAGCGATTTTAGAGTTTTCTACTTAGACTCTAAGAGAGGGATATATCGTAATAAGCTTACGATATAATTGGCCCCCGAAGCGAGACACGAGTATAGGGCTAGTTATACTCGTTTCTATCTCTATTTATATATTACCTTTATTTATACGCTCTTAAATTCGATAAATTCGATATAGATAGCTATTACTATTATAGCTACTACTATTACTCTTTTAAATAGTTTACTATTATAGTCTATTATAATAGCTAATACTACGATATTATAGTTATCGTCTATAGGTCTAATATAATAAATATCTCTATTTTAAACTTAGATATTATTAGAATCGATATAGATGTAATATTAATATAGGTATATTAAATAAGATAACTAAGATATCGAACTATATAGATGAAAAGAAGATATAATATAATAGAGAATATCTTCGTTAAGGCTCGCTAGCTATAGGGCTGAGAGGTATATTAAGAATACGCTTATAATACTATCCCCTTTCTTCGTTAAATTATATTTTATAATTAATAAGTGAAAAGATAGAAAAATAAGTATATATATACGCTTAACGTCTAAAAAATAGTAAAAGTAATAAAGAAATAATTATATTCGAGAATTCTAGTATCGTATCTTTCTTTATAAGAGATATTAGAGACGATAGTAGCTCTTTATACTTACGCTATAGTAACGTCGCTAGTCGAGATATAAGCGTATATAGAAAGTCTAGTCGAAAGGAAATTAATATAGTATAGCGAAAATCGTATTTATAGACGTAGGGGTAAATAATAGCGATTTTCGAATTCGTATTTAAGCGAATAAGATATCGGTGAAATAATACGACGTAATTAATTAAGAGCTCTCGAATCGAATCGAGTCGTAGACGCTAAAAACTCTAATTTAATATTAAGTAACTTTAATATAGTCTTCTCTATAATATATTATTTAGCTAATATCGATTATATTTTATAATAGCGATAGCGTAGTCTATATATATATTAATATAACTTCGAAAGATCTTTAGAATTATATTAGTAAGGGGGGCTTACGCGAAAGATTATATATAAGATAATTCTTGATTAATATAAATCTAAGGGATCGATTCTCGGGTTTGAAAAAAAAGAAAATTATAAAAAAAAAAAAGTAATTTTTTAATTAAAAAAAAAAAAATTTTTTTTTTTTTTTTTAAAAAAAAAATAATTTAAAAAAAAAAAAAATTTAAATTTTTATTAAAAATAATAAAAAAAAAAAAATTAAAAATTAAAAAAAATACCCTTTAAATTAATTTTAATTAAATTAAAAAAAAAAAATTTTTTATTAAATTAAAAAAAAAAAAAAAAAAAAATTAAATAATAAAAAAATAATTAAATAATAAATTAAAAAAAAAAAAAAAAAATAAATAAAAAAAAAAAAAAAATTAAAAATTTTATAAAAAAATAAAAAAAAAAAAAAAAAAAAAAAAAAAAAAAAAAAAAAAAAAAAAAAAATAAATAAAATATAAAAATTATATAAAATATAAAAAAAAAAAAAAAAAAAAAAAAAAAAAAAAAAAAAAAAAAAAAAATTAAAAAAAAAAAAAAAAAAAAAAAAAAAAAAAAAAAAAAAAATAAAAAAAAAAAAAAAAAAAAAAAAAATTTAAAAAAAATAAAAAATAAAAAAAAAAAAAATTAAAAAAAAAAATTAAAATAAAAAAAAAATAAATTAAAATAAATTAAAAAAAAAAAAAAAAAAAAAAAAAAAAAAAAAAAAAAAAAAAAAATAAAAAAAAAATAAAAAAAAAAAAAAAAAAAAAAAAAAAAAAAAAAAAAAAAAAAAAAATTCATTTTTCTAAGTTAAATGAAGTTGGATTTTTCTAAGTTAAATGGAATTTTAGCTCTAGCCCTAAGTACAAATCGAACTCTAATCGCTTATTATACGTTTTTAATCTACTTCCACCACTACGAAATTAATAAAGAAGATAAAAGCTCTAACTCTAAGTTAAATCGAACTCTACTTACTTTCTATACGATAAATAGTCTACTTCTATTACTATAAATCTCTAATTAATTATATTCTTATCTAAAAAAAAAGTATCTACTTAATAACCTTATTCTTAATATACCTCGTCGGCCGAGTAAATTATCTTCTTAATAGATCGCCTAAGACTATAATTAACAGGCCGACCTTACTAATAACTCAACTCAAGGCTATATATAATTAATCATAAACAAAGACCTCGAGATATAGATATAGGCCAATCTACTATAATAATTAGCCTTAAATCTTATTAATCGTTATACTAAAGGCTAATCGAATTAGAAATTAAATACGTCGAAAGAGAGTATATAGATCGTTCGAATTAGGCGGAGTTAGAGGAATACGTAATATATAGTATCGTTTATCGTTATATTCGCCTTTAAGAATATAATAATCGAGTATCTTAGACTTAATATACTTAACTTATAGACGTGTCTTATTATATAAATCTATACGCTACTTTAAATTCCTTAATAGTATTATTATATAATTCTATTTTAACTTTAAATAATAAGATAAAAGCGAGGTTAATTTA